TGTTGGTGATCTTGGCCGAGTAAGGCAGGTCTGGGAAAGAGAGACCGGAGAAGGACTGAGATTGATGGAGTTTGGTGGGAAGTAGGACTGAGCCATGAGAAGGGTCTGGTGAAGAAACGACGGTGACAGATAGATTGCGGCCATTTCTCGGCAGAGGTCAGGATTTCCCAAAGTGGGAAAAGGTGGCAGTGCCCGAGTCGCACCAAGTTATCGAGGGCGAGGGATAATTTCGTGCCATAACATAAGTGCACAGCTTGTTAAGCTGACTTAATCGATGACATCATACACACAGTAACACAAGTAGCTAAATTGGACCATATGCATGCGTAACTAATATACTTAGGATTAAATAAATAAATTAAATAAAAAGTCCTTAGCCGACGCGCATTTGTTGCTTATGCCGCCGGCTCGTCTTTTACCTCCTCGATCTTCGATGTTGACGCCTCCTGTTCTTCTTCCTTCACTACTTGTTGGTACATTGCGCGGATCTGGGCTCGGGAGAATTTGGGCTGGTGCTTGACCAACCACGTACTTTTGTCCTTGGGGCATTTGTTGTCTTGCTTCCGATGTCCCTTGTGACCGCAGCAGAAGCATCGTCCTTCTTTCCACAGTCGGTCTATCTCCATCGGTTGCCCTTGGCCCCCGTACATGGTCCCCATTCCCATCTTCTTGTCACCTTGGGTGTTTCCAGATCCTCCGGTTTTTCCTTTACCCTGCTGGCCCTGATTCGTAAGGTTTCTCCCTGCATCTTCTGCCAATCTGACTCGGTAGTTGTAGTCCATCTGTTCCACTCAGAACTTCCATTCGGCGTACGTTCATGGTAGTGTGGTTTCGGTGGCATGTATGGTGGTTTTAACATTTTTCTGAATTGCTGGTTTGAGTATTTCGATCATGTACTCTTCGTTGTGACGCTTCCCTGACTCCTTTGCCAGTCGTTTGAAGTCTCGGAAGAATTCTTTGGCCAATTTGTACGTGTTTTGCCATATGCGTTTGAACTCCTGTAGCTTGAGTTCTACTTCCGCATCAGTCCGAAACTGATCTTCTATTATTTGTCTGAACGTTTGCCAGGCCGGGTATCGCAGGTATCCGCATGTTTCATCATAGTATTCATCCCTGGCGTGGTTCCACCAGTGCAAGGCTTTTTCCGCAAGTCGAAACGTGCAGAACACAACCCTGTTCGGGCTTTGTCCGTGTGCATTCATGGTGAACTGTTGTGGAAATACTTGGAAATAGTCTTCGCACTGGTTAAGGAAGCGGTCCACGTCGCTGGATTCCCCTTTGAACTTCTCGGGGGGTTCCGCTAACTGTGGTTTTACCTGTCCCCATGGATTGGTATTGGCTACGCCGACTATGAATGGTGGTGGCGTATTCGGTGGTTGTACGGGGTCTGCGGGAATAGGGATGGCTGCGGGTCATGGTAATGATCATAATGCAGGGTTGTGATGTGGGGATAAGGGTCCTTGTGGTGCAGGGACCGGAACCACGGGGACTGCTGCGGCTGCGGCTGCCCCTGCGCTTCCTGGCATTCCTGCTGCTGCGAACAGCCTGCTAGAATCAACGTATCCTGTTCGTTTGAGGATTGACAGGTGGCTTAAGTCCACCGTTTCTCCGCTGGAAATGTCCGAGGGTTCTGGTACTTCGTACCATTCTCCAGGTTCCGTGAAATCTTCCAGGTGTACTTGGTTCCATAAGATATTGGTGTGGAAGATCGTTTCTCGATATAGCACTTGGCCTCCCACCTGGGAGTCCTTGTTCTGTTGGAAGTACCTGCCTTGTGCGGAACCATTCCATGAGAGTTCTCGTGGTAACTTCTTCTCGATCCAATGCAGCATTTCCAGATATGTCATATTATTGAGCTCGGCCTCAGTAGGCTCCCGAGCTAGATCCTTCCACGAACTCTGGGATGACATCCTCGTCACCGTACTCTCCTGCCCGGTGTAGCTGCTCCAAATCGAAGGTGGCCTGGTTCCACGGTTCTCGTAAATTTCTCCTTCTTCTAAGTCCGATTGGTCAGACTCGCTCAAAAGGCTCCTGGCTTCCTGTGATGATTCGGTTCCAGTTTCTAATGATTCAGGCCCACTCGTTGACCCTGAGAATGACCTGATCGAAGTCTGGCCTTCTAGGTCTATCCCATACCCAGGGTGCGATGAAGGGGACTGGGGCGGCGAGTGGGTGTTCTGGGGCAAGGGGGTAGATGGCAAATGGGACGACAGAGGAAGGAGGTTCGATTCCTCCGTACATGAGCCATGCGTCAGCGTAGTCCTGTGTTTGTCTGCATATATCACAGCTGGCGTCAGCGTCGTAGGTGGGCTCACACCGGTCGAGCTCTGTAGTGGCTTCCCCGGCCCTATCATTGAGGACGAGCGGGGTGTTTGGTCGGGTGATGAGGTCAAGGTAGCTCCCTTCGTCGTCGGAGGAGTCTTCCCGGGCATAGTAGTTGCCCCAGGTTTCTCCTCTCGAGTCCAGCCTTGGAGGGGACCAGTTGTTACGTGGCCCTGGAAGCTCGTCGCTGTCGTTGTCCTCTTCTGTATCGCTGCTTTCCTCATCTGAACTGCTTCCAGTTCCATCTTCAGCCGTTCTTCCTTCTCCCAAATGGTATCTAAGCCCTCTTTGATAGAGGCGCTGTCCGTCTGAATCATATCCAGGGTTGGCGGCTGAGTTCTCGGTTGAAGTGGGGGAAGGGGCGCTCCAGGGATTACTTCCTTCGCTTTCCTCCTCGGTAATAGGAGAGAGAACACGCTCGTCCATCCCCCTTTCGTAGACTCCTTGCTCTTCTTCTTCTTCAACAACTGAGCCTCTTTGTGTGGGCCATCCTTCCACTTCAGAGCTGGTGTCTGAGTCGGAGTCTTCCGTGATCCACTCATCGTCAGTGATGAAGATGAAGTGGATGATGGGTTCAGGTCTGTCGTCAACGTAGTTGGGAGGGGGTGTGTCCAGTCGTCTAGCCTCCAGGTTGGAGGCTTCGACAGGGAGAGCTTCTTCAGAGACTGGCTCCTGGTTTCATCTGTACTCGTATCCATATAGGAACGCGAGATAGGCTATGGCAATAAAGCCTTGTAGTCCAAAGAGGTCGGTGAGATATTGTTCGACTGGGTTCATTCATTACTGTTCGTCAACGTGGTTGTTGATGAAGAGTAAGAAAGTCTCGAACTAATTGTTAACAACTGATTACACAAACAAGATCAAACAACTAAGCGTGACTCGCACTTCGGTCAGGCGCTTTGTGTTGTCCGCAGGTTTCACTCAAGGAGCTTCCGCTTAGTTAGAGCGAGAGTGAGTTCAGACTAAGTTATCGGGTGAATAAACTTTAGTTCGAGACTGAGGTTTAAGACCTGCAGTCGAGCTACTTAAATACAGTTTGGGTCGTGCTAAATATACTACAAGTGTCTGCAATGGTACGGTAAACGTACTGAACCCTCATGGTAGAATGTGATCAAGTTCGGAGAATTAGCATAGCGAGATTACGAGGAAGCCGATAAGATAAGATATAGCGCGAAATCATAATACTGCATGATAGAAAGGATTCAATTGCTGATGGCATGTAGAATGCGGATTCTGTGGGGAGGCACATGGACATGTGTGAACATTTTATTCTGTTTGTTCGAGCGCTAGCGGCCATGAAGGCAACATATTTGGAACAATTCGTGCGACCGGCAGACTTGGAAGGCTAAAAAGGGATGGAGTTTTATTCGAGATTCAATACAATGAATGTCCCTGAAGTAAATCTGTACCAAATTGTAATGTAATAGTATTAGATCATGCATCTTCCATAGTGGTGACAGAGCAATTTGTGGAGTTAGGGCAAAGGGAATTTTCGCACCGGGTACCCAGTTGCCACATGTAATGGCACCTCGATGTGTCAATCAGGTCGACTTCAGTTTTCTTCATAAAACAATACCCTCCCCATTGAAACACTCCAATGCCTCGAAATCTGTTTACGGTTCTCCTCAGTAAGGGACACTCGTTGCAACAGGGATGACTGGCATTACCGCCGTCTTCCCTGAGTGTTAAGTCTTGCTGGAGAAGTCTGGCACAGTGGTTGTTGTCAAGGGGTACACAAAAATCTTGATAGCGGACTGCATTGAATGCGTTGATGACAATCTTGTGCACAGTAAGTGATGGATATAGGCAATAGATGTGACTGGAAGTGATGAAGTTCATTTGACTTGTTGTTAACGATGCGAGGATGGGAGGGAATAGAGAACTGTCACTACTTTCAGTAATAGCAATCGTTTGCTTCTGGGGAAAGTCAATATTTTGTAGAGGGTACAGCATGGATACTGACGTCTGGGTAGGTCCACAATGTTTTTATATGCATAGTGTAGAGGCGATGGTCAGAGAATTTATTGTCAGCAGGGGGAGTGTGGGGTTTGAATCCGTTTGCACGAAAAAATGTGACCCATTTGTCACTGTGGTATGTAGGAACAACTAAGTTAAGATCAGCAGATGACCAAGAACATAATGGTGTCAGTGCGTGTAGGGCGACGGAGCCACTAATTGCAGACTCGGTAAAGTCCAGAACAGTGAAAAATTGCAAGTACAGGTCCTCGGGTAAGAAGGCACTGAGTGTGCATTGCAGGTGATGACCTATCAGCGATCGAACATGGTCACGGAAGAGGGTATTTGTATGGGACATTGTGACGAGGGAATGGCAATCGAAATAGTCTAGCATGGCTTGGACGACTTCTGAGGCAGTAAAAAAAGACGGTAGGTCATTGAAGATGAAGGTCACAGTGCTTTCGTGAGGAGGATTGTCATCTGCCATGATACGTTAACTTTAGTGGGGATAGGGGAAACTGCCAGTGGTTGAAGTATATAAACATTCACTTTCAATTGGTCTGAGACAGAAATGCATACAATATCAGATTCAATCGGTGATCGGATTGTTAAGTACAGGATTGCAAACATACATTGCCGCTGCGAGAAAACTATTGTACAATGATGGCATAATACAAGAATTGTGGGAACTACAAGTACATATTGTACAGAAGGATACAAGTTTACATCATAGGGCCGGCAGGAATGTCCTCAACGTTGATAGCCTCAATCGTCTCAGACGAGAGTGCCATCGGTGTGACGTTGTCGATGCCAAGTGGAGTTTCATCTCCGAATTCTTGGACAAAGGCATCAGTCACATCGCCAACGTCGAGGGGGCTGTGATCTTCTAAGCCGATAGTGAATTGAATGTTCAAGGACACTCGTTCGAGGTCATCCCTGGCACAATAGCCTCCTATAGTGAAGGCGACAAGGACGTAAGATCCGACCTCGAACTCATCCGTTCGAGCCAGTCTAGAGTAGTTGGTAAGCGTGAAAGCATCAGATCTGGCATACATGGGAACTGAATCAAATATGTAAGCTTCGGTGAGAATACTTTGCGGGTCAGTCACCTTCTTCATTCCAGGCACAAATGGCTAAAAGTGTAAAAGTTTGAGAAGGTAATGTAACATTCGATGAAAGTTAGACTTACGAGGACCGTGGTGGAAGCCATCAACCAGAATTTTTTTGATGGTAGGTTCTTTTCCTCCTAAATTGGTAGTCAGTAGGTGTGTAATCAAGTTGGTGTGGCATTTACCTTCAGCCGGTTTTTGATAGGAAGACAGCATCATACCGTCCTTGTATGTGCCCATGACAGGATTGTTGAATTTGAGAACTTGGGCGATGACAGCAATGCAACATGGCCATTGACGACCAAGCGGTTGGATGTTGATCTCTTTATTGTATTCTCCAGTAGCAAGGCTGCAATAAGTTACCTTGCCTACAATAAAGAACGTTACGTCTTTGTTGTTCTTCGAATAGACGATCTTGTGACCTTCGTTCTTGGGGTTAACGACAAGGTATTTGAAGTGACGAGGAGACGCGCTGAACAAGTTCTGCATGTTGTGACCTTGGGCATCGAAAGCAAACTTAAGAATGCGACTATGTTGTTCGTGAGCGAAGGGAGAAGTAATTTTAGTAGAGTAATAAATACCGAGCTTTATCCTCATTTTTTGTGAGGTCGTGAGCGAGGACAACTGGAGTAATAACACATGGGTCAGGGTCCCCATAAGAGACTCCGACTTCCTTCATGCACGGCAAAACAGAAATGACTTTTCCGGCAAGCAAGTTGGCAAAGAAGGGAAGATTGACAGAGTTGAATGCACTAAAAGAGGTTTTAAAATGGTATAAGAGAGGAAATGTTGGCTTACCTTGACATTTGGGAGACGTCGATAGCTACAAATTGACTGTTGGGCGTATTAATGGTCTCTTCGCCCGTGGTAGTTCTTTGAAAGTCATCAGGAAGACAAACGTTACATAAAAAAGAAATATGAACAAGTCTTTGGGAACATTTGAGCCAGAAACATTCTCCTTGTTGTCGCTGAACGAATGTTAATGGGGGTACGGATGGAGTTGCCAAATGACGTACGTGTTGTTGTTGTCGCCGGGGACAACAGGAGCATCATTTGTGAGGCTGATTATAAGGCATGGAGGAGGGTAGAATTGTGTGAAGACGTACTTTTCATCCTCAGATACAGTTTTATCACTGGCGTTATCTCTGTGGTACGTTAAGATAATTTACATGGAGAATAGGAAAGACTCACTTTTCCGGTTCACCACCAGCAACGTGAATTCGTTTGGAATGGGGAGTGGATTTGGGAATGTTGTCTCCGGAATGTTTCTCATGTTGGAGTTGCTTATCAGGCTGAGATTGTCTAACATGAACAATCAATAAAGTGTAATGGTGCAGACGAAAGAATGTACTTAGTTTTTTTGTTGGTTGTATTGGCAATGGCTGGCATGATATGAGAAGGGTGGGGGGTTGGTGTGTTTGACTGACAGGTTTTATAGGAGATAGATCCGTGTTTTACCGTACATTGAAGTGGTGAGACAGAATGACCGCTTAGCTATCACAAGCGCGTCATTGCAGTACTATACCAGCCAGTTATCCAGTATTATGGCTGTGGGACGCATCATGAAAGTCATCAACGAACAAGGAGAGCTTAGTCAAAGCATACACAATAGGCAGAACTTGAACATACAGGGGCACACGTGAGCATAGTCAATACATAAAGGGCGGATGACGGTTTCAGATGAAGGCATAATATGGATTACTCTTCATAAGTGTCAATATTTACTGTCATTGTGGCACATAAAAGTCGGCAGCAGGTCAAGGACGAAGACTTCATGCCTCTGTCATGAATTCCACGAGTTGATGCCAGTCACGTGAAGCTTCTTCTATCAGAAATGAAGCAAGGTACGGTGCTTTGTCTTCCACTGCTCCAACTACTGAGCCTGTTGCTAGCTTTAACAAATGTACATTCGATTAAAGACCAAACGGTGAATGCGAAGTTCCAATTACGAATGTACAAGAATGAAAGTACCATCGATGGGAATTTTACTGTGGACACAAAGCGATCGAGCAAATACAACTATTTGATTTGGGCAGATAGTGGGGAGGAAGTTGTTCTTCAAGTTGAAGGAGTTTTGTTAGAAGGATATGTGCCTCCGGTGTTGAATTGCAGGTCTGATTATTTGTGAGTGGGTTCCATGTCAGAAAAGATGTGGCATTTATCATTTTGTAGGAACCGTCTGAATGATCTGGTGCAGTCGATGCTCATCTCAGGAGACAAAGAAGACAAAGCTTTTAGCGACGCAGTTAGTGCTATCGAAGCCATTCACTACTTTATGTCGAGATTTGATAGCAAGCCATCAATGTTCTATCCTAGTCGCGTTGACACTATGGTGGCGATTTGTGCTGAGACTAGGTTGTTGATGCCTATGGCACGAGTCAAGACAAACATAGTGGATCCTCAATGCATTGACTCAGGCAATATCTTGAAGACAATCCTAGAAAAAGGAAGTCATCAATACATGGAAGACAACGTTGTTGATTTTATGAAATGGGGGACAGAGCATGATGGTACTCTGTAAGTTTTTGCTTCTCTTTCATGCCAAAGATTTAATGACGGAAATAGGTCGATTACTGAAATGAATCCAACGATGTTATGACCCAGGCACATCATTGATCTTGGATTGTGTTTCTGAATGTTGAAACTATCTAACCGTGTTAGGTTTATGGTCAGGTTAGAATCTGTCATGGTGATGGAAAGGATTGGTACAGAGGTGACTTCGTCTGTTTAGTTTCTCATAGCACTCTGATTTTTCTCAAGATCTTGAAAAGCATTGGCAAGTTTTTGGGGGCTGGTACTGAACCTATTCAGCCACCTCCGAAGAAGCGACGTGTTCATTTCAAAGGCATCAGTGTCGCTGTGAACATGGAAGGGACCAGCAATGCAGACGTTGATAACTTATCAGAGATGATGCAACATGCATCCACGTAACCTTGTGACTGCTGTTTAAGAATGTATTATTAGTTCTAAGTCTTTCCGAGAATGAAATGTATTTTTTTACGATAGCGAAGCGAAGCGGATGTTGTTCCACGTTAATCCTATTGTAGGGTATGGCTACATGGTACATCACAAGTGGGGGCAGAGGGCGATTAGAATCAATAGCTATGATGTCATACTTCTTACCTGGCATGGTCTGCCATCCGCCTATTGTGGACCGTCGCATACACGTGGCACGAGGTGTCTTTCTTCTTCTCCAACCGAAACTTGTCTGTAAAATGGGATGACGTATGATGAAAGCCAGACAAGTCACTATAAAACTCATCGCAGTCAATTCTGGAGGATGTAAACATGGCTCCCAAATGTAAAAGGTCTTCTGATGACTCAGATGCAAGTATTGAAGAACAGTCAAGCACTATGCCACATGGTGTGACGTTGCACGTAAGTTTCTTGTACTAGGTTTCCACCGTGATTGACCAAGAACATTATTTAGCTTGTGGCAGGAAACGGGTATCAAAAGCAGTACCGAATCAAAATGGCGACAGCACTAGGTGGGCTGGTGGCATGCTTCGCGCATTCATATGGGATGAATCCACGTTACATTATGTATGTGCATTTTCAATGAAATGTAATCGTGCTGATCTAGTGCTCAGACTCATGTATAACAGTATTATGGTTGATTTCTCATTGACGCCTGAAGCTTATGGAATGAAGGACGAAGGTACATTGATTCTTTAAAGCATGGTAGTACTGACTAAAAACTTTGTTAGATATGATTGATGTCATTTATAACAGCACATCGAACGAGTTTTAGGAACGTAGCACAATGAAATGATCTATTGTATCTTTAATCGAACGTGAAGTATTTTTTGGTACTTTTCTTTATCATTTCCACGGACGTTTGGACTGAGGTTCATCAATGATATCAAGATTGCCTTGTGGTCGTGTTCGTTTCCTTCGATGATGTGAGGCACTTTCTTTTCCAACATGGTGTCTCTGCACAGAACTATTGTTTTGTCCAGAATCTAGGTGGTCAATGGCATCTTGTATGTGTTCTACTTTTCTTCGGTCTGAATCATTGACATCAGTGGATCCACAGGTGTAACGATCGGCGTTATCTTCAGTGATCGACAAGCAGAGCAAATCAGCTTCCACGGATTTTTTTTCTGAGGCTGTGCCATGTTTTACCAAGGTTAGTAGGCGAAGAACATTGAGCCGTTTCATTTCCTTACGATATTCTTCCGGAGGCCATTTGGTGATAGCATTCATAGAAAAGGAACGTAGGATCAACAAACCATTGAGTGACTTTACCCTTGATATCATCATATATGGCATCTCTGTTCCTCGACAGCTGTTGAGATCAACAATCGTGGAAGACATTGTTTGACCCTGAGCTTTATGTGCCATGAATGCAAACCCGGGAACCAAAGGTAACTGCGTGCATTTTATATGACATCTTTTTCCACTGTAAGGATGCCTGAAATTCATATCCACAGTGTCCTTGAGCACGACTGCCTCGTGGGGGGTGAGTTCTGGGAGACAGTCTCCAGTCATAGTGGGTATGTCTACAACACAGGACGTGGCTATTCGTCTTCCTGCATCGTCCTCATGATACCGGATTTTCTTTAGGATCCCTGTTGAGCTGTTTACCACACCGCCTTGAATGTCGAAGTTTTGTGTGATCATAACAGGCATTCCAATCACCAAAGGTAGGGCACCCAATCTTTGGTTTGTTGTACCCGTGCTAAGGGAGTACAAGTGATCACGTAGATCGTCGTCTGTTATTGGTAAATTCTTGTGGGTATCAACAGAATAATAGTAGTGGAGTTCTCGTCCGGAACGTTCTGCGAATGCTCGTGTCATTCTGTCATTGAAGGCATCTTTGATATTGTTTTGGGCGACAATCAGTGGCGTATTACACCAGTCATCAGTGGTCCAATCTGGTCGTTTGACATCAATAACTCTGGATGATAACATCTGGTAATCGGCTTGGGTGCATGATCCTGTTCATAACCTGCCTAGCATATCGACGAATGCGGAGTTGTCTGCACCTCTTTGGTGCCAAATTTCATGTAGGACTATGACAGTGTTGATGCAAAGCCACAGTAACTTACCTCCCACTTGAAGTTGATTGGAAGGAGCAGACGAAAAGTATTTGAAGTGCGTGAACAGTGTTTTATCAATGACCAGCGGTAACTGAGCGAGATCACCAGCAACTATAATATTCATACCACCAAAGGGACTCTTGTCTTCCTTGGCTAAGCAAAGTGCGTTAGAAATTTCCATCAAGGTTTTACAACCCACCATTGAGATCTCATCAATGAAAAGATAATCCACTCCCTGCCACATGGCTATGAGGTCACAGTTCGTTTTTGTTGATGCTCCACGCTTATTTCTCTGATTGAGCATTAGGGCGGAATGAATGGTCATGCCCGAGATATTGCGTGCTGCAATTCTGGTGTATGAAGTCAAGCGGAAACGACGATCTTGGCCTCGTTGATTAAAGTAAGTCCATATCGCGTTAATGACAGTGGATTTTCCTGTTCCTCCTGCACCACTCAGAAACATTCTCAACGGGTCAGGTTTGGAGGCCAAACTATGCGATGCTACAAGGCGAAAAGCTCGGGCTTGCTCAGTATTGAGATTGAATTGATCGACAATGGATTCAATGTCGACGTGAGTCTCAGGATTGACTACAGGAATGTCACTTCGAATACTAGGTTCCAGGACAAGGGGATGTTTGAAAGCCTCATGAAAAGTGGACCCATCTGCAATCTTGGATTTTTCTTGTAGGCGGGGAGGCTGTTGAGTAGAAGACGAGTCCTGATCATCTTCCATTGCAGATTTTTTATGGCGGGCTCGTCGTTCTTCATATTCATTATCCCATATTGACTCCAAACTGAGTCCAGGTTCATTTTCCTCAACTCGTACAGTGGAATTGGCAACGGAACGGTCATACTTTGCTTTGCATAATGTAGGAGGTACCAAAAACATTCCAGAACGTTCAGCTATTCGAAGACAATCCTCAACATTCCGCTTCGAACATAACACTCTATCGGAAGTGACACAATCCAAAGCATGCATATGCTCAAGTATTGCTTGTTGAGTATTTTCTTCATCCTCAAAGTCGTCATAGTCATGCTGATTCCTATACGATACGCTGTCAGGGACATTTTTATGAACACAACGTTGGGCAAAGTGATCGTCTCTGCTATTGTGACATTCATGTAATATCTGCATGTTATTCATCATTTTGACGATTGAAGAAGGACACTTCACTTGGAACCATTCGAAAGCATCAATCCAACTCTGACCATTGGCATGTAAATCGGAAGCATGACTCCAAGGCTTGAAGAGTAATAGCACTAGACGACAGTACTGTGCATAAACCTCTGGATGATCTCTGTGAGGAATATTCGCTCCTGAAGGTACTGGAATTTGGCAGGAAAGAGGCTGACATACGACTTGATGGTAGGTTAAACTATCTGGGTGGTCATTGTCAAATCTAATTTTAGGACGATGTCTGTGACTGTCTGCCAAGACTTCATCCAAAGTTGACCAACCACTACCCTCCATTGTAGTGTGAATGTTACTTGAGGTAGCATTCGAACGATTGTTGTCTTGACTTTCATCGCAATCGTCGTCTGATTCATTTTCTTCTTCGTCATCATCGTCCTCATCATCAGATTGCTCGTCCTCGTCTACTTTACTTTTAGGGGGAACTGTTCGAACTTTAGTCACATGAGCAGTATATTCCCACAAATTCAAGTCGTGAAGGAACTCTCCTCGCATTTGGTAGTCACATACAGTCAAGGATCAAGCTATGAGTTTGCCTTTGTCATCCATTGACAGAAAGACTTCATGCTCACCATTGTCATGTACACGAAGCAGTTCTTCTTCGACGGTATCACTCTCCGGTTCGTCTTCATTATCGTCATCATCATCAGTGTTGATAATTGGTTGTCTAGAATGATCAGAGTCTGCAGAATTTTCGTCATGATCCTCACTGGCAAGCGTATCAGCAGGGCCTTCACCAGCAAGTCTATCTAAATCCATAAACAGACGTTCCATGTCTTGCGGATCTGACTCTGTTTCTTTAGAAGGTATAGGCTGGCATTCAGGAGATGGTTGTTCCTCGTTTAAAAAGGACTTGAAGCTAGTCCAATACAGATGTTGGAACTTGTGACTGGTGAAATGGTCTTTGTAATCCATCAAATATGAAGCGACTTGCTGGGACGACAGCTCCTGATGTGAGATCATCGCATATGCACAACATTGAAGGAGGCGTTTAGCTCTTACGGTGATGTCATCTTCTTGTGGATTAAATTCTCCAAGTTTCTTAACGGATAATTCTAGAGCAGCATATGCAACATGAACCTTCAGCTGAGATTTGGTAATGTAGTCAGTGATATAATACAAGATCGCCTTTGCTGATGCGCCAGACCCAATAAACTTGATATCCATATTACACCATACAGCACGAATCATTGTCTCATTGAAGTTATTGACAAGTCCATCCAAACATCGTAAGCACAATTCTCCTTTCTCATAATCGAACGTTGAATGTTCTCGATAGTTTTTTTCATCTAAGTCAAATCGACAAATTCTTTCATGTTTACCACAATATTTGAAGCAGGTTTTTGAATGAGAATGTTTTTGACAGTCCTCAACCAAATTATGAAGATCTTTATGCCTGGCTCGGTCCCTGTGAAGGGGGGGGATATTGTTTTGTATTCCATGAACAGTACATGCATGCACCCCATCGGATGGTACATAGATATCAGGTTCTGGTTCGGGAGGTATTTCGTTTGATATGGAATCATCTAAAAAACTCAGTAAGCGGTCTCGAAATTCAACATCGTTCTGGAGCATAATTCTATTCTTAATCTCATCAGGATTAAGGGAACCCTCCACCCATACCATCATATAGCAATGTAACGTTCTGTGACCCTGCGCTTCCACACATCCATAGTACGCTTTGACGAGGCCTAAAATGCCTCCTTCTAAGTTGTCTTGTTTTTTATCGTAGGCTAATATTGTCTTAATGAAGGCCTTCATATACTGATTAAAAAATGTGGCTGCTGTGACTGGATTGCGTGCAACAAGAATGCTTTGATCCCAGTAACGTGGTATCTCTGCAGGCATCATGTTGTCTACATTGATTTCAGAACCTCCCAGAAATTTTACAATGGGGTTATAAATATCAGCCGGATTTATGGTAATATAGAAACTCGCTAAGCCTTTGTCCACTAATAAACCTCTTACTTCATTTCTCTTATTTAGTCGAGCCATCGAAGAACTGGGTATTGCGGACAACACAGCATTAACTTCTTTCATTAAGGCCAGAACATGCCATTCTTCAGCAGTATTCGCCATTGCTAAGTCACTGTTGGCTACTCATTGGGAAACAACCACTATGGCCTCTGCAGATACAGATCCAAAATGCTGGGCAACATCTGGAAAACTTTTCTTTTTAACTTTCAGGCTCGTATGCAGCAACATTTTACGACATTGGACCATATTAAATGCGGTGAACATAAAGGTGTAGTGTTGTTGAAATCTGGTATCATTCATGCTCATCAAATGCTTGACATGTGATTGAAATTTGATCGGTGTCGTTCGAGAGTGATCTTCCAAACCTCCTATACCGTACGGAAACAAAGTGGGGTACATCATCAGGAATAGGTCTGGATTGTTGAATTCGTTTACTGGAGTGGGATCATGTGTAATTTCGATATATCCACCTCCTTTGGATTTGACATGCGTCAAAGCAGCCGCTCTCAACTTATTCGACAACGTGCTGACATCGACATCTGTGATTACAACTCGTTCGAATGGCGTGTCATCTGGAGCTGGTCCATTTTTTGGAACACCTCTCCGAGTAGAATCAATAGGCCCTTCATATCTTGAAGTGAGAGTTTCTGCCTGCTCAGAGACTGGAATATGTTGAACAGAAAAGGGCAAAGCAGGCTCAGTATCGAGGTAGGTAAGCATGTCTTCATTCAAGATCACATCCTTATACAAAGGGTTATGCTTTTTTAGCCACTGTAATGCCCTTCGAACGCGTCGGCCATTGACTGCTAATGGTTTTGCTCGAGTTCGTAACCACTCCACTGTTGGAGCCTGCGCGCCCATGAACAAAATACACAAAGGTGCAGTAATTTCCTCAATTGAAGGAGGAAGCATGTTGGACACCTTTGTAGGCTGTTGGGGATAAACAATAATGTTCCCTTTGATCCCACGTTGTGTAGTAGGTAAGGAAATGCTACCATTTTCTTCTTTGAGCTGTACTATCATACATTTCGCATGACAGAGGGATATCATGTTCTCCTCTACAACTGTTAAATCCCTGAGCTCCTCAGGCACTGGACCCAAGAACGTGTTGTTAGCGAGAGATAAGCGAGGTATTCTATTTTTTTTGACGTGTTTACAACACGATTTACAACTTAAAAGTATAGGCTCACAAGTTGAGGTGTCCTCCACTCCAGAGGGGTCGATCATTAAGCCAGCCAATGGACCGGTGTTAAAGGGTAAAGGTACGTCGGTACCGGGCCACAACAATATATCATCCTCACATTCAGGCTGCAGTCATATCGGCATAAGGTCGAATTGAGTTGGTGTTATTCTTCGACAGTCTTTTGACCATTTTCTTGCTGAACAGAATGCACATGTAAAGGACTGTAAGGCATCGTTACCCGTTTCTTCCATGAAGTCCAACACAAGTTTATCCTTCAAATTGGAGGGAACCACAGCAGGCCAAGTGTTACGAATGTATGCCAATCGTTCTTCAAATTCACTTAGCCTTTCTGTTCTAAGGTCTTCACTCCATTTGTTCTGGTTCACAGTAAAACGTTCAAAGTTTTTAGCTCTTCGAATATGTTCTAAACCTCTCTCGATGCTTTTTCTGAGTGTCCTGACAGTTGGTCCTTTGTTCCTCTCAGTTTCTATGGGGAACTTGTGTTGTTCTATGATGCGCATACAAGTTCGTTTAGGTAACTTTTTCACCCCAGTCTTTAGGCTCTGAATTAAGAATTCCCTTGTTGCATCGCCCGTATCCAGAGCCTGTTGCTCAAATGAAGCGCCATCTGAAGAAGATAAATGTTTTGAAAGGAGATCTGGATAAGGGGTACATTCTTGATCATCAATGGCGCAATGTGCAACATGTTCATTACATTGTCCGGAATGCAAATGGTCATGCACTTTTTTGCACAGAGAGTCCATAGATATATTTTTATCAAAATTAACATGATGACTTTGAGCAATCATAACTAATACCTCTCGTGGAATGTGAGGCAAACAGCTGATCTCGGTTGGATTTGATTCACATAAGCGTTCGTAAAACAATTGGAGGGCATTGATAAGGTCAGACCTATTTTTTCTCTGCCCAGTTTTTGGAAGGGCACCCAACGATGACAATATGATTCTTAACTTTGGAAGAGTCAAGTGTGCACTGTGCTCAGAATAAGAAAGAACGAAGTCTAACAATTGCTTACTCAATGTTCCAACGGAATGAGCCTGATGTGACATGTTCAGACACGTTGATACATCAGCGTGTGCTCCCGAAGAGTGAGTATGCTCAAGTGAGTGACGATCGAAACAATGACCCAATAAAACATGAGCAAGTATCACTCTTTGGTAGTCTGTGGCAGAGCCGGAAGTGGGAGGATCAATGCCATGCAAATTTGCAACATACAAAAGAGTAGGAATATCATCCGTGAAAACAAGAGATCGTGCACCCGTGGTGGCTCGACCAAAAAGCATGCCCTGAATGACCAATGTAGTGAAATCAGAATTCCCAGATGTCATGGGCACATCACATGTGCCTTCGTCCATGAATGAAGGACTTTGAACATCGACTGCATCCACAATGGAGTCTGTCACAATCGATTGAGAACACGTGGAACAGGAACACTGTCCATCATTTCTACCATCTAAGCAAGACGAAGGCGGTGGGTCTGCAACTGAAATATCGTTATTCCAGGCTCGGAGGAAAAGGAACACAAGTTACATACAACTTGCATTTACTGTCCCTGGTGAGAAGTAGCTCGGTTCTAAAGGGCACTGTGTAGGTAGACGAAAGTCTGTGAAATATCTACTTGTGAGCTAATGTGTGAACGACTAGTAAGACCAACAAACCGGTAACAGAACCAGACATTTCGCCATAAAAAGACATGGCTTGTCTGCCAATGAAAACGTCAAAGTCTCTTGGATCACATGGTAAGAAACATAGTGGAACGGCAACAGAGCCCCTAGAGCTGACAAATTGAAGGAGCAAATTGGACCATTTTAGATTAACCTCAGGATGAGCTTCCAGCCAAGCATGAGAAATATAAGAGTCATCGCAATCCACGAGTGTGTGCTGAGCAAGGAGTCCCTCAATAGTAATGTGTGTGAAAGACATGTTAGCTTCTTTTGGAAGGAGAAGGCGAGGGGAGCGGGGGAGCAGAAAAAAGAAAGGTAATGAATTTGTAACGTATGCATATGTCAAACAGTAATCCGTATTATGAACAATGTAATCAAGACAAAGTGCGGTCTGTGAACGCATGTTCATTCAAATTTTCTAGACACCCAATGGCTATGACATGCAGTGGGGTACATAATGCTTCTGCACATCGCCCTCCAAACAGGTGATCACTCAGAGTGATCTGCATGTCCTCCACTGACTGACGAGATCCAATTTCAGTAATACCATGCGCAGCAAGAAGAGGCGTGAGATCCTTTTTGCTTGCTTTTTCAAAATGATCGTTGAAGACCATATTGATATAGGAGACATTGCCCTTATAGGGCATGTAACTGATGTCATTGACACGTCACATTAAAGCATCAATTGTACGATCATGTTTTTGTTCAGAATAGTTCCATGCAAGAAAGTGCCAGTACGAGAGTAATGCCAGAGGGGGAATATGAGCGAGAGCGTTGGACCATAGTAAACACATTGTCATGAACACCAGCAGCCTCACCTGGGCAAGATGACAAGCCTGAACGACACCTTTACACAAAGGGCCATTCATGGCAGTACACATCCCGCTCATAAAATGCTTGATCAAGAGGTCGAGATAGAAGACATGGTCTCCGCAAGTCATGCGTTGTAAAATGCCGTGACCACCAAGTTCGTTTAAGAGTGAAGACTTGTCTGCTGTCATAAAGAATGAAGCAGATTTCGGTTCACAAAGTAAGTTGTAGATGTGTCGAAGTGATTCCATCCCCCCAAAAGCTTGTGAAAATGATTAACTGGCAGTAATGCAACAAGAACGCCACTCACAAGCATCACTCCCCTGTTTGGACCATGACAGAAACCAATCCATACCCAAGCAGACTTGTGTCTGCAATCCAGGCATACTAACCAAAGACTGTGTTGAGATAAGCGGTAATTCTCCAGCCGCTCACCCGGATATAGCAGGGAACCCTCGCAAACAGGCGAGGGTCATCGTCGTTCGTCTACCTATTTATCTACATGCCGTGTACACTAATAGAAGCAATATGATGTAATAAGGAAAGCCGAGGAGGAGAACAGATGAACGGTGCTTCCTACTGAAGATCCCGACGTCGACTGCACCATGATGTGCGACACTTGACATTCCAACACACCCCCGCAAGTTCGTGCATCAATACCAAGAAAAGAAGAGAAAAATGAGAGGAGAAAACATACAATGTACACCCCCGGAAGGTGAACACCGTGGTGGGAAAGAGTAACCTAGAAAGTGACATCGGAGTCACTCTCATAAGCCAACCCGGCGAAGTCCGCCGCCACAGTCTTCCCTTTCTTCGACTTCCGCCACTTCGCCCTCTCCTCACAATCCGCCTTCAAATGCCCGGCCTTATCGCAGAAAAAGCAAGTGAGCTCGACTTGACTGTTTCCCTTCAGGCCCCTGGATGCCTTGCCACCGCGAAAGGCGACTGCCGCAACTTCATCATCATCACCTATCCCATCCTTATCCTTCTCCGAACGTTCAGGAGCAAGCGACGCTTGGCGCGTTTCTTCGTTCAGCAAGCGAATAATCACGTTCGAGAGTGTGAGCTGGTCGGGAGGGGTCGCATCAAAGTTGATAATGACATTTTCGTAGGAAGGGGGGAGTCCCATGGTGAGTGCGAGGATTAGATCTTGGTCGCTGACGTCGATACCGGCTAGTTCCATCGCCTTCGCCATTCGCCTGATCTTTCCAACCCAAGCCTCCATGCCCTGGCCCTCAAGCATCTTCGCCGTCAAGAACTTCCTTCGCAAAGACAAGCTCGTTGCAAAGCCCTGTGCACGATGCACAGTCTGCAAGTTCCCCCAAATCTCCCGTGGGTCCTTCGAGTCCATGTGCGCCAGCTGCCCGACATCCACCCTCAAAATCATCTCGGCCCTAGCCTCCGCCATCTTCTGCTTATCCCGTGCCTTCAACTTCGTCGTGATCTCCACCAAGATCTCTGACTCCGACTTCCCATCTCCATCAACCTCAATCTCGACAATGTCGGTCCAGAGCTTCCGACGCGTGAGCTCGGCCTCCATCATCACTCGCCATTCCGCAAAGTTTCCGACCGATAACTTGGGAAAACGCGCACCAAACAACTCGTCCGACATTTTGCTCTATAGGCGATCTCGACGCGGCAAACAACGAATGTGGAGAGCAAAAAACGAACAACTGGACCGTCTCGTGGACCAGAAAAGCGAACAGCCGGACCGTCTCGTGGACCAGCAAAGCGAACGACCAGACCGTCTCGTGGTCTAGCAAGTGACAAAGGTGATCTCGACACCAGTGTCGGGGTGGCGGTGTAGCGATAGTCTCGAGAGTCAGCACAGAGAACGAGAGCGACAAGGACTGTGGGTTATGCAGCCTGTTTGTGTTGAGATAAGCGGTAATTCTCCAGCCGCTCACCCGGATATAGCAGGGAACCCTCGCAAACAGGCGAGGGTCATCGTCGTTCGTCTACCTATTTATCTACATGCCGTGTACACTAATAGAAGCAATATGATGTAATAAGGAAAGCCGAGGAGGAGAACAGATGAACGGTGCTTCCTACTGAAGATCCCGACGTCGACTGCACCATGATGTGCGACACTTGACATTCCAACAGACTGTTCCATCTCTGTAGAACTTTGTCGACTGACAAGAGTGATACGAAAGCAACCGGACCCCACGACAGGAAGTGACTGACTTGTACGGTGGCTAAAAGTGAACGACAACATATGGGGGACTGTATCAACAGTGCATGTAGATGGGAGCATTTCAACCGCACAAGAATGGTAGGAGAATGTGGTCTATAAATAATCCCACCATAGCAAGTGACAAACGCCGCTGAGACATTAGTCAGCTTCCATAGCAGACAATCCCGAATGGCAAGGCATGCCGAAACCCCCTCGAATTCAGTGAAAGGCAGATAATGTGCTTTAAAGTTCAAATCCCATGCCATACAATATCAAAAATAGGAGGGAGCTGAATGAATTAGATTTCACCCAATCTACCGCCAAAAATGCTGTCAATAGCAAAATGCAAGAACCCACTACCAAGGTAGCGGGAATTATATTTACATAATAGTTTAATTTACTCTAATATTCCAAAATATTGTTCGTAAAAGGAAGAAGCTATCCGGATCGCCACGTGCACAAAAATCGTGGGAAAGTGAAATCCCTGGACGGTGGTTGGTCCGTCGTTCGTCACTGTCTACAACGACGGGTAAGCCCCATTGCTCCTGCTATTCCCTGCTCGTGGGCCGCGCGCCCCATCTACTCATTATTTTCTCGCACTGATTAACTGCTACGCTCGCCATGTGGCGTATTGTTTCAACGGCGTCGCGACCAACGTCGGCGGGTCTACTCGGAATGGTCGTGGGGTCGTCATCCTCACCGTCCAGCAGTGCGTTCCTTTTCTGTCGCCTTTGAGCGTTTTATAAATATTTTCTTCTGTAGGCCGTAGGAATATCTCGTCGACATCTGCACGACATGCAGATATAACTCTAACCGTGGATGGGAAGGAAGTGACGGTACCACAGGGTATGGGTGTAATGACAATATCAGCCTGGGGTGGCCACTGAGGACACAATATTGGCAGGCTCTGCTCTTATTCAAGCATGTGAGGCTGCTGGTGCTGCTATACCTCGGTGTGTTCAGCAATGAACAATGACGTCCACTGGCTCATTTTTCTTTTCTCCAGATTCTGCTACCACGACCGGTATGTTACCTTTCCATTTCACGCTTTTTTGTTTCTCATGTCTTTTCTAGGCTCGCCATTGCCGGGAACTGTCGGTAAGACACGTCAATCAAGCCAAACAGTCGACACGAGCTTAATATCCTTAATAGAATGTGTTTAGTGGAGGTCGAGCGGTCACCAAAGGCTGTTGCATCATGGTGCGTCTCGGGCAGTCGTTCTGGGTGGCCGTTATCCTTATCTTCATCTACAGTGCGATGCCAGCTATGCCAGGTGCCAAAGTGCACACCAACACACCCATGGTCCATGCTGCTCGGTCAGTCACCTAGAAATTTGCAGCACTGTTACCATTTTCTGATCTCTATACAGGGAAGGCGTCATGGAATTCCTTCTCTCCAACCATCCTCTTGATTGCCCTATTTGTGACCAAGGTGGTGAATGTGACCTCCAAGACCAATCTATGCGCTATGGTTCCGACCGTACACGTTTCCACGAGATAGCTGGCAAGCGTGCGGTGGAGAACAAGGACCTTGGACCTCTTGTCAAGACATCCATGAATCGTTGTATCCAATGTACGCGTTGTGTCCGCTTCGCTAACGAAGTCGCGGGTGTCGAGGAGCTGGGCACGACGGGTCGGGGCAATGACTTGCAGATTGGTATGTACGTGGAGAAGACGATGAATTCGGAGCTGTCTGGGAACATTATCGACCTCTGTCCCGTCGGAGCCCTAACAAGCAAACCGTACGCCTTCAACGCCCGACCTTGGGAGCTGAAGAATACCGAATCGATTGATGTCATGGATGCTGTAGGGTCTAACATTCGTGTTGACTCGAGAGGTGTTCAGGTCATGCGAATCCAACCTAAAACCAATGACGACGTTAACGAGGAGTGGATCAGTGACAAGACGCGCTATTCTTACGATGGACTCAAGTATCAACGGTTGACAGTTCCTCTCATCAAAAATGGCGATCGGTTTGTACCGGCTTCATGGGAGGATGCTCTTACTTCAATCGCGAATGGGCTTGCAGCGTCTGGTGCCACGGAGAACGAGATACAAGCCGTCGTGGGCCATCTTGCTGATACGGAGTCCATGGTAGCCTTGAAGGATTTGGTCAACCGGTTAGGATCGGATAACCTTGTCCTTGATCAGCAAGGAGGTTCGTCTGCTCCGACTCATGGCGTCGACGTTCGTTCAAATTACCTCTTCAACTCCACTATTCCCGGTGTTGAGGAAGCTGATGTGATTCTCCTTGTTGGTACCAACCCTCGACATGAAGCGGCCGTCCTGAACTCTCGGATTCGGAAGTCATGGTTGCACAGCGGATTGGAAGTTGGTTTCATCGGCGAACGTGCAGATACGACATATGGTTACGAGTATCTCGGTGCTGACGCGAAAGCTCTGAGTACCTTCGTTTCAGGCAAGAGCGCCTTTGCCAAGAAATTCGCGCAGGCGAAGAAGCCCCTTATCATTGTTGGAAGTTCGGTTGTCGAGCATCCCGACTCTGCTGCTTCTTACAACGCTTTGGTGAAATTCGTGGAGAGCAACAAGAAAACGCTTCTGACACCAGAATGGAATGGCTTCAGTGTTCTCCAACGTGTCAGTCCTCAGCTTTCTCCAGTTTGTCGCATACTGATGTCATCTCTGTTTCTAGGTTGCTTCGCGGCCTGCTGCGTATGATATTGGTTTCGTCCCTTCGAAGAAGGCTTCATCCACGAAACCTAAATTCATCTACCTGCTGAATGCCGACGAGGTTGACCCCAAATCCATTCCACAAGATGCGTTTGTTGTTTACCAAGGCCATCACGGTGATCTTGGTGCTCAACTCGCAGACGTTTGCTTGCCTGCCACTGCATACACCGAAAAGTCGTCGACATGGATCAACACTGAAGGCAGATCACAGCTTGGCCGTGCAGCAGTGTCTGCTCCTGGTGCTGCTCGGGAAGACTGGAAGATTATACGGTTCGTATCCTCTCTACTTTTCTTGTTCCTGGCTGACGCGCCTGTAGAGCTCTTTCGGAAGTCCTTGGATCACCGCTACCGTACGATGATGTGTTGTCACTGCGGGATCGCATGTGGGAGATCTCACCCACGCTTGTGCGGTACGACGTCACGGAACCGACATCCGTTGGTATTGCTAGCGTCGGATTGAGGGCGCTAGCTGCCAAGACTGCGGGTGCCAAGATTTCGGGCGCACCATACGTGAAACCCATCAGCAACTTCTACCAGACGGATCCGATATCGAGAAAGTATGTATACCTGCCGCAGCCTATAATATACGTGGTGACTGATCAATTTGAAATTTCTTTTTAGCTCGGTGACGATGGCGCAATGTACTCGGGCCTTTGTGAATGGTGAAGAATTTGGTGCTAGTGTTGGGCAGGAGCCGGCAGCAGCTTTTGCATGACGAACATGTAACTAGAAACGGAAACCTCAAAAAGCATCTATTTTTATTATATCAACTTTGAGAGCAAGACTTGGGTACGTGTTTATCCGGTTCGCATTAACTCTTCGCTGGCGCTCTGCAAACGCTCCAGCTTTTTCGTCAATTCCTCACGGCGACCTGCGACTTGGGGTGACTCTTGGGCGAATTCCTTGCAGATTGCTTGTCCGTTCGCTCCGTAGATTCCCAGTTGCTTGGATAAAGTGGCCAATAACCCTCGGTCGACACCTCGAACGAGGTCGTAGTCGATGGCGAGAGGGATATTATCGGCGAAGCGTTTGTAGGCAACTGTATATTGTCTCATGAGGAAGCCGACAATAGGCTGGGATTGGAAAGGCATACCTTGGAAGTATGCACGAACGTCTGCCATTATCTTCAAAGATGCTTCCATGCGATCCGCAGGAAGCAGCTTCGCCAAGTCTGGACCCTCGACCCCATGGATGCCAATACTGTCCAGGCCAGACAGAATTGCGCCGACAGTGTCATAAGAGCTTCCCGAGCTGAATCATATTAGTTCGTTTTTATTAAAGTGAAGAGAAACTTGAAAATACTCTTTCAGTAAAGATACCAAAGCTCCGTGTTCTTGCTTGCCCCTGGCAGCTTTGTAGTACGCAAGAAATTTCTCGGTATAATCCGAAAGGTAGTGAGTGTTCAGAGTATACGGTCGAGCTTCCAACTTGACGAGCCATTCGATTCGAGCCTCGGTCTGCTCAAGCTGTTTCTTGAGGTGCTCCTGCACGTATACCCTGCCACAAACAGGTTTGTTAGAGAAAGAATGCCGAAAGAAAAATATCTTACCGAACGCGCTGCTCCAAGATATTTTGCCCAAAGGATCCAAAATGTTGAGTGATAAGCCTGTTGACGTGGTCGGTGAGGACGTTGTAAACAGCTCGGCAGAGTGTCTTGGCAGGGGTGTGCCACTTGTCGGTGAACATGAAGATATACGATGCTTGTACGACGAATGGGAAATGTCCTGGAAGCTCCCGAGTACGTGCGCTGCGTAATGTACGTCAACTTATGCCCATATCCTGGACAGAGCACTCACTGAAGAGCCCTGGTGTGTACTTCGTCCACACAGATGTACTCCTGGAGAGCGTCTTCTCCCTCCTCTGTCTCATCTTCCTCGTTACTCAAGAACAACGGAGCATCGAGAGTCTGAGTGCCAACACGGTTCCGCTCAAACGGACGGAACTGTGGAGCTGTCCCCCGAATGTCCCTCTTGAACCTTTCCTGAGCCGGTCCGATGGATTGGAGGATCCCTTCCTCATCAGGTATACCTTCAACGTGCTTGGAGACGTCCATAGTAAATGCCGAGAGGAGCGCTGAAATCTCGTGGAGGGGATTCTTGGATGGTTCCTTGGGCAGTTTGGCCAGTTGGTCGAGGGTTCCTTCGACAGCGCGCTCGAGCTCCAATTGGATGTCTGGAAGTCTAGAGTTCGAATATTAATACCAGGGCAAAGAAGAGATGACGAAGCCTACCGTTTGGAGATCAAGTCAGATAGAATGTTGCTCAAACGTTCGACGAGGTTCACAGTGCGTAGATAGCGCTGGTACATGGGATCGAGGTCCGCCCACGGAGCAGTCATGGAGAAAAACTCGTTCTCTTTGGTGCGCGCCTCAGCCCAAGTTATACCGTTCTTGATGTCCGAGGACGAAGGTTGCTTGACACAATACCAGTTGTTTTCAAGAGGCTCCCTTTCGTTGCGGATGAAATCCAGCCATCCCGTTTCGTCACCGGGAGGGATGCGGTCTGGCTTGGTGAGCACACCTGGAATAAGAATGTTAACAGTTACAAAGAACAATGGGAGAATCAAGTGACTAACCGATAGTACGCTTCCCTTCAGGGTCATGGGTCTTGGCTAGGTGATGAGCGCCTTGGTTCTCGAAGTCGGCTACGAGTTATCTTTAAGGGAGATGTCAGATTGAATGATTGAACACTTACTCTCGCAGGCTACGGTCAAGAGAATCAGGCAACTCGGTTTGGAGATATACGATTCAACAAGAGTCTTGACAAGCATGATATCGCCCTTATTTCCCGTACTGCCAACGCTCGCAATCAATCCTATCAAACGAGTATAAGTACTAGTCATACCAAAAGAGCGACCCAACGTACCAGGTAAATCGCAAAAAGATAGATCTGCAACACCTGGTCCAGTGATCTGCAGCGAAACGCAGTTTGTAGAGAATGAAAGCTGGTTTTCGGAGAGGTCCTCATCATCGCCCTCGAGGAACTCTGTAGAACGCCGATTCGGATTCAAGATAGCACGTTGGGCCCGTCGAATGCGCTCTTCGACCTCAGCCTTGTCGTAGATAGTCTCGCCGAAGTGCTCGTTACGGGCAGTACCTAACAACTGACCGTTGACGTCTTTGATGAAGCGCAACGATACGATGCATTTCCAGATGTCACTGGAGTTCGCCAGACGACACTCTGTAGGGCACCTGAACGACCATGATCAGACAGGTACTGCATAACGAAACAAGTTACAATTACCTTGTACAAGTGCCCGTCGCACGAGGAAGGGTAATACCAGAAATTGATTCGATGAGAGACGACTTTCCGGCACTCTGAGATCCGATCACAGCGATTTGAGGAAGGTCGATGTCTACCTGGGCACTGAAGAAAACAATAATCAATGAGCCGAAAGTCGAAGAAAATTAAAAACTACTGACCCAGTACTATGCAGACGATTTATCAAATCCAACAGTCTACGACGGCTTTGGGATAGCGCGGGATTGGCAAGGCCCACACCTCCTTCTTCGGGACCAGGATCAGAAGAGCGAGCATCATTATCAGAGTCGGAATCGTAGAAAGACATGCCGAGGAGAACGAGATGGGGATTTTTGAGGGACAAGAGGTCAGAATTTATATCCTAGAGAGGGTGGGTGCCTAAACGCTTTATTAGAGCAAAAAGAACAAGATGCGATTATAGAAGATCGAAGCCTATGCTGAGCGCTTAACTTAAAGTCACGGGCTTTTTAAAAGTCGACCAGCGGGCAAATGAAAGCGAACACGGTATCTTCGTTGCCTAATCAAAAGCAAAATGCGTCAAAAGAAGCGCCCGTCCCAATACAGAGACAACCAACTCGTGACATAAGGAAGGCGACGATCCAGCACACGCTTACATACCAGATAGACAAAAGCCTGTAAAAACTATTTAAGTATTGGTGCACAAGGCAAACTCACCGCATTCTATGACATGTAGATGATATGATACGCGAGTAGACGGACAAATGTTGAAATTAAGAAGGGAATACAGGCACATATCAAGGCGCATGCAGAAACCTAAAGTACAGCATCCACGAACTTCTTGGAATGATCTGCTCCTCTATGGACACCGTTAATACTACTTTGATCCCCATGAGCATGAATAACGTACTCGGTTTTTCCATGCCGATAAGCAGCCGAATTGACTCGTCCAATTGCGGTACTAGGAGAAAGGCGGAAGAGCAACCTTTCTTCCAGAATCTGCACAAGAAACACCTGCTTGCGACGGCTGTGTAAAATTACACGCGGAATGAAGCACTTACGTTTTCTTGAGAAAGGTCGGTGTCCATGGGTAGCGACTTCCCCGTAGTCAATCAGCACGCCGTCGCATCCTCGCGAGGTGCAAACAACTACAGGGATTCCAATAACAAATCGAGTCGGTTGCCAAAATCCATAATCTTTCCATCCACAGGACTTGGCTTGACTGCTGGTCTCTGGTATCATTTCTTAGAAACTTAAGGTACAGTAACGTAGGACTAACACTCACCATTTCCCGAACGCCAGCGACAAGCTTTGTGTTGTTCTTGTGGCGTCAAGCGTGATTGCAAATTGAAAGAGCACATCACCGTCCTCCATCAAATCCTCGAAAAACCCAATAAATATTTTGCGCATTAATCCAGAATACTTGCGTTATAGTGCTACAATGTCAGTCCGAAAGTCAGTAATTATAAGGCAAGAGATCTATATCTATATAAGAGCCTTTTACGGATCATAAACCATTGCGTCCCTATCCTCAGCTAGTAACCTGGCATATTCCAGGCACAGTCGGTAGACATAAACTGGAAAAAAAAGTTCAGGGATAGGACATTTCAAAAAGGTAAACCGCATACCATCCATATCGATCGGCCTGCCCATGGTCTTTTTCCATTGTTTCCCCGCACGGGCAATCCGCCTTAGCTGGCGGTCAGCCTCTTGTGTCATATGCTCATCGCGCGACGGGATCACACCCAGACTCTCCGCAGCCTCGACCGTTACAGGTGACGGACCAGAGAAATACGCATGGATGTTGTAGATCTCCTTATAAGTCGTTGATAGCGGAATATAATGTACCCTGTTGATGACCGGGTGTGAGGAATACGAACCGGCGTTCATCATGAGAAACACTTACCATGGTTGTATCCAATCTGAATAAAACTCTTTGTACATTGTAGCCTTGACAGGGACACTGTCACTTGCAAGGAACGCCATGAAACGCCCGCTATAGCTCATGCCATCAAGGTCCACGATGTACTTGTACTTCCAATTATACCCCAACCAAACAGCGTCGGCAAACCGGTGATCCTTGACCAGCTCAGTCAAACCGCCAGGATAAGCCTCCGGGTTGGTAGCCTTGGTGAAGGCGACGTTCATGATGTCCTCGTTGAGCTTCCCCATGGCGACAGGAACAGATACATAGCGTGAGGACGATGGTGGGTCCTCGAAGGTCACAGTCCGGTTATTGTTACCGGTCTGTGATGCCATTCGGACAAAACGTTGGCGGTGATACTGGGGAGAGAAACCACTCGGATTGTTCCCTCCCCCGATGGAAGAGCCTCGCCAGAAGACTTTATCCAGCTTCTGCTCCCACGGTACTTCCATATCGTCGGTCTCTTTCAGTTCCAGATTGACGGGGTCCCAACCGTAGGTATACCGCTTGGTGCTTCCGTAGTAATAGTGGCTGGGAATCTTGATATCCATGAAACCTTTCGCTTTAGCCGGACTAAACACTGGATAGAGTACGGGAATTGTTCGCCAATCGGAGAAAAAGAGTCCTTGTTGATAGTGTGCATGCGGAAGAGTACAAAAGTCGAGGTTTGCCGAGCTCGAAGACAGGAAGTTGAAATCACTGCCTGGACGTTGCGTCCCGGACATATAATCGATAGGTTGAGCAGAAAAAACGTTCTTGGTGGATGCATACAGACGACGCGCGGGCGACGTAGGTTCGCATGTTCGCCGCATAGCCTCCCATACGTTGCCGTCGCCTCGCCAGTCTGGGATAAATTCTCCGCCTAGCATGCTTTCGACGCCAGCTGAAGAGAAACAAATGTCAGATGATAAGAATGCGAAACAGTGTGTAAACTCGCCTGTTGAGTCTTGGTTGGTGAGATTTGTGTATTTCCGATGCTCCCATGGTACAGTAACGCGACCTTCAGCGTTCGCGTTGACGGGGAGATCCATGTCAGGTAACTGGCGTAGCCTAAGTCAATGTCCTCGCAGATGTAGAATATACGCACAGTATGAACAAATTTCTCCATCATTCTATGCAATCCCTGAGCTCGAGCACTGACATCGCCATTCTCGTAACCCCTGTTCAGATTGACCAGAGTCGCCTTGCCGTTCCGTACTCTCACAAGGTCAACTGATGGAAGCTCGGCAGCCTGGAAATTTGTCGTCAGTGAAGGACAGCCTCCCCTCGGGTCATTGTTCGCGTACCTGTCGGGACCGTCGACGAAGCTCCTGTCCTGGCATGCTCCAAAATGGCTCGAGGTCCTCCATCAAGCCATCGTACTCGTCCACCATCACCACGTCATTGTCCTTGGCGAAACGCCACCATGCGTCGAAGCCCTTGGGTGGTGGGCGATGGTACCGTCGTATGTACTCTGCAACTGCATCCTCCAACGTCTGGCTTTGTCGCGACACCTTGGCCCTGTACTGTTCTTCGGCTGCCTCTATCAGCTTCGGTATCGGGTGAGAATTAATAGTCGCCGCAGAATTCGTCTCTCCCAGCGAGAAAACCGATTTTGGGATATCCAATTCAGCATGGCTTCTGCTTTCGGCCCAGAGACCGGCCTGGAGAAAGACAATAAAGACAAAGGCCAAAAAGAAATAACCGCTATGCCGCGCCCATTGCGCTTCAGGACGGTCAGCGAGCCGCATCGTCCTCGTCAACGACGGATATAAAAAGCGGGAAATGTGGTCGAGGGCGGCGCTATCAGAAGAGTATTTGCTGGTATTTGCTTCCGGAGGTGTTGGCTTTGGTAAACGACTGAATACGGTAGCATCGGAAATCGCCGGATTTTGATCGATCCGATCTTTCGAACCTTGTCACTATGCTACGCTGGAGATTCGAGAAGCGGGTAATCCCAGACATAGCGTTTTCGTCGAGCAAGTATAGTATCGTTTCTCAGCGCTAGCCAGAACTTGCAGAGGCGGCTATTGGTCGTTAAATTAGCAATCAGATGCTGAACATTTTGTACTCCGCGTTCCAGGCCTGAGAGAGTCAAGTGACTACTCCCTAGTCAGGATACTGACTACGCGCTCCTCCCCATCATACTAGGTTCACGACCTTTTGACGGGATTTACCGTAATTCAAGAGCTTCCACGACGGACTTAACGGCTCGGTCAAAAGGTACGATCTTCTTTTAGAAACGTAAATGATCAGCATGATGCCTCCGCCGCGTAGGAACTTTACCTCCCCACCGAAAACTCCTGCCAACTCGCATGGCCACGGGCCGAAGCAGACCACATCCGTGGTCCCGGGAGATGGTCCGACAAGACCGTAATGCTTCCACAAGAACCCGCTACTCGACTCGGAAATCATGATAAGAAATTAATTTCATCCCATGAAATACTCACATCCTTTTACCCATGTCGTCCAAGCTCTTCCAGCCTGTTAAAGTGGGCAATTTGACCCTCAGCCACCGGATCGTCATGGCTCCCTTGACACGATACAGAGCCACCCAGAAGACCCGTGTCCCACATGTCTCCGTGGTAAAGGAATATTACTCCCAGCGTGCAAGCGATCCCGGAACGCTCCTTATCTCAGAGGCAGTATGGATTGCGCAGAAGGCTGTCGGGAGAGACTACAATCCCGGTGTTTGGAGTCGAGAACAACTTGATGCATGGAAAGAGGTACCTGCCCTGTTTTATCTTACCATCATAATTATAAAATCCATACAATGCTTCCTCAGATAACAGACGCTGTTCACGCCAAAGGAAGCTTCATCTTCTGTCAAATCTGGTCTCTCGGTCGCGCCGCAGATATTACCTCCCTCCGAGAGGAGAATCCGCCACTTCCGTATACTGCGCCATCGCCCATAAGACTTACAGGGAAGGAGGAGACCCCAAGAGAACTTACAGCCGAGGAAATCCGGGAATATGTACGAATGTATGCCGAGGGCGCGTCTAAGGCTGTGTACGAGGGCGGATTTGACGGCGTAGAGATCCACGGTGCGAATGGGTACCAGATTGACCAGTTCATACAGGATGTATCCAACCAGAGGACAGACGAGTACGGGGGTAGCATCGAGAACAGGGTCAGGTTCGCCCTACAGGTAATAGATGCCGTGGTGGAAGTCGTAGGAGCAGAGCGGACTGGCTTCCGAGTCAGCCCCTGGGCCCCGTTTCAAGGCGAGTACTCCTCATTTCACGAGCAGCAATATCGTTTCCTACGTCTATCCAGACATGGGCATGGAAGACCCGGTCCCGACGTTCTCTCATTTGATTTTGAAGATCAGAGAAAGGCATCCTAACTTGGCGTACATCCACGTTGTTGAGCCTAGAATCAGTGGTCCGTTCACTCGGGACGAGGTGCCGCCAGGCGAATCAAATGATTTCATCCGAGAGATATGGGCTCCCAGGCCGCTTATTTCAGCAGGGGCGTATACGAGGGAAAGCGCTATGGAGACGGCAGATACGAAAGGTGATATCATTGCCTTCGGCCGATACTTTATTTCGAACGTGGGTATTCTGGGTAGGACAGACTCCGCTGGTTCGCTAACTTTGTATTCTAGCCGGATATCACTTTAAGGTTGAAGCACAGAATCCCTTTATCTCCCTACGACCGGCCTACTTTTTACATCAGGGGAGACACCAGTGGAAAGGGTTACACTGACTATGCAGTTGCCGTCGCACAATAGTGTATTTCTTAGTGTATCTGAGCACATATTGCTAACAATACCAAATACCGTCATCAATGCACTAACTGATCAGACCGTCCGTAGGCTACAAAAGAGCATTTTCGCAATAAATATTAAGTGTACATCGATACCTACAGCTAGCTTACGTGTTAACTCTCAAAAATTGTTTCAGTTTTAAATAACTAGCTTTGAGAATCAACTCTTCGAACAATGAGGATCAAATCTTAATGATATAGATTCCGAGTGTCAGTGTCAGCAAAAAAAGAATCACCCAAAGCAACTGCATTAAGGGGGAATCGAACCCCCGGCGGGTCGACATAAACATGGCAACGACCCAGGTTACCACTACCCCATTAATGCCGACGAAATGTTCTGAATTGTTGCATATAATAATAGGTCAATGTCAATGATGGATGTACCAACATCTCCTCAATCTATGCATCGCGCACAATACACGAGTCTACAGAAAAACATAAGAGATACACACCATCTGAGTAACAAACAAACAAACACGCACACGAATCCTCTTCCTCCACTTCTTCAGCGCTAAAACATACATCGGCTTCGGATCACTGAACGATAACATATCCCTCTCGCTCAACCACGGCCACTGTTCTACGGGATCATGCCCGCCCGAACTCCGTGGCGGAATCCATTGAGCCGGGAAGGACTCCATCGAGGACATGTCCTATACCAAACGAAGGTAGGTAGCCGAGGTAAATCTGCCAGCGCATTCCTACAGGCAAAGAACGACAACACACCGGAGCGAAGCTCTTCATATGCGAATACGGCCCATACCAGCTTGGTCTAGGGGCATACTGTTCAAGCGCAAGTGAGACGTAATTGAATGCTTCGCACATCGTCGGACGCACTTCATTCGCGTAGATATAACTTGCCGACCCGCTGTATGGGTGATTCATGATCTGCAGGTAAGAGAGCGATTGGCCACCAAGTCAAAAGTCGGACCCAGAACTAAATAGCCCTGGGGCAGTGTTGTACTGAAGGGGGGCGAGCTATAAAAACTCAAACTGTTGTGACACTTGGTGGGAGCCAAGAAGTTCCCCCGTGAGAGGCATCACGATCTGATTTCCTGGAACCCGGAGTGTCCACTATACATACCATGCAATGAGGTTTGGACGGCCCTGCCATTACATCAGTTTGTCCGTCAGGGTAAAAAGATGGTTTCCATAAATCCTCCGATAAAGATCAGCGTTGATACAAATAATACAATTGGCTGAATCGTCATCGCAAATCCACAATCTCCAGCGACATACCCTCTTTCATCTGAACATGTCCTTTGTCGGCGTCCTGGTGACAAGCGTCAATCACAAGGACCAGAATTCGTGGAATGGACACGCACGGTATATATAGGTTGATCCGGATGAGGATGGAATGCTTCTGTAGCAGTGCAGTTCAAAATCGTCTGCAGACCCGGGGGATCCGTAAGCCGAAAGATACCAAAGCTGTAATGGTGAGACGATGAGCTCCAAGTGAACCATATCAGAATCAGAGAATCAGAAGACGTACTTGGGGTTCTGCCTTGGTGCGCAGACGACAGCAAATGATTCGGGAAGCATTCGTTGAAACCCAGAGTGGGTATGTAAGTCGACAGAAGACATAAAGCCTATTCAGAATGAGAACACCGATCAGCGACAGTGGCCCAAGATAAGCAACTGAAGACATACAGGTTTGCGTGGGGTGCGTGTGGATCTATCAAGCAATGGTTGTCAGCAGATGCCTTCCCAAAGTCATAAACAGTGACAGCACACACCCATCCCAGAGTAATCAGGTTCCTCTCCTCAGTAAACCGTAGCACCAGCTCCTCTTGGTCCATTGTACATGTGTCACTCGTCGAATGCTGCTTCGGTATCAACAGTGTCGTAACGACAAACTTGTGACCCTTGTCCTTCCCGAGCAAGAGTCCACAGGTCTCTCGATTTATCATCGTGTTGACTTTTGCAATCGCTGTGAAACGCGGCAGACACTCGCGCGGCAGGTTCACGTGCTTGAGTTCCCGCGAAGACGAGTTTGACCGAGGTATTCGATCCGAGTCAGACCGAGAAAGATGAGGACGCGAGTTATGATGGTAGTGGTGACCATGGCGTTGAACGGGGTCAGGGTAAGCGACTGGTGGAGGCGGCTGGGCTGGAGGGTGAGGGAGAAGATTCAGGGGGTATAGCGGTTGAGATCTGTGAGGGTATCCTGGCTCGAAGAGGATTGAAGAAGCGATGGGAGCTTTGGTCGAGGAGAACATGGAATTGAGGGAAGGTGAGTATCCTTGCGTTTTTTGGTGTTGGCTCATAAGCTGCGGGTACTGTATTGGGCCTCCGTCAACGGGTGCCGGTGAAGTCGTGGTTATCGGAGGCGGATATAGAGGTCTAGCCAAACACGTTTAAGGCCACGAAAGGGGAAAGATGTACTTTATTACATACCGAGAAGGGCCCGCCCTAGTGGGTGTTCGGTTGTTATCAATAAAAGGTTGGTGTTTTTGCCTTGGGCGACGATACGAGGATGACTGCTGCGGTGCCTCAGAGTCCGTAGAATCGCCCTCGTACCGAGTCGGACTTTCAAGGGGCATCATGTGGGGTTCGTCATTGATATTCAATTGAGAGAAGTCAGCTGCGAAATCGGAGGTCCGCGAAGGACCTGCGGGTGGTGCTGACGATGAAGCTTCGCGAGAGGCTAACCGGGCTGTTGGAAGTGGCGGATAGCTAGAGGGTGGTGGCATAGGAGGAAGCTTAGGGAGTTGCTGGTACAGTGAAGCAGCGTTGTGTGCTGACGGGGCAAATCGGGCGGTTGGCTGTGCGATTGGTTGAGACGGTGGTTGGGAGGATGAAGGGACATTGTAATTCTGGCTTGACGTCGACGGAACAGGCATGGTCATAGGCGGCGGCGCGCTCATAGCTTCACGCATGGTTAACGATGAAGGAGGTAGCTGGGGGGGAGGCGGTACAAATGTCGCGGCATTACTCTCTGCAATCCTTCTCCGTTCATTCTGCGCGTTCCTCTCTGACTGCTGCTGTCGCTGCATCATCTCCTCCATTTGCTTTTGCCTCTTCTCCTCGTTTCGACGTTGCGCAATTTTCTCGGACCGGATCCGCATCTCTTCTTGCTGCTGCCTACGTTTTTCTTCCTGATTATTAGCCTGGGAGCTGGCCCCGTTTGCTGCTGGTGGCGGAACGCCTGCAGCTTGTCGTGCCGCACCCATGGCTGCAGCTATACGTCCATTCGGATAGTCATTTGGCGCCCCAGCGCTTGCGCGTTCCGCTGCCATCTGTCGATTGATGTCCTCAGTTTGCTTTTTCCACATAGCCTCTTCATCGCGCCACTGACGTTGTTGTTCTGGAGGTAAATTTATACGCGGCGACTCGGTCCGTCCTCCTTGGGAGTCATTTATTTGACGACTAAGTGATGCCGGAGTTGGGGTATGACCCCCATTCGGTTGCTGCGTTGCACCGCCATACTTGCGGTCCCATTCTTCCCGTTGCCTCAATAGTTTATCTTTTACTCCCGCAAGGTTGGCAAGAATACGTTCACCATTCTAAGAAAAACAATCAAATTAGAACACTGGTGTAATGAAATAAGTCAAGCGCCCGTAACCTGGGGGGACTTTGCCTAAGAAAACGAATAGGCGCACTCACTTTCGCCAAAGATGACTTCTGCTCCTCGTTGAGTGCTTTGTCGTAATCAGGGTGAACCGCAATGATCTCCAATGCCAGTTTGCCGGCACTAGCGTAAGCGACGAAGGCGTTTTGGAGGTCTTGCTGCTCCTCGTAGGTCTGACCTCGGTTGCGCCAAGTATCTGCAGCCTTCAATAGAGACTTGATAGGTATCCGGCTATCCTGGGACACGACGGCGCGCGCTGCAAGGTCGTCAATTGTCGGGGGTCGAGGAGGACAGCCCCCTGGTGGCGGGTAACGAGGCGACGTTGAAGACATGGCAGGTCAAATTCAGTGTCCTCTAAGGGAAGAAATGGGAGAAATACAGAAATGGTGGCGGTAATGATAGTGGTACAAGAATAAGGGTAGCTCCTCCGTCCGAGGCTGCGCTGGTCCTCAGCATCACGTGGTCGGCAGTCCTATTTTAGGGTCCCTAGGTCATTAGGGGCTATTTTCCCTACAAGGATTGTCTCAAGCGGTTTCCAAGTTTCAACGGGATTTATGTAAAATTGTCTCTGCGTGTTAATTTCGCAGAAAAAAGAGATTCAGTACGCCTCGTGTTCTGCATTCGAGCCCTTAAACTCCGGCGCCAAAGCCTTGGGATATCAATTCATTGATAACATCTCTACCCCGGATTTCCATGACGAACACGCATGTGCCTTGAACGGTTCACGTTGAAGGGGCGCTCTTACGGTACCGAACGAGCTAGCTGAACAAGAATGGATACTACTAAGATGGAATAGTAGAAATGCAAGGAAAAACTTGCCAGGACACGTCAGCCTTGACGTCGTCATTCTGATAAGAGGAACCAGGTATAAGGCGTGGAAAAGGGGAGAAAGTGCACCGTGCCGTCTATCGTATACTCAGCAAGAAAGCGACCAAACGATGAGGGTATCGCTAACGGTAACCATTTGCACCATGCGGATGAATCGAATTTTGAAAGACACGTTCAGGAATCCAAACAAGACTCGTATGGTCCATCGCAAGTACTCCGACATTGCATAATCAAAGGATTCTTTCATTTCGGCCTCTGGAGGATAACTTCGCCGCAAAGATACCGCATTACGGAAGTCGTCAGATTACCGTGAGCATCCCCATCCCGGAAATAGACCTTCAAATCCCGGTTATCCAGCTTAAATTCCGCACAAAAGATACCGTTTCTCCGGTCACTAAAGGTCTTCTGGGTATGAGCAGTGAATAGTGCTAGCTCAATGGTAAAGTTTCATGTAGAACCAAGCCAGAGAGCAAAAGAGGATGGTCTGCGCTCCAGTCTGTAACAGGTTTCAAGATAGTCCCCAGAAAGCTCCCGAGAGAAGTGGATAAGACGCAAGAAGTGGCAGTACGGCATATGAAAGGGCGTGCGTCATCCATGTGCTGCCAGAAAAGCTATTATTCTTTTCCAGAATCTGGTAAGACTCCGGAATGGTAGGCCTTCGAGTCTCAAGGCAAATCCCATTGATACAATTCACCGTTAGGGCCAGAGACAATGATGCAGTATAAGATCTGTGTTTTCTGTCGTCTGGTAACCAGTAAGGAATGGTAGAATCCTGTTATCTAGATCGCATTGAAAGTGCAGATGTGGCTGCAGACCACGAAAACACGGCCCGCCGACCCTTCCGATTTTTCTCGTCATCGGCCCGCTATACAAAATCAAACTTTATCGTCCAACACTCAGGGTAACCTTCGAAGTTTAGCTCATTGCCACGATGTCGCGCTTCGAGTACTATCAGTACCTCAAAAAACTAATTTACCAACCTCTTGGTAGCTCTTTCATCACGATGAATCGCTGAGAACACGATATGACCTGTTTCACGGTTTTTGAACGTTAAACCTCCGAAAGCGTGGAAAGAGGTGATTTTGTTTTACTACGGCCGTTACAATGTCTAACAGATATTTCTGCCAGATCACTCCCTCACTGCCAGCTCTGGTCTTTCGGGTACACATCAGACTATTTATGAAGCCTTGCAGGAAGAGGACTCGGCATATCCTTAGCCGCCCGGCTTTCAGACAGGCTATGTCCCCTGTCTGATGAGATCAACGAATACGTGCAGCCGTTTCGCTCAATCCGCAGCAGATGCTGTGAATAAAGTCGGACATGACGACCTTGAGGTCCATGACGCGGATGAATATCTCGTTGATCAATTTCTACAAGTCGTCGTCAATACTGTGGGAGTATATAGAACAGAGCATGGTTAGTGTAGACGCCGTCGTAAGGGCAGTCGGAGTTGAGAGGAAGGCTATCAGATTGCGCCTTTGGGGTGTTTCACTGATGGGGTACGTGTTCAACAATGTTATCGTGCTGTCTCACTTGATACGGGTTCATAGAGGTTCAAATGAAGGAGACCATATCCCCACTCCTCTGCTACTTTATTTCGTAAATATTGAGGAGGGGAACCCAGATGGTGATGATTACGCGTGATCCTGAACTTGACATTCAATTTTTTCTAATGGTTCTGTCCAGGAGACCACATATCTCAACAGGAGAAGTCACAAGAGGGACGGTGATAAACTCGCTGCAGACGAGAAGGGGGATATCACTACGTCCAGACGGTATATTCTTTCGAACGTGAGTCCAAGTCTGTCCATTGGGTGTTGAGTGGCACCTACGACTCGAAAGTCTTGATTAATTCTGCTACAGTGAACATAGAACATGCTGCTCGTCCGCACATCGAATGCTTGTGTCGGTTTCCGAGACCCCATCCCCTTCAGCTCTTCGAGTTCTGCTAGACTTGTAACCGTGATCACATCGGCTGCTGGTCTGGAGCTCGGCCTACCTCTGCCGAGCTTCCCATGGTCCACGGCCCGATGTTCAATCCACTCTTTGTCAACATCGTGAAGTTCACCTTAACCGCCCCGCAAAGTCGCAATTCCAGATATTACCAAGTTCTAGCAAGGGATCCGACTTACCAATGGTATTACTAACGTCGTCTGATAAATCTACGGGAATTTCCAAGGAAACCGTGTAAATAGTTGCGTAGCACGGCTATAAAACACGAATTAAGTTCCCAAGGTAATCTCGCACTTTTGTCGCTTCTCTTCATCATTTTCTAACATTATTGCGCATAGATGACTCTTGGATCTTCCAAGCTGTTCCGGCCAATCAAGGTCGGAGCCCTTACCCTCAATCATAGGATTGTGCTGGCCCCTATGGCGCGGTTCAAAGCGACGGAGACAGGTCATGTTCCGATCCTTCCAATAGTCAAGGAATTTTATACTCAGAGAGCCTGTGATCCTGGGACTCTTCTTATCACGGAGGCAACTATCATTGCCCGAAAGGCTGGGGTATACAAGCATTGTCCTGGGATCTGGGCTGAAGAGCAGCTGCAAGCATGGAAAGAGGTGTAGTAGTTTCCCAGAAATTTCAGGTTGATTCGAGAACTAATAAAATGTCTTCTTCAGATAACCGACTCTGTTCACGCTAAAGGGAGCTACATTTACTGTCAAATTTGGGCTCTCGGTCGTACCGCAGACTATAATGCGTTGTGGGAGGAGGACCCGTCTCTTCCTTACGTTGCACCTTCAGCTATCCCGCTTTCCGGCAAGGACAAAGTTCCCCGCCCCATAACTCTCGAAGAGATCCACGAGTACATTCAGTTATATGCTCAAGCAGCTGCTGATGCGGTCAATAAAGCCGGGTTTGATGGTGTAGAAATCCATGGTGCCCACGGATATCTTGTGGATCAGTTTCTGCAAGATGTAGCTAACAAGCGGACGGACGGTTACGGTGGGAGCATAGAGAATAGAGCACGATTTGGTCTCGAAGTGATTAACGCTGTCGTAAAGGCAGTCGGAGCGGAGAAGACGGCCATCCGATTGAGTCCATGGGGTATTACAGTGTCGGGTCAGTCGTTAGCCAATCGTTACTGACACCCCCAACTGACTGGTGTGGCCTTAAAGAGGTTCGGATGAAGGACCCGATTCCTACTTTCTCCTACTTTGTTTCGCAAATCAAGGAGAAACACCCCGATCTGTCCTACATCCACGTCGTAGAACCTCGAATTGATGGTGGTGAAACGCGAAATCCGGAAGATTTTTCTTCGAATTCATCTAACGACTTCCTCCGGGAAATCTGGGCGCCAAGGCCGTACATTGCTGCAGGAGCATTCACGAGGGAGACAGCAATTGAGGCTGCAGACGAAAAGGGGGACATCATTGCCTTCGGACGGCATTTTATTTCCAATGTGAGTCCTTTACAACGAATGGGAGGTATAATTGCTAAATTTTCATCAGCCTGATCTTACGAAGCGGTTGAAGAATAATGTACCCTTGACGCCATACAATAGGTCTACGTTTTATTTGTCTGGGAATGTTGCCGAAGGTTACCTTGACTACCCCTTCGCGTCTAATGTTAGCAACTGGGCCTAATGTCCTTGTATGAGTTTTCTATATCATTTAACGGAAGTGATTCTCTTGCTACAGTGTACTTGAACTGTCTTACTCTCGTTGGGCTCGGGTAGAACCTGTGTGAACTTTTTATTATGCTGGACGAGCCAGGTCTCTTAATCTCATAGCATGTACAAACTACGTAGTTCGCTTTTGTTGGTAAGAAGAGTCGCAGAAGAATCTAGTACCAATCTTTCCGCTTGAGCAACGCCCTTCGCCGTCGCCATATGGCCGGAGTACGCCACCTCGCCGACAAACTAATCCCTTCTCGCCTTCTCAACAATAGTCGCATCTGAACCACCCGCTTCCACTCATCTCCACGCTCTAGCACGTCCACGCAACGCTGCACTGGCTCGTACGCGTATTCCCCAATTTCATTGTCATTGACAAGGATAATGTCAACGTCAACTTCTGCACATGCAAGCAAGATTCGCGCAGATCTTTTCTGGACAGGCAGCGTCTGTGGGAGCCCCAAAAGGAGTGGCATAACTTCCAGGTCAGGCTCCCGTAGCCTGAAGGCTCTCTGCCGGCGAGGCGTACGTGTTATCACGTCGTCATGAGGTCGCCACTCCGCTAATCCACGCGCACTTGAAGGGAGCTGAAGAAGATAGAAGGACGAAACCGAGCTCATCAGCCGATTCCGCAGCTTTGAAAAGCGGTTGAAGAGGTGGTAGGTTGCTCCAACGACAAAGCAAGGGTGAACGGGTGACGCGACTTTGAGGAGTGGTAGGGTGGAGGGATGATGTTTTGACAGTAAAGTTGACGAATTGGGAAATATGATGTGCACGTAGTGACTCAAAGTTGTGGGGAGTAGTGTGTACGTATAATCTTGCACTGGAATGGCCTGGTATAAGATACAATTCATTTGTTACAAGAGAGTTTGAGAAGTATAGGACCCTTACGTTCGTAAACATCCTGCGAATGTCAGGACAGCATTCTTGGTTGTAATCCTGGAGGTCGTAAATACGCTGAAGAGTCTCATCTGTCGGGATAAGTGTCCATTCCTCATTCTCCAAGAGCTGCTTCATATCCGAACGTACTAATGGAAAATGGTGTAAGGTCTAAATATATGTAGCAGGGCAAACAACTTACATTGAACACGATTCAGGTGAGATTCCTGTTCAATTTTGCCTCGAGAAAGCCCCCAGTAGAACTCCATTTTGTATATCTTGGCAGATTGTAAGCATGTCAAGATAGATGATGGAAAATAGGCGTGCGCCACTGACCTCTTTAGAGCGTAGCCTAAAATAATAATCTTCTAATGCAGGAAGAGAATCAGCGGAGTCAACAGTCGTGAGGCACTCCAGTGGAACATAACTATTGAGTTTCATGGCAGACCTAGCGTGCGGTGATGAAGAGGAAAGAGGAAATAACCCAGCTTCTGCTTTTGAGAGAAAGGTGCAGGCAAGTCCCGTGATCTATGAATAACTTCTAACTACTAACAAAAGGTGACAGACGCCACTCGCGTTTGAGCCAGATGTACCAATGGAAAATGTAGTTGAATGGCAGTCTTCACAGAAATACGTTTCATTGAGGTGTTTGATGTGGCACGAGAAAATTGCCATGAGTAAATACTAAAGACTTGTAAACTAGATCTGCGTTTACAAGAAAGAACCCACCTTCCACTGTGAAGCTTTTCCAAGCCGAAGGATTGTTAACTGCAGTCTGTGATACGACGGGATTAGCATGCTGTAAGAGCCTGAGCACAAATAGTCTGACTTATCTGTGTCTAAATATCAGTTATGATATACACATCCATTTTCGTCGCATGGAGTGAGTATACATGTATGTTGGTGGTGGGAGAAGCGGCAACAGCAAACCATCAAGTTTATTCTTTTGATAAAGTATCAATTCCTCCGGTCAGGAGGTGGGCTCTTAGCACAGTTGGTAGCGCGCACGCTTTGCATGATTGTTAATCTGCGTGAGGTCGTGGGTTCAAATCCCACAGTGTCCATCAACGATGTTGTTGCAGAAGTTTTTGGTCGCCCTCAAATATCCAGAATCCAGAATCCAGTATCGGAGACTCGGAGTCCGGACTATCAGTCCTCTGATCTATCCCAGGTCAGGAGTCAGAAGGTTTCCGGGCTTACTGTCCATTATGGACATAAAGCTTACTTCCTTCCTTTCACGGCTCTGAGTACAGATAATAACTATTATATCGAGGAGTGTACAACTGTGAGTATCCTGTATTCTACGTCTTTAACGATATCTGAAGCGGTGAATCTCTTCTCAGCTTCGGCTTCTGCGGCTAGTATAACGTTCTAAGAGAGTAAGAGACGCGCCGTAGTAATTTCTGGTGCCAGGGTTTGTTTCCTGGAGGTTAAGGCATGTCGTTTGCTTAATACCTGCCAACAATCAGTACGCTTCTGACCGATCTTCGCTAGCACAAGTAATAGATAGCCTATTAGGTCGCGATAGTTAGGAAACTGAAGTTATCTGTATTAAAGCCTTTATACTACATAGATTGTCAGCAGAAGTGACGAAAAGGTAAAAAGTCAAAATGAATGATGCCTCCGTTCCTTCTTTGACCGGATAGATGCTACTTCGTCTGGTCGCAAGAGTGTATCCAATTTTTAAGACTCTAAAATGTATTAGGAAAAGAGAACAGTGGTGGACTTTGATGTATAATCAATCAAAAGGCCACCCCAAACGATCCATCCAAGCTGGCCATTGCGCTTGAAGTTTCCTGTAAGACAGACCATGTCAGCACATATCATAGACAGGGAAATGAGGCGCTTACTCCAGCAGCTCTCCGGTTTATCCAGTTCTACGGTGCTGAATTGCCAAACGAGATGCGTCGCAGTTCCACAAATAGAAAAGACAAAGAAACCCCAGTCTTGTCGATTCAGGTACCCTGCAACGAAAAGCATAGTGACAGAGATCATGGCGCAGCCAACGAGCATGGGCCTAATCCAGGTCCCGAATAGAATGGCGGTGGAAAGCACACCAGTTTTTACATCGTCAACGATATCTTGACAGGCATATATTGTGTCTGTAAAATATGGTGAGATTCGGTATACGACGTTGACTAGGCAGTCGCCAACCGTATAACATTGTCCAACTGATAGATACTTGTGAGCGACGTCGCGATGTGTTGACATACGAGGAAAAGCATACCACCAACAACCAGCAAGGACACAGCAGAGGATGTCGTAATCGAGCGTGTTCGTAGTTGACACATAGGCGATTACGAATCCGAAGTTCATGGCGAAGCCCAGCCACGCTTGAGGCCAGTACGTTACCCGTTTGAGGAGAGGGTATATCGCAAATCTGGAAAGAGCGGAGCGGGAAATATTTAGGCTCCCTGAGCATGATTGCAAGATAGGCTGTTCCTCTTACAGTGGGAGAAGCTGAAACAGGGCCGCGTAAAAACTACAAATAAAGTTAGATTTAATAATCGAAAAGTATAAACCGGTAACTGACGCTAGACCATCAAGCGTGAGATAGAAGAATAGAACTCCCAGCGCGTATTGTACCAGAAGGAAGATGGTCGCTGCGAGGACGGTGATGCGTCCACTTGGAAGCGGTCTATTCTTCGTTCGCTCTGGGAAGTGGAATCGTGAGATCTTTGGAGTAAGACGCGGAAGGATGGACCAACCGACACCAGCATCCATGTTCATATCAAATATATCGTTGACGGTGCAAGCTGAGCTACGCACTATAAACGCCCCGATGAGGCATTCGATGAGCTTATACGCGTAGGAACGTAGCACGATTGTTGGCGCCATTGAATATGACGCCATGGTCAATCCCCAAGCTGAAAGAAATCGTCTCAATCGACGTCACAGAAGGGGTTTAGTCGCATACCAAAAGGCCAGAACATCAGGATCGTTCCCGTGGGCTACAAAGAAATAAGGTAAATGACTCCTAGCTTACAGTCCCGATAAAGATAAAGCCAACCTTGTCGAGACGAATCAGCTCCATATATGGGCGATATTTCTCTGGAGCGATATTCAGAGGGAATTTCAGGTTGACCCTTGTTGGCAGAGCATGATAGGTGGGGAGCTTTTCATGGTCAGGAAGGAGGGATGTGGTCTCACTGTTCATCGCGTTGAGGAACGAGAGGCAGACTTACGAGATATGAAGAGAGTTTGGGTTGGCACGATGAGAACACGCCAGGTTGAAGTGGTTTATATACCGCTGGAACAAGGAAAGAATCGAGGGGTCCCATGATTATCGGACGCGTCTCCGACCCGGATCGAGCTGTGCTGATCTAGCACGAATGCAATAAAATCATTTGTCGTTATCGGTACCCCTCCTGTGGCTCTAGGACGCTTGCGGAACTGAGATGGCTTCAGCTGAAGGTTGGCTTTGCACGGCCAGGATTCAACCTGTCAGACTTTGAGTTTCAACTCAAATCAATGACCAAAGAAACGGCACAAACGTTATCCGCCACCGCTCTGTGGACTAGGGTATTCGAGAGCATCACAAAGGGGTCGCCTTTCGATAGAGAGAAACTTTGGTAGGCGCAGGAACAAGATCTTTTTCGACCTTTCCGTCAGTAAGGACGTTCTCTAAGAAATATTATCATGCTTGCGCCTCGGACCATACAGAAAACCAGTTCACTGTGACCATGAATGGGGCCGGCGGTTAGCTCCGCAAATGTTAACGATCTTTCCCTCAGAAGGTCGTTAGCGCAATCAGTATCCTTTGAGGGTTTACGAGTCCGGTTGGCTCGGGTTCCTTGAGAACAGGACATCTTTCCGTGGCATGCAGCGGAAGACAAAAGGACGGCAACAGGATTAACATTCATGGTATGCAGTTCAGTGCCCGAACCCCATTACCACCGGGGCCGAGGGCGAATGTTCAGTTCGGTACGAGGTAGTGTTTATTTGCAAGCATCCAGAAGACGACAAGGGACATGAGGTAGTCATGCTCCTGCGGATATCAGAGTCGACTTGAAGTCAGAAGCGAATGAGAGATTTGCAGGAGATAGGTCGCCGTCTGCACGGAGCTGCGCGTTATGTAGTCCAGAGGAATCGGACTCGAAGTCCGTTTCGTTCGGTCTGCTACTCGAGGACAAGCACATGTGATACACGGCAACACAGAGAGGCCTTTGATTCCTTGAACGAAGCGGAGTCGACGCACACGCGTGCACGTGGAGGCACGTGGTCGGCAGTGACTCGGCAGGATTCGGCAAGTACTCGGAGTTTAACTTTTGGGCGGCTAGGGCGGGCCTGCCAACTTGGTGCAGAGTCGGCCAGACAATGTTAGATCAGGACCACCATGGCAAATCTCATCCGCTGCACGAAATCTGGCAACGACTGGACGACGAACGAGCTGGCAGCATACAACATCTCTATTACGCCGCAGGACGTCACAGCGTTCTTTGGACTAACAGCCCTTCCTGAGCCCCATGTACCGGCAGACATGCTGCAAAAGCTCGAAGCCGACGATGCAGATGACCTTGATGCCTGCCGCACCATCGCAGCAATGGACCTTACGATGAATCCTGTTCCTGCAGAGGAAACTGCCGTAGATGATTTCACCGTCCGTCTTTTCGACATGCTCGGTTACACAACGCGCGATATCTCCCTGCGCACCAGGAAAGACATCCCACTCGTCATCTGCGGGGAATCCAGACGTGCAAAGACAGACGTATGCCTGTTGATGAATAGATCAGAGATCATTCTTCTAGTCCAGGGAGATAAAAGGAACAAGGACGAGGGTGGAGACCCTGAGGCACAGCTCATCGCTGAGGCGATAGCCACTTTCCAGAGCAACAATAAGAAGCGTGTCTTCGCTGGCGTTCCTGTCCGCGATGCCTGTCTCATTCCTGGGATTGTCATGACCGGCACAGCTCCTACCTTCTACAAAATACTGGTTACAAAGAACCTTGCAGATGCAGTTGCATTCGGCATCTTTCCTCCCCACCCTACCGTGGTCCATCGCCACGTTCCATCCGTCCCTCGCCCCATGCGTCGTCTTACCGAAGGAATGAAGCCCTTGGACAACCGTGCCATAGTCCTTCGATGCTTTGAGGGATTCAAGAAATTCATTCCCCCGCAGTAGAAGGGAACGTACCTTCCTTTGATCCTTCCATTTTCCATCAACTGAGATTACTACGTGCGTACACTTCTTTTGTGCCGTTTCTTTTTCCTTTCCAACTTTGTAGTTGCGGCCCAATTTATAGCATCGGTGTACATTAATGTTCGTCGTTACAAAGCGAATAATTTTCAAGTCACTGCGATCTTCGACTTTGCGAATGAAGTTGAGAACACGGAACAGATCCTCTAGGTACGAATCGTGAGTCGCACACCAGTTCCGTTAGCCGAAAAAGCAGTGGATCAAATTTAATGATAGACCATGCATAAGATTACATGCCTGTACATTTCGATTAGTTCCACTATTATTCAACGCTACTCATGCCGATACTAGAACTCACGATGAAATAAATAAATAACGAGAAAACCGTCGAGAACGTAATAGCAGTTACTTTTCTTCGCCAAAATACTCCTCGACCAAAACCTTCTTCCGTAGATCGAGAAGCACCGCATCCATCTCTGTTCGCGCGGGCATCTTGGGAGGCATGAGATTTTCGGCAGTCAAGAAAGGTATATATGATGCTGCTGCATGAGCGCTAGCATAAGCTTGGTCCACCGACGGTTCTGAGCGCGGTGGAGGCACGCTTGCTCCAGTCTTTGAACGCTTTGAATCTTCCGTCTCCGAACCTTCCTCGTCAGCATCAGCATCCTCAGCCTTGCGTTTAACATTTTGCGCTGCTAGTGAATGCGACAAGAGAGCTGCGGTGTCCGACATGTCCGGCCGGGGATATTTTGGTATGGGATCGTCATTTGGAAGGCCCAAAGTTTCTCGAAGATTTGTATACGCTTCTTCCCATTCTGTAGATTGTCTAATGAGTGATTGAAGCAGTGAAGAGCATCCATCGGCTTACCATCTCCTTCCGCTTGCCGTTCAAATTCCAGTAGTTTGCCGTCAACTTCGTCTGTGTCGCCGTAGTACGCTGGTCCATGTCCTAGGAACTTTTTGTAGAACGCCAAAGTCTGATTTTCCTCTTCCTCCTCGTTCTTTCGGCTCTGGAAGAGTTCTCGAACACCTGGCAGTTCTTTCGCTCGTCCGAAATACCTAAAAGCACGTTAGAAGAAATTCTGCTGACCAGGACTTGATTCTTACTTGTAACCCTTCGTCCCAGGTACCTCTTTCCCGTCATCGTCTAGCATGGCCACATTCCGTCTATAGTTAGCACCACCGAGGGCCACAATTTGATTCTCCCAGTGACGCTTCTCTCGCAAAATTTTGTTGATCTCGTCATTTAAATCGCGGACTTCATAATCGGTAAGGCCAGCTACAACAAAATGGTGTTGAGAGCGCCCTACTGGATAAACGGGAAAGAGTACCACACCATCCTGAATTTTTGACACTTTTCTGCTAATTTCCCTCAGAATTTCTCCTCTCCATCGTTCACATTCGCGCAAACTTTTGCATGCGCTTGCCATTCGCGGCCGACGGTCACCACGAGTCCCAAGGCCAAGCTCTGCCGCTTGGGCCTCTCGGAATCGATAAAGCATGGACTGCGCCTTTTCCTCATTACGGGCCTAGGGTATTCCGTTAGTATTCTTCGCAAGACACAGAAATGCGGCATGCACCATTTTTGCTGAATGATGAGACTGAACAAGTACGTGAATTTAAGGTGTCACAGTCACCGTCACAGATAGTGGCTCAAAATATCGGCAGTATTCGGCAAAAACAATTTCCTGTAAATATGTTTACAGTACTATATTTTAGGTAGAATATCGCCAAATATAGCTCTCTCTCTTACCACACGGATGACGCCAAATATTACAGACGTCGAAGAAGGTATGCCTATATTCTTCGAAATATGTACATTTGCTGCATTTTGCGAATAGAAAAACGCCATTTTTCCAATGTCGTAGCAACATTTCACAAGTATACTCAATATTCGGTGTGTATGTCTAATACTTCACCGAGCACTGTCAATAGTAACTACTATTTTAGCTAACAGCAAATAATAGACGTAGAAGAGATCTTTATACTCTTCCAAAGGCTGACCAGGACCTTCTCGCTTCATTGGGATACAAAGAAAAATTAAACCTTGTCGACGATGCCATTTTAGCAAATGCCGCGTTCCTCAACCAGATCGTCGCTAATCCAGAGATATTCGGGCACGATATGGACGATGAAGACGGCACTGTAGGATTCCCAGAACCAGTAGGTCACTCGCATTCACACGATACAGGTCTGTCTGATTCATTCCGGGCCGCCAACACAATTTACGAACCTTAACATTCAGACCATGCGCATGCGCATTCACATTCACATTCACACGGTCCACATAGCGGCTTCCATTCTAAGCCGAAACCATATAAGCCATCGGATTTTGATATGGATAAGTTAAGGAGTACCCTCAAGCAGTTTGTGCGCGATTGGAGCGAAGAGGTAAGGTTTGCGGCTCGCTCTGCGGCGCTTCTATTGATAATCATTGGTATCACAGGGAAAGGAAGAACGAGAGGCGTGCTATGGCCCCATGAAAGACGCGCTGTTGAAGCATTTCGCTAGCTCCTCGGACGAAGAAAGGTGAGCGGTTCATATAGGCTATCGAGGCTTCCAGTAAGCACGGAAATTCAGTGAAAGAATGGAGTGAGGTGCTTCTCCCCGATAACCTTCAGCCTCCTTACAAATACCTAAAAACTCTAAGACGGCGCTGCCGTCGAAGGAGTCGTCTCGGGATCTCCGTTTTACTGCAAGCTTACGAGCCGTGCATCGGTAGAAGTCATATACTTATCATTGCATCAGGAAGAAGCTGCGGGTTCTTATTCCTGGCGCAGGGTTGGGCCGACTTGCCTATGACGTCGCCAAGTTAGGTCCGTGAGTCTGTACACTCTTGAGCATCCTGCCTTAGCCATTCCCAGGCTTCGCATGTCAAGGCAATGAATTCTCTCACTACATGCTCCTGGCATCATTCTTCATTCTCAACAGGTACGCATTTCCGTTTTAGATTGGCGCGCCTGCTCTAACTATAAAACAGAACGGACGAGATCAAAAAATACAAAATATACCCATATGTACACTCGTTCTCTAACGTCTGTTCCCGATCAACGATGTTGCGCGCGATATCGATACCTGACGTGCTTCCATCGGACCTTCCGCCGGGCTCTGACTTCTCTCTCGTCGCAGGAGACTTTGAAGAAATATACGGTAACGAAGACGATGGAGGAGAAGAACCACATTCGGGACAATGGAACGCAATCCTGACGTGTTTTTTTATTGATACGGTGCGTTCTTATGACTTCAGTATATGGGGCTGGCGTTGTTTTGCACCAATCGGAATGCCCCGAAATGATCTTGAGAACAGCAAAATCTTGCAGCAGATATCCCGGGCTTGCCTGACATGGCAACGCCGAGTGATCGCTGTAGATCTAAATTCTGTTCGTCGACTACAGCCACATATTCTATTCACCTCAAAATAGCCATCTATTTCTACTCTCAAATCAGAACGCTCACACATTCTAGGCCAAAAATATCGTAAACTACTTGCGTATCATCCATCGTATTCTAGCTCCAGGAGGGGTGTGGATAAACCTTGGTGCGGAGTGACTCGTTGCGACTTGCAAGACACTGACGCCACCCGCAGGACCGTTGTTGTGGCATTTCGAGAACAACAACACTAATGACCCGTCAGTCGAGCTTGACCTAGAAGAAGTCAAAGCATTGGCGCGTACCATTGGATTCGAACTCAGAGTAAGCAGTCGGTATTGGAATTCATTCGCATTTACTCAGATGTTCCGAGCAGAACGAGAGCACTGTCGACACGACGTACACGAACAATTCCGAAGGAATGCTGGGCTACGTGTATCATGCCGCATTCTGGACTGCCACGAAGATAAAGGCGGAATAATTACTGTAATAAGTGATCCGCTGGTTCTTCTTTTGGCCGGTTTGGCAATCATGCATAATGTAGCTTTCAATGACGATATGCGATGTTCTGATATTCTGTGTTTCGATGTCGTCGTATACTCTATGATGATGACGGGCGGCCGGCGCGGTAAGATCTGTGGTTGATTGTGATTGTTTTCCTCTGCTATCTTCCTTCCTGCTGGTCTCATTGACGGTAGTTCTCCTGTCGCCTTCCCCCTTCTCCCACTAGGAAGAGCCCATGCCAAACGGAAACAGTGCGAACAGTGCGTCTTAGCACCGATCAGTCGTCAAGTCAGTTACAAGTTCATGTGGTCCAAATAGATCCAATGGTGTTGGTGTTGGAGACATCCATCTGCTAAGTATGAGACGCGATCAGTCCCATGATTGGCCCTGTTATCAAAGTAGTACTGAAACTGGTCGTAACGGTTTTCGTTGCAACCACTCAAACATTACCATGGGTACTTTAGATGGAAAGAACGTCTCTAGTAATCACAAACACGGTGGCGTATCGATTATCGAGAATACGACCTTCACGTAGCGATTGTTGTCCATGTTCGCGAACTAGTGTAAGTACATTCGACCTGGTTTTACGTTGTCGTCATTCATTGATTTGGTTCGTACTCATGGGTTGCGGATTTCCTGGCAGGCATTCTAGCAGCTTTGTGGGCCCATTGTTTTTGGTATCAACTTCTTTCTCACTGGCGGAGCACTCTTTTGCATAAACAGAGTCGAAAGCGGTCTAAAGGCGATGAATACTAGTCTTGACTCATCCTGGCATAATCTTCGGGGCAAGGATCCCTTCTACTGTTAGTCATTCTGTAAGTTCTTTTTGCCGGATCCCGTTCTCAATGTTTCCCCCACAGATCTTACTATACACACCGGCGGTGAACTTATTAATGGCACCAATTATTCCACCGCATGGTCTGCCCTTGTTCTGTTATCCATGATCATCTTCGTTACTCGTCTCGGAAACGTCCATCACTGCAAGGGGAATTGTTTGCGCTCGAAGGTATGATAATTATGCATAATGAAGACGAAGGATCATAGAGACGTTTCTCGTGATGTGAAATCTACTAGCGAAAAGGGCACCGCAGAGCACTTAGAAAATCCGCATTCAGTTGCATAGGCGGTATATACACTTCTCCGTGACTATTTATAACTGTTACAGGTATCCCGTACGAAATGGAAAGAACAAATGCCGCCAGAGGTTCAACATACTCGGACCGGCCCAGGGAGCATATCGAATACTTAGAGAATAAGGAAATGATCCGTAGAATGTCCGACGACCTTCTGTATTATGACGAAATGCGGTTCGACGGATTTCGATGACATTCTATGTTATCGGGTGGTAAGGGGCGTGGCGCGACCATGGTCGCTGAGCCGGTCAGGTTCAAGGGAGATCGAAAGACTCTTCCGGTATTTTGTGTTCTGTGTTGTTTTCGATGACTACAGTTTTTTATGCCCTTCTTGACACCAGCCATCCTACGGGTTACGAATATTGTTCCTGCTCTGCTATGTAGGCAATCACAAGCAATCACTAGACTCCGACCAAGAATCACAAATTGAAATTCGGGAACAGCGTCCCGTCGATCGATCGTGGACTCCCACGTGACCCCGGACGATTAAAATAGTCGGATATATTTTTTGGAGGCATCTTTCCTGCTAACGACCACTGGGGATCCGAACGGTCTCATGATTAGCTTTCCGTCTGTTATTTAATCAGATTCTTGCTCGGCCCTTCTTTCCCATCCTCCGACCATATCATGGCTTCAGGACACGCTCTTACTCCTACTGATGACAAAAACGACCAGGGCCTGAGTACGCAGGCTGATTTACTTGAGGTGGCAAACGACTTGGACTCGGGAGAAATAAATGAACTCGCTGTTGTTGCAGAAGGAGAGGAGAAGACGACTTGGTTTGTCTGGACTTTAGTATTCTGTGCTACAGTGTCTGGGCTACTTTTCGGTATGCAAGTCCATTGTCATCAATGATTTGTTTTCACTGAGCTTCGGTATGAAGGGTACGATACTGGCGTAATATCAGGCGCACTCGTGACTATAGGTTCTGATTTGGGACCGGAAGAGTTATCCAGTGGCCAGAAGGTGTGTTGCGCGTTCGGCCCGTGGGCCTTAACTGATGCCGCTCTGTCCTTCCGCCAGGAATTCATCACCTCTGCTACAACATTGGGCGCTCTTCTTGGCGGTTTGGTAGCAGGTGCCATGTCTGATTGGACGGGTAGACGGCCCGTCCTGGCCATCTCTGATATTATATTCATCGGGGGAGCAATCGCACAAGCAGTCTGTCACAATGTCTGGAGCATGGTCCGTGTTTCTCCATATATTATTACGGTCTGCTCACAAGACTTCTGTAGGTTGGTGGCCGCTTCCTTCTTGGTATCGGTGTGGGATTAGCGTCTTGTATCGCGCCACTATACATCCAGGAGCTCTCTCCAACGCGTCTTCGGGGTCGCATGGTCGTCATGAACGTGGTCGCTATTACTTTGGGACAGGTCATTGCATACGGCATTGGTGCAGGCTTCGAGACAATGCATGGCGGATGGCGTTGGATGGTCGGATTGGGGGCCGTTCCAGCCGGTATTCAATTAGTATTTCTGTTCTTCCTTCCAGAAAGTCGTACGTGAATTCGGCTCTCGGATCGGTTTAACCCTCTGTTGACCCTTTTGACCCTCAGCTCGTATCATGTTGTTGAGAGGTGATCTTCTTGCCGCTCAGAAGATCATGACCAAGATTTATGCCCTGGCTAAGCCTTCTGATGTAGAGCTAAAAGTGTGTCTATTCCGTCATGCGGGGCCCCCAATGTCTGATGGCATCATCATATCTTAGGTCAAAGTTCTACAAGCGGCGGTGCAACGAAGCGTAGAGATTACGCGCAACACGACCTTTATGCATCGGTTCAAGTCTATGCTAATGAATCCAGTGTATCGCAGAGCACTCAGTAAGTTAATATATCCTGGTATCGTTGTATACTAACTTCGGAATCTAGTCGTAGGCTGTGGATTGCAAGCGTTCCAGCAGCTTTGTGGTTTTAATACACTGATGTATTACTCAGCTACGCTCTTTGCATCCATTGGATTTGATCAGCCGACCGCAGTTGGCTTGATCGTTTCTGGTACTAACTTCATCTTCACCATCATTGCCCTTGTTTGTATCGACAGGATCGGAAGACGAAGGATTATGATTCTTAGTTCGCCTGGTATGATCTTTGGGCTGACGTTGGCAAGCATATCTTTTCACTGTCAGTGATACCTCTCCTTCGATGTGCTCCTCTCATCCCTTTTCGCCTCACAGATCTTACTATCAACACTGGTGGCGACCTTATTCAAGGTAGTGACTACCCCAAGTCATGGTCTGCTATCGTGTTATTATCTATGATTATATTCGTTGCGTCATACGCTACCGGTCTTGGTAACGTTCCGTGGCAGCAGGGGGAACTCTTTGCACTCGAGAGTACGGCTTTTCTACGCACTACTTTGGGAATAGATCTGACCAATTTTTCTTCAAGTCCGCGGAGTAGGCACGTCCCTCGCGACTGCGACTAACTGGGCTGCCAACCTGCTCATCAATTCCACATATCTCTCACTCATGGAGAAGATAACGCCTTCTGGCGCGTTTGGTTTCTACGCTGGACTGTGTCTTTTGGGCTGGCTGTTTGTCATATTCTGCTACCCTGAAACAGCGGGTCTGAGCTTAGAGGAAGTCATGATGGTGTTCAAGCATAGCTTTGGTATCAAAGAGAGTGGGCGTCTGAGGGACACGAAACGGAAGATGAAGGCGAGGGAGGTTACTCACGACGAGAAAGAGACCACGGAACACAAAGAGGTTGCGTCTTCAGATGTATAATATATATACCATAGTTTCCCTACGCAATTGCTTTCTATTTTTCTCTTACGTCTACATGCCTTTCTGTGGAGCTACTGAAGCGACCAGCCGTGCCCTACCCACATTCTATTCATAAAATGCACAGTAAATCAGATGAGCGCGCTCCGTCGCTACCAGCACACTAAGGAATACTGCGGAGCCAGAGACAAACACTGTTCAAAAACCGACCCCAGCTCGGATCAGCATAGCAATCAATTAACGACAATCGTACACCATGAAGAACTCGTAAGCAAAAGGAACCAACGTCTAAGGAACATAAACTACTATCAAGGCATTGACCACCAGCTTATCCAGCTGACCATTCGACACAAATGGCACACGCTCCTTGCCAACCGCATGTACGTTCCCATCTGTCAAGATAGTGATCTCTGCTTCCAATAGAGGGATAGCACCACTACTCGCTATCCGCTGTCGCAAGTTGCCCACCTCTTCATGAAGCTCCGGGTCCCCATATGTACTGAAAGCACCGCGCAGAGCGGGGGTACCTCTCCGCGAAATGCCATCCAGAACTGGGCTAGAGATGTCTTCACTGAGCGATTCGACGACGTGATCGATTGGCCATATGTATCCTCCAGCAGTCCAATGTAGTTCGGGAGTAAGCTTATACAGCCTGAGAGCGTTGTACAAGACTGAATCACCGCCTTTCAGCTGATAAAAGGGTCAGTAAGCGTGAAAGTGTTCGCGGAATGAGACGTACGAGGGGTACCAAAGATTCTGCTAGGACGTCTGCAGGACATACCCCGTAGTCATGAGAAAGGGAGAACGCAATCTTCCTTCCTCTGGACATATTCAATACTGGTGCGAGCAAGTCAAAGAACCCATCGCTCGGGTTAACCAGGGGCTCCGCAGCCACTCCAACCCCCGTCCCGAAAGTCTTCAGATACACACCATACAGGATCGACACTCTACACCCCTTCTCGACCGTCTCGACCTCATAATCGCAATCCGCAAGGAACGCCGTCCACTCGATATCCCCATTCTTACCACCTTTGCCGGTGAAGCGTTCCTCCACATTGGTGCTTTCGGACCGGACGACGAGTGCGCCACCTCGGAAGCGCACGGGGAGGGTGACGGTGATGGTTGCTACCCTGCTGTCGTTGCGGAGCGAGCGAGATTGGGGCCCCATGTGACCGCCGGAGACGATGACTTCAAGACGGTCCCGGAGGGTGGTGAGGTAGTGGCCCTCGGGGAGGGATGGGAAGAGGGTGGTGCGGACGGCTGCTAAGATGGGATGGTTCGCGATCTCGAGAGAGGTGGTGAGAGGGAGATTGGGAGGGTAGAAGAGCGATTCGTGCTCTGCGTACGAGTCCAAATCTGATGTTTGATGAGGTCGGCAGGCGGCGATGAGGACATCGAGGGCTGGAGGCGTGTTATAATCGACATCGATGGGGAAATCCAGGGAATGAGTTATTCCGCTCTGGAGAGTTAATGATCAGCAGAGATCAGGATCGTCATGAAGTGTAACATACCTTTGTCCGGAAAAATAGAACCAGCTGTGAGGGATCCAAAGGTATTCTGCCAGAGATTGAGAATACGCGGGTTTTGGCGGCAAGAAGGCGCGATATGTGATCTCGATATACGAGTTCCTCGTCGTAGGCTGGGTGGTTCAGATGAGGCAGAACGCTGTGTGGGCGATAGGGTGACCTGTAACTGCGCTCGATCTGAAAGTCGACACTGGGGCTTGTTTGAACGTAAGGCAAGCCATCAGAGCCTACACGACCATAGAATCCTGAGGGACTTGGTGCGCGGCTGCTCGGAGAGAGGATCATTGGACGTAAAAGTGATGAAGCAAGGAGATGAACGGGGTTTACAAAAGGAGAGGGTTAAAGCGCGGTGTCCTAACTATGTAGAGGCTGCGCAAAGAACGGAAAACACGAGTTAGGGCTCCACTCTAGAACACGATGTAACAACGTGTACGGTGATCGGAACATCTAGGCTTGTGACGCTGCCTTCCCAAGCATGGAACTCGTTTTGACAGTTGACGCACAGAGGATGTAGGGAGTATCGCTATCCGCTTTTCACTGTTATGGTCATGAATGGGACACGGTTGACATTTGAAGGAGATTCTGATGCCGGTTTCAAGGGTTACCTCGAAGTTCTGTCAGACTGGTGAGTGGCTTAGCAAATGCACGAGCTGACAACAAAGGCTATTACGCATCATACTCGGAGTTCCTTTGGAGTTCCCAGCTACCAATTGGTCGACCATGATCTTGTGTGAGAGAATGGGGACGTAAGAATGCAAAGGCCTTTCTTTGTGTGAGTAGTCAGGAAGAAAAAAGTGCTGGTCAGCCGACCTTATGCATGCATGAATCGCCTAGTACTGCACGTTGCATCACGACCGTGCTTGGTATAATGCCGAGTTATGCACTGAGTATGTGTAAAGAACGCGGTGATTCTGAAAAATTTACGCATAATCAACAGAGCGACGACCGTATCTTTCTCGGAGTTGATCAAGTCCATCACGTTCCTTTGTTTTCAGTGTGTTGACGCTCCCCAAAGCGGAGCTCCGTCGTAGGTTGGCATTGATAGGCTTTTTTGATTACGGAAAGCGCATGGACGAAAAAGGTGGCAGGCCGACAAGAAAAGTCAGAAAAGGTCTTCGACGTCGGTCGTGCTGCAAGTCTTCTGTGGGTTGATTTTTTTGGGTGATCGGCATTCGGAGCTGATGCATGATGTTCCGACAAATTGCCAGACTTCGGAAACCAATAATGGATTAGGATAAGTATACAGTAAGTGTTACTGGAGGATAAGTAGTCAATCAAATGCTTTATAAGGAGTCAAGTCCACGAACCGGTATCATATAGTAAAATCTGGTCCAACCAAATGTGAATAGCCAGTCCTCCCCGGCTTGTTATATACAGGTAACTGACTTTCTAGAAGCAGTTCTTGAGAATGACCCTATACAGAACAATAAGAAACGCAGATCACAAAAAAAGAGACGAAGATAACCGCCTTATAGCCTATCAAAGGCTGCCAACACCGAATATATCATATGTACAGATCTCCAAGAAACATTCCATCGCGTCAAACGTAGACTCGTAGCCTTTCCGTCTGCGTAAACCGTTGGTCGTCCGTGCCCTTTCTATATTCACCTCGTGTCGTAATGGATAACTCCCTTCCTTGCTCTTTGAAAGCGCGTAGTTCATTCACATCCTTTGGCGATAGCCCGCTCAACACATCTTGCGTCAAAATCTGCACATTGAGTACCCGCAAACCCGGGCGCGCCTTGACCAGATCCAGCAGACCAGTACTGATGAACGCGAATCCTACACCCAAGAACTCACAGTCGTACATATTGATATCGAGGACTCGCAACTGGGGAAGAAAACTGTTGGCTCTTTTTACCACGGTGGCGATGAGGCTCTTGATGGTATTGTCCTGTTTTTTAGACCATGATGGGAATCGGAGGCGGAGCTCGGTGAGCTGGGGGTTGATTTCGAGGATCCGGGTGAGGTCTGAGGAGCCTGGAGGATCGAAGATGGAGAGAGTGCGTAAGGCGCATTTGGATTGGACGAGCATGTCCCGGATAGCGGGGAGGATGTCGTCTGGGAGGGTGACGTCGTAGGAGTTGACTGTTAGGGATTCGAGAGCTGGGAGGGAGATGCGTCGCATCAGGGCGCTGTCGCATGCGTGGAGGTCGCGTAAGGAGGCGTTGGTAATGATACTGGGCTTCGCCTTGGAGAATAAACCCGGCTTTTTACTGTGGGGTCCGAGGAGCTGGTGGTTGGTGAGTAGTCGTTCTAGTTTGGGAGATCGGCGGAGAAGGGCGACGTAGTATTCCGTCATGGATTCGTCCCCCCATTCACGGTCGTCGCTGAATGCGACGAGGCGGGGGTACGGGAGCTCGATTCGGTTTTTGAGGTGCCCGAAGTTTTGCAAGGTGACTTTGGAAAGGTTCGGCGAGAGGGCGAAGGCGTCGATGGTGCCAAATTCGTGGATGTCGGAGCATTTTAGGTGGAGCGTTTGGAGGTTTGGGGTATTGTTGCGGACGGTGAATAGCGTTCGCATGCGCTCTGGGGATAGCTCGATGGTAGCTATGCGCCATTGCTTGGACACCTGGATGACTTCCAGTAGAAGGGCGTCAACTATGCCTTTCTGGGATTCATCAAAGCATCTATAGTTTGTTCTAAATGTAAAATCCAAGGGATGGAAGGGGCCGAGACGCGAAAGTGCTGTCTGAAGGAGTGAGAGGGGGTCCTTGAGCTTGAAAGAGCACTTTGTCTGGTCGACAGATAGTCCAGTCCATAGGGATCCCAACAGTAAAATGGCCCGCCAGTCTCTGCAAACGTGGCTCAAGGCCCAGGGTCCTCTTGATACGTCGAACACATCGTAGCGCTCTTCCTTTACCAAGGTGAAGATACGCGACAGTGTCGATGTTGGGACGCGTCGAAGTAGTACGGGGACTTTCTACAAGAAAAATTAGATATATGCTGTCAATTTTGTGAAGAAACGCACTGATGATTGATCCATAGCGCGTTAGATTTGACTTTTTGAGACACGACGATACAGGGAAAGGCTGAGCTATGCTTCGACCTTTCAGATATGGCCAAAAAGAATAAGATTTAGGTAACTTTTGAGAACTCGACGCTGCTGGTGGATGAGATGAGGGAGGAAGGAAAGAGCGGTTGCCAGGAGAAAAATGGTTACGCGTTATTTGGCTGCAGGCTGAAAAATCAACAATGGCACGTGGTCCATCATCAACTTATCTGGCTGCGGATCTGCGCAGTCTACATCTTTTCCGCATGCCTCTCACTGTTCCTCGTCGCCATCGTGTCCTTTTATTGGGACGACTCCATCGCCTGACCTACGGTTCGTCGAACATCCGTGTTTTTTCCAGCAAAAAAATGGCTTGTGGAGCTCACTGGCTCCATGCCGGCAAAACCGTGGCTGCAAAGGGCCTTTCCGTGGGATCTGTTGACCAGAACACTGGCAGCGAATAGGAATCCGAGACGTTGTCATACGAGCAAGTTTGTCTCGGTGAATTTGACCCAAATACAAGAGTCAGGCCCAAGTAGAATGGATATGAAGGTGTGCTTCCAGCTTGCTACACCAGCTACGACAGCTGAGCTCTCCAAAAAGGAAATCATCGGCCCGGATGACGGCCCGTCGGGGTTATAAATGGAGGCAGTGCTGAACAGTGTCTTATTTCCGTCTTGTCCATCAACCTCGTCGTCGCTTGGGTGACGCCCGTGATTGGAACACGCTATCGGCGGGAAATCTCCATTGTGGGAACTTTTGTTAATGCAGTGCGTGGCACAACCCTGACTGCCGGCTTCGCTCCACCATGTTGCTCCTGGAGAAGGACGACAAAGGCGCAGATAGGGCCTCCCTGCTTGCCCTCGATGCCTCGTCGTCCACCGGCTCACCGACAGTAGTCGGCGTACCACCGCCTACGGCCACTCGACTGTCTCGCCGTCTCATCCTTATTCACTTGCTGCATCTCCTTCTTCTGGCCATCAGTTTGACAATTCTTATTCTGGGCGTTCTTCGCTTGGACGAGGACGTATCTGTTTCTTTTACAGATGTAAGTTGTCGCATCTCCCCCTTTTTTGCCCTAACTTACGACTATCGCAGGCTGCGTCGGTATCCAGCTATTTGTCACTCGGGTTTCAGATATTCTTCACGGCAGCGGTCATAATATTGGCTTCTTTATCTCGAGTGGCGGCTGTAGACTCCGCTGTTCGGCATCGTGCGTTCTTGTGCTCATTTTGGCTTCAGTCCTTGTTCTTATTCGCATACAGCGACAAGTCTGACCGAGCTCGACCTTCGTATCCAAGCATGGTCCGGCATAGCATCTTCCCTATCAAATTGGAGACCTAGCGCAAGACGGTCTCTAAATCCATTCAACTCAGTCTTCACAGCCATTCCTCTATACTTTATTGCTGCAGCATGCCTATGCATCGTAATGTCGAGTGTTCTCGGTATGTCGGTTGTTTGTACCCGAAGCACATGTCTCATATGTTCTCACACAGGCGTCCAAATATACGTCGCCACCGCTGTGCAATCAGTTAATGCTTCGGTGATAAATCATATGGGCTCGTATCTCGATCCACTCAACATTTCCACGCACGACATTCGAGATGCCTTTGTGAAAGATAACCAATGGACATGGCCGGTATGGAACTTCGTTCTTCTATCTCGTCACGAGTCTCAAACAGTCGTAGGCCAGAGAATGGGACCTCAATATGTTTATATCCTCGGCGAGCTACTCAAACAAGAGCCCTGGCCTTCAAAAAAGGTGCGTCAATTTGTTCGGCGTAACTTAGTCATTGTTCATGTTCTGCCCAGTCTTTTATACGACATTCCCATCAATGCATTCCCAACCGAGCAATACAGTTCTAGTATGTGCCATTCATTCTCTTCATAAAGCATTTTGTAATACATGCTACAGTCATCGTTAATTCCACTACGATGAACGTCCAATGCAGTCAAGTACAGGAAGCTGACATCAACATTTTTCTCATGCCCCTCGCCGATAATAATACGTCACATGCTATAGCTGATCTCTCCGAGGGTCCTGAAGGTCCTGTCGACGTCTGGTTCAACCTTTCCATGCCTCCGCCCCCTTATTGGGACCCCAAAATGCCACAATCGAACTTCACTACCTTCTTTCAAACCCTTCAGACAACGTGTGGATCGGATAATCACAACATGGGGCCCGGACCTCACATATGCTTCAATCCCAGTTACATGAACTTCACGAAAGTCGTCGTTCAACCTTGGGTGCTCGATAGCAATGTCAGTTTTCCAGGTCATCAGCAAATTGTCTTCGTCATCGCCACGTCGAATGAGGACGTCCTTATACGTGACGCTGACGGTTCGACAGGGGCTACTGTTAACGCAACCATCAACACCGGTTTTTGCAGGCCGAATCACGATCCTTCTGAGGACGATAGGTCTTGCAAGTCGGTGCAGATGTTTGTTCAGACTATCGGCTGTACGCTGCAGACGACTCAAGCGGACGTTGAAGTTACATATTCTGGAGTTTTGGTCGACGTAAACACGCCATCTAATCCCGAACCTCATCAATGGGACATCTTCCAGTGGGACCCGACTAGCCCGATACGCGTAGAAGATCTTTTCCTTACCGCGTTCAGTCCGGTCCCGACCACGGACGAGATAATCTCTGGCAACGCCTCGCTTGCCAATCTAGGCCAGAGCCCTGTAGAGCAGCTTCTCGCGAACGTCGTCTGCCCGGCATCGAACAACAACAACTCTTATCTCGGACTTGATGAACTCGAGTGGAGTTTGGCGGCTCTCTACGCAAGCTATATTTGGAAGGTGTGGCAATTGTGTGATTGCCCATCCTGGCCGATGTATACTCGTCAGCCTCCGTTGGTGTGTCAGAACTTTCAATCGGGCGCTGCCACAGGTGGCTGGGATGCCGTGGCTGATGCACAGGTCACAATGTCCGAGACCAAGGCCACGTTGAAAGTTATTCCTTGGCGGGCGGTGATTGGAGCAGCATGCAGTACTCTTATGTGTGTCTTGTCTTTTGCCCTTTTGGGTACGACAACAGATCGGGATAAGGATACACCGCTGAGGGAGGCTAGGCTCGTAGACGGTGTTCGATTGATGATTGACTCGTCTTTGCCTAATACGGCGAAACTAGTAGGGGTTGAGGGCTTGAAGCTCAGGTATGTGCAGGGTTACTTCTTTACCAGAGACGGACTAACTTTTCCGATGTAGGTATAGCTGGAACGATGATCAGAGCCACCGGATACTTGATGTTCGCGATGAGAATGAGAAGGTGGCGTAGTAGACCTCGGACAGATATGGACTGGATTCACGGGACTGGGGTGTTGTACATTGGTAGTACTGTACATACGGATAGTGATGGTGAAGGGTTGGTTCATCTGCTTTGGGAGGACGTGGTGTATGACGTAGAGGATGGCTGCTTGACTTTTACCCATACGGGTAAGCTTTATAATTCCCAACAGTTCTTGGCGAGCTGATTCTATAATGTAGCGACCAAGACCTGATGGATATCATGACAAGGGTGGGATATCGGGACATTTGCTCAGCTGAATCTCGTGAAACGGCTTGTCTTGAGTGGTGCGTTTATTTGAAACGGTGTTGGTTTCCCGGCCAGCTGAGCGCGAGTCATGTATAGATTTTTTTGATGACCCGTCCTTATCGTTCCTATGGACACAGCTTCCTTGCTTCGGTGGGGCGCCCCACCAAGTACCCCGCCCCTGGTACTAGGGAAAGCTTCTAGGTCCATACGCCTCATCTTCGGATGATGTGGTGAAACTTTGTTTTTGTTCTTTATGAAGGGCCTGCGGCCTTCATTGCGGGATTTCGTGATGCCTTTTGGGGACACAGTTATCGAATCTTATATTATCTTAAGATGAGATTTGGGCGGCGAGTGGTCATGCTTCGTACGGCCGTGGTAGTGTCTCAAGGTTGTTATTCCTGTACCGATTCGTGCTAGTCGAGTTCAACACCTTGCTTGCATTCATTAATTAACCCACATCATGCGCAGCGGCGTTCTGGTTTGTAATGTTCATTTGTTAGTATTGGGTAGGTAACTAACCATCTTGTCAACCTCTACGTACTTTGTCTTCGTTTCTACCGTTCCCGGAGGAAAACGTTGCCTTGCTGCATTTTCTGGGGCACACGGCTGCTCTGCGAGGAAGGTGCTTGCTCTTCATGACTGCATCTCGAATCTCAGAGGTACCATTTATTGCTTCTCAGTGAGCATACAGCCAGATACATTTTGATCTTCATTCGATGCTTTACGAATCACTTGTTTCTGTTTTCACCCATCTGTCGCCTCGCATCCCCCTCCTTCTAGTATTCGAACAGCATTATATTTAGTTGGATTAAAGGCTGAAGTTCATTTGCGTTATCGTCTTGAATACATGAAATCTACGCAGTACGCGTCTTGCCGAACGGCGAACTTGAAGAGCTTCCTGGCCATTAGTTTCAAGGGGGATGCTCTTATTGTGGTTTCACGTATATTAGTAAAAAGTGAAGGTCGCCGATGTATTTTGGTATACTGTCCTCGTAAAGTGTTGGCATTTGCTCAGACCATGCCATACTATAGAATATATTCGTGAAATTCCCCGTTGACAACTTTGTCGACAACTCCGAGATTCGCCTGCAGTTACACGGCATCTGATCACTTCTTGAAAACGATTTTATATTTTTATCAAACCTGACTAACGGATTTACAAGTACCGTCCCAGTTATGCCCACTTCGTCGCGGAGGTAATTCATTAAGCTGTGTCATCGTTATTCTCATAGATCAATTAGGTCAGTATCTGTCTTCCTTGATTAAATCGGCGGCTCTCTCCGCGAACACATACACCGGTACTTGAGTATGCGCTGCTGGTAAGAACGGCTAGAACCGAGGAAGGTAAGCTTGGTGTGAGACAGTACAATTGTGTATTTATAAGACCTACCAAAACTGACGCATCGACAATCCTGACACCCTTAGCGCCCTTCAACTTCAGATGTGGGTCTACCACTCCCCAATCTGCATTCGCTGGGGACATGCTTGCCGAACCCACCGGATGGAAAAGACTGGCAACCCCATTCCTGATATCGTCTTCGGTAGTGTTTGTTACGATATCGAGGATATATCCGTCCCATACCGGGGCAGTGACCAGTTTCTGTGCACTGGCAATAGCGTATTTCATGATAGCGAGATCTTGCGAATGAGAGAGGAAGTTGGGATTAATTAGCGGTGGGTCCAAGGGGTTCGTACTGTTGATAGTAACGTTCCCGCCTACACGCAAAAAAGATGAACATTGAAAAAGACTGGACGATATGATCAAACGTACGCGATAGAGGACACATAACAGCCGGCCGGACAGAAAAGAAGTTCCCCGTTTCTGGGATGGGGTCCCGAAAAACTCCGTTCTGTAAGAGAGTCAGAAACCAAAACTTGACTTGGTCTAGCGTGGTACATGCCGATAAAATCATTTCATAATGTGCTGTCTCATTTCCGGCACACGGTTCTCCTTCAACTATGCCTGCGCCATCAGGAATTCGAAGGAACGCTAGCTGATTTGCCGCCGCCACCGTCAAAAAGCCTGTTCGAGTTGCCTGCCACTCGGCCAAGGCATCTGCTTGGAATGTCGCATTTCTGAAATAGATATTTTCTATAGTATCAGTATCGCTAACAGTGAAAAGCATGCTCCAAATGGGGTGGTCTGTGAAGTTCTTGCCGACGTCGGGAAGGTGGAGAGTCGGTGTAATGTGCAAAGCTGCGAGTTCCCCTGCGTCTCCGATCCCAGAATGAAGGAGTATATGCGGCGTGCCAATGGATCCAGCAGAAAGAACGATTTCCTTGAGGCTTGTAGGCGCGAGAGTATGTTTGGTTACTAGAAGATAACGAAATGTCAGTCGATAGCCATACTTAGCACGCGAAAAATTCCATTCACCTCCAGCATCTTGGGTAAACTCAACTGCGTTAAATGTTGGCAGTCCATTGATGTTCTTGTTATCTGACCGGAGAATTCGAGTAACATGAGCTTGAACCAAGACATGCAGGTTCGGTCGGTCAATATATCCAGGTCCAAGATATGACGTCTGCGAGCTGCTTCGAGTACCATTTCCAACCGTCAAGGGCGCCCATCCTGATCGTATTCAGCAAAGTCTGCGGTCAATCGACTGCGAATTCTCACCAATTCCCAGATGGTAACCGGAATTATAATCCAGATTGAAAGGGAAATCTTCAGGGAGTTCTGTTGTCGTCTGAATAATAAGGCTGTCCGTACCACGCGGGTATCCAGGAAGAGAAACGTCTGTAACCCCACGGAAGCCGTGAGACGCAGGGTTGAACTGACCGGTCGTATTGTGGTGGTCAGCTGGAGCGACGAAGCGTTCATTCTGTTGTAGAACGTCAATGACTTTAGTGAAAACGAAATATTTTCGACCGACCTTCCGAAAGTACGGTTGCAAAGCTTCCCATCCCCATCCAGGGTCACCACTGATTTGAGCATAACGGTCGTAATCTTGGGACGAACCGCGTGTATAGAACATAGCGTCTGGGTTTGCGTTCAGCTATGAGAATTTGGCATCCAAAGGTTCAGCACGTACTGACGGCACTGCTTCCTCCCAGTCCAAATCCTCGAGGAAGCGGTACAGAGCGCCCGTTCAACCCTGGCTGCTCGGTCGTGGTGAAGTTCCAATCCCAAACCGTCCCTGGCACTATACGAGGAAAAAAGAAAGGCACTTGAGAAAGGAGAACGTCGGCTGTCCTACAGCAAAGGTAAAAATTATCGTACAAGCCAAACGAGGGTGAACTCACGATGCGCCCGCTTCGAGAACAAGGACAGAGACCTGCGGGTCCTCTGTGAGACGGTTCGCAATGACGTTTCCTGCTGTTCCGCCTTGACCCAGTATATGAGTGCACAGCATAAAAAAACTAAAAACAGTAACATATACCTCCGACAATAATAAAATCGAAATCGAGAGTCGGAAGCTCCTCGAGCCTTTCGTATATCGCCCCGAGCACTACGGAACATAGAGCATGGAGCAAAAAGAAGGAATGCCTGAGATGCATAGTTGCTGAACGGCCCGCCAAGGGTAGGACATAGTGGTGGTCTTATGAATCATTTGACGCTTCGCGGTGAATCGTGGTACATCACGGTCCACATGATGGAGATAAGACCTTACGAAGTTCTGGTGGGATTTAGGGAAGTAGGAACCTGGTACTGTATTGGCTGTCGCGATCAATGAGATTCACCTGATCGGTCTCGTGTTCAGCCGTCAGGTCACGAACTTCAAATGTTGGAGAGGAGAAACCTCAGGATGAAGCGAACGAGCATCGACCTGAATGTAACCTGAGAATAGTGGAAACGTTTTTGGTATCCCTGAGGAATCGATTACTTATCGCCAAGCATTCCTCGAGATAGAACCTGAAGTAGGTCCGGTCGAGTGATAAATTCTAATCTCACATACAGCGCGTCTCCATGCTTTGGATACAGGGAGAAAAAAAAACAAAGTGATCGACAATGTAGCGTTCGTTCTGTCATGAATACACCGCGATGTTGAATTATATTGCGATTCGAAGCCTCTAGGCTTTATCTATTCAGTCAGAGCTTACAACTTGAATTACTTTCCGATTTAATCAGATCTACAGCCCTCTCCGCGATCACATACACAGCCGCTTGAGTATGTCCTGCTGGCACGAACGGCTATCAAAGAACAATGAGAGGTCAGCTCGCGAGGAGGGCTACTAAGACAAACTCACCATAACTGAAGCATCGACAATCCTTACGCCCTTAGCGCCCTTCAACTTCAGATCCGGGTCCACAACTCCCCAATCTGCACCAGCAGGAGACATGCTTGCTGTACCTACCGGATGGTCCACGCTATAAGAGCCGTTCCTGATATCGTCCACTGTGGTATTGGTCAAGATGTCGAGGATGTAGCCATCCCATACTGGGGCTGTAACGAAATTCTGCGCGCTGGCTAAGGCATATTGCATGATAGATAGGTCCTGCGGATGTGTGAGATAATTCGGGTTGATTAGTGGTGGGTCCAAGGGATTGGTGCTATTTATAGTGACGGTTCCGCCTATATGAATGAGAGTTTTCAATAAGCGCAAAATGTGGCTCAGCAGTGAACATACGGGAAAGAGGACACAAAACGATCGTTGAAATTCTAAAGAAGTTTCCTGTTTCTGGAACAGGTTCCCAGAAATCACCATTCTACAATGAAAAAGTTAGCAAGGTCCCAAACTGGCGTTGAATCGCCACACACTATAAAGATCAACTCGTAATGCGCAGTTTCGTTCCCCGCACACGGCTCTCCTTCCACCACACCCGTATCTTCAGGAACGCGAAGGAACCCCATTTGATTAGCTATGCCTGCTGTCAAATAACCTGTCTGGGAAGCCCGCCACTCAGCCAAGGCCTCCCTTTGAAAGGTGGCGTTTCTGAGATACACGTTCTCAATCGTGTTGGTGCTGTTAACAGAGAAAAGGATATTATATCCTGGGTGATCCGTCAAGTTCTTGCCGACGTCAGGTAGGTGGACGGTTGGTGAAATTCCGAGTGCTGCAAGTTCGATGCTGTCACCTATGCCTGAGTGTAGCAGGATATGTGGGGTGCCGATAGAGCCTGCGGAGAGAACAATTTCCTTGAGACTCGGAGGCGCAAGGGTGTGAATGGATGCTAGGCGATGACAACGCGTTAGCTAACGGATCAACAACGTATGGTAGGACAAATTCACCTCCAGCATCCTGAGTAAATTCGACAGCGTTAAATATGGGCGAACCGCCAAGATACTCTTTTGTAGACCGCAGGATCCGAGTGACATGTGTGTGGATCAGAACGTGCAGATTCGGCCGCTCAATATATTCAGGCGCAAGATAGGATGTCTGTGAGCTGCTTCGAGTCCCGTTTCCAACGGTGACTGGTGTCCATCCTGCCGATTATCAGCCTCAGCCAAAAACTTGTGCCAGTAATCCTCACCAACGCCTAGATGATATCCGGAGTTATAATCCAGATTGAAAGGGAAATCATCAGGTAATTCGGCCGTTGTCTGGATGACGTGGCTGTCGGTACCCCGTGGGTATCCAGGCATAGATACAGGGTTGATACCGTCGAAACCATGGGCGGCAGGATCGAATTGACCCGTTGTGTTGTGGTTATCGGCTGGACCTACAAAACGTTCGTTCTGTCATAGTGAGGTAGGAAGGTAAGTAGTAGCAAGCAGACGGCCGGCGACTTACCTTTCGAAAGTACAGTTGCAAGGCATCCCATCCCCATGTATCGTCACCGCTAACCTGGGCATAGCGGTCGTAATCCTGAGAGGAATCACGCGTATAAGCCATGCCATCTTGTAACGTCCGAGTCAGCTGTTGTACTCACAACGAAAACACATAATAAGATGACGTACTAACAGCACTACTTCCCCCTAATCCAAAGCCTCGTGGCAGTCGAACGGAACGTCCTTTCAATCCCGGTTGCTCCGTTGTGGTGAAGTTCCAGTCCCAAGGCGTTCCCGGAACTACGTCAGAGCAAAAGAAAGGGATCTCTGAGAGGATAACATCGGCGGTCCTGGATGAAGGTTTAGTAACAGCGTGGAAAAGGTATGTAGAAGGAGACAAACGATGTGCCAGCTTCGAGAACAAGGAGGGAGATATGGGGGTCCTCTGTCAACCGATTCGCGAGTACGTTCCCTGCGGTTCCACCTTGACACTGACATTAGCGAACAAGTAGCCTAACGTGGTGAACAACACTGACCTCCCACAATTATGTAATTGAAATCCTGGATCGGAAGGTCCTCGAACCTTTCGTGTATCGCACCAAGCGCGCTTGAGGATGAGAATGCGGCAAGCAAAATGAGGAGGGGAACCATGGGGGTCTGAGCTCTCTGCTTTGTGTTACGGACGCGCTTAAATGTATACATGAAGCGACGATCCAAAATCTTGGCAGAGAAGGTCGAACCACGGGACAAGGAGAATCTCTAATAGAACGTTGGTGTGTCGTAAGCGTGCGTAATGGACTTGAAGGAACCTTGGCAAGCAAACGTAACTGGTCACCAAACGACGTTATGTAGCTTCCTCGAGTCGCTCTTGTTACTCGACAGTGATCATCGAATAATGTCACATTTCTTACATCCAGAATCATGCAAAGGGCTTTAGTATAAGTGGGCAAGAACGTCATGCAGCAGAACATGAGCAGCGATCGTCAGAAACTGACGTTGTCCAAGAAATCAAGGATGTGGTCGTTTAGTTCTTGAGGGGGCCCTGTACATCACTATGAGGTATCCAGTCAAATGAGGACATCTATGAGAAAATCAATTCTCCCACAGAAAGATAGTGACGTTGGAAATATACCTTATTCTTCTAATATTGAGTCTGGGAGATGGACGAGAGGTCTGCAGAAATAATTGGCAGTGTTCATGGCACTATGGGTGAAACCACTGCCTCAAACTAGGTATCCGTTCAACGTTGTCGACTTATTATTTAAATTCAAACGGAGATACTTCATATATTGAAAAGTTTACCGAAGTTTCCTAACAAACATCATATATCTGCTTTGATTAAATCGGCGGCCCTCTCTGCGATTAGATATACCGGAACCTGAGTATGAGCTGCGGGTATGAATGGCTAGAAGACGAGGTATTGAGCTCGCAAAAGCATAGTACCCACGAGAGGAGTGGCTTACCAAAATTGAAGCATCTACAATTCTCACTCCCTTCGCACCTTTCAACTTCAAGTCCGGGTTTACTACGCCCCAATTGGCATCGGCAGGCGACATGCTTGCGGTACCCACAGGATGGAATACGCTGCTAGCACCATTCCGGATATCATTTTCGGTAATATTTGCATTGATACCGAGTATGTAACCGTCCCACACCGCAGCAGTAACAAACTTCTTCGCACTCTCAGCAGCATATTGCATAATAGCAAGATCTTGAGCATGCGAGAAATAGTTTGGATTGATCAGTGGCGGATCCATAGGGTTTGTACTGTTAACTGTGATATTCCCGCCTGTTACCGGCCATTTATCTGTGTTACTACTTATTAGAAAGACAAGACAGCGAGTGAACGCACGGGATAGAGGGCATATATCCGCGATTGCGATAGAAAAGAAGTTTCCTGGAGGGGGAGGGTCCAAGAGGATGCCATTCTAGGAAAAGTTCGGCATTGCCATAACCTGATTGAAACAAATTGTTCGTACCGTGAAAATAAGCTCGTAGTGCGCGGTTTCATTTCCCGCGCATGGGTCTCCGTCCAATATACCAGCGTCTTCAGGAATGCGAAGGAAGCCTACCTGATTCGATATTCCCGCCGATAAAAAGCCAGTTCGATTCGCTTGCCACTCTGCTAGAGCCTCTGCTTGGAAGGTCGTATTTCTGAAATAGATGTTCTCGATAGTGTCCGTGTCGTTAACGAAGAAGCTGATAGTCCATAAGGTATGGTCTGTCAAGTTCTTTCCAACGTCGGGAAGATGGAGCGTCGGTGCTATCCCTATAGCTTTAAGCTCGGTTTTGTCGCCGATGCCAGAGTGGAGAAGGATATGCGGGGTACCCACGGATCCGGCAGCGAGAATGACTTCTTTGAGACCGGCTGGCGCTAGGGTATGTGTAGTTGCTAGACGATGAGGTCAAGTCAGACTAAATATCCTCAAGATGTATCGCGAAGACTTTATCACCTCCTGCATCCTGGGTGAACTCGACGGCATCAAATGTCGGCTCGCCTTTGGTGTTTTTGGTATTGGACTGTAGAATCCGAGTGACGTAGGCATGAGTCAGGACATGCAAATTTGGCCGTCCGATATACTTGGGTCCAAGATAGGACGTCTGCGAGCTGCTTCGAGTCCCGTTTCCAATTGTATATTGAATCCATCCTGTCGATGTTTAATACCACTGGAGTCAGTCATACAATTTCCAGTAGATTCTTACCGATTCCTAATTGGTATCCGGAGTTGTAATCCAAATTGAAAGGATAATCGTCCGGAAGCTCCAGCGTAGTTTGAATGACGCGGCTATCCGTAGCTCGCGGGACTCCAGAGAGAGACACCGAGTTGATGCCGTGGAAGCCATGGACCGCAGGATTGAATTGACCAGTGGTGTTGTGGTGATCACTAGGGGGGACAAAGCGTTCATTCTATCGTAGCGTTATCAACAGGGATGGCAATAAAAGGCAAAAGATGAACCTTCTGAATGTACGGTTGCAATGCCTCCCATCCCCAACCAGGGTCACCACTGATCTGGGCATAACGATCGTAATCTTGAGACGAACCACGCGTGTAGAACATATAATCTGGAAACACATTAATTGAAAGATCCGGGCAAAACCCTCAAAAGGACTTACTGACTGCACTACTCCCTCCCAATCCAAATCCTCTAGGGTACGGAACAGAACGGCCATTCAATCCTGGTTGTTCAGTTGTGGTAAAATTCCAGTCCCAAGGGGTTCCGGGAGTTATGTCAAGGCAAAAGAACGGAACCTCGGAGAGGAGGACATCAGCCGTCCTGTGGAAGAGTCAGCATTAAAAGTCAAAGCATATAGAGAGGGACAGACGATCCGCCAGCTTCAAGTACGAGCACGGAGACGTGATCATCTTCTGTCAAACGGTTTGCAAGAACATTCCCTGCAGTTCCGCCTAGATTTCAATGTTATAAGACAGAGAATGAATACCGGGTTCGCTGGAAGGACTAACCTCCGATTATAATGAAGTCAAAATTCTGAGTAGGGAGATCTTCGAACCTCTGGTATATGGCACCAAGCGCGCTTGAACATAATATGAGGAGGGTAAGGAACAAAGCATCCATGGTTAATTCAACGGACGCACCACAATCTTAGAGATGGTTACTTATATATATATTGTGACCATCTAAATCTCCAACTGGCCTTGGTCATACCTGGAAGAGGACAGTCCACATGATATAAACTAGTGAAACGTTAGTGAGATAGGATAGAATACCTAAGGGGCGCTCGGCCACAGCGATCGCCACTACTTGGCCGACCGGGATTTCATTTCTGCACCGGCAAGAGATGCATCATGAAGGAAGTACTTCCATTGGTCTTGTGCTCATGATGTTGCTGAAGTGCCTGCCAGTTCCGTGATTTCATTGAATTCCGGCATCAGAAGTCCTGAGGTTACGGGAGCTGACATTATTAAATGATAATACGGAGGTAAGGAAAGGTGATCACTTACCCCGGATTAGAATTCAGATTGGACCTGGAGTATTCACTGACGATAGTTTTCACCACTAATTAATTGACATCTACAGCGCCCATCGCCATACGCCATACACCGGCTTTGTCAAAGCTTGTTTTCGAGCTCGGTCTCACAGTAAAAATTCTTTACTTCCTTGAAAAGGACTGGCATGAAACGGTTCGGAAGAAATAAGCAGGAGAGAACTAGCGAATAAATCCACAGCGATGCGGCTATGATAATGGAACGGTGAACGAGGCGAGGTGGACCCCCTCTCCTTCGGATCTTAGGCTAAGCCTCGGTATACATAGCCAAAGGCTGTTGCAACGAATGTAAATTTCTGTATCAATGAGACCAACTAATCAATGCCATTAGTTAAGGAAGAATTTACATACTTAATGAAAGATCCCCTTACCTCAGAACAGGATAGTTCATGCATAGAAGGTACCGGTAATTAGTCTTGCCTAGCACGACAGATGGGGCAAGGTGAATGGATAGATGGAGGAAATTCTTGAAGTGCAGTTCTGGCAGACAGCAAGCGAGCACCTTACGGTAACATTTTCTATCATCCAAAAGTCAGCACAACTCGCAAAACACATCGTCCTTCCTCACAGGGTCAACGTAGCGTTCCGGAAAAAAGTTCGACGTCCGAACCCACGAAGGCGGCGCAGAAACGCCTGCAACATCCATAAACCTTTCCAACTCCTTCTGTATGATTGTTTTTGTCGCCGCCCTGTACGCGCTTTTATTGATAGCAAAGCACAGAGCGAGAGCTGACTGGGATTTGACGTTCACAACCTTGAAGATACTGCGAAAGAAAATGCGGTGCTCGCGAAGGATAGGTAGGATGTGGCAAAATATTTTGCTGCTATCGTTCCAAGTGGTTCTGGGAACCAGGTATGAAGAAATTCTCGTCCAGTGGCCAACCCCACAGCGTCAAAGAGAAACCCTTGCGTTTGGGACGTGTTCTACGGGCTGCACGGGCCTTGTGTGATACCTTTGGTTGGGGTACACAAGAGTTCTGGCTGTCAGAGGGAAGAGACGCAGGAAGAGCCTTTAGCGTGTTTGAACAAGACTGAATCTCTGAATTCAAGGTGAGAGTAGACATTTTGGGGGTTAATTCAGGGTTCATCGTCTGTACCAAGAATTGATATGATAGAAGAGACGGGGGAAATAAGAGCGCACGATTCAATGAAGGGGGGTGGGGCTGGTTCTAGAGAGAACGGAGTACTCGACTGTCAACCTGAGGTCGAATTTTGGCCCAACATATGCACGTGATTTGCCATTAAGATAAGGGCGGCATTTCAAGTTTGGTAAATTCCGACACCTCTTTGTTTCGCACTATCGTCATCCTCTACAAGGTGAATAGCAAACGCGAATTATTCAGAGGCAGCGCAATCAAGTTCATTCGCTATGGATATATCTGTTGGGCTACCAACATGGCTTGCAGCGAGCTGGGAGAAGTAAGTTTTTCTTCACGATTTCTGAGCGCATACAACCAGCTTATAGTCGCCTATGTTTCCTCCAGTCTGTGATTGCGAGCGTTAGCACGAACAAACACACGCCGGTGGAATCGCCTTTTTTTGCTCGCCCTTCTTCAGTTCTTTCGGGATTCCATAATAGTGAGATTCAGGTGGAGAAACGGAGCATATGTCACTTTGTGGTGTCTCAAACAGTCAGTCCTACGACAACCTCTCAAGTAGCGGAGGCTAGCGCTCGCTCCTGTGGGTTACCCACTTTCCATATTACAATGCTATGCCCAAGCTGATGTGTTGTAGAAGCAATATTTCCTTCATCACCGTATGGCAGACCCTAGCACTATGTGACAAAAATGAGTTTTCAAACAGTGTAAATAGGGCGACGATGGAGAATGGACGAGAAAGACTACGACACAAATTATGTACGTTCTCTGCAGTATTGGTACTCATGGACGCGTTGAGTGACATCGCTCCCCAGAACTATCCCACAAAAGCTGTCAGATATCATTGTTCCTCAGGACTGTCCTGCAAAACTTGTCAAGCTCAAGGACCATCGTCTCTTGCTGCACTTCTTCCACCCACGTATACTCCTGCGCTTCCCTCTTTGCACATTCCTCACACATAGTAAACAACCACCCATCTGAATCAGCCAAGTTACCCGGTCCACCGCATTCCTCGCATATCTTCATCGCCTTCTCTTCCATCTCTAGCAGATACTTCCAAATCTCCTCATCTCCATTTTCCACGGATATTCTCAGCTCACCATACTTCTCCTTGATTTGTGTGAAGATGACGTCAGTTTCTTTGAGCTTCTCGCAAATCTGGCGAATGAGTCCTTCCCATCCTCTTCCGCACAATATCCCCCATTTCTTTATCTCGGAGTCGGCGAAGAGGCTCGGATATTCTTCCATGAGATCAGACTCCCATTCCTCGATGTCCTCCACGAACAGATCCCTGAATGATTAGAATGGTGGATTTGAAGAGCGAGAGATACGACTCACTCGGGAAGGTTATCCCAGTTTTGCGTGGCGTTCAGATTGGGTTGCATGGAAGACATGAAGGCAATGAATTTACGGCGTCGTTGGAAGGGATTGATAGTTCGGATGAAACCTTTCTCCCCAGGCAGCCAGTCATAATAACGTAATAACGGTGGACAGTGATCGATTCAGCATCAAATTTAGACCTTGACTCATGCCACCATGTCTCGCTCTTCTTCCCCGGTCCCTATTCCCTCTGAAGCACTGTGCTAGACGAATATCAACCATCAAACGCACAGTTCCAAGTTATTTGGATCACGAGGGTGGCTGGTTATGGAACAATGCCCTTCGTATGTTTTTTTTCCCTTGTCCCTTCAAGTTTTTCATTTATTCTCTAGAACGAAGCCGACGGCGTGTACACTTGGATATCGATGCTCTCTAGAATATTGCCTGTTCAGCGGTTGGTGCTCTACGCTGCGTTCGGACCGAAAATCTCGCACAGGGTCCTCCTTCCAGTGTTATATCTATTTCTGTGGCTCTAATGGTTTTTACAGGTTCTTACAATAAGATTTTTCTCTTCGGCTTTGATAACGAGGTAGAGGCCATCGCAAGGATTCCCTGCACGCTGGTGGGTAATGTCCACATGTCCACCGCCAGCGAGGTAGCCACTATGGAATACGTTCGAAAAGTCTTTGACAAGCCCACACCACGCGTTCTTGCTTGGAGCAAGACCCCGGAAGCTCGAGCCGCTGTAGGGACGGATTTCATCCTCATGGAATACATACAGGGTGTTCCGTTGGAGAACCGTTGGCTGAATACTTTCGACGAGAACATCGCAGTGGTCATGCGCGAGTTGATCCATTTCGATATCGATATCCACCAGCGCCCATTTTTGCAGATCGGTAGCCTGTTCTTCAAGGAGGACGTTAGCCCCGAGCTGCAGAATAGACCGCTGTACCTCAGGGAGACGGATAACAAGGCGCCAGCCGCTGACAAGCATCGGATTGGGCCCGTTGTTGATAACCAATACTGGTTTGGCGGAGAGGAACCCGTCGTTGATGATCGTGGTCCTTGTGAGTGATGCTCCTTATCTTTATTTGGAGAAAGGCTAATCGTCATCCTCAGGGCCTAGTATGACAACTTCCCTGCAAGCAACCTGTCGTTTGGCACTGCGTAGGGCCGAATCTCAAGCTGCGAGCGCCACCTCTTCTTGTCCATCCCCCAGCTCGCTCCTGAGCTGGTCAAAACCGCACGACCTCCCTGAGCTACGTCGACTCTTACACCACTGCATATCGATGGTACCTTACTTGACTCCATCAGAGCCGGCAATAGCATACCCCTTCCTTACCCACCCCATCTCTCAAGGTCCAACATGATCGTGCAACCCTCCGGAGCAGCGAACATTCTCTCATACGTCGACTGGCAAGGCGCCACTGCCATCCCGTATCTCATGGGCCCCGATCTCGCTCCCGCGCTCCGCTACGAAGGAAGTCTCATCCCGTTCCCTGAAGATCCCTTCAGTCTTCCAGAGATGCCTCCAAATATCCCACCCGAGCTCAAAGAACAGGCTGAATTGGAGTGGAGACTCGCTAAACGACATAGAGGCGTCGCGAGCATCCTTATGCGAAATGTCCCAATGTGGTTTGCCACTGCGTGTGTGTACCGTGTTGATCTGCTGAGGGCGCTGCCTGATACGGCGTTGCGGTGTTACGCGGACGGCCCGCATCGACTACGGCATCTCGTCTACGAGATGTACTAGGAATGGTCCTCTATCGTGGAAGGTTCCGCTGAGTGTCCTGTTCGACTGTCGCCAGCGGAAATTGCGCGTGAACAGGAGGAGTATGCTGCGTATTCGCACTACCAGCAGCGCAGAGACGAGGCTCTCGCGTCGATACAAGGTGACCCTGATGGGTGGATGTCAGAGGAAGATGCAGTAGTGATGCGCCAGAGGTGGGCTGTAGCGCGCGAGGCGTGGAATGAAGACGAAGCAGGCGGTCCATTTCCTCTACAAGACACAATGTGGTCGTTCCATCTTACCTGACTGGCGTTTTCTTTTGTCAATGAAATCCCCTCTTATACCGATAACCATCCTTGACAATATACGAGCGCATTCAACCAGTTATTCTGGCCGGAATATGCTTGCTCGACCAAAGGAAGCATAGACAAGCTATACATGACCATTAAATGAAGACAAGCTTACCTTCTCCATGTTAGAAGCCTAGCTTTGCAACGAACGAGCTGGAAACCGCCGCCTCCCAGTAACCCACGATTTCTATAACTTGAAGCCAGTGCAAGGAGGATGGTGGTGGTGGTGGTGGTAGGATGAACCCGCGAGGTATCGGGATAAGCCGAACCCACCTTGCGCTCTACTATACGCGATTCGATGACCCCATGTATCCTTCTGTGCAAGATGCCAAGATCCCGCCCTACGTTTCACCGTGGTAACTCAAACTGCAACACGGCCCTCGGAACCCAAACCCGAACTCGAAGTAATCTTCTGACAGGATTTCCGGAGAGCGATGATATCAACATTTCGGAAGGCGGGGTAGCGGGACCTGGTTTTTGGTTTCCCTGGCATGCTCATCTACTACTTAATTTGCGTCTTACCTTTCTATTGCCGGTGGGACCACTACATATGTCGTGTTTCCGAAGGAGATCATTGGACGCTACTGATCTCGAGGCACAGCCGCCCGATCCCATTGATGGTGCCACCTTTCTTCCCTTCCCTTCCTGGCCTAATTCTGGGTACGGTTATCCATAGACATCCCTTGACGTTACGTCCTGCCGTAAAACGGCTGGAAGCGATATATTATCACATCGTTCAATGGCTTTATAAGCGGTTTTACAACTTATCATTTTCACGCCCGCTCTCCCCTCACACATGCTTCCCACCACACTTTTTCTGGGCTTAGCGGGAACCGCGCTAGCTTTCCACGGCCAGGCATGTCAGCGCATTGCTGTCGAGGTCTCGTCTGCGACAGGTGTTTATTATCCTGGTTAGTACTACTTAGTATCAAGTCTTCGCTCGGCATTTGGCTGACCTCAGATAGGATCCCCATCATACATCGCAGACAATGACCACTACGTCTCATCAAGCTCGCAATCCTCAAAATGCAGTGTCGAACCTGGGTCTGCTGAAGATGTCGGCATCATTGTGTGTATCACATCTTTTCTCATTTGTTTGTTTGTACCTAACGTCATCCCAGCTTGGTATTTTAGGCGAGACGAAGACGCCATTTGGTGTATGCGTCCAAGCCAATATCTTCTCTCCAAGTTTAACCACCTCTTACAGATCAAAGGCGGCGGACACGCCACGAACCAAGGTTTTTCCTCAACGACCGGTGTCCAGATCGCCATGACGCGCTTCAACGAAGTCACATACGACTCTGCGACACACACAGCGGCGATTGGTGCTGGTAATATCTGGGATGATGTCTATGCGGCGCTGGATGCTCAGGGTGTGAATGTACTCGGGGGGAGGGTAACAGGGATTGGTGTGGCGGGGTTTACTCTTGGTGGTGGTGCGTATGCGTGTGACGACCCAAGTCCTGGTTGACTGATTATCTAAAGGGTATTCTTGGCTGAGCAACCAGCACGGGCTCGCTATCGACAACGTGCTCGCGTACGAGCTGGTGGTGCCAAATGGGACTGTGGTGACTGTGAAGGAAGAGACTGATCCGGAGCTTTTCTTTTCGCTCAAGGTACGTGTCCATCTCTTTAGTATTATCGTTATAAACCATTTTCAACAGGGCGGCGGCAACAACTACGGTATTGTTACTCGCTTTACTGTGAAAGCTTTCCCCCAGGGTACTGTTTGGGTATGCACACCCTGGAAATATCGGTAGAGATAACTAACTAGCTTCTCTAGGGTGGCATAGCTGCATATAACACAAGTTACCTGCCCGCGTTCACCGCAGCAACCGTCAAGTTCTGTTCAGAGGTCACCGATCCCAAAGCGGGGATAATCATTGTGTACGGATACACCAGCGGTCAGGTATTCCATCCACATCCTCTCCCGCCATCGAGTTCTCATGGTAACAGGTACTTCTCTCCACTCAAATGTTCTACGACGGCCCCACCCCTCCAATCGGCATCTTTGACGATTTCCTCGCCATACCCGCTGTAGCCCAAGATGTCACAACCCGTTCCTTCTTCGACTTGATCAACTCTACGTTCGCAACCATAAATCCCTCGGCTGGATACCGGTATGGTTTGTCAACTCGCAGTATTAGTAACAGCTCACGAGACTAATAATTAGGACGGTATACAACGACATCCCTGAACTCGAGTACTCCGAGTCTACCATCCGAAACATCATCGATGATCTCACCGTAAGCTTCCCTTCCTTTCCTGGTCCTCTCTAACCTTCCTCCTAGTTTTGGGGTCCCACTCTTTCCACCCACAGCGGTGTCGTAACAGCCTACGCCCTCGAACCCTTCTTGCCCAGCCTCCTCACACACGCCCCCGCCGGCTCCTCTGCATATCCAGGCTCGCGCGCCCAAGTCTTCTTCCCCACCAACCTCGACTTGATCTGGGTGGAGGAGACCGAGGACGAGGTGTTTCACGATGCGGCGAGGAAGATAGTAGAAAGGCTTGGGGTGGAGGGCGCACCACGGTACCCGAATTATGCGATTATTGGGACTCCAGTGGTGGATATGTTTGGGCAGGAGGGGCTGAGGAGGATGCAGGCTGTGAGGGAGAGGGTGGATCCAGAAGGGGTGATGCAGTTGACTGGGGGGTTCAAAGTGTAGGGAAATATATTGGTCTACGTCAAACTCGTGTTCGACGCTAATCGTTGGAAATATTGTCGACTTGGGCAGCCTGCTCGCAATTTTTCAAAATCCAATTTCATTCCGGGTCCCGACACGTTTTCTTACCAAGGAACGAAATTCGATCACCAATACTGAAAATACAAAGCCATACCTGTCTTCGCCGTACTTCCCAATAACCAAATGTCCATAAATCTGAGAAGGAAGCGAATTGCTCGATTAGTGAGCTTCTAAGCTTTGCTTTTAGAACTCTTCGATTTATCGACGTGGCTGGCCATATTCGAGGTCGAACTCTTGCCACCAGAAGCAGAGAAAGTGTGGTCTGCGGAAGCGATGGAGCGACGGATGCTCTGCATGGCGCCCCCCTCCCCATTTCAGGAAGAGCAGTTCGCATCGCATCGTTAAAGTGCACCTTTGTTGGGAGTGCTGGTAAATCCTGGTCTGGGGATGTCATAATAGACGGAGGAAGGAAGTTGCTGAATGTTAACTTCTGACTCGTTGAGCACGACACAATATTTTGGAGGGCATCTTCCTTGAAGTTTACGTGACGAATATTTTTGTTTAAGCGCAAAAATGGCCGAGACAAAGTAAAGACACACGAACTTGAAGTCTTGAAGCGCGTCATTCTCTAGCGGCTCATGTCTGATGTCACATGATCGTACCGTGACTATATACCAGCAAGGGGCTTACATAAGGATCGCCTTTTTACTACTTCACAGCTGGATGACGACTATTTTGCACGAGTCAAAATGACATCAAAACGCTCTTCTGGGATTTTGCATCGGTCAAAATCCTTCAGTATTTCCTTATTAGGGAGGTGCCAAGGATTTTGATTCCATTTTGACCCGCGCAAAATAGTCGCCACCCAGCTGTGGCTTGCTAGCATCTCTTGATAACACCAATTCTTCTTCCCACAATCTCCTGCTCTTTCTTTGGTTGAATGGATACCGATGGACGATCAAACATTTCTCCCAAGCGCTCACGTTCGGGCAGCGACACCGATACCATAGACTCGGATGCTCCCCCACAAAAGCGCTCAACTCTCGTCCTTCTCAACGAGGTACTCAGCGATGAAGAACTGGAGGACATCGTAGATCACGCTGTCAATGTGGAACTGTTGGTCCGCGATATCGCTAGGCTCTCGACCGATGTGTCGGACGCCAGAGGGTTACATGCTTTATCCGCATTCCTGTCCGACATGGTAGGGGTTGCGGCAGAATACCCTCATTCGGAAATCAAGGCAGAATATGTGAAGCGGTGGGCTTGTTCTAAGCTCCTACAGTCTAATCCTGAAGTTTTTGATGTCGCCTTGGCTGCGGCGCAAGCGATAGGGCAGAGTGAGCCGGCGAAGAACGAAGCTTTTCGAAATCTTTTCAGACTTCGTGCGTATCAACAACATTCATCTGACGCGGTGTTTCAGTACTCACCAGAGCTAAAGAAGCGCTGCACCTGTCTAGCATTGCATCTCATGGAAGCCCTGGACGAGGTACGTACCAGTCACCTCTGCTTTACCGTCGTTTTTCTTACTCTCGTAGGTGCGTCTCAAAGTTTGTTAGTCGCCGTGGCCAAAGCCTCACAGACATCCCCTTACATTGGTGACTATCCTGCAAGACTTCTTGCAGATATCACCTCCCATGTCAAGGCTCATTGTGCGGAAGGTTACGGAAGTATTGGTGCCATAATCCAAAGCTCGGGGACCGGTAAATCACGGACGATGCATGAGATCGCTGCCAACGTGTTCACCATTCTGATTAACATCAGTCAGACCGACAGTGCTGACCTAGGGGCTGGTTAGTCCCTTTACTTTCTTTTCATTAACCGTATCTCACCCCGCCTGCAGTGTATCCTACTTGCCCGATATACTCGTGCGCCAACATTTACTGCCCCATAGATCTGTTAACCTCCACATTCGATATCACTGCTTTCTCCGGGCCATGTTCGAACGCGTAAAAGCGGAATTGTGTGCCCTCAAGGTGGACCAGAATTGTGATCCAGCTGACAAAGCTCTGCTTTGGAGAGAGCATCTATCAAGTGGATCCGTCCGCAAGATGCTGTACAGAAAGGTCATCGACTGCGCTAAATCGGTATGAATTCTCAATATTCCGTTCAAGTGGGGTGTTGATGTTTCGACAGCATGAAGCTATCACTGCCACTCTAACGGATCACCCTGATGAGTCCGTAAGGAATAAAACACACGCAGAGCTTCTCTGGTCCACCAATCAGAGCTTCGAGAGCTTACTCAAGGCAGTGAACTCTCGAGAGCACTTGAAGATCCTGATGTACCTCGACGAAGCTCATACTCTAGTCATCACACCGACAGATACCACAAATCATGGCATGTTGTGCTCGACACTAGCCGATCTCAGTGACCTCCATCATTTCACTATATTTATATCGACGACGGGGGTGCTGAGGATCGTTGAACAACACATTCAGCACGACTACCGCTCATCTCGAGCTGTCGCTCCGATACCGAAGCTACTCGCACCTTTCACTATCCTTCCTTTCGATATCGGACCACCTGTGCTACACAGAAAGACAACTTTCGAGACGTTACGAAGCATCGAACCCCTTGCCCGCTTTGGCCGACCATTGTAAGTTCGATGCCTTTCATTCGGAGATCCTTGTTGTCCACTTTATCCTTTAGATGGCATGTCATGCTCGCGGCAGATGTAACACCGGCGTCACTCATCCTGCGGGCTCGATCAAAACTGACTCACAGAGATCGGGGCCGCCGTTCCATGTCGCCTTTGCACGGCGCAGCTACACCTGCTGAACATGTGAAGGAGCCCGAGAAGGTCGTACAGATGGCCCTTGTGGGTATTCGAGTTATGATTGAATTCACACCTCGTCGATAAAAGGCCCATCGTCTCCAGGAGATGGTAAAAGGACACATGCGTATAGCATTCTCTGTTCCTTCGCACAGGGAATATATGATGTCTGGATATCCTTCGGAGCCGATTCTGGCTGAAGCGGTAGCGATTTCGATCTACGAAGAAGGCGTGAGCATGGTGAAAGTCATATCTGAGCTTATCCAGAATGATCTTATCGACAAGGGCGAGCGGGGAGGACTTGTTGCCCGTCTATTGCTTACTTTGGCGTGGGATGCGGCAATCCACAGTCTAATGTCGAAAAAGAAACATCCGACACTTCTGGGCTCTCACGAACACGGTCATGCTGCCTATTCCCGTCCCATTCCTCTGATGGACTTCTTGGCCGCTCTTTTACCAGAAGAATATCTGGAAAAGATTCTACAGAGCACACCGGATCATCAACTAGGGGGGAGGACTTTCGGCGAGGCGTTCAAGTACGCCTACGTACACTTTACACATTTCGGACGCGCCGGAAGTTCTAATGCGATCAACTCTGGCTCTGCGCTTGCGGCTTTCATTCGTGGGATGGCCTTCCAATGCTGTTCCGGACACCCAGTCATCGATATCCTCATTCCTGTTCTCATCGTCCCCAAACGTGAAGCCTCGCGACCCGACTTCAACGTCGACGATCTGACTCTCGACAAATTTCAACGCTCGAGTGTCATGATATCGGTCAAGGATAGGGAGAATGCTGAGAAGAGGAATTATACGATCAGTGCTGAATCAGTCGACTTTTGGCTGGACCAAGACACAGACGTTGATGTTCCGTACATTGCGATCTTGATGCAGCTTGGTGACATTGGGAAGCCTGCAGCTCGACGTGCCAAGTGTCAGACTGACTCGTCTCCAGTCGCCCCCACGATCTCGACCCGTTCGCAGCAGGCTCCTGGATCGATGCAGAAACCATCAGTGAAGACTGGTACCGTCCGTGCTACAAGACAGAGCGAGAGTCCTAAAAAAGAGCATCCTCGCTACTCGATTATTATCTCTGGCTGCTCCTCTAGCATTCACAAGCTCATCTCTCCCAATGAGAAAGCCATGTATTCGGCAATGTTAGCATCCAAGGACGAGCAATCTCTGGTTCTCCTCAGGAAAATGAAACCTTTCTGGAACTTGGGACCTGCATGTTTTGATTGGGTGGCAGACCTGCCTGGCATTGGCATCGTTCCGGACGTTGTGGAAATGGATTATGTTCCAGGTTTTATGTATGGTGACCAAAATGTGGTCATCGAAGATGAGGATGAGGATGCTCCGGACATTGGGGACGAAACTGGAGTGGATCTTTGGCACAATGCTTGATAGGTATACTCTAGTATTATTGTCTCGTCTCCGCTCAAGATTACTATGTTACTAGGTCTTGTAAAGAGTATCAGTGTCATGACGATGTTTAGTATGTAGTCCCACATTTCTATGGGCAGAATTGTACGGACGCATATGAGGAGAAGCCTGATCTGCCAAAGAGATTTGGAAAAGATCATTGAAGAAGAAAATTCCATTTATGCTGTATCATTCTATTTGCATGGGGAGGTTTCCAAGGAGTATGGAGACTACCCCTTTGTAGAAGAATATTGATTAATAGAGCTTCATTCCCGAATCTTTGAACTTTGATCAAGTACATGTATAAGAAGTTTTGGTTGTCGGCCGACTAGCTCAGTTGGTTAGAGCGTCGTGCTAATAACGCGAAGGTCTTGGGTTCGATCCCCACGTTGGCCATTTCACCTAATATAACTTCTTTTTCTTGGTAGGAACTAAGGGGGTGATTCGTCCGAGCCTAGGGCCGTGCACGAAACCTCCAGTTTGGATAAAATGCCGTTTTACATCGACCCCTCCCCAAGGGTGTTTTGATACGGTATTTTACAGTATCATGTGCAAATATCACATGAAATTGCAGAATTTTTCCAAAAACCTGTCTTCGCGTTTTTACACATTTTCTTGATATGATGGTTTGTAATTTATTTATAAAAGTCCCTCATCTGTGACTGTACCTTGTGAATTGAAGTATGCATAGAATATCATTGAATGATTGTGCCAGCTGTCACATGTCAGGTAAATTACCTCGACGAAAAACTCTCCAGGGAAGGGGAGGTAAAATACCAGTAACTAACCGGTAACTTACCGGGAATAAACCCTTTCGTGCGCAACCCTAGCGATAGACTCATCCGACGCAGTCGCGCTGGACGGAGTCGAGAGTCGAGGCTGGCCTTTGAGTGCTCACTGCAGCAGTGAACATTGAACACATAGCTTCCCAGCAATTACGAATAGGTACTACCTAATAGTTCGGCCTACTTTTGGATATTAAACGTAAAACTAACATCCAACAGCGACATTGATGCGTCCGCTGGACCGACCCTCGACATGCATCCTGCTGAGCGATTATGCGCTAACTGTGACGTCGCAGTGACTGGAGTCCTTGTTAAATTTTGAGGCATTACGACTTGATATTCGAATGCGGCATGAAGATGTAACTCACTTTACTTACCGGTCTGAGCAATTAATCCATCTACGTTCCTGCACCGCTCTAGATTTTCCTTGTTATGTCAACAAAATGCTTCATTCCAAGGATATAATACAAAGAATGACATCCGCAAGACTGTGATGCTGGCATTGTGCGGCGGTATACGGAAGGGCAGACATTATGATGGCGCATCCTTCACTCTTAGCCTGAAGGCTCACTTCACCGTCCACATCAGATCTTGACCTGGCATACGGATAGGTCCGACGGGGAAGGAGACTTGTCGGGATGTTCGTAGGTTGTTGGTTGGTCGTCAGTCCTGAATTCGTCATCGGCAGGCCTCAAGGGGGTGGTTTTCGGATGAAGAGGGCTCTGCCGCGACTTTTATGCGTGGATACTGGAATAGCCCCGTCTGAAATTCGACATTTATCGTTAGATGCCCTCGCAGTTCAATAGAAAAGGAATACATACTTTGCAGGTCGCCCACATCACTGTACCAGGAATCTACACCTGTAACCGCTTCATCGAACACGCCGTTCTATTCTCCGTGCTTGTTCTACAAATCTGCGTGCGCACTTCCAACCGCGAAATCATCTAGTTTGTCGCTGTATAGCTCGAAAGTTTTCTATCCTTCTGCAAAGCTTCGCAGATAAACTAGTTTCTCTGTCAGGTATAGAGTGTACGCGTGCCAGGAGATCAGAAGAGATGTGTGGCAGGACGAGTAATTCGGCTGTTCTCCATGAGGAACGCATGAAGAAAAGATGGAAGAAGTTTAGGGGAGGCAAGCAAAGTAGGACGCTGTGGAAACATTAGATTCTTCGAAACTAGAGTTGCAGAAAAGGCGCGCATACAAAATCCACATCTATTCATCATCGTAAGCCTATCACCCTCCACAGTTATTGTTGTTTCCTGAAGAACGAAAATCTATTGAGACCCTGGATGGGGGGGGCGTCACTGTCCCGACAACGTAGGCGGGGCAGGGAAGCAGGGATAAACACTTCAGACGACGCCGAGCAGGCTAAAGCGGAAAGCTCACCTCTCGTGCTGACTGCGAATTATACCCGTTGGACTAGCTAGGAATGAATCTGCAATGCGCCGTCGAGTGCTTGATACACTGTTGCATTTCGGTTGGTGGTAATAAGAGGAAGAGCGTGTTCGGGATTAGCCGAAAACACCTCGACCACTCTTTCACAGCCTCCAGTATTCATGAATTGGTTTCGTGCTCGTTGCGTCCAGTTGTCGATTGTGGCTGACGCTTAGGCAACTAATTGCTAATTGAAATCCGTGGAACGCCAACGATTCTTTTCCTTCTACCACCCGTTGCCCTCTAGCCTGTTCACAGTCATCGTTGTCGCTCTACGCTAAATCATGTATTATCACGGGAGATATGGATTCGTGCTTTCTGTCTTCCTGCTATTGAGCTTTCACTGGCGAATGAACCCAAGGGCCTGCAGATGCGATGCTACAGATTGAAACGACCACGCAAGGGGGATATATGCACTGCGTCAATGCATCCTTAGAAATCTCGTTTGAACAGCGGGGTATTCGGACACCCCCGAGGTACGTCTCATTTCGCTCTTTGCATACTTTTCGATATCGGTAACATGTCACCTAGTCGTCGCTTTGAGTCTGGCCATCCCATCACCCGTACTGCAGCAATAACACAAACAGGGTGTATGGTCGTATACTCCCCAGTCTTTGCCAGCTCGTCTATCGAGGCACGTTGAAAGACGTTATATGATACGAAGGGCGAGGAGCTGAAGGGTTTACGGAGGCTACCGGTCCTCGCGGTCAAATTTTCATTCATAACACTCTGTGAGTTTATAACATGTCTCGAATCAAGCTTTCTCGTTCATTCTTTTCAGATCAAGTTGGACTAGCACACTGTTGCGTCGTAACTATCAATAAATCCGGAATATCATGCCTTCTTCGTCATTGAAGAAACGTCTCATGCCTTCATGACTGTCCTGCCCTGAACTCGTATGTAAGGTTTCCTTCCTGCTGCAGAGGTGAATCGGTTTAGAGAACCTAAGGAGCTAGCCACCCCTTCGTCGCGCCCGTTGAATGAAGACTGTTTTCCGTTGGCATATAGTTACCGTACGATGCACTCACTGTTTGTCCCCCACACACCACTCCGCCAACTCCTTCTGCGCATCCATCAGCGACTTGAACAGACCCCCAGCTACCACCAATCTTAACCACCATCCGCCAAGTTCTTGATCAGCTCGTTTGCTGAGAGAACGATTTACTCCTCAACTCATTGCTACTCATTAACATCGCTCGAGGACTATCAAGCAGCGGGAGAGGAATCCCAGTGACGATACATGTTTGCTTCTTGAAGTGGGGCGCATACAACCAACTTTGCCCGAGGGTCCTAATATGAGAACGTTCTTGAACGAAGTAGGGATTATATGACCTCAAATTGTGCATCGTCTCAATGTTCTTGCGAGGTCATCACCATATATTTCGTGTATCCGTAAGGCATAGATGATTTCATTTCAAATAGAGAACGGCAATTCGTCAATTGCAGAAAAATCTGCAGTGCGCTTCTTTCAGGAGAGACAGTCAACGCTGATCCACCAAGGTCATTCAAATGTTCATGACTATAACGTAAGTAACCGTAACTTACCGTAGCAAAACCACCCCTCTGGGAGAGGGGCAGTAACAAACGGTTACTTAACCCCCTCTCCTCTTGAGGTTTCATCGACAACAGTTCAAACTTCAAAATTCAGACTTGTTGATTGAAAAAATCATTGATAGAGCTCATATGGCCAACTTGGGGATCGAACCCAAGACCTTCGTGTTATTAGCACGACGCTCTAACCAACTGAGCTAGTCGGCCAACAACTTCTCTTTCCTTTAGTCTGCTACTGTGTTCATAACTCAGACTGGGGAGTGAACAACTGGTCCATCAAACACTCGCGCACCTTCCGTCCCAGAGTCAGTAACTCTGAACATTTGCAGTAAAAATCGAATCTAGTGTCAAAATCATTGCCGAATGTACTAGAAGTACGATGTACACAAGCATACGACCGTCGACAGATACAGTTATTTACCGGTCAATGAAACAGCAAAATTGAATATTCGCTGTAAGTTCCAATTGGTTTGGAATTATGGCTATATTTGAATGTAGAAATATGTAATGCTATGCAACAGCAAGATACAGTAAAGAAAGGATGCTCGAAGGTGCAGGTACAAGTCCGTTTTCGCAGCATTATTGTGGCGTGGGTATTCTGGACCATTTTGAGTCATTGAAACGGTCCGGCCCGTGTACCCAGGCATCATTGGTCAGCTACTCGGAGTCGCTCTGATCGCTATCAGATCCCCCTTCTCCGTCGTCGTTGTCATCCTCCACTGCCGTAGCTGCTGGCTTGGGTATAGGACCAGCTAGTGGGCCCCTCACAGGTCTCTTTAATGTGAACTTTTCCCCCCTGGACCTTGCCTCTGCCTTCTGCTCCTGCCATCTCTTCAATGCTGTCTGGTAAAGTGCTGTTTTCGTCTTGTTTGCTTGCTTTCTCTTTTCATCCTGCTTTTTCCAGACCTCTAGAGCTTCAGATCTAGCTTCCCTAGCAGCTTTACGAGCTCGCTTCTCTTGCTCTGCCACCCTCTGCCTCTCTTCATGGTCGCAAACAAGCTCATAGAACATGTCACTTGACAACAACCGTGGCAGTCCATCCCCCACTAGCGTTCCAGATTTCTTCGCCTGTTGCTTCTTCTTATCGTAATTTGCCAGATGGGTCCTCAGCACTTTGCAGTACATCTCATTTAGCACGTTAGCTGCCTGCATGGACACCAGGCGCTGTCGCAATGCCTCTGCTTCAGCCTGGACCTCTCGTAGTGAAGCCAGGAGCTCTAGCTCTGTCGCGGTTTGTGGATGAACACCATCAAGACAGTGTGACGTTGCGATAAGAGAACGAGCTCGGAGATCGAGTGGCGAGTTTGGGGGTGGAATGTCATTGGAGATGAGGTACGCAAGTGACGTTTCATTTAGCTCTTTCAATGTCTCATCGAAGGAAGCCGGCAGAGATTCTTGAGTTGTATCATGATCGATGGCACCAGTGGGTTCTTCAGCCTCTTCAACGCTTTCCTTGATGCTTAATTTTTGCAGCAGCTTCGCAACAGTGCGTACCGGTGTGGCAGGTGGAACTGGGAGGTGACTTTCGCAAGACGTGGTTCGGCTCGGAGCAAAGGACTCTTCAGGAAGAATGTTCGGGTTGAATGGACATACGCCTGTCTTTCTGAATGCCGCCTTGATATTCACGGGTGTGAGAGCACGGAGGTGAGCTTTTCCGTAAACTGTCAGAAAGTTCCTCTTATCAACCTTCTCCCCTCTCTCCCTTTCCCAGGTATCCCTTTCGTCACTCCAGTATAGCTTCAGTGGACTGAATATGACCACGTCGAGCCCTTGGTATACGTGCGTCGTGTGAGATGGGTAGCAAAGGACACGGATATTGTGAGTGCGTGCATATTGCAGAAACCCCCTGGTGTAATGACTATTGTGTCCATCAACTAGTAAGAGGCGGCGACGGCCATTTGCTTTCCTCGACGTTTGGCGATCAAAATCCTTGATCCATTCGACGCCAATTTCTCCATCGGTCCAGCCTTTTTTAGAGTAGCCCAGACTATCAATGCTATTAATATATGTAGGAGGAACATGTATTCATTTGTACTCACGATGCGTTGGCGGGATTGTCCTGCTGCCATTTGACTTGGTATGCCTGTCCCTTGAAGATTACAGCTGGTGCGGTCGAAGTGCCATCAGCACAAATAGTTATGAGAACGGTGGTGTTCTCGTGACTACCATCACGCTGCTGATATTGACGTCCGCCTTTCTGTCCACCAATCACCCTCTCTCTCTGTCCGCCTGATGGTTGAATGCCAATCTCGTCAACTGCATATATGCAGTCCTCGTCAACACCTTTCAACTCCTCTCCCAGCAATTCAAACCATGCATCATTGTTTGTATGGTTCACGGCACGGCCCCGTTTATTTTCGAGTGGCGTTGACCATGCCGTCTTCAAGCGGTCGGAATGCTTCTCGACAAAGCGTTGTGTGAACTGTTTTCCAACACCGGGAAATTCAGGACCAAGTCGTGCTCGTAATACTTCATCGATGTGTTCCTTTAGACGTCGGTGGCTGAGAGGGAAGCCTTCGGAGGCTACAGCCAGAACAAAATCAACAATATTGTCGGCCTCGGCAGGGAAAAGATGGCTCTTCATTGCGTTTGATTGTGCCTTCGTTTTGCCACCATTGGCTAGGCGGATAAGAGTGCTATAAGAAAGTGAGATCTCCTTTCCAGTCTCCCTCTGATATACAGCCTCGAAATCTTTGCAGATTTTTCTTGCACCTTTCCGAGGAGCACCGGGTAATTTGGCAAGCTCGTTCTTGTAAGCAATGACTGCCTTTTCCATTAGCTGGTCATGGCATTTGCGAGCAATCTGGCACTTTTTTGAGTTTGATTTAGCACGTCCAGGCATAGTAAAAAATTGAGCAAGAGGAAAAATAAAATTCGGAGGCAACGGGGAAATAATAGGCACATTGGACTGTCAGACTGTCCATCAAAGGCAATGGCTTGACAGAACTGCACTTTTATTTATGCCCTAGACACCTCAGATAATGGCTGTCTGGTCTCAAACTTGTCATACAGGTTCTTCAGAAGGTCATCAACATTGTTGAGGCCTTTGTGGGTGATTACAATGAGATGGAGGACACACGTTGCTGGGACAGATTTTGAGTGCGTGAGAAAATAGATATTTTTAGAACAGAAGCCTCAATTTCTCGGAATATTATTCGCATCACATATAAAGAATCACTGCAGAACATGAAGATACAATACACATTAGCAATGTAATACAAGTTGACGATGAAGGATGAACAGAGGGAGAGCAAGAGGCTAAATGTTTCATTGAACCATGGTGTTGCAATGACCGGTAAATAACTGTACATTCACATCTCAACTTATTCCTCCTGTCCGCAAGCATCAGACCATACTTGACCATGTTAACCTCTACTTCCACCCTCAGTTTTCTCCAAAATCTCCTCCAGTGTCTTGATCGATTTCATGATAGTTATCCTCGTTGGCCGTATCACACTGAGCGTAATCTTCTGACTATACACAAATGTAATTCACTTCAGCTCCTCCGCTCTCACCCCCGTGGTTCCTATTAGCCACCGCTTGACAATGATGTGGTCCTTCTCGCCGTCCTCCAGTGGGACCGGGATCTGGCATGCCATATTCGAAATACTGAAGTAACCGGTAAACATTACTATTGTTTTATAGGTTTGCTCGACCTACCTTCCCCCCCCAAAGGCATTTAAAACAGATTGTGGACATGTTTAGGGGGGAAAAGGCTGTATGACGAGATAGTGGTTGCCCTCATTATCGAATATCTAACTAGTACACTGTGTGTCATTATATCAGGTGAGATGGAAAGACCACATTCCGTCCTGGAACGGAAATGGAGACACTTCCTCCTCATTCCACTTCTGGCGCGCAACAACCCAATTACGCCGCATCGCATCTACGTGCTCCTCCGGCATCCGTCCGTCAGGATCGCACTGGATATGCCCTCGGTACTCGTCCTTGCGCTGCTGGTAGCGCACGAAAGCCGGATAGTCCTCTTCATCGCGTGTGATATCTTCTGAAGACAGTTGGATAGGACATTCGGCAGCTTCATCCATATCAAAAGGCCAAGCATCGCATAACTGACGAACGAGATGACGCAGATTCTGAGGACCGTCGGCATAGCACCGGAGGGCAGTCTCAGGGAGTGAGGCGAGTAGCTGAGCGTGTGGCACACAGGCTGTTGCGAGGCACAGCGGGGCGCGGCGTAACAGGACACTTGAGGTTAGCTGGTGTCGCTTTGCGAGCCTCAATTCGAGGTTTGCCTGCTCTTGGAGCTCAGGAGAGATATCCGTATCCGGGGGCATCGCAGGCATGCTGAATGGATCATCGGGGAGAGGAATCAAATTACCTCCGTAGAGTACTGCGGGGGATATGATCGCGCCTTGGATGTATGGGAGAGTCATAGCGCCTTGCCAGTCGATGTATGACTGGACATTGGCTGCTCCGGTAGGAGCGACGAGTATGTTTGATCGTGAGAGATCAGGATGGGTGAGGCGCGGTGCTGTAAGTGCTGGCTCTGAGGGATTCAGGTAGGGAGCTAGCGATATGCATTGCTGGAGAAGCCGACGTAGTTCTGGGAGGTCGTGAGGTTTGGAACGGCTTAGAAGGGAACTAGGACGTGGATGAGAGGAACTGGCACTGGCGGCTTGAGATTCAGCCTTGCAGTGCGCTAATCGGCAGGTGGTTTGTATGAAAGAGGTCATATCAAGCCCTAAGTATCACTAGTTAGCTTCATGAATCCAGTTAAAGGAGCTTAGAATCTTACAAGGACCACGGTCACCCTCTACATATTCGTTGAACCAATATTGCTTGTCGACCACCGGTCCAATACGATACTTTTGTGCAGCAGGCTCGGTATTATGTTCTTCCTTTAGGTACAGGGGTCTGTCGCGTAATTCTGGGCTAACATCCTCTTTGAAGAACAGGCTCCCGATCTGCGAAAAGAACCGTCCATGGAGGTGTATATCAAAAGAGATCAGATCTTTCAGCAGAGCCCCCATATCCGCGTCGAAAGTATTCAGCCAGCGATCCTCGAGTGAAACTCCATGTACGCGTTCCATGAGAATAAAATCCGATTCTACAGCAGCTCTTAGTTTAGGGGTCCTGCTCCAGGCTAAGACGCGTGGTGTAGGTTCTCCAAAGACTTCCCGGACATACTCCATGGTGGCGACTTCGCTGGCTGTGGACATGTGCAAGTTACCTACTAGTGGGGAGGATATCCGTGCAATAGCTTCAGCACCATTGTCAAACCCGAGAAGAAAGAGTTTATTATAGGCTCCTATGACCTTGCACATTATTATTATCGCAAAAACGAGCCCGAACAACGAACCTTGAGCAAAGCTTTCGAATCTGACACATTTTTGCGCCCCGACGACAGACGTCGATATGTTGCAAAGGGCGTCGACGTTAAATTTCACATGTCGGCACCTTCGTTCTGACTCGGGAACACGAATTAGTAACACTTGTATCGGAAATTTGGGCCGAAAACGTACGCAGTGCATCGTTCCACAGCCACTCTCCCTCATGGTCGAAATGTCTGGTTATTTCATGGGGAACTGCGGATATACGTTTTGTGAGACGCTGAAGAGGGAGCATGGCGCGTGAAAAGCCAGTTCGGCAAATGCCGACACAAGTTCTTCCAGATCTCATCTCTTCAAAGCTTCAGTCTGCATTGCTGAGGCCGGTATGTTCAATTTAATGTCGAAACGAAAAAGTTCTGAAAATTCTATGACTGTCTGTGCAGTTTCGTAATGGGAAAAACGACGACCTAAAAACAAGGTAAAAAAGATTATTTTTTGTCCCCGTTACAATAGGGAAAACAAACAGAAAACAGATCCAAAGTTCTTTTTGGTGAGTAAAAACACTACAAAAAGCGAGGTTCTTTCATTATGTTTTATAGATCCTGCTTTACAGTCACAAGAAGACCATCAAAAGCCACAACGTTTTTAGGATATGTTTTTAGGTCCAAAAAAGCAGCCAACGCCAGCAGTGCTACTTCCATTCTTCTCGAAAATTTCCACTACGAGATGAAAGAATCCCAGACACGTTTTTCTGTTCTCCACGCTCGCCCTATGTCTAAGAGAAGAACTTTGGTTCTCCACAACCAACACAGCCCAGGAGATCAGATCGAGATGGACGCTCCTGTGACAGCTCTATATAGCCGGAAGCAAATTTTTTCTCTCTCTCACTACTCACTGCAGCAAACATGATCTCCCTACCTGTCCTCACTATCCGACTTACCGCTATCGACATCTCTCTGCCTCGGCCCACCCTCAAGCTGCGCTCAAAGCGCCAGAAGGTGCCTACCATCACCATGGATACGACCCGGATTTCCCTCCCCGCCGTTCGACTAGTCAAACGTTCCACGCGGTCGATATCCCGAGCGAAGAAACCCAGAAATCGCAGCGATGCAGTCATAACCATCGAGGAGCTCGGCGACATCATGTCTCTTCACGCGGATTACTCGCGGTATCCCTCCGAGTCGTTCCCAGACAGGCTCATCGGAACGAAACTTAATAGGAGCCCAGATTCTGACGAGTTCGTGTCTACACAATCATGGAGTCTGCTGTCCCACTCGAGTCGAGCGTCTTCAGTGACATTGAGTCCGTTATCCGACTCGAATCAAGCTTCTTCACTGCCGTTGAGTTTGCCATCTGACTCGAACCAAATGCTTCCGGCACCAGTTCTGCTGCCCTACTCGGACCAAACGTCTTTATCGTTGCCGTATCTGCCGTCGGACTCGACTCAAGCGTCTTCATCCTCGCCAATTCTGCTGTCTGACTCGAATCAGACGTCTTCGTCGCCAGTTATAGCAAGTACCACAGTACCAAAACGTGTGGTTCACGCTTCAAGCCTTTCCACTGGCTTCAGATGGATCCTCATGATCCTTATGTTTACTATTGCCCGGGCTGGCTTCGAAGTTTTACTTCGCAGATATTGCACACATGTCTTCCCGTTGTCGTATCTCTAGGAACTTCTGGCTATGCCATCTATACCTTCAAACTTCTACACCGGATGCGCCGTTTCCGGTTTTCTCTCTACTTAATTTAGGATATCTACCATGCTGTTGTATCTTTGCTCTGGAATATATACCCACTCGTACTCAATTTCTCGTGCTGCAGATCCCTTGTGTGGCAGATCCCTTGCAGTAGCAAGATTCACATTGTATCTTGTAAAAGAAACGAAACATCTGCTTCGTCTTCGCTCCATACCTCACACGCTGCGGCTCATTTCTCACGCATCACTCTCACAGTCTTCTCCGACATCTACCCATCCAGTTCGCCCTGTGTCTATGCAATAACCTCCTGCCTACCCCGCTGATAATGCAAATATGCCGCACATGCTCTCCGGTGCAATTTCCGCCAGTTGAATAGGAAAATCAGAGGGACAGGTGAAGCTTTCCAAATAATTCTTCGCACATCTCAAAAATAAGATAGCGAGGATGATGTACTATTAACCAGTGGCTAGAAATTTCCCGTTGGACACAAGACTGTTAGAATCGCGGGGCCGTTCTCAAACGAAGTGAGTGGCAAAAGGGTTTACATTTGTGGCAAACGCGACATGGGGACTCAAAATATACCAGCTTATATATGATGAAATCCCCGCGGGAATAAGCAACACGTAAGTAGATCGCTACGAGAATGCAGACGGCGACTTATCACACCGGGAATATAGAAATTTAAACTCGTTTTATTGTTATGTAGATACATGAGATTTAGAAACAATAAATTTGTTTCCTTAAACTATATATACTATCAAAGGTTCAAGGAGGGCCTAAATTAGACCCGCAACAGAAGGTTTAACACCTGCTTTCGGGACGCTCGGAAACATACGTGTAAAATAGCCCAAGACTTTTGCCGAAATCACTCGTTCAGGATCACATTTCAGGGGCAGCGAAACCCTATCATATAGATGATGTCAGAATTGGCACCAAAAGCAATAACTCCGACCCGGATTTCAGGTGCTCGGAAAACAATGGTAGCAAAGAAGATTTTTGCAAATGGTAAATATGCCCTGAAATCTTAAATTTAGGTGTACTTTAAATGCAGCGTATGCTCAGAATAAGCTGGATATCGGCTGAGCTTATGTCCAGCCCCCCGCTGTGTCCGATGGCGGAAATGAAATACAGGTTACATTGTTATAACTATATTATAATATTATAATGCGCCAGCGTACTCTAATCTTGCCAATGATATTAGTCCTACGACAGGCGAGTGAGTCTCACGGAAATAGTGAGATGAGAAAGCCTACCCTGCACAGATCAATGATAACGGCACGTTCATGCGAGAACTCATACCGAGCAACATGCGACCGAATTTGACTCGGATGTATCGAATCCAAAGGGCCATCTACCATTTTTGAAGAATATGTTGTAGCAGGAAAGTCCGCATAGCGCTTGAAGGGATCAAATTTGGTGACAGGAAGAGGCGCTTGACGCTTGATTGTGAATAAGACTTGTCCACTTTCCGTTTTGATCTCTTGAATGGATCCCACCACAAGATCTTGTGGCTTCGTTGTAGGGTAATATGCAACAAGGCTTCCCCCGAGATGTGTTGATTGGTGGGAAAATGTAACTCCGCAATAAGTATAGTAGGCATGCGATAATTGTCTCACCGATGGGGGATTGGCAGTGAACATTGTTTCTCGTTGGTTCTTTGGAGGCAAAGCTTTGTCAAAAAGAATCTTGAACTGCCGTATCAACTGAGGACAATTAGGCCTATTGAGGTGGCGGCGAAGATTAGCACCCCTCAGGAATGACTGCAGGATTGTCTTTTCCAAGTCACCTAATTTAATCTGAGATCGATCTTTAAGCAAGAGAAAGGAATCACGTACCACCGACGTGGTTATTTGTATGCGTCTTCTGCAGGGTCCCGATCAGCCGCTCAAAGGGAAAACACCACCAAGACATGACAGGTCCAAATGCGAGGATAAAATCATACAGATGAAAGGCCATGTGAATGTTTGGTCTCTTGTGATGATTCTTTATATGTGGGTGAACCGAATATAGGCCATCAACCCAACGTTTCAGCATTGTCCTGTACGTTGTCGCTCGGCCAAGGTTCATCGTGTAGTGACAGACAATAGTCACGGCTTGAAAGAGCGCCATGGTATGGTCCAGAACTTCGAGAGATCTAGAACCCTCTGCTGGTGAATGACCATCGTCGTCACCCCATAGCATAATGAGAGTGATAGGAAGGTAAATGGTGCTCAGCGTATGCCATTCATCTGCCTTGATGGTACCTGCCGATGCGACTCCATAATTAGCGGGGACAGAATTGATCCATGATGGAGTTGCAGTATCCTTGATGACTGCTTGGATGTGCTCAATGGTTGCCTTATCAACAGATCGTACATTGTGGATTTCACCCGATGTCATGCATTGTTTAAGACACTAATGTTGAGATCAGCAACACAGAATTAGGGACAAGATATTTTAAAACGCACCCATTCGATGAGTAAATCTATGAGATCATCTTTTGCTGATACCTCAACTTGCTTCCAAGAGCCCTTAACTTTCTTTCTGTATGTCCTTGGTAAGTTGAGCGTGTGACAGACAAATTTGAGGGGTGAAGCATTCTTCCATTTCAACTTTGCACCTAGCTGTTCGACTGTAATGTCTACAGTGTCTCTGTCTTCAAGCGGCAGTCCGTCTCCTAGTGGAAGTTCCAACATCCTGTGGATGTGGCCAATATGAGAGATTTCCTTATCATGCTTCATGGGGCATTGCAGATCAGTGGTTGTGTCCAAAGAATACTTGATCCAGGGGTAATCAAAAGCGGAGACCATTTTTCTCGCTTTACCTGCCTTGTTAATATCAATTTCCAAAACATGAAGGCAATGATAATGAACAAGACCCTCCAAGACACAGTGCATACTGTCGATAACAAGCATTTGAGTAGGATCCCAATACAGCAATCTCCACAGCTCAGACCAGCGTACACCATGATCCTTGAACAGCTTTTCTCACTCTGTTGATGTCAAAGCATCCCTCCATGCCTCAGCACAACACCGCATTTCATGAGCATCTCTATGACACCATTTGTGGAAACAGGTATCGTACATGGTTGAGATGCCATATCCTTCACAGACTGTACAATACCAGTGTGATGCATGGCTGGCAGTACCTGATACTTTGCAAGCCACAGGCAAATCATTCACAGACAAGATAACAGCAAGTTCGACATCACGACCGTCTGGTCTGGAAGCTGTTCGAGAGATGCGAATGCCATGTTCCCATGCAATCTTGCAGATGTCGATCAATGGCCAGATGAAGTTGGAGATGGTATCAACATCAGGCTCATCAGGACCAGGTATGATACCGGCCAGAAAGATATGTTCAGGACAATAACGAATCTCTTCTGGAAGGTTCAGATTGGCCATCGAGATAAGCCCGATCGAGTCATGGTTTCCCCGTTTCCTTGTTCCATTAGGATTGAAGAAGTCCACTTGCAGTGCAAAAGCCAGGCAGACTTTATCACCTCGATCAATGAAAAGCCTCTGACCATCAGGGCCTTTGAAGTGGCGCATGAACTCAGCCTGAAAAACATTTGTAATGTTTCGATTCAGGTTGGAAGGCTGCTGAAGTGAGTGTAGAGCTTGGTCGCAAGCCGCATCGCACAAGTTTTCTAGCTGGGAGTCAGCGAGAGTACGTGCAATATAATCCTCCAATGAGGCCATTAGGAATGGCTTCCTTGGTTTACCATCACTTTTCAGCAGACCTGCACGGCAAGGGGAATGTCCCGACGATCCAGGATCATGTTCTGGCAATGAGTCGGATAGGAGGGACAGGACGAAAGAGTAGTGGTATATGTTGGTTCGTAGCAGCTGTTACAGTCTGGACATACAGCATACATCATGGTACGGCCATCGATATTCATTGCCTTCAAAGCAGTGTAAAGGTTAGACGGCATTTGGTTCAGAATAGCATCTTGATTTGCGTCGAGGACAGAATTACCATTGGAATCCTTGTTAGTCAGGTTTGTTGCCATTGCTCCTGACATGAGCAAGAGCATCATCTGAATAGCAAGATTACAAAATCCTTCTGCGAAACCCCCAATGACATGGCATATGACACCAAACAGTGTCACAAGCTGCGCAAGTCCATGTACCTTTTCCAAGGGGTGCACAAATACATGACCTTCGATGGGTTTAGTTTGAACAGTAAAGAAAAGTAACGAGACAGCTCACTGGCATCATACTCCAGCGGTTTCACAGGTGTTTCGACCTCAGGAAGATGCGCATCGTATATTTGAAGAATGTTGTCTATCTGCCGGAGTACGTTAACAACATCGGCTTTCTGGCCATGCAAAACATTCTCGTGTCCATATTTAACTCGAGAGAGGGATTCACGTAAATTTTTTAGATTGAGATCCACTGCTTTCAGCTGCTCCCTCCTATCAGAGACCTGGCTAGTATCCTGGGTATCCACCTCATGCCATGAGCAAAGTCTATCGAGAAGAAGCTTAGCCTCATCCTCGATGCACTCAATGATATTCTCTGCATGAGCGAGAGGTGCTGGGGCTGGGTGACGGGCCGCCAACACGGCTGAACATGGTATCGCTTGTCTTTGCCACGTCCTAGGTGAGTGCAATGGATGTGCCATAGGTTTTGAAGTAGGATTGGCAGGAGAAGAGTTGGAACATGTTTGTAGCGGGTTCAAAGCCTCGTTCACAACAGCGGAAATGCTATTTTGAGCGTCATTGATAGATACCTTTTTAAATTTACTAGGTATATCTCCTTCGTGAGATGACTGGAACTCGTGCTGTGATGACCAGAGCTTGCTCGACTGATCTCTCACATTAGGACCCTCATCAGTCAGAGTAAGGGCAACCAGCCTATCAGCCAGCCCATGCTCTTCGGGGATATCACTTGACATTCCAAGAGGTACCATGTGGACAACTTCATCGGAGGCAGTCTGAACAGAGAGTGTTATTAAGATAGTGTTCAAAGTACATAAATGCGAAGGCAATCTTACATGAGAATTCCCACTGGCCATGTTCGACACTTGTTCACGATTGGCAGACCCATCTCTGCCATTCTGTATATGCAATGTCAGTTCATGAGTTATGATGAGAAAGGAGAACAAATACCCTCTTCAAAATCTTTAACTCGAGCAGGTGAGCCGCCAATTTTTGTTTGGACTCAAGCTCATGCCCATCAGGAAAAAGAAGACATGTACAAGACGGCATAATGACAAGCAGAATGCCCGTGGCGTTATATTCAACGTGCAACGCCAAGTAGAACACCGAAAATTGCATGAAGAATAGATCTCAGAGTACGACACTGAATAGAGCACCAGGCTAGGTGAAGCACCAAAAGTAAAGTGAAAGCATCTACTATACTCAGCATACTACGCTGAGTAGAGATGTAGGAAGGAAATGGGTTTGGAAAGAAAGAGCGTTGGACCGTGCATCACATTTAAGAGGAAGAAGAACAATAAGGCTGATGACATAATCAGCCTATAGCACAATAGTCTTTATTCGCCCACGTACCACGTGGGAAAACAAAAGGCAACTGTAGAAGGGGCAGGGAAAGAGATATGTCCCGAAATAATGACCCTTCATTCATCTGCGTACCACGCTGATGAATGAAGCTAAGAACCGACATGCGTTGGCAATTGAAATTCAATGCCAATTCAAGGTCATGTGATTTGCACCGGCTATCTAGTAGCACATCATTTAGCTTACACTGTATATCCCAGATTACCTGTCAGACAGGAATGCAGTTAACACATATAATTATTGTACAATGAATGTAAAGTACTTGTATTTATATTGATATTTACCATGTAATAATAGAGTTCAAAAACAAACTGGCCAGCTTCTTGTTGGTTTCAGCAACCCTCTGAGAGCGCTTCAAGAAGTGTAGAGAGTGCCTCCATTGATTGGTACTCCTTAGTACTGCACTTTCAGACATGTTCTCTTGGAGGCGCTTCTGATACCAGGACTCGCAGTCAGAAGTCCAGAATCCAACGTTCAATCCTGAGGTCGCCCAAGCTGCAGGTTTGGGAAACCATGACAACATCATCCGTTGGTGATCATTGCCATCCCAACGCCCTTGTAATCGATATCAGTAATGATTCGCAGAGCTGATAAGAAAATGGAGAGTAAACTCACCCGTTTCTACCATATAGACACCGCAGAGGAGATTGATCTCATCATCGGTCAATTGATCATCCCAGTAAGAAGCACCAGATTTGCCGTCTTTCACAAAGCACACTCCTGATGAATATACATCATGTGAAGGTCCCATATACACTTTGTCATCTGGAATATAGTCCCTTGCAATCCATGCAAGAATGCCCCCCGCCAGCAAAGCAGCTCGGCCCCTTTGAGAATGCAGAAACCCTTTGCAGAGAGACTGGTACGTTGCAAAATCAAGAGGATCGGGTTTGTAGTTGACATGTTGATAGCCAAGACGACTAAAACACGGCAAGACTTTCGGAGTTGACAATCGCTCACGAGAACTGCGAATTGCTGCATTGAAAGGTATACACCTCTCTAGCAGTTTTTTAGCAATGTCATTGAAGTCTGGACCCCACTTTCGGCAAAGGATTTCAAGGACAGAAGCTGCACTTGTCAAAAGAATTATGAAGTCTGCCTGTCCGTCCTCTTGGTGAGGCGACAGGATGTACCAAGTCTCTCCATTCAGTGGCTCCCGGCTGATTTGGAATCCAGGTGGGAAATGTACATCAGCATCCGGTGTTGCAACTGCAGCCTATTTACACGTGTAATTTTGCAATCTAGAGTGTTTTACACGCATACTGAGAAATAGTGAGCGAGCGGACTAAAACTACGCGTCGACACTAATGCTACACGGTGCAATGATATGGAATATAACTTATGGCATAAGAAGCAACAGGATTCTAAACAGGACTTAGTCACAGCACTGTACCTGACGGGCATGCGTGATGAGAAGGCCAAACCCTATACCCAATGCCTTAGGCTCTAACTTACAAGCACACTCACGGGAGCTAGATAAAACCTTGAAGATTGCACTGGCACCGAGAACACTTAGCGTGCTCACTAACTGTGACGCGCTGTACCTGAAAATCCGGGGAAATCCTTAAGCGAGCTGACAGATATCACTGGCACGAGCTTGGGCAATGGGCTTTGGCCAAAGTCCGCAAGCCCGCGTTCCATTGTTCTGAGTCCCATTGTTCGAAGACTCACTTGTTGCCATGTCTACAAGAAGCCTCTGTGAATCCAAGAAAGAAGGCCTGAACGACATATGCTAGAACTGATAGTTCCGTGCACCTAGACCTGTCGGTTGCTAGAGAACGAGCCTGCAGGTGTCAGGAGAGCACCTCTTGGCACGCGTTTAGCGAGCTCACTATAGAAATGAGACTAAAACTGGGAAGTCCGACTCAGATGCTCAGTAAGGCGGCGGTGGCAACGTGCTACACATGTAGGAGTCTGGGTACTGCATGACGTTTGTAATTCTAATTCCCCTGTAGTATAAGTAGACTGGTTACAGTAGGTAGAGGCCAAGTTTCGAGCCCCCGAGTTCCCGTGCACGCGTTGAAGGCGGTACTGTGTTGGGATTTGCAACTTCAAGCTTATGCCAGAAGATTCCCGAAGCTTCGGCTTACTCATTTGTCACGATACTTGGATATATTTAGTACTTTAGGTAGAATATTCTAGATACTTTTCGTAGTATATAAGGAGCTCATTAGGAGCTCTTGTAGCTAACAATTAGGTATTATTCCTACTGCAAGCCTCCCACTGCAATAATTCCAACATACTGTAACAAAGGATCAGTTTGTGACTTCGAGCTGTGCGTAGAATTAGTGAGCTCACTCAGAGAAATACGAGATACCCTTTTGATAAGACTTTTGAGAACTTAGTCAGAGTGAATACGAATCAGTGACGCTGTTTCTGTTCTGTTAAGTGTGATAAGTCTGTTCGGAGAATGTGTTGAAGTGGAAATCTGAGATCTGTTCTGTTCTGTTCTGTTCTGTTCTGTTTCAGTCTGTTCCGTGTCAGTTCTGTTCGAAGTTCCGTTTCTGAATCTGTTTTCCAAGCACTTCTGAAGTGTTCTTGAGTCAAGATAACCTGCAGGAGTTAGTTGGAGAACCCCTACATACAGTTGTGTAGCGAGTGGGCTAAGTCAGTGCTTGCCTGTGGTGTTCTTTTAGCGAGCTCACTAAAGTTTCGGCGTGTATTGCCTCTGTTTCTGTTGGGATCAGTGTCCCTTGTGTATTATAACTCAAATCTGCCTTGAAGGTTGCGTTGCGCCAGTGAACGACCTTCCTGTAAAAAGTTCCTAGACTTAGGAATTCATTAGAGAAAGCTTAGCTTTGCTAAGAGCACTGAGAATAAGAGAAACTCTTCGAGATATTGAAGTATAGTTGGATTGCATTAGGAATAATTGCTCCCCCTAGAACTTACGAGGGTGATTGTAGTTTGTGTAGTTGTGTGAGTGTGTGTGTGGGTTTTTGAGGTTCGCCTTTTAGCCCGCTCACTATTCCACAGGTGCCCACAGCCAGCCTCTTCACCAGCTGTCGAATGTCATAGAAAGTGGCAGGCACATCTTCAATGGTATGGGCAAGCTGCAAGTAGCCAAAAAAATGGCATAGGTCTTCTCGCTGGCCTTGAGTTATCGAGGCATCCTGTAGAAGGCCCATATATTTGCATACATGATGCATCTCCGGAGTGCTAGATGGACTAGCCACTGGAAAGCTTGGAGCCACGAACCCAAACCAATAGTATACCAAATCGTCGAGGGCATCTCGACTTCCTGTGATCTCATCTGTGCTCGCTTCTGCTTGGCTTTCTGTTGTGGGCATGTCATCGGTAATACTATGAACATGCATAAGATCAGCACTGGAGGAATAAATTCCTTCGTTATGGTTGTCGTTGTCATCGTCATCGTCATAAAGCGGCACATAAACATCTTTGTCACCCTCGTCGTCGTCGTCGCTCATATATGTTGGTTCATCATCAGGCTGCAGCTCTTCACATAAATCCCATTCATCGTGGAAGGAGTCATATTGGCGCTGCTTGGGCCCATACCTATTCCAATGCCACTCATAGCTTTTGCAGCCAGCAGCACGGTGAATCAGAGTCCCCTCAACATCATCCCAATAGAAAACCCTGGTGCCTTTTCTCCCAGGAATATGACCTCTGGTTGCATTATCTATGTGCTGTTGTCATTGTTGATGTGCCTCCACGGTTTCCTTCTCCATGTGCTTAGCATTCTCTGCAGCTCGTCGAATGAAAAAAGATCTCCAATCTTCATCCTGGAGTTGGCTGCTATATCTTTCTACCAGTGGAAAGGTTCAGGACACTGGAGCGCGAGTTGGAGAAGAGGAAACATGCGGGTTAGGATGCAAGTCTCGGGCTGGTGAAGAAGGTTCCGAAGCAACTGTGTCATGCATGGACTGACACTTTGATCGTAGACCTTTGATTTTGCCAACGGTTGGTACCTCGAGGGGGCGCAAGTAATTTAGAACATGAACAGGTAGTTCGGGGCCCCAATTGATGTAAATTGATATATCAGGGAATATGCGAATGATATCAGGAAGGAAAATGAGAAATTCAGAGGTAGCATAGTGCACGACACCGCTGACTCTAGGCACAAGTGCATCTAATACAACGGAATCCTCGATATCCACTAGCCACTGCGGGTGAATTTTGGCCCTTTGCAACACTTTCTCCCTCCATTCAAACTGTGTATTTGACTTCTCTTGCCACCGCATAAGAACAATGGTGAAGGATAGCGCTGCTATCAAGGGTATGAATGCATCTCATGATTTTAAAGTAGAAATCTTTGCCAATCTTCTGCTTTTATGCTTGTGCTGATACCCGAAGCATTTGGGATAAGACCAAGGTTGCCACAGCTGCGGCAAGGGTGCGTTGCTGAAATGAAGCATCGCAGACAGCAATGCTCGCATATTTCCTTCGAGAGTAATCCATTCATTCATGACCCCCGATTTCAGGGACCAGAATTTGGCTATGGATTCTTCCTGAACCTCTTTGTAACCTTCCACCGGTAGGAATTTCTTGTCCAATGCTAGTCTCTCAAATAGAGGCCCATAAAAGGGTTTGGATGTTGGAACCAACATCATGTAGGGCCATTCATTGGACAGTTGATGGAACTGACGCATATCAGAGTACCGGGAGGTGTTTGGATTAAGGACGGATGCTTCTTGACTAGAAATGGGAGGAAACCGGTGACTAGCCGCGTCCCCTGCGGTAGAGTAGATGTCACCGTCTACCAGCGCGACATGGTGCAGAATCCTATGAGACATAGCTTCTTTCTGAAATTTCACTCAGCCTCAATCTAAGAAAAATGCACTGAAGAGGTCCTTACCTAGGAAATGCTAACTTTTGAGATGTATGCAATTGTATGCAACTGAGAGGTGGCCCGTGGTGCCACACCGCAGATGTTGGCAGAGTAGACTTCACCAGCGTACTACACCGATGGAGCTATGAGAAGAAGGATTTTGGCGGTATCACACGCGTACTGTACACATGCAATCAACAATGAACGAGGATGATAGCTGGCGAATCCGACCAAGAGAAATGCTATTGAATAAGTTGCTTTACATGTATAGAGTAGAGGAGATGATCAGTGAGCCATGCCGATCAGCTGGAGATGAGAATACTGTCAGTGTACCACACCGAGAGTGTCCTAAGTGAACACGAAACAAGCAAACTTCGAATGCTCCGATGGCTGCTCATGTGACAAACAGACTGGATTGCTGGGTCACATGGTGCTGAGTTTGGTCATTTCAATTTGAAGTTGCCACCACCACCACCACCCCACGATGATAGGCATCGTACACCAATCATATAGGGTGTCTTCCTCATGATGACAGGTGTAGCATGCCATTGTGAGTCTATGCTCAGTGTTGTACACTGTGCATATACCCCTTGATAGGCCAATCCAACAGGGTGGCCTTCGCCGTTCCTTTTGTCTCAGTTCACGATGCTGCACGCCAATATACAGACTTGTTATAAATGTCACAAATACTCAGTATCTAATCAACTTCCTCCACCATTACCTCAGGCATATCCACTGCCTCCACCACTTTTTCCAGCAGTTCAAACGCATCCTTGGAAATACACAAATCTCCTTGCTCATATTCATCCAGTTCTGCCAGCCATTCAGGGTCATATAGCGCTCTTGGCAGTTCTTGTGGGGCATTGACTACCTCATTCATTCTCGGCACAGTCTCCCTATCCCTGTGCGCTGGATGGCTACCTTTGCCGGTAAACTGTGGTGAAGCCCCGTCGATATCCTTGAGGTATTCGATAACCTTCCCATTCTGCCAGATGCATACTTTAACAGTATACACAGTTTCGGTGATACCCCCTACGACCTTTATGACCTCTTCCTCAGATGACATTCCATTTGTTCCTAGCATCTGAAGCATCTTCAGAAATAGTTGCCAGGTTCGTAAGTCCATGTCTCCGTTCTTCATCTTGATATTAATCATTTTTGTTGCAGTCATTACTCATCTATCATATTTCTGTGTTCATGCATCAGTATGGACTTGTATGTGGAGAATACAACATACCCTAACTTTGGATGACCGCAACGCCGCTGTCTTATGAACATGATCTCCAGTTTCTGCCACATGCTGCACAACCTCTTCCCCAGTCTCCAGCTGAGTTGTACCAGCCTTGTATCAAGGGAGTGCTTCAGCCCACTTTGCCCAAGATCATCGCAAGAGACTGAGCAACGTCTCTTCTATGTAGCCATCGTCAACTGCAGGGAGTGTCAGTTCTTTCTTCAGTTCCTCTTGAATCATCGGAATCATTATCATGAAGATGGCTCTGTTCCACTTAGACGAAGCAAATCCATGGCTAAAATCCAAGATAAGGTCGTCCTCTGTTGGACCAGGTCCTTGTTTGTCCTTGAACGCTAGCACGGTTTGTTGTTCCTGGGCCTCGTAGACGATGAATTCTTCGACCGAATCTACCTTATAGAACTTGCACCACCAGCGTCGTATGAAGGTCTAAAGCATTATCAGTTACTTCATGCAATTATAATGTTCTTCGAACCTGAAGCCTGTTTTTGTTTGACTTCCCCATCCTTTCCTGCTGCTCCATTCTCTCAGTCATCTTCTTCGGTGCCAACGTACGCTGACCTGTCTCGAGCGACTCTTTCAAGTCACTGACTACCACTCGTTTGAGGCAAGATGCCAGATATCGGATGAGCTGATCCGGGTCTCCCAGATTAATGTTTGAGGGCATTCCTCCTGCTCCCACTGTTGCACTTTCCTGCGTTGAAGGCTGTTCCCGTGTTTCTGCTGGGAGCAGGGTCGTCAGATCAGTTACTGCTGGCTCCGCAGCTGCACCCTCCTGTGTAGTCACCAACTGTGAGGTATGCGAGGGTGGTGGATCGACTGCTGGCAACGCTTCCCTCCAAGAAGAGATGGGAACTTTTACTTGTTGACATTGTATTTTCGTTGGCATATGTGACGTTCCCCTGGGAGTCGAAATTTTTCTGGGAAGTGGTATGGTGTGCAGCGAGCTCTGTGTAGCGGAAGGGGCAGTGCCTGCCTGATTTCGAGGAGTGGAAGCGACTCCGCTTGTCGAACTTTGAGAAGGAGAAGCAGAAATGGCAGCCAAGTGTCCTTGGAGACTGACAATCTCATTGTCTTTACTATTCTGTAGCATTGTATCGGATCATGCTAATGAAGCAAAGGGACAGAGGATTCTCACTATCGCTTTTTCCAGTTCCGCCAAATGGGCACAAGTCTTTGTATTGTCCATCTTCAAAGCTTTCAGTTCCGCAGAACAGTGGTTCATTTCTTCATGAGTCTTAGTGCTCTCTGCTTTCAATGCTTCCATTCGTGACATCTACCGCTTTATTTAGATATCTGCCCTCAAAACACGAGTAAAACCTACCATCTGTGCGATGAACTTGTTTTGCTTCTCTAAGGCCTCCTTTTGTCCTTGCAACATGTTGCTGTTGATTGATTGATGCTGGTTCTAGTGATGGGATTTCAGTTCTAGTGACAAGCATCTGATCCTTGCAAAAAGCTGACTGCTTGGTTGATGATCTCTCGCTGCTGAGTCAAAAGCCTCTCATCTTTAGCTCTTTGCTTCAGTAGCTTGTCGATGTCCTTTTGCTGCTCTGCCATAGTCATCAAATGTCTGGTTCATTCTTGTAGCTAGTCAGGGTGTGAACAACGCTCATTTATTGATTGTTAGGAATATGTACCATCACCTCTCTTTCTGAGTGTAGCAAAGAGACTTGTCGTTTCAGCTCAGCAGCCTGCGAATCATTGTCGAGACCTGCATAAATCATCCTTGGAACAGGGAAGTACTGTTGGTACTTCCTGAGCTCCTTGGACAAAGCGTCTTGTTGTGCCTTCAACAGCCTTATCATGTTGCTCTTTTTGTGCTCCTGGTCTTGCGAGTAGCAAAGTGCACCAAGCATCTGCAAAAAGAATGATCAGCATTGCACCTCAATGGGCAATGTGTGGTTAACCTCATCATGGGACTGGCGATTGGGTCCTGCAACCACGTGTCTCTTTCTTTGATGTGTGTTGCTCATACCCATATGATCACTGAGGACTAAATCTGTCGAAGTCGAAGCGGCACCGAGATCCAGCTCCATGTCGTACTCGTGCTGTCGGCATCCCACGTCAATCGGAACCAGAGCCATTGAGATAGAGGATTGAGAGGAAGGATCAATATTCATCTCGGAATGTCTACGACATACAATGTTGTAGATATGAATGAGTTATGGGTTAGCTGTGAAGTTCCGGCTTTATAGCAAATCGCAATTCCATTCTTAGTATTATTTATTGTATCTGTTAATGTTGGAAAGCTACTCATGCTGTCTATTGTGTGCATGTCACCTACCTAACTACTTCAATATTGGAGATGACCTAGTCCTGCTGGGAGCTAACTAGGACCAACTTCAATTGTTATATCGCATTCTCCAATTTTCCTCTGCGCCGCTGCAGGACAATTAAAGCTTCCATGTTAGTTGAACAATGCATATGTTCATCGACATTTTCAGCTTCGTAGGGTGCGCAACAGATCATGTGATGATTACTGTCTATTGTCATCTTGACAACCCAATTTGCATTTCACCTTCATCCACAACCATGCCCGCTAACAAGTTGAACATCTCGCTTAGAGCTGTGAAAACAAGTTTGTATGTACATTTTCTCTTCCCCCTTCATAATTTCTAATGACTCTTTGACTAGTTCCAACATACGGGCCCTTGTAGGTCCCAAGGCAGCTCCTCCTATCCCCTCGCATGCAAGCCTGGATGTTGGCATGACAAGGCCATTATCTTCTTCTTTCTCCCTTCGACCCGGGGAACTCACGGATACATCTTCTAGGTGAGTATATAAGTTACAATGTTTATATTTTTGGTACTGATAGATGCTGTAGGTCCTCAGACCGCACACCTGCCCCATCATCCACCCTCCCCTCGTCGTTGTACAATGAGGGCCAGGTTCAAGACCCCCAGCCTCCCCCATCCTTCCCTGTTGATGACAACGAAGATATCCCTGACCTTATGGTGCTACTGGAAGGCATCAATATCCAGGCTGGACCAGCCTCAGATACATGTCTCATGTTCTCGGATACGTTCAACCAAAGCACAAATTTCCTTGATGCCATCATAGAAGCAGCCCGGCTGGGCTGCATTGATGAGGTTTCCACTGTCGAAAATATTCAACGACTCTATCAGCACATCAGCACCACCGGAATGATTCTCAAATTCCTTATCTGTATAGCTGATCATATGGCTCACCTAGAGTCAGCTCAACGGGTTGCTCTTGAATTTGGAGTGCGAAGGAACCAACGCATGGTTCTTCAATGGCTTTCTTGCATGGAAGATGAAGCTGCATGCCATTAATTTGTACATATACATAGTTTTTTTTTGAAATCTTGTTACCCGTTGCTATCTGTATAATGCATTGTTGTCTTGGAACCTTTTTCTGATGAGCGTCTGAATTCCTTTGAATTCGTAATGAGTTGATTTGGCAGGGCTAGAAATGCTGGCATGATTAGCTTACCCTGACTGTGTCTTGATAGTGGCACAAAATTACTCTCATTTAACTCGGACAGAAAATGGGAGAAAAGAATTATATGATAGAATTGAAATGTCATTCAATACGTAGAATCAATTTACACAGCTAGTACATGGGACATGAGCTACATATGCTTGGAATGAGTACATATGAAAACAGCATGAACACTGTAAATTAGCAGTGGAGATAGCGGCCCAGACATCTCGGGGAATGCCAATACGAGAATTCCATTCCAGCCATGCAAGTTCCTCTGGATCCAATAAACCAAGACTGACAGCAGGTATGACACTTGAGGATAATCGGTGTCCAGGGTAATCAAGAGGTCGAACTCGGCTGACTTAGATGGTTGTCAATAAAGAAGATTCGGGAAAGTAAGAACACTTGCCTGGGATACATTTGTACCAATTACAGCATATGTTGTCAGTGTCAAGATGCGCATTGTATCCATCAATAGAGAAGACACAATGGCAAGCTGAGCATTCTCAGCTCTCACTCTGGATTTGGCATAGCAAAGCAGGAATGAGTCCAGTTGTCACATGAAGAAGCCTTATCCGGATGCCAATTGGTGAATCAAAAAACTGAAGATTTCCATGCTCAGCAATTGACATGTTGACTGAGCAGTAGCGGGCCATAAAAGATGGCAGAGGGTGCTGCTGCAGGGGGTGCTGTTCTGGATGGCCTACATATGCTCATGAGCCATTCATTATTAGCACAGAATGAATGGAGTGCTTACGATTGTAGATGTCACTCTTGTATTTACGTGTCATGATTTTTATGAGGTTAAGGTCTAGCAAAGAAAGTTAGTAAGAACATGGAAAGTCGAAGTCAGGATCACAAACCTGGCATAGCACGCTGGCATGCAACTGTTCAAGAAAAGAATGGTCGAAATATGCCAGATGGGTGCAGGAATGCTCGAGTAGGCAAAGAGGATGCTGGTACTGGAAAACACCATCAATGGAGGGTGAGAAGGTTTCAGATAGCCAGCTCACCAGTGAAATCACAGGGATGTGATTTCACTTTCCAATAAGTACCAGCATTATTCCGATAAAGCGACATTGTACAGTCCTCTTGACTGCGATATTTGTTTAGAATATGCAGGCATATTGGTCCCAGAGATATCCTACCAAATGTGTTAGCATCGGCGAGTCAAGGAATGAGGAACACATACTTCGACCATTCAACCCATGCTTTAGACCCCGGATCGAATGAAGAAACTTCACCCACAAGATTGTGTGCCTGCAAAGATACGTGGAAGCTGGCCAGGACGTCACGAGGAGGATCATTGCTACGGAGGAGCGATCGCATAACCATGGTCAGTTTGGGAGGAGCCTGGGGCCGCGAGCAAGTTTGGCATTGGGGAGGCATGGCTATGGAGCTTATAAGGTGTGAGGGAGAATGTGCGAGATGGAAAAACTGCAACAGATTTATAGCATGAGAAACAATTGGCAAGGCTATCACAATAGATAGACTTGTCAGACGATGTGCAATGCTGACTGACAAAAGGATGGTGGGAAAGCATAATAGCAATAGCATGTCATCAGAGTGGAACATATCCACCGAGAGCATGGTCAAAGTACAACTTCGACCAGGCCATGGCAGCGGTATGAACAGAAGGTTAACTCAGCTGGGCATCATGATTGGTTGTTATTTGGCGAGAGCCTCGAATGTAAACAAAGCTGGCTCTTTCAAAGTCCGACTCATAGCTGAATGCTGTACGATGAACACTGATGAACACTGTCGTACAGTGTTCATGCCTTCACTATCACCGGCACAAGATCCCAATCGCCTCGATGCTGTAGCACAGTGTCTATGCGTTTCTCTCCTTCTACCTGCTTCTGGACGTGCTGAATTCCCCAGAAAATTGGGTGGGTTTTCTATGCACAGAATCACCCAATATAACAAGCCCGCCCGATCTTGTGCGGGGTTCATCACCTCACAGGGTGCGATTTCAATAGCATTATCCTAAACACTGTCATACAGAGTTTATGCATTACTTTCTTTCCATGAAACGATGACTATCCACTCCTTCATCTGTTAGACTGGCTTTTCACTGTTGCAGTGTTCGTAACAGCTATGTAAGTACAAGTATTTTACTCTATTAACATAGAAGCTGATGCCCAGGTATTGTTTAGGAGCCAACATACGACCTTGGGTGCAAAGTTAGAGCAGATGCCTGGACATTCTAGGATAACGCACTGTAAAATGCTGATAGAGGAAGCTCATAGCTAGCAGGATGATGCATATGGTTTGAATATATTTCCAGGTGAGCCAGCTCTCCATTGTAGCTTTCTCTGCCACTGGCTGACCTGAGTTCATCCAGATGAAGATCCTACTCGGCTTTCCGATGTCTCTCGAGTGCGCGGCAATGACGGTAGAAATGCCATCAATGTTTGCTGCCTATGAAATCTGAGCAATGAACTATCTTGAGACTTGCCCCTTACCGTGACAGTTTGAATGTGGTCCTCCATGCCTGTGTCCAACTGGTGCACATTCGAGTCTCTCCTCTCGAAGACGTATACAATGCTGTGGTCACTGCCGCTTACTATCACCCTGCAGTTCTTGGCAAATGCAACCTGTCGAGGTCGCGGCACCTTGGTAGCCTCGATAGGGAAGGTTTTGACCCTTACTCCATCTGACAGCCGGTACAGCGCGACGCCTTGCGCAGGGTCATCTAGGCAGAAGACATCCTTCTCACAGTCCATAGCTGTGTTCCCTCTTGGGCATCTGTTAGATTAGCCCCATGAATAACGAAAAAAGATTTACATCATTCCGCCTGTATCAATTGACTCCATGATATTCCCATCAGCGCCTCTGAGGAAATAGCTATTCAAAGGCATCAAAATGGTGCAAAGTGTAGCAGAATCGAGCCCACATTTTCCCATTATGGCAGCCAAATACAACGACATCCCTACTGTTGCCATTCACATGAAAATGGATGGCTTTGGGATCGAAGCTGTTGATGGTCACCAAGAAAATGCCATGTAACTGCATGTTCCCGTCAACTCGATGCACCTGCACAATGCCTTGTCAAGTAGTCATAGCCAGCCGACTGGAAGCCGGGTCGAAATGGAATGCAGTGATTTCACATGAGCCTACCATCCTCAGAACATATAGCTCTTTGAAATCCTGTGGTACTCAGCATTACAAAGTGTAGCTGAGGATGGTACTCACAGTGGTATTCTTTGCCTGCTTCCAACATGCCATGTAGCCATTCAGTGTTCCGTACATGAGCACTTCATCAGAGTCGTCCTCTCTTCTTATCCAAATCATTGCAGTGGTGTCGCCCCACGATCCTGCAGCACTTGGCCACTTTAAAAGCCTGTCATTTCATAGATCCCAGAGGCAAGTTCCGCCGGAGCCTAATGATGTTTAACATAGATTTGGTAGCATTGGCTGTGGGACTCACCTCCACTGGCCAGAAAGTTTCCCTTTTCGGTGATGGCTAAGCAGAAGACTGCAGCGTGTGAGGACTGAAGGGTTTGTTGGAGATGATAATTGGTCGGCATTGATCAAGGTTGGTATGGGGGAGGGATACACAAGGCAAGGCGGTTATATGCTGTTCTCTGATTATTGCCCTTTCCAGCATTTTTTTTGTCTTTACTCATAATGATAACCTCGACGCAGTCACTTTACGAGGCCAATGACTCTCATTGTTATGCTGAATGTCAGCTGCTCGCATTGTTTCCCGAGTTCAGAAGTCTCCAATTGTTTATGAGGGCTGCAATTGTCAAGTTTTCCACATGGAACTTGGGCGGCCCGTACTACCAGCTTATCACTATGATGACATGCATTGTTTCATGGGGGAGGGTCGCAACTTTTTGTTGAGCGCTTCGAACTCGCACTTTTTTGTTTAGTCCACTGTTATCGTTAGGATGGGCAATCCCTATTTTTGCCTACTATAACGGAGGTCCTCTATATAGACTATGCCTGGTCACTTCTCTCCATCAATGGAGACGTCTAATTCCATCTGTTACCTTGCAGACAATACTACACCCCCTGCTCCAATGGTCCTCTCACTGTGTGCTATGGATCTTTTTTTCACACCAAAGGCAACGCCATGGGCCATTGAACACCTCTCTCATTCCGGAAAGCTGAAGCCACTGGCAGGCAGATTGCGGCACACTCACTTTGCTCCATACCCGCTGCCTTCCTGCCAATCCTCGTCATTGGCAAAAGGCAAAAAAAGGGACCCCACTCCTATACCTCTGACATCACGTGCCAGCATCCCCCTGGCACTGCGAAGGGATAAAGAGAAAGGCAGAGGGACCAGTACGCCATCCTGTGATGATGAACCGCCTCTGAATGATGACATTTCAGATGAGGAGAGTACAGAAGAAGAACCCCTGTCTTCATCGCAAACCTCGATCAGTAGCAGCTCCCATCCAACTATTCAGAGGGTGCTAATTGCTCAGCCTAAGGGAGTCAGGAACCTAGGCTTAGTTCAGCTTGGTGCAAAGTTGAACTGGGAAGGCGATACCTACCAACAAGTTGTCGTATGTTCTCCCTTCCGCTTTCATTCATTTCCTGATTCTTTTTTCTGCAGAAATACGCCGAGAAGATCTTTCCGGTATATCTCAAGACGGAGATGTCTGCGAGTGGACAAGATCAAACTGATAAGGATGCCTTCAAAGATGCTGTATGTGTATTACACTGTGCTGCATTACTATCTCTTATGCAATGTTAGATGATGCAAGAGTTCGACGACCCACTCAGCAACTATGTTAATGTCTGGCCTCTCGAACAAATCATGCAGTGCCTTTGCAAAAAATTTTCAGAGAAAACACGCAAGCAATCGGCTAAAAGGACCATGGAGGCAGTGCAAACAGCCGTTGCAGGCCCTTCAGCACCTAGAAAGATATCATGAGTAAGGCAACCATACCCACAGGATCTCTAGATAGCTAACAGTTTTGTTTTTAATAGAAACATCGGGCTGCGAGGTTTTCCCTCTATCAGGTACCCTCATAGGATTATATATATTCTTGATGCCCATTGCCATGGCTTCAGAATCAGACACTTACAATGAAGCAAACGAGAGCCGTAGTTGCCGTGATCGAATGGTGGTATAGGAATGTGACGATGCCAGGAGCAACGTCAGTAGGTGCACATTACCTGGGCCATATCATCACCCTTAGCCCTATTTTGTACCCATTTCTCTGTACCATGTCTTTCAAACGAAACAAAGATCCAAATATTGGCCTTTATCAATATTATTAAATCTATAGTTGCTGCATGTCAGTCATGCCCACCTCAGCTTCAGGCTGATCATGAGCTCAGCTTTTGTTTAGCCTGCGCTGAGCATCCGCTACGTTCAATACATACCCAAATCATCAATTTCTAGGCGCGTTTGGCACATGTTGAAATCAGGTCCCTAACCATTAATTTTCGTGTAACCGGAATTCGTCTCGTAACCGGAAATTCGGCCCGCAGTTTCGGAGGACTTCGTATCTCAGGCTCGGCCCTTCCCGGAATCCCACATCGAACGTATGGTTTCGGTGTGGATTTTGGATAAACTTAGGCTACTGTTTTTGGGCCTCATTTCAAGCATGGTGGAATTGAGTCATATTCGTTCCATTTAAGACCCAATTTAAAGCACTCTTAAGCCTTTGGTTCAATAAGTAATTGAAGTAAATTGTATTTGTAGATCGAAAACTTGAGTATATACATAACAATAAAATGAGTTTAAATTTCTATATTCCCGGTGTGTATCGTACCATTAGAAGCCCGAATATCTCACAAAGACCCACCGGCTGACCATTATCAGCGCTAGCGTGCTTTCATCAGTAATCAGTACGTTAATAGGAATATCTTTGCACCGTATAGTGCATTTATTTGATGATTCATAGGTCTGTTTTTGGGATGGGATACTCTTTGTCAGCTGGTACCACGATCAAGCGGCGTTTCCTTGATCGGAAGATACTTAAAAAGCTTTGAACACAAATAGCCGCGGCCTCAATCGGTGGGGAGTCATGGACCTCTTACTTCTTTCCCTCCTTGTATTGTGCTCAACAAGCATACAGGCTGCAATATATGAAAAACTCGAGGAGCTAGCGACTCTCGATTTTGATTACATCGTTATCGGAGGTTCATATTTCTCTTCAAATTCTCAAGATGTCGTCTCGTTAATTCTTAAGTTCCAGGTGGGACAGCAGGAAACGTGCTTGCGAATCGTTTGACGGAGGAACCCGCTATTTCCGTGCTGGTCCTCGAAGCAGGTGGATCGTAGGTTCAACCTCAGGCTCTTTCAAACCGTTCGATGTTAACTTCGTCATAGAACAGCAGACGTGCTTCTCTCCCAAGTACCTTTCTTTTGCCCCCAAATAACGCCTGGAACACCATGGGATTGGAATTTCACCACAACTCCCCAACCTGGGTTGAACGGACGTTCGATCTCGCTTCCTCGAGGATATGGATTGGGAGGAAGTAGTTCCGTTAGTGCGTCCCCCTGTGCTTTTGTGTGAGTGACTGTATTGCTGATGCTAAGTCAGACTATATGGCGTACACCCGTGGTTCATCACAAGATTATGACCGCTATGCCCAGATCAGTGGTGACCCTGGTTGGGGATGGGAGGCTTTGAACCCGTACTTTAGGAAGGTTAGCGATGCCTTTCGCTTTAGTTGGTTACATTTTGTCCTGATTTCACGGTAGAATGAGCGCTTCGTTGCTCCTGCTGATCACCACAATACATCCGGAGAATACGATCCAGCGGTTCATAGCTTCGATGGCATCAACTTTGTTTCTCTTCCGGGATACCCACGCGGTACGGACGGTCGCGTCATTCAAGTGACAGAGGAGTTGCCTTGCGAGTTCCCGTTTAATCTTGATTATAATTCTGGATACCAGCTGGGCATTGGTAAGGATTCTCTAAACGACTGCCTTATCGAATGTACTGATTGTGAAGTGTTTGTAGGTTGGATGACATCAACTATTGGTAACGGGACTCGGAGTAGCTCTCAAACTTCCTATCTTGGGCCCCAGTACATCGACAGACCGAACCTGCATGTCTTGATTCACGCCCATGTAACACGAATTCTTCCCTCGGATACCAACACCATACCAACGTTCAATTCCGTCGAGTTCACTCAGGACAATGGAGGTAATCGGATACTCCAGCACTCTTAAAATTGACAGTTGATCAGCGTCTAGCAACAATGCACACACTTGCGCCGTCAAACCTCAAAGAGATCATCCTCTCCGCAGGCTCCATCGGTTCCCCGCATATTCTCCTCAATTCAGGCATTGGCGACAGCGCCGAACTTTCAGCTCTAGGAATCCAACCCGTCCTTCACCTTCCCGACGTAGGAAAGAACTTGACCGACCACCCGCGATACATCATCAACTTCTTCGTCAACAGCACAGATACCACCGAGAATCTTTATTTCCGAAATACCACTTTTCAGGTGGAGGCTCTGGCGGAGTGGGAAGCAAATCGAACCGGGTTTTTGTCGACGAGAGCATCGAATCAAGCAGGGTTCCTTCGTATTCCTCACGACACGGGTATTGTGGAAGGAGAGCCTTGCGCGGGGAACGAGACGGCGCATTATGAATTGATCTTCTCTGTATGTTATGACCTCGACCAGTACTACCAAGCTCACTATTTGTCTCCCGTACTAGAACGGTCTGGCTCGACAACCTATTCCCTCCACAGGAAACTATTTCTCAATCACGACTGCTGTTCTATGCCCATTATCGCGTAAGTATGCCCGCTTGTCTGTGTGTTTCGGTTCGTATTCATGATCCCCTTTGATGTAGGTGGGAACGTGACCATCGGCAGCACGAATCCCCTGGAACCGCCTCTGATCAACCCCAATTATTTCTCTCATCAGCAAGACCTAGCTATTATGCAGTACGCTATTGCTAGCGTGCAGAAATTTGTCACCGCCCCGGCATGGGGAGGTTATATCCTCGGCATCGCAACAAACACCACTGAAGATGACATCAGAGATGGCGTAGGCAGTATCGACCATTCAGCGGGTACCGCAAGCATGTCCCCTCCCAATGCGGATTGGGGGGTGGTCAACCCGGATTTGAAGGTGAAAGGCGCGAAAGGTATAAGGATTGTCGATGCGTCAGTTCTTGTGAGTTCTTTTGAGTGACTTTCTTCTGAGTAGTGGTCTTAGGGTGTTTCTTTCTCAGCCCTTTCTGCCAGCAGCGCATCCTCAGGTAGCAGTTTATGCCATTGCTGAGAGAGCGGCGGGTCTCATTCGAGCGGGATAGATATTGAGAGGGAAATTGTCGACGCTAGGATAATAGTCATATGGATCAGGGGCCTGTTTCCTGGAAGGCAAATGAAACATAATGCTTTAATCTGTGTATCAAGGACTGTCTTAAATACTTTCCAAGTAGCTATAGAGGTAATTCTAAACCGTCGAAATGGGAGAATGGGCTGATGGTGCAGTGTCTGGATTGTAGAAGCACGAAAGCAGAACATGGTAGTTGAGTCAATAGTCTGGAGTTTCCTCATGATGTTATTTAACTCAAGCTATCTTGAACTTGAGCGCCGGCGCACAATTCTTAAGTATTTTGGCACTGGCCATGAAATTAAGTAGTTGTGCACTCATTCTCTTGTTTCGGACCATTATTTATTTAGCCTGTCTTGAGCGATGGTCCACGGCGAATCATCGACAGCCCATGGCCTATTGGTCTTGTATATATCGGCAGTCAAGAGGAAAGACCTTCATTGTTACCGTGCTCGAGATGTCTTTTTCTTTAGCTCCTTATGAGACAAGCTTGAAACACATGAAGTACATAGGAAGAACGCAGCACTGCATTATCTAGTCCTACAGCTTTCTATACAATAGTAACGGTGGTCACTGCAGGTCGGTCTCCCTCACAAGGGCATACAAGAAAGGATTTATGTACAATGAGAAAATTATATCTACTCTGAGTCAGACGGAAGCGGCATTCTCTCCTCCATTGAACATCCATAAAACTTCACCGATAGTCCTTCAAAATCGTGTAAAGATTGAAGGAGAGGCTCCTGTATCCCAAAGGTGTACGGAATGCAAAGGGTCAAAGATCTGAGAGGTGCGACCCCATTCGATTGAGCGTCCTGGGTTCTCCGCGATGCTACCAAATTAAGGAGCCCATTGTGAGAAGCAAGTGGCGACGGTATAGAGTGATAAGATGGCTGAACACCCGGTGCGTAGAAATCATCATGAATGTAAAGATGCTTTAAACGCGGCACAAGACATGACACCGCGGATCCTTTATAACGTAACTTCCGATAAAAACGAGAAGCGTATTTTGCCTTGACGTTTAACGATAATGTGGTCAGGGTTGGCGGACATGTTTTCAATATCACCACAACATGTCCAATAGGAAGAGCGGGGAGAAAAAGGGTTCGAAGTTGGCACAGCGAATTTGAAAGGAAGTCAACCGTGTCCAGGATGTAAGGCTCAGACGAAAAATGACATTTAGTCTGTAAATGTTGTAATGCCGGAAGGTACAGATGCTTCAAACATTCGGAATATGTACGAATCGAGAGCCAGCTGAGCTTCGCATGCGACAGCGTTTGAAAGTTCTCCACGTCCGACCAGCGTTTGAATGAAACGTCATCCGAAATTCGTAGTGTAGCCTGATGTAAGTCAGGGGCGTCCCGAAAAAGGTCTCTAAGTTCAGCGGTATTTTGAATATCGCCACTGAAATGCTTCAGCTGTCGAAGCGGCAGCAAAATCTGGGACAAACTGATTCCTTGGAGCGAAACGTCCTCCAATTGATGCGCGTTATGAAAAAGCTCAATAGGTAGTGCAATAACATCAAATCAGTGATCCAGGAAGGGGGGCTGGGCTGGGTTTAGGACCGCATCCTGCACATCTATATTGAGCCGTTTAAGCGCCGGAAAGTCAGCAACCCCAACAAAGGACGCCATTGTTTGGAAGCGGACCGGTGTAAGAGTCAAATCGACGATACTCCAGCGATGGGTGTGGCGCAACAATGGCTTCAGGGGACGCGCCCAATTATCCATGGCAGAGAAATCCATCGTCACATCCAATAAACGTCGCGAGGGATCGATGGAGATATTTTCGGAGGGGGCGCAGCTTCGCTTTGGGAAAATTGTCAGAGCGTTCGTCTCCCAGAATATCTATATGAGCTCAGAGCGCTGGGGTGGACACCGCAATGGCCCGCCAGGCGCGACACACGCGGCAAAATGTCCATGGTGCGGACTTTTTGATATCCAGGGTATCATGAATGGACGTTCGAGGCAGGTTCCTCATGGCAATTTGGAGAATCTCGGCGATAACTTCCACGGGTAGGAGGGATATGGGAGCTGAGAAATATGGCACACGAGAAGTTGTGTTGGATAAGAAGATGATCTCATTAGCAGAGGGAAGAGGTAAAGGGACGAGAAGGGATTTCTGAAACGAGATGCTGGCCCGGTTTTGATCTCTTCGTCTGTGAAAACGAGAAAGAAGTGATTCAAGAAAGTGGATATTTTGCTCGACATCGACAGATTCTTCTTCGAGTGCGTCTGTACATTCGCGAATTAACGCGATCTCAGATTGGGTAAGCGAGTTGCTGGGGCTGGGTCCTAGCAGGGGAACTGATGATGGAACCGCGTCTGAGTCTTCCCCATCGAGTGTAATGGATTGACGCAACTGAGAAATTCTACATAATCTCTCATTAGTAAAGAAATTTTCAGGAAGAAAGAGAGTGTTCTAGGTCGGATTCCTAAGTACTTACCTTGCAATTATGGTCATTTTTAAGTTAGCAGCGATGATATCGGCTCCACAGCAAAAGCGCAGGAATAGCACTTTCTTTCTTTACAAGAGGAAGCAAGTCGAATAATATCACACCGAAAGAATGGAAAATCTGACAATACAGCACGATAATGACAGTCGTTTCCAAAGTGGTTGTGACAGTAATTTCTACGACATTTTATTGGTACCAACCTATGCCTATAACAGGAAGGACCCTTGCAATGTTTTATGATTCTACCCGATACCGCCATCATCTCTAACAGTGGCTGAGATTGCAACGCTCTCTAACCCCCCCACTCCCTGTCTACCTCGAATATTGTTCTCTCTAATTCTGTTATTTTGGGTCTACGTGCTACCGGCACTGCTCTGCGGTGAAATTGAAAATCAACAATCGACTAAAGGCGCAATATTTTGAAGAGCATCGATATCTCAATGTACATGCGTTCTAGCGGGTTTGAAAAACTAACAAAAAAAAATACCAAAAAAAAATGAGCAAAGCATACGAAGTGCATCATTCCACTCTCCCTCGATCCAAATAACTCAAATTCATGCGAGTAACTGTGGATATTTGTCTAGCCTGGTAAAGCAAGTTACTGGAGCCTGGTCCTAGCAAGAGGACGGATGATGCTAAAAAGGCGATTCTTTACGTCTTCATAGGGTATCAGGCTCCCTGACGCCCATTATTTACCCTTCTTTACGCTGAACGTGAGATAGTACTTATCGCGTCGTTTCTCGAAAGCTATTTCACTCGAAGTGTCGCCCCAGATATGTTTCCACAATCACTGGCATAAGCCTAGGCCAGTACGATTATGTGCATGAGGGTGAATAGCCATGGAATGATGCGCCTCGTATGTCTTTACTTGGTCTCGGCCTGTTCTTGTTGATTTTTATGTCTAGAGCGAAGTACTCGTCGCGTAAAGTTCATGGCAGATGCGCTCCAAACATTGCATCGTGTACAGCATTGCGTCCGGTTTAAAAGCATCGCTCAAGCTCGTTCTGCCAATTCCATGCATGATAATAATATCATTCTCTACTCCTCAGAAGCAAAAGGATAGTCTGTATACCCCTCTGCAACCTCCCCATGCAAATAAAACGTCGGCCTATTATACGGCGCAAAAGGTAGATTCTTCTTCAACCTCTTCGGCAGATCAGGCTATCAAAAAAAAACCCATCAGACACAACCCAACCCAACAAACGGAAGAAAACCTCTACTCACATTCGAAATAAAGTACCTCCCAAACGCAACAAGATCCCCCTTCCTATCCGCCACCTCCATCGCCTCCTCCCGGGTATACCCCCCTGCCGATATCAACGGCCTCGGCGCCCACAACTCTCTTATAAAATCATTCGACTCGCCCGCACCCACATTATTGCTCGTCTGGTTCCCAGATATCCTCGGCTCCACAACATGTATATACGCCAAATCCGCGTGGCGTTGCCCGATCTTCGTCACCAAGTACGAAAACGTAGGAACGGGGTCCTCCATGCGCATACCCTGCCATGGCGACCATGGGCTCAGCCGGATGGCGGTACGACTCGCCCCGACCGCGTTGACGACCGCATCCACGACTTCAAGTCCGAACCGTGCACGGTTCTCGATGCTTCCTCCATAAGCGTCCGTACGCTTGTTAGATACGTCCTGAAGGAACTGATCGATAAGATACCCATTCGCACCGTGGATCTCGACGCCGTCGAAACCTGCTTTGGACACGGCATTGGCAGCTGCTTGGGCGTAGAGCTTGGGGTATTCGTGGATCTCATCTAGAGTGAGCGGGCGAGGTGTATCGGGGTAATCGGAGAGCTTGATAGCAGAGGGAGCGACATATTCCAGGGATGGATCCTCGTCTTTGAGGTCGGAAAGCTCGGCGGCACGCCCCAAGGCCCACAGTTGGCAGAAAATATAGCTTCCCTTGGCGTGGACGGCGTCGGTTACCTGGTTGTCGATGAGATAAGCTTCGGAATGAGGTACTGATACATACCTCCTTCCATGCATCTAGCTGCTCCTGTGTCCATAATCCTGGTACATTCTTGTATCCTCCAGCCCTTTGTGCAATAAGCGCCGCCTCCGTGATTAGAAGGGTACCAGGTTCGCTACCTCTCTGCGAATAGTACTCCTTCATGACTGACGTATATGGGACATGTCCTTTCTCCGACGACTTGTATCGCGTCAATGGTGCGTGGACAATACGGTGATTGAGGGTGAGATTGCCGATTTTGATGGGTTGAAAGAGCTTTGAGTCTGCCATTGTCGATGTGGAGGGAATAAACGCGGCGGCTTTTATAGTCAGTTCGCTGAACAATAGCGGTAGCTGAATATTGAATGCTTATTGATCCATTCCAATCGCCATTAACGGGATGATGCTTTGCTTGTTCCGATATGGCCTTAAAAGGATTTGCTGAATAAGAGATGACAAGGAACGGTGAAAGTCGGCGAGCTAGCCCATTGAATGATCTACTCGAATGGCAACCGGTACTAGCTAAGTGCAGGTTGAAGAAAGCAATCGTGAGAAAGACATCCTAATCCTGGGATTTTTAGGCTGGGCAATCAGAAGGGAGATGGCGCGGTCTAAGCGAGCGATGATTATTGCAATGATCAAACTCGGGGTTGGCGTGCAATATCATTGGCTATCATTGCCGGTACCGTAGTCGATGCCTACAGTCAGAATGAGAATATGAGTGCCTAAATCAGATGAAAAAAATGGTATTATGGACCTCGAAATAAGCACCGACTCCATCGCAACCCGAACACAATCAGCGCTGAAAAGTTCTTGACGATTCTGACAAACCAGAGTTAGCTTCATTTTTTGTCATCAGGTCAGTACTCACAAATAGTTCCTACCAAGCCCAGGTATCGCCGTCTATCTCAAATCTGCAAGGCCGCGCCAGTGCCTAGCCTTAGGATACTGAATGACTGCGCGCTATCCTCCGGTCAGATGGCCACATCCTTCGCTTAGCCTCTTCAGGTCCTTTTGCAAGCGGCGGCCTTTTCGAGTCGTGGCGCCCACTAGACGAAACGAGTGCACACTCCTGTAAGAAATCCTTCGTCACTATCGATGTTCGATTCGACGACGCTCCAGAGGAATTGCTAGCAGTTGCTGGAAATCGAGGCTGACAAGTGATGGTGGAAGTAATAGCCTCTGGCAACCTGATGTTCTGAAAGTCAGGTAAAGCAATAGTGCCTTGCCAGTCGATATACGAAACGACGTTCGCTGCCCCAGAGGTCCGTGAGAGGTCGGGATGAATGGGATAAGGAACCGTCAGCCCACGCTCAGGTGGAATGATGTGAGGTGCCATCGATATATTATACATTGCTGCAACAGCTGAACTAGTTCGGGGAGATCGGAAGGCTTCGACCTACTCAGAACAGAGCTAGGACATGGGGGAAGAAGATGCTGCGCTGGACGCTTGGGATTCGGCTCGCCGAGGCGCTGGACAGGAAGTAGCTTGAATGTAAGAAATCATGTTTAGCTCTGCAATACAGGATATGTTAGTCCATTACTAACTTGCAAGCAAGCGAAGCTGCTTACAAGGTCCGCGGACTCCCTCTACAGGTTCATTGGACTAATATTGCTTGTCAACGGCAGGCCCAATCCTGTATTTCTTGGCAGCAAGCTCCTCATTGTCCTTCTCCCTCGCGTAAAGCGGCTGGCTCTGCAGCTCCGGACTAACATCCTCCTTGAAGAATAAACTTCCAATCTGCGAAAACGGCCGCTGATGAAGACCCAGATCGAGGAACAGCATTTCCTGTATCACAGCGCCGATGTCTTCGTCAAAAGTATTGAACCATCGTTTCTCCGGCGCCACGTTGTCTATACGTTCTATGAGGATGAAATCCAACAGTATGGCAGACCAAGATTACGGCGTGCTGCTCCATGCCAGAACGTGTGGAGTAGGATGTCCGATAACATATTCCATTGTGGCTACTTCGCTGGCTGTGGACAAGTGTGTATTGCCTACGAGTGCGCAAGCGATTCGTGCAATGGCCTCACGTCCATTGTCCAATCGAGAAGAAAAATCTTTTCATAAGCTCCTATACAAAATGTTAGACTCACTACGTAAGAAGAAAAAAATGGAGAACGACCTTGAACGATGCTTTCAAACCGAACGCAGCGTTGTGCATTGAGGGCCAACGATGCAATCTTCTGAAGCGTATCTGATTTGAAGCTTACGCGACGAATACTTCGTTCTAGAGGTAAAAAATGAATAAAAGTCGGCCGAAACAAAGTAAAGACATACGAAGCGCGTCGAGCCACTCGCCTTCATGATCGTACCAACCTATGAATACGCTGGCGATTGTTGAAATACGTCTGGGACGACAATTCAAGTGAAAGAGCTTTCGGGAAACAGCGAAAGAATATGGTAGCATAAGAGAGGGGTGTTGTGGCAAGTCACAAAGTGCCAAAAGTGCTAAGTCTCCTGAACGACGAGAATGGCTGTATTGAGTTATTGGCATAGAGGCGTCGAATCCAAGGGACCTTGTACATTGTGTCTTACTCGCTTTCAGCCTCTCCGGCGATATATCACACCACCGAGTCCATCCCTATACGCCTCATCGAAAGTGCCATCTTGTTCTCCTAGTTAGAATGCACTCGCTCAGCCAAAGGTTACACACACCTTTGTGATATCTTCAAGCCACAACGATTATGTAGCACGCTGCATGCAAGTGAAAAGTCTTCGAGAAATACGGGCAAAGAAAAGAAAAGGCTCGTCACCTGTGTCTGCTCAGTACGCACGCGGCAAGATTCCATGGGGCAGAAAACGGGGATTCAAAACTCATAGATAATGCATCTGAGGAGAAAAAAACCTCATTAGTCCAAGTTCATAGGTAGCCGGACTAGAGAACACACCAATACGGAAACACCGCTAATGCTATCTATCTCCTCGTCTGTCACCAAACGTTCTATACTCGCTGAAAGGCGCCCTTGAGTTCTAATGTTTAGGTTTTGCGAATTGACTTGTAGTGCACAAGCGAAGGATGGTGGTATGAAGAAGAGATCCGTCGGAAGTAGCCGAAACTGACGTCCGTCTTATGACCAGCCTCGGACGCTTTTTCCACATGTCTCACGATGGCTAGCCCACTTTACTGCATAATATAGCAGAATATTCCTAGGGATACGTACATTCATGCCGCCATGCGAAACTGAAATAAATCTCACTCTCATCACTAACCATCATCGATGCCCCTCGTTCGCTAGTAGTAGGTGGAGCTACGAACTAATTTCCCAGTCTACACATGCCAATATTTCCGATAGGCAACGGACCCCAAAGGGTCTAGTCTCACCTTGGAACGATATACAACGCACATGGTTGAATAGAACGCGTAGTACGCCCCTTGAAAATATCTTACCAGATCTCCTCCAGAGCCCTGTCACTGCATCAGCACCTGAATAGGTCTTCGAGCAAGAACACCCAAATAGAATGGATCCTCTTCGTCTCATGCTCGGAACCCTCAGAAGACAACATCAGCTATCGGTACAATCGATTCGGCCAGACCCTATGCGATAACGCTTCCTGGTCCCCCGCTCTGGGACGGGGTTCTAACCCAGTTATAAATTAACGTCGTCAAGGAAAGGACGAGGATACGCATGTACATCATTGAGTATCGGGATGGTCGGACGGTCCGGACACCGTCAACTTCCTGGGATTTGAAACTCATATAACTTTAGATATTCGGCCTTGTTTCATTTGTGCTGATGGTGGTGAATCAATGCCTGAGAACAACGGTCGCTTCTTGGTGAACAAATCTTCTTCCATTATCGGGATTTTATAAAGTGAACCGCAGTGCGACAAATGGAAATCTTTACTGTCATCCTTCGGTTACCCCCCACGAACTACTTACCGTCGATGGAAGCTGGAAAGGCTCCAACTTAAACATCATTCGTTATCGAAATCTCGGCGATCTCGTATGTGTACTAATTCACAGCGCGGCAATCTGGAAATACTTCTACTTAATCGGAGTCTCGTCAGCTCCGTCATTCAACTTTCAGCCATCATTTTGACTCATATAAAGCCAGGCCGCCTGCGCCCGTCCAGGTTGCAACTACTCAACAACAATTTCTTGCGGGTACGTAGATAGCTCATGGCAAAGCTTCACTCGAGCTCATGATCAATTGTCAGGATCATAATGTCACTGGGTCAGAATGGGAACGGTACGATTTTTTCCCCCTTCACCATGAAACGCGAGCTTAGGACTATCCCGACAGACTCGACCAATTCCACAACGGAATGAAGTCGTTCCTGGAGGGCGACTATCATTTGCTCAAATCGAAAATCCTCGTAGGATTATTGATATTGGGGTAATATACTTTCAGCATTATCATTATACGCGATGACTTCACTGTGACCGTCCTAGGGCGGGATCCGGTGCATGGTACGCATATCCCTCTGCGGACCGTTCCGTATGCCAGTTTCAATCCTTATACCAGGGCCATCCAAGCTGCCGACATCAATCCACTCTGTAAAGAGTCTAAAGTCTTGCGGTGCACGACGTAGCTATGACCAACGTATATTGATCAACTACGTGTGCTGGTACAAGAAGTAGAACTACTCTTTCGTAATCATAGTTATCGTAGATAAGGGTATCGGCGAAGCCGATACCAAACATTCATAAATAGGTAAAGATTGATTTCTGGTCCGTACGGTCCCTTACATACCCCCCCTTCAGATCGCCTCCAGGCGATCGTTGAGACTATTCATCCAAGGGTATCGTGCGGACACCCATCGCGCTAGTCCTGCTTGTCTATCGAGGCCGTGACGCTGTGTGAATCACCAGGCGTGTTCTCGCTGGTGATCGTTCCGGCTGCGTGTACGTCGGACATTTCGTCGTCAGTTTCCGCAGGAAGTGGGATGTCGTGTGGCTCCCTTGCCACTACGACTGGTGCCGTACCGACTGTAGGGTCAGGGGCGGTGACGTTAGGCACGGCCTCCGTTCCCTCGGTGGTACCATTGTCTTCCACTGCCGTTTCGGTGGCAGCCGTCATTAATACGTCGTCTTGGCCCGGGTCGAGCCTCGCTTCAGGACCTGGTGAGGATGGAGTATCGGGGATGGCTGGGGGGAATGAGTTGATGTATGTGAACATGGGGCTTTCCCCCCTCAACAACCAATAAGGATTTCCGTGACGTTGGTTGCGACTGTCAGGCTGGTGCACGTATCTTTCGTAGTACATGATCGCTCGTATACGATGCGTGTCTCCCAAGTCCGGGGTCCACCATCCTCGTAGTTCAGGTATGATTACTGGTTCCCCGAATCTCTCAAGTCGCCGCTGACGAGATGATTCCAGTCGTTGATAGTGATCCCGGAAATGTATAGATTGGTGTTGGTCTACCCATACCATTGCCCATGGGTAGGCACTGTCGACCATTTCCTGCGTTATGCCACAATCGGCCAGGTGACGAATCACGTCTATTTCTGCCAAGTTTTCCGCGGCGCCGTTGAATATCATGCGTCGTAGGAGGGTCCTTTCTGACGCGATTATGATGGGGACTTCGTCGGGTCGGTCCCTGTTCCACTGTTCAATGTAGTCAGTGTAATATCTGGGACGGAACGCGATTGCTGCAAAGTATCGTGCGTAATAGTTTCTCGCGTCTCTTGGGTGGAGGAATCTGACTAGCAGCATCCCCCATACGCTAGCGTAGCTCACTCGATAGGATAAATCCATCGTGATTCCTGCTGGCGGGTTCAGTCCTCCCGGTCTGAAGTGGTGAGCCGCATATTGGCACCAATCATCGATTGTACCGTTCACGGGGGGGATCATTCCGGCACCTCCCGCTATACTGCTGCTACCCGGCCGTCTGAATGCGCGATCTAGGGGAATGTTTGCCGGTGGTGGTAAATCGTTTGCCAATTCTTCTAAGCGTCTGTTCATTTGGAACTGTTCGATCACATCGTGCATTGCGAGGTCCCTGTATCGAGCTATTACGGACGTCGATATCCTCCGGAACTCTTCCAGTAATCTTAGGACGGTCTGCCATTTCGGCGCACGGTTCTGGATGTAGCGTATCGATTCCCGGACTTCCCTGACCGTCATTGGGAATCCTCTCGGGTTAGGCCTACAACCCATCCTGTGTGGTAGAGGGTATTCCCTCCTGTCAGCGAACGTTCTTGCCGCCTCAACTGCCTCTGCGTCGGCATACATTATGTTGTTCCGGCGGTCGTATGTGAAGCCTGGGCCATACATTCCTCGGAAGGAGTTGTCTCTCTCTGCAGACGACCTGTCGCCGCATCTCGAGCGTCCTGCTGGGCAGATTCGTTGACGAATCGTCTATACATTTCGACAATTACTTCGACAAATGTTGGCTTGGCGACGTTGGTCTTGCTTATCCTTTCTTGGAACCAAATCTTTGCCTTGTCTTCGAGCAGTAGGTCCAGAATAAGGACCCGTTCCTCATCTCTCTCAGGACCGCCTAGTTGTGAAGACCTGTAAGCAAATACCACACTCTTAAGCCATTGCCAAAATGTATCCTTGGATTCCGACCCGTTGTATTTCGTCATGGTCTTTGCGTCCCATCTCGGTGGTTTGAGCCCGTCAGGTATCTGGAGACGCTTTTCCAAGTTTGTTCTTATGAACTCTACTATTTTCTGGAATCGGCGTTCCTGGTCCCGTACCTTTGCCTCGATGGACCGAGAAGAGGGTGCTGTAGATGTTGCCCGCGGCCATGGCCTGGGCGTGAACGGATCTCGTTTAGGCCCGTTATTGGTGTCGGGGTCGTCATCATCGTCAGGGTCGCCACCACCCCCGGGTGCGCTTTTACCTTGATCACCGTTATCTTGATCATCGTTCTCCTGTTCCCCGAAGTCGGGTCGTAGCCACGGATTGTTATTTTCATCGAATATGATACCTTGGTCTGGTATAGTGGGTTTTACCCCGTCTCTAATTTGACTGTTCCGAATGCGTTGATATGTTATTCTATTCTTAATGGCCCTCATCTCCTCCTCTTCCAAGGACGGTATTTTCTTTCCGGGCGACTCGGCCTTAACGTTCAGGTTCGCCTCGCTGTTGTTCTGAGGCGGTGCGTTTCCCTTATTGTCCTTCTTGAGAATGATCTCTTCATCGAGACGTCGTGTCGTTGCCTTTTTCTTGCCTTTCTCCATACGTTTCTGTATGATGGCTCTCTGCTCCGCAAACGATTGTACTTTCGACCGAGGTTGATTGATCCCGTTATCATCAGACCAGAAACTTCTCCCAATCAAGATCGTTGCAAGGTTAGCATTGTATTCCGCTATGAATTCTTCGGAGTCGGATGCTACATCTGTAAATCCGAGTCGTTCAAACACTTTCGTGGTTTGGCCATGCGCAAATGCCTTCGCCACAGTGATCTCGGCTGGACGCATCTCTCCTAGGTCGCGGAGCACCTCTGCCTTAACGCGTTCGTCGTCGTCTAACATCTTCTTCACTTCTTCGCGTGCGGCCGCATCTCCAAAGGTCGACTCGTCGTCACTAGCTACTGATATGGCCACCGTTGGTTTTGATGATGACGGCGCTGGTTGTTCTTCCTCTGGGGCGTCGGGTCCAGGCGCCGTATCCTTATTCCGTTCCGTGCCAGGACCTCTCGTTGTATGCGCGTTGTTCTCTTGCTGTAAGGTCTCTGACGCCGGGGGTAGTTGTTCATTTCGTCGCCACGGGCTATTGCTGGGAAGTGGTGTACGTTTTGTGCTTGGTGAGTTTCGTAGACTGCTGAACGCGGAGTTCGGTTGGAATCCCGTTAAGGGTATAAATCCGTCCTCGGTGAGCTCCTTTGTGGTCAATCCGAGTCCCCCTTGCCGACTGGCATCGCCTACCATTCCCTCCTGGACTGGGAATGCCTCTTCATACTCATAGTCGGCGCCTTCAACTGAGTATGACCCATCTTTCTCGCCTTCCGGGTCAATCTCCTCCCCCGTCTCTTGGACTTTCCCTTCAAATATGTGTTCACTATCTTGTGCTTGCGTCAGCTCGAACGCGAGCGTCTTCTTCTTGTTATTATTCTTTTGCTTCTTGTTATTCGTGTTCGTGTTTGCTGTAGTCGTTGGCTGCGCATCGACTGTGTCCTGTGATGTCTGGGATCGCAGAGCTGGCGCCATGTCTGTCTGACGTGTACGTTTCTACAGCGTCGAAGGAAATTTTTTGTTGGGAGATTGCAGTGGTTGAGAATTGTAGTTGCTGAATATAGCTGGATAGCTAAAAAAGTGTAAAGAGTCTAAAGTCTTGCGGTGCACGACGTAGCTATGACCAACGTATATTGATCAACTACGTGTGCTGGTACAAGAAGTAGAACTACTCTTTCGTAATCATAGTTATCGTAGATAAGGGTATCGGCGAAGCCGATACCAAACATTCATAAATAGGTAAAGATTGATTTCTGGTCCGTACGGTCCCTTACACACTCCCACCTCGGTTCGTTCATGTATCTGTTTGTTTCAAGTATCCTAATTAACCTTTGACTTCCTTAGTCTCTTTCCTTCGAACGTAAGTTTCCATGAGCTGAACATTATCAACCCACTTGCCGCCGTAGAGCTGACAGAGAGTTTCGACGTCGTCCATATTCGACTTTTGTTCTACCATATATGTGTAATTTTCTGCGGATGTCTTCTGTTTCCACAACCTTCAACACAAATACCGGAGAAAGATATCCATGCTGTGCTGGAGAATGCAACGCGCCTTCTGAAGCCAAACGGATGGCTTCTCATTGAAGATTGTGGAAAGCACCTTGGACACGAATCGAGCAAGGGACCTGCTATGGCTACATTTGAGGAGATGTACATAGGTATGCTTCGCTCAAAGGGGTTGGATCCTATCATCGGGGAACACCTTGAACAACACGTTCGGGAGCTGAACTGCTACAGTGAAATCAATACTAACTGTGTTGGGCTCATCCTTACGACTGATCAGCAAAGAGCAGGTATTTGTCTAGCTTAACTATTTTGCGTCTTTCTATTCAATACCCAATTCATATTTTCAGGGTCTACCCCAGAACTTCGTTCGCTCTCCAATGCATTAAGAGTTACTATCGATAGGATCGCCATGGGCAATATTGGGGAGGATATGAAGTCAGCAGGTTTGACTCCAGAGTTACAGAAAGCGTGGGCAGAGGAACGTAACGGTCCAGCTTTTCAGAATACGTTTGACTTTTGGTTCGTTTGGTCTCGGAAGAAGATATAGTGCTGTGCATCAACTTTAATTCACTTGTATCCATCCTGACAGTAGTCATCGCCCCCCACGAGGACACCACATATTCAGTCATGCTAGCACCTGGAGGAATGCTCCATGAGCACGCACATCAATATATAGTATGGATCAATTTTACAGCATCAGCCCGCGAAAAGCCTTCGAGCAAGAAAGACAAATGTAAGCGTGAAGACCTTCGGAAGCTATGGGACTGGGTCCTAGCTAGAAACCTCTTCGTTCCCGAGACGGAACCCCTCAGAGGACATTAGCCGTCGATTATGCCAGGCTTTATGCGATACGAAGCTCTTCAGTCTATACACACGTTTGTAGAAAGGAAACTGGTGCTCTATTTTCACTTTACCAACAATTGCAATGAAGAGGAGAAGGTCAGATGTCAGCTGGAGAGATGCCACTATGCATGGCTAAGTTTTACAAAGTTAGTAGTACATGGAATGTGAAATTTGACAGAGACTCAAGGCTTGTTTGTATAAGAACGGACGGGGTATACTTGATGGTTGAAATTGCGTGGTCCCTTTTACATAATATAAACGAGCAGGTGACCGCGAAATAGGTGAAATAGGATACGCTGATGTAAGACGTGTTACTCCCTCTCGTCTCTACCATCATGATTGCAGCCCATGCCTATAACAGGAAGGACCCTTGCATGTATTATTATGATTTTACCCGATACCGCCATCATCTGTAACAGTGGCTGAGATTGCAACGCTCTCTACCCTCCCTACTCCCTGTCTACCTCGAATATTGTTCTCTCTAATTCTGTTATTTTGGGTCTACGTGCTACCGGCACTGCTCTGCGGTGAAATTGAAAAACAACAATCGACTAAAGGCGCAATATTTTGAAGAGCATCGATATCTCAATGTGCATGCGTTCTAGCGGGTTTGAAAAATCAACAAAAAAATACCAAAATAAAATGAGCAAAGCATGCGAAGTGCATCATTCCACTCTCCCTCGATCTAAATAACTCAAAACCATGCGAGTAACTGTGGATATTTGTCTAGCCTGGTAAAGCAAGTTACTGGAGCCTGGTCCTAGCAAGGGGACGAATGATGCTAAGAAGGCGATTCTTTACGTCTTCATAGGGTATCAGGCTCCCTGACGCCCATTATTTACCCTTCTTTACGCTGAACGTGAGATAGTACTTATCGCGTCGTTTCTCGAAAGCTATTTCACTCGAAGTGTCGCCCCAGATTTGTTTCCACAATCACTGGCATAAGCCTAACCTGGTACGATCATGTGCATGAGAGCGAGTAGCTATAGAATAACGCGCCTCATATGTCTTTACTTCGTCTCGGCCTGTTTCTGTTCATTTTGACGTCTATAGCAAAGTACTCGTCGGGTAAACCTCAAGTTAGATGCGCTCCGAAACATTGTCTCGTCCGTCGGTGCACAACGCTGCGAAAGGATTGCTTAATATCGTTCTGCCAACCCCATGTATAATCATAATATCATTCTCTACTCAGAAGCGAAAGGATAGTCTGTATACCCCTCTGCAACCTCCCCGTGCAAATAAAACGTCGGCCTATTATACGGTGTAAACGGTATATTCTTCTTCAACCTCTTCGGCAGATCAGGCTATCAAAAAAAACCATCAGACCCAACCCAACCCAACACACAAAAGAAAATCTCGACTCACATTCGAAATAAAGTACCTCCCAAACGCAACAAGATCCCCCTTCTTATCCGCCACCTCTATCGCCTCCTCCCGGGTATACCCCCCTGCCGATATCAACGGCCTCGGCGCCCACAACTCTCTTATAAAATCATTCGACTCGCCCGTACCCACTTTATCGCTCGTCTGGTTCCCAGATATCCTCGGCTCCACAACATGTATATACGCCAAATTCGCATGGCGCTGCCCGATCTTCGTCACCAAGTACGAAAACGTAGGAACGGGGTCCTCCATGCGCATACCCTGCCATGGCGACCATGGGCTCAGCCGGATGGCGGTACGACTCGCTCCGACCGCGTTGACAACCGCATCCATGACTTCGAGTCCGAACCGTGCACGGTTCTCGATGCTCCCTCCATAGGCATCCGTACGCTTGTTAGATACGTCCTGGAGGAACTGATCGATAAGGTACCCATTCGCACCATGGATCTCGACGCCGTCGAAACCTGCTTTGAACACTGCATTGGCCGCTGCTTGGGCATAGAGCTTGGGGTACTCGCGGATCTCATCTAGAGTGAGCGGGCGAGGTGTATCGGGGTAATCGGAGAGCTTGATAGCAGAGGGAGCGACATATTCCAGGGATGGATCCTCGTCTTTGAGGTCAGAAAGTTCGGCGGCACGCCCCAAGGCCCACAGTTGGCAGAAAATGTAGCTTCCCTTGGCGTGGACGGCGTCGGTTACCTGGTTGGCGATGAGATAAGCTTTGGAATGAAGTACTGCTACATACCTCCTTCCACGCATCTAGCTGCTCCTGCGTCCATAATCCTGGGATGTTCTTGTATCCTCCAGCCCTTTGTGCAATAAACGTCGCCTCCGTTATTAGAAGGGTACCAGGTTCGCTACCTCTCTGCGAATAGTACTCCTTCATGACTGACATATACGGTACATGTCCTTTCTCCGATGACTTGTATCGCGTCAACGGTGCGAGGACAATACGATGATTAAGGGTGAGATTGCCGATTTTGATGGGCTGAAAGAGCTTTGAGTCTGCCATTGTCGATGTGGAGGGAATAAACGCGGCGGCTTTTATAGTCAGTTCGCTGAATAATAGCGGTAGCTGAATGCTTATTGATCCATTCCAATCGCCATCAACGGGATGATGCTTTGCCTGTTCCGATATGGCCCTACAAGAATTTGCTGAATAAGAGTTGACAAGGAACGGTGAAAGCCGGCGAGCTAGCCTATTGAATGATCCACTACAGGTATTCGAGTGGCAACCGATACTAGCCAGGAGTGCAGGCTGAAGAAAGCAATTGTGAGAAAGACAGCCTAATCCTGGGATTTTTAGGCTGGGCAACCGGAAGGGAGATGACGCGGCCTAAGCGTGCGATGATTATTGCAGTGATCAAACCCGGGGTTGGCGTATGATGTATCATTGGCTGGTGAACCGGTACTACCGTACAGTCGATGCCTACGGTCAAAATGAGATTGCGAGTGCTTAAACTAGAGGGAAAGGGCATTACGGACCTCGAAATAAGCACCGACTCCATCGCAATCCGAACACAATCAGCATTGAAAAGTTCTTGACGATTCTGACAAACCAGAGTTAGCTTCATTTTTGTCATCAGGTCAGTACTCACAAATAGTTCCTACCGAGCCCCAGGTATCACCATCAATCTCAAGTCTGCAAGGCCGTGCCAGTGCCTAGCCTTAGGACACTACATAAATGCACGCTATCCTCCGGTCAGGTGGCTACATCCTTTGCTTAGCCTCTCCAGGTCCCTGCAAGCGGCCGCCCACTAGACGACGAGTGTACACTCCTGTAAGAAATTTGCATCACCATCGACGACGCTCCAGAGGAATCGCTAGCAGTTGCTGGAAATCGAGGCTAACAAGTGATGGTGGAAGTAGCAGCGAGAGAGGATGTCAATGACGTAAGCTTGCAAGTCTGTCAGTTCAATTCTCGCCACACTCAACGATCAGGATATCGATTATCTCAGCTACACTGACTCGTCTTTGGTGAGAGTGTCACTTTTTGATACGTAAAATTTTGCGCATATAAAGGCTATCACGTCAAATGAAACGGCCACATCTCATTAATCATTCTCCAACGGATACAGACCACCCGCCTTCTCCTCGTCCCACGTCCCCCGTCCTGCGGCCAATTCTCACGAACCTCATCCACACGTTACCCGTGAACCGTCCATCAGGATCACATTGAATCTGAGCTATAAAATGCTTTTGCACTCGATATAACGCATCATCGCTGCGCACTCTCATTTCGCTCCCGGTCCGTCTCAGTGAGCTTCACAGGACATTCTACCGGGAAACTCGAATCATCCGTGATATTGGGCCATATATCGCATAGACGATACACTAGCCGATGTAAGAATTGTGAACCGTCAGCATAACAGCGCGGAGTCACATCAGGGAGAGTAGGTCCCCTTGCAGGAGACACGCAGCCTGCAAGTGCAAAGGAAGCCTTTGCGGCAGCACCTTCAGCATTTTTCGCCGTCGGTTGTTGAGTCTCCGCTCGGGGTCGGCCTGTTCCCTGAGTTCTGGCGGCAAGTTCGAAGGAATCTCCAATGGAGAGAAGGGCTCATTGGACATAGGTATGAATTTTTAGAAATCAGTTCTTATTCGGCAGATAAATCGGGGTGAAGTTGTGAGTTTAACATACAAGTAGACTGAACGTATACCTCTCAATCACCACCCGAGTCTGTCAAAATCGGCCAAGACATCTCTCGCTGTTTCCTCCATGGTCCTGAACTTCAACCCAAGTAATCTCTTCTCCTTGCTCGTGTCGAAGATAACTGCATACTTTACATCCCCAGGGACAGGCTTAGGTAAAGTGCGAGACGTCGAGACAGATTGCGCCGCAATAACTGCAGATGTTGATCAGCCCGGTTTTGTGGGGCGTATAAAAGACCTACTGCAGTCCTGCCACACGCATGAGCCAGCTGAGACGATGATCCTTTGACCACCAGCAGCTTCAACCTCCAATGCTCGGACATGAGCTTCGGCGAGGTCACGGACGTCCACCCAACCGTGTCCTGGCTGTGTAAGGATTGCGTCTGGGGACAATCCGCCCATATTCTCCTGGACTACGTTGTCGTACCATAGTTTTGCGGAGGCATTGAGGGCATTAAGGGTGGGCACGTCATGAATGAAGGGCTGACAAGAGGAGTCAGATAAGTATCTCAAGGAATCCGGCCCCCGCTTACCCCAAATACCCCTGGTGGGTTAATCACGGTCAAGTCCCATGAAAACTCCGACTTGTGTCCCTCATAGAAACTCCAAGCAGCTTCGGACCATCAGTACATGCACCTCGTTCGCGAAAGACCACAGTACCTTTCTCGGCCAATGCCTTGGACGCACGATATTTCACGAGAGGTGATGCATCCCGTCCTTTCTCCCCTATTTCCTTTGGTGATTGCTCGTTCCAGTCGGCTTCTGATAAGGTAATGGTACCTGGCTCTGACCGCAGAATTGCAGCACACGAAGAAGTGACGACGATGCGCCGTACGGATGATCTGAGCGATGTTGAGCAACAGAGATATGAAATCAGCGGATATATGCGCACCCATACTTGGCCGCGCTGGTCAGCATGCCAACTACACCCTTCACAGCGGGTGCGATCAACTCTGGGTGCAATGAGAAGAGAAATCGATATCCGTAAAGGCAGAACATACCTTGGGGGTCGTCCAGGTTCAATTGGACGGGCGATGCTGTATGGAGTATCGCATCCACATCCTTAACCGCTTCATCGAAAGCGCCGTCCTGTCTTGGACATCAGAAGCTGCTCGTCTTATTGAATGCTACACGGCACCTTGGACATATCGTCGACTACGACAATTTCCAGCTTATTTCCATACGACTTGAAAGTCTCCTTCAAATGTTCACCCTTCGCTAGACTGCGCACTGTCCCTCGTACAGTATAGCCTCTCTCCAAAAGGGTACGGACGATCCATGCTGCAATGTAACCACTTGCACCGGAGACGAGAACCTTCCCGGGAGGATTGAGTGATGACATAGCTGAGTGTTGAACTGGCGCTGAAGAGATTATATATATATATACAGCCCGGATTACTAACAGACACGGAATCTGAATAAGCCATGCTGTAAAAAAGAACGGAACTCACCGAAAAGGGATGCCGAATATATAAAGATCACTTTCGGCTTTCACCACCGTTGTGCGGTCGACATCATCTCAGCTAAGTGACCGTGCCTTGTATCAGGAAAACAACAAGACGACATAACAACTGGTAACGTACCTGAGCTACACTGCGGCAAAAATTCCAAGCCTTGTTTTCGCTTCAATACAGAGCATTATTCTCCAAATCAACAGCATTGCGACGGGGATCCAATCTATCGGCATGAATGGAGGAGATAAGAAGAAAAAAGTTCCTCTTCCGACATCGATAAGAGAAAGCTCATGAAAATGCATTTACCTTGAAAACGATGCGCCCATGGTCGCTTGAGAGAGAGTTGTCAGGAAATTTCAAATTTAGGCTGACAAGGATACACGTTGCACGTGATCTTTGTTGGCTATTGTCTGACGCCCACGGCCTGCTAATAGTAACTCTGACAATCAGTGTTCAACCCTCTTGAGCCCGTCGAAGGTCGAACGTTAAGAACGCGTGATGTCGCAGAAAGAAGTGGCTGACGTATCTATTACTCAAAATGGTGCGTGACTGAATACCAACAAACGAAGTTCACTTATCTATATATGTACTTAGGAAGAGGAAGAGGAAACGAACTTCCTCTCGAGTTAATAGACACAATCGTCGAAAACAACAGAGACGACAAAGACTCTTTACTCGCGTCATCGTGTGTATCCAAGTCATGGCGCACGGCGTCCTTAAGACACCTTTTCTCCGCCGCAATCTTTTCGTCCGAAGGCGATTTTGTGCGCTGGCGTGACGTTGGATCCCATTTGCCCCAAGTACCTCTTTTTGTCAAGACGGTCGTGTTCGAGCCCGGGCGTCATTCCAACGTTGGCCCAATCCTACCACTGAATTATCAATACCGGGACGGTGCTCTAACGCATCTCCTGCCTCCCGACACAGTTTATTCCTCCAGTCCTTCATATCTTCGGCTCCCTGATATGCCACAGGCTCGTAAACTAATCTGGGATACCCCATTCTTACATCCGGTTTACTGCACGGTTTCAACACAGCAGTTCCTGTCGACATTTTGCTCCCTCAATGAGGTGGAGTTCTCGGGGAGCTTTGGGGCCGTCTCTGATGCAAAACGATTCCTGGAGCTACTCCCCCGGATAGAGGTTCTCAATATCAAAGCCCTCGACATCGCAGGTTTTTCCGGGCAGTCCCCTGCCTTCGCTGGTGACATGACAAACCTTCGCAGGCTATCAGCCGAAGAATGCGAAACACCATTGGACTGGCTGGTTGATGACATCCTGGCAGTGTCACGTCCCACCAATCTTCAGAGTATCTGCTACGAAGGCAACCTCCCTTTTTCCCAGACAGCGTTCATTCGTCTTGTCGCCATTTCCGCCGAGTCCCTCCAGGAGCTGAGCATTCAACCGCCATATAATGAAAGGGCGAGTACGTAGCCCTCACATATTTTCTTGACTTTTTGTTCATTTGTCAATAGGAGGCTGGACAAACCCGCCTCGATTCATAAACCGGTCCTTTCCTTCACTGGAGTCTTTGACTTTTTGCATTATCCAACTAGGTCTGTCCTTCGAACCATTGTTTTCAATGAACTGGTGCCGCAGGGTCATAGAAGTCCTCCCACCGGCTCCGAAAATGACTTCTCTCACTATGCACTTTTATGCTCAAGAACCAGAAGATGTTGCCGACATTGTTGCCGACCAGTCATTCGACTGGAAGCAGCTATCAGAGCTCACTTCAGAGCGGTTTCCCGAGCTGAAAAAATTCATCATGCGCGTCTCTACACTAACAGAATTTGGGGCGAACCGAAAAGCGCTATCGGAGGCTCTCCTTCAAGAGAGGCTAGAACATCTCGGGAAGAAGTTGAAGATTGAATGGGGTGAGCTCTTCGGTATCTGTGCTTCTGTCTGTTTTTAATGGCTTTGTTGATGTGAATGAGAATCCTGCCTGTGGTAGCGACATAGATTGAGATTCAGAATGTACCACTTCTTGATCAGAATGTCAAAGGGCAGCCATTTGTTAATTGATGAACAAGCGACTAGCACTTCATTGTTACTGTCGAATACTCAAAGCGATGCGTCATCATGAATACCAACTTTGTTGTCTGACTCGGGAGTGTCCATCTCTTGCCGATCACATCCTTAAGCGTCAGCAGTTGGATGTGAAGTGTATTGGGCCTGATTACGAATCCAGATGTTGTTCGATACGGAACTGCCTTGCACATCTTCTGACGAATGAAAAAATCTGGTCTTTTTACCAAGGGGTTGGTAAAAGTCAAGAAAATCACATCGGGTCGTAAACCAAAACTTGAAGCACGATGATCATGGGTCCGCTCAGACTGGGATAGGCGCCTTACCTCGCACATTGCCTGTCATCAGTACACCAGTGCGTGTTCATCCCAATCACACAAGCTATGATGATCTGATATAGTTAATAGATACCTAGCATATTGCACAATTCAATATTCTGCACGCTTGCTAGACAATATTCTGCATCAGATACCGAAGTTGATTGTGATGAACTGGTGGGCCATAGCAGGCCCTGGCATATCTGAGCCCTGAAATTGGGGTGGGCTGCTCTGCGCGGGCGTGACACAAGGCTTATATTCGACGTAATGACAGGCTGATCGAACGAAGCTGCTTGACAAGGTACGGGAGCACTATCTTGATTCGCGTGGAGTTCCTGTCATTTTCGAGAGTGAAAACGCCTTCGGTATTCATTTACATCATGGCCCGGATGCCCTTGGGTGTAATGTCGAAGAACGATGTCCAGAGCGACAACAAGAGTATTGGGGAGTAAGGGTGAGGCAGCGCTTCTACCAGCAGTATTGATTTCATGAGAGAGGCGTCGGGACCACGAGAATGAGGGTAAGGACATCGCCTCATTTGGTAAAGAGACGGCTGAAGAAGTACTATAGCAGCGAGAGAGGATGTCAATGACGTAAGCTTGCAAGTCTGTCAGTTCAATTCTCGCCACACTCAACGATCAGGATATCGATTATCTCAGCTACACTTCGGTTGACTCGTCTTTGGTCGTAGTGGCAGTGTCACTTTTTAATACGTAAAATTTTGCGCATATAAAGACTCACGTCAAATGAAACGGCCACATCCCATCCTCCAACGGATACGAACCACCTGCATTCTCCTCGTCCCACGCCTCCCGTCCTGCAGCCCAATTCTCACGAACCTCATCGGCTCATCCTCGCGTTACCCGTGAAACATCCATCAGGATCACACTGGATCTGAGCTGAAAAAAAAGCTCCTTGCACTCGATATAATGCATCGTCTTCGCGCACTCTCTCTTATCTCGCACTGGTCTACCTCAGTGAGTCTCACAGGACACTCTTTCAGAGAACTAACACGTTGGGCCATACATCACATATTTAGACGATAAACCAGTCGACGTAAGAATTATGGACCGTCGGCATAGGAACGCAGAGCCACATCAGGGAGAGAAGTGAGTAGGTCCCCTTGCAGGAGACACGCAGCCTGCAAGCGCAAAGGATGCCTTTGCAGCAGCACCTTCGGCATTTTTCGCTGTCGGTTGGCGAGTCTCCACTCAAGGTCGGCCTGTTTCTCGAGTTTTGGCGGCAAGTCCGAAGGAATCTCAGATGGAGAGAAGGGTTCATCGGGAATAGGGATAACTTTTCCCTTGAAAAGAATAGCCTTAGGCAGCCTGATGCTCTGAAAGTAAGGAAGAGCAACAGCACCTTGCCAGTCGATATATGAGACGACATTGGCAGCTCTAGAGGGCTTGACGATCACGTTGGACCGCGAGAGGTCTGAATGAATGAGATAAGGGACTGCCAGCCCATGCTCAGGCAGAACAATGCGCCATCGATATACATTGCTGCAACAGCTGACGGAGTTCCGCGAAGTCGGAGGGCTTCGACCGGCAGAAGGGGGTTAGGGGATGGACACTAGACTCGGCTCACCCAAGTGCTAGACGGCAAGTGACTTGAATGTAAGACGCCATATCCGTCCCTGCGAATAACAATCTGAGTCCATTATCAACTTACAAGCAAGTGAAACTGCTTACAAGCGTGGTCAGGCTCATTGAACCAATACTGCTTATCAACGACAGGACCAATCCTGTATCTCTCAGCAGCAGGCTCTTCACTATCCCTCTCCCTCGCATAGAGCCAGCTCTGCAGCTCCGGGCTAACACTCTTCTTGAAGAACAAACTCCCATTCTGCAAAAACGGCCGCTGATGAAGACCCAGATCGAAGAACAGCATTTCCCGAATCACCGCACCGATGTCTTCGTTAAAAGTATTGAACCATCGTTCCTCCAGCGCCACGCCGTCTATACGCTCTATGAGGATGAAATCCGACCTTACTGCCTGCTCCAAGCCAGAACGCACGGAGTGAGATGCACGATAGCATCTCGTACGGCTACTTCGCTGACTGTGGACAAGTGTACATTGCCTATGGTACGCCAGCGATGCGTGCAATGGCCTCACGTCCATTGTCGAACTCAGGAAGGAAGATCTCGTTATAAGCTCCTATACGAGATGTTAGACTCACTACGTAAGAAGAAAAAAATAGAGAACAACCTTGTGCGATGCTTTCAAACCGAACGCAGCATTATGCATCGAGGGCCGACGACAAATATTCTGAAGCGCATCTGATTTGAAGCTTACACGACGAATAGTTCGTTCTAGAGGTAAAAAAAATGAGTAAAAGCTGTCCGAAGACAAAGTAAAGACATACGAAAGCACGTCGTTCCATAGTCACTTGCCCTCATGACCATACCAGCCTGGAGTTTTGTGGTGATTGTGGATATACGCCTCGGGTGACACTTCAGACAAAGTAGCCTTCGAGAAAGAATGAGAGAACATGATATCATGAGACCGAGGGGTCGGTAGCAAGTCACGAGCATTTAGGCGGAAGTCTCACGTCAAGCCGCTGCGCTAGGCTAAGGTTCAAGTTTCCTGACCGACGAGAATGGCTGCACCGAATTATCAGCATAGAAGCGTCGAGTCCAAGGGAATCCTATACCTTGTGTTCCGCTTGCGCTCAGTCTCTCTGGCGATGTATCATGCCTCCAAGACCATCCCTAGACGCCTCATCGAAAGTGCCATCTTGTTCTCCCAGTCAGGACATGCTCGCTTGTCCAAAGATTACACACACCTTGGGTAATATCCTCGAGCCACGCAACTAAAAGGTCTTCTTCAAAATACGGGTAAAGAAAAACTGGTCGTTTCCATCGAGTAGCTGGCTGTTCGGTGCATGCGAGGCGAGATTTCATGAAGCAGAAAATGGAAATGCAAGTTCACGGATAATATCTCTGAGAGAAAAAAAAAAGCGTCATTAGTACAAGTTCATAGGCAGCCGAACCGAAGAACGCACCCATACGGAAAGGCTGCTATGCTATCCATCCTCGTCTGTCAACAGATGCTCTGCACTCGCTGAAAGGTGCCCTTGGCTTCGATAACATTTTGGTCTGGTGAGGCTGGCGAATTGGCTGACGGTGCGCGGGCGAATTTTTTTGATGGTGGTGGTAGGAAGAAGAGATCTGTCGGAAGTAGCCGAACGTTCTGTGTTCTGTAATACATGGACAGCCCATCCAAAAACGTCTGCCTTCCACTAGCGATATATCAAGCATGGATGCTCCCTTACACACAAGGGCGCCTTCTGTCATTCTCGATGTGGTTCTCAGCCCAAATGAAATCGGGACCGTCGTAGAACGGTGTTTTCATCAGGAACATATTTGCCTCTGATATTTCTCTGCGGTCTTGGCTGCGGCGCAAACTGTGTCTGAGGGTAAACCAAAGCCATTCGAAATCTTTTCAGAACTCGTGGGTGTCAGAGCTCTATTTTAAGCATTTTAATTCATTTTTGGATCCTCCAGAGATGACATTCTACGCCTGATACATGACGCCTCGCATACCGATGACACGCGTATATGTCGGAAGTGCATAGCATTCTACTGCAATTCGTTGCTCTGCTCAAGCTGAACGCAAGACGATCATTTGGAGCCGTAGAATTCTCCTTACATCTGTGGCCGTGCCTCCAGAATTCTTGCCTCTCTCACGTCGGGTCTCAGTGTCGTTTTATTCTCCCAGTCAGGATGCACTTGCTCGGCCAAAGATTAAACACACCTTTGTGATATCTGCACGGTTTCAACACAGCTGTTCCTATCAATCTGCTCCCTCAAGGAGGTGGAGCTCTCGGAGCTGAGCTTTGCGACCGTCTCTGATGCAAAACGACTCCTGGAGCTGCTCCCCCGGATACAGGTTCTTGATATCAAAGCCATCGACATCAATGACGCAGGCTTTTCCGGGCAGTCCCCTGTCTTCCTTGGCGACATGACAAACCTTCGTAGGCTATCAATCGAAGAATGCGAAGCGCCATTGGACTGGCTGGTTGACGACATCCTGGTAGTGTCATGTCTCACCAGTTTTCAGAGTATCTACTACGAAGACAACTTCCCTTTCTTCCAGAATGCGTTCGCTCGTCTCGTCGCCCTTTCTGCCGATCCTCTAGAGGAACTGACCATTCAATCGCCATCTTATGAAGTGAACCGTTGACGACATCGTGGCCGACCAGTCATTCGATGAAGCAGCTGTCAGAGCTCACTTCAGAGCTGTTTCCTGAGCTGAAAATATTCATCGTGCATGTCTCTATGGAAACGGAGTTTGGGGCGAGGCGAAAAAGCTATCGGAGACCGTCCTTAAAGAGAGGCTAGAACGTTTCGGGGAGAAATTGAAGATCGAATGGGTGAGCTCTTCCATATCTGCGCCCATGTCTATTTCTAACAGCCTTGTTAAAGTGAACGAGAATCCTGGCTGAGGTGACGATGTCAACTGAGATTCGGAATGTACTGCTTTTTGGTCAGAATATTAAACAGCAGCCATTTAATATTTATTCATCGATGAAAAAGTAACTAGTATTTCATTGTTTAAGGTTGAAATATGCCTTGTGAATGTTCACGTCAACTAGGCTAATCTACAATGTACCTGACTAAGCTGATTTCTTCAATGTCACCACCCTTTTACACAGTTGCCTTGATCATGTCTGCTAACTAGACAGTCTGTTAAAATCACATTCCGTATAGATGGGAAATTGTGCGCTATACCTTTTCTGCGATTGCATAGATGGTAGCTTGCAGGTGTGCACCCAAGCCAAGAGGGATTATGCTCGCATCGCATACCCTAAGATTAGTTGTTCCATATACCTTGAGATCACCATCCACCACTCCTACAGTGAAGGATTAGGATTGGTATCAGATGACAAGGGACAATGAAGTGTACCACCAAGTTCTTGTGGTCCCATAGATGCCGTCCCTAGTCATCATTGGTATCAGATTCCAAAAACAATGGGAAGGATACACACCCATTGGATGCTGAGCAGTCTGTATAGGAAAATTAGTAGAGAAACCCATCTGGAAGTGTCATACACATACACCAACACATGCTTTGAGAAACCTACATGGTCGAGCAGTAAATAAGTCTCCTCACAAAGATGGGGAACACCTTGTTTGCTCACCCAGTCAGTTCCTCATCAGTTTGCAGCATCGGTGGAGGAAGCATAGTGGATTCAATAATATCCACCAGTGGTTTGGTACCTGCCACTCGTTGCATAAACTTCAGGCCTTCAAGTACCAGCTTCACATCTGCACATGCCCTTTCTTAGCATGGGGATATCAATCTCAGAAGAAATCAAGGCATACCAAATTCACTGTCAAATACTTTTGGGTCAATGACAGGTGGCAAAAGAGGATCTTTTGATTTAATATGCTGCAATCCCTGTAAACATCTATTGAACTCTGAGTCTGTAGTATTGCACTCACCACAGATCCTCGGCTGATGTGGTGCTATAACTTCATCAATATGAAAATCTAGCCATATCACAGCACTCACCAATCCAGCACTAAGAACAGTGATATAGCTTTTTCCAGGCTCTGGATTGATGAAACCATTGCTTAAAAGCATGAGCTCCATTTGTGGAATTATGCCCTTTGCGAGCCATTCACGCTGTACGGCATATTGCTTAGCTTGAAGAGGGGTGGTTTTGGACCTGCTAGAGATAGCCTGATCGAATGCTTCAATAAGAGACTTGGCCTTTTCATCAGCCAAAAAGTGAGAGAAGGGAAGGAAGGACAGCGCAGTATTGAATGATGCGAGCATACCGCCATGCGTTTTCGCACTGATTGATCATTAGGCTCAGACAGCAACTTCAAATGTGTGAAAAGGAAACGTACTAAATCTCAGCTTGTTCAGTAGCGAAAGCAGGGTTGTTCCTCAATTCATCTAGAAAGCAACTTGAATCATAAGATAACAAGATTTATGTTCCAATGCACATACCAAAAGTGAGGATTCCAGGCTTGAGCTCGTACTGAGAACTCCCAACAAAGTGATCCTACAACTCGAGATTGAGATGGATTACAACAGACGATCTGAAAGCAGACCTGCATATTTTCGCCCACTTCTGGCAAATCAATGATTGTTGATATACCCAACTTCTCTAGGAGACTGCGATTACCGATCCCTGATAGAAATCAGCATCGGTATCCTCTGCGAGGCATCAGTTATTACACACCGGATAGCTCCAAGAGTTGAGGTGACTGATAGACACCTGCTGCGAGAATTACTTCCTTTCTCACATGTGCAGTGAACGTTTGCGATTCGACTTGGAACTCGACTCCAGTTGCCTCTATTCCAGCTGATTTCCTAGTAGGGTCGAAGAGAATTTTCGTCGCCTGATATCACACCATGATCAGAGCAGGAACTACAGGTAGGCAGAAATACGCTTACTTGTGCTTTCGTCAATACATGGAAATTGTCACGCGTTTCAGAGCGACGGAAGTAAGCGGTTGCTGCGTATGAGCGGGTACCAGTAAGAGAGTCGATGTTCATACGAGAATTTATCACGCCAGTGAGTTCACCGTTGTCCTAGAACACTTTTCAAGAAAAGAATATGAAATCAGGTGAATCGCTTACCGGAGTTGGGTTTGTCTTGATCCCCAATTCGTTGAGCGTCTTGACATAGATAGGAACGGTATCGGGGTCAACTTGGTTATACGACAACTAATAAATGATGTTATGAGTGAGCACATGGTTATAAAACTGTGCTTGCTCGCCTGAACAGGTCCATCGAGGCCCAAGTATTCTGGATTGTTTCCAGCCGAAGTATCAGGGGCAGAAATTCCCGGAAAGGTGTTCACTCGGTCGGATGTAATAGCCGTGGATTTGCGGAAGTAGGGCAATAAGCCTTCCCAGTTCCATCCTTTGTTCGAGGCAAAAGCGTCCCATGAGTCGTATTCAAACTTCGAAGCACGGTTCCAAGACAAGAAAGCCATGGAACTGGATCCGCCAAGCAACTTGCCTCTATCATGGCCGGGTGAGAAAGAGAGGAAATGGAAAGTGCAATACTTCGTACCTCGCAGCAGGAAAAGTACGTTCGTTCGCCCCCTTTTGTGGTGCAGTCATAAAACCCCAGTCGTACGTCGAATTTCCCATGGTCCGTCCCGTGTTAGCTTGGGAGCAAGTTAACCGTTACACACAGGTAGTCGCGGCAGAAGCAAAGTTACCAGGGACGTTGATGAGCGGGTCATCGAGACGAGCATCTCCTGCTTCAATGACGCCGACTTGAATGTTTTTGTCCTCGGCAAGTCTCCAAAACCAGTCAACATATGACAATTACAAGAGAGTTGAGAGACGGATGTACCTCGATGCCACAGTAAGACCGGCAGTTCCGCCACCTAAGTAGAGCATCCGGGTCAGCAGTCATCGGCTGTCATTACTTGCTTAATCCCATACCAATAACGAGATAGTCAAAGGTCTTTGACGCGAAGAGTTGAGGATCCATATTTGTATGTTCAAAAGGAAGAATAACGATGGTTTAAGAACTGACTGTCCTATATCAATCGTTGACTCATCTGTGACAAGTAACTTCCAAAGGGCACGAGGAATCACGAGAGTTGATGGCCTTCGGCAGGCTTCTAAACAGCTCGATGAACTTTTAGGGAAATCTGAAAGAGGGTGAATGAGAGAAAAGACGGTTCTGATTCCCAAAAGATTGATTCGGTTATCGCGATGTCCTCGAATAGAGCATCCTAATACAACGGCTGAAAGCCGGACATTCGTCTAAATATGACGTGTCGTAGAAGAACGTCAGCCTTTACGATACCATCTTCAGGCCATGCGGTGGTGTGAACGTCAAGTGAACGTTTCAAGAGTCAAATAAGAATCAAAAAATTGGTTCGTTGATCGGGTGTGCAGTTCAAGTGAGCCAGTGAATTGTCAAAACGAGCTGGAATGAATATTAAATGAATATGTGAGTCGAATGACTGATTAATAGCAAGTAACCGAACCAGCACATGCCAGTGATCGGCCAATTTCAATTTGAAACTGAACCAGTCACAATCGTGACGAGCCAGACCAACTCGCTTGGGATTGGTCCATCTTTTTCATCAAAAACACAGCTCTAGAACTCGATGCATTGCCTCCTTCCATCTCCCTTGCGAATGGTTTGTAGAGGCTGTTTTCGACACCAAACAGCCTGAGAGCACGCAATAAGTTGAATGATTGCATCCGCTCAGAAGCAGCGATGCAGAGTAAATCTAGGTACTTAATATTAGTACTTACTGCATAGGGCGCTAATCTTGATGGAGATATCACAGACCCTCGCCACTGTGCAACAGTTCACCTGTGAAATCATTCTCTTTATCGCACACATCTGAGCGTTACAAGCAAACGAAGTTTCATTGCTCCGAAGATTGTCTATTTGCTGCCGCTTCATCGAAAGCGGCTAGTACTGTGTACGCTCTTTCTTTGTTCATCATTCCGGTCAGATTTTTTCTAATTCAGTCAGTTTCAGCACCTCCTTATATCCCGGCTTTGAGGTAAGCGTCATGATGTGAATCTTTGTCCTCAAGTTCATCAAGTCAGGTCGCCCTTTTTTTATACAGATAAGACGACACCGGGATATTCTATCTGGTCTCTGACTCGACTCATACTCAAGGCACTCAATTGTTATGGCAGAAACCTTCGGAACGACGTTCGGCTGCTTGTTAATATCGTTCATGATAGACTTGATGTACGTACAAGCCCTTTCGCACATTTCCCATCGCTCACTTTGTGCTAAAGTCTGTATGGAATGGGATTGGTATGCGCTTTCAATGATCTAAGAGACAACCATTTGTCTCAAAGATTCCTAGCTTCTTGTCCTGCAGTATTTTCGCAAGTGCAGCAAGGATGCGATCCTAGTCAAAACGACTGTACTCGGACTCATGTCAGACGATTTTGGTGATACCAATATCAGAAAAACCTAACTTTCAGCTATAGAGTTTTCGCCACGACCCACATAGTTGGGATGTGTACATGGGTATATAGAACCTTTATCACCGGCTTTTCGCGTCCAGAGCTCCTTAATGAGCTTCCTCCGTATGTTTGACCTCCTGGGATATCCATCCACTTACATTGCTAATATTCATTCAGATCCGTTTCTGTATGTATTTCGCAAAACTCAGTGAAATTTTTCTGAAGACAGCGTGATACAGATTGAGATCATGTCCTTCGTAGGTTTTTTTTTTACTTTTCTCTAAATATTTCTGATTCAGACATCCACAATTTCAGTACATCGTATCCTTCATTGCTCAAAGGTATGTTTTGGTGGCTCCTCCTTTCCATTGCGAGTCTGGAGTATTTATTTCGTTATAGTTTCTACATATCGCAAATATGGAAGAGCAAGTCCTTCCGCATTTGTTTTGTCGCATAAGATATTAACGACGTCCACAGTCAGCCATCGCAATATTTGGATTACATCTCCGATTGTATGTGTATGGTGACTCGCGTTGAATTCAACCTAATTATGGTGTTTCAAAGGTGGTCTTAGCTCTCATTAATATTGGTGCTTCCTATCTTCTGCCCTTCTTTCAATCTAGCTAATGCGTCGTCACCGAATAGGTGCCGGAACTGGTGAGTCCTCCATCTTTCTCCATCAGTATATGCTTCTGAGTGAAGGAATTATGAAGCGCAAACTGTCACTACGTATGTATTCACGTGCATGCGCGTTCAGAACTTCGTGTCTGCAGCAATGACTGACTGTACACCGTCAGGGCACAGCGAGGTACTGCCAGTGGAATCGATGATGAAATCAACAAGGTACACTCCTATTTGTCCAACATTGGGCTGCAGTATTCGCCTAACAGGTCAAATACAGATCATCACGATTATAGAGACTGGCGCAGCCGCTCTGTGTGACATTTTGGTTACCATCGCCTTGTGCGTCCTGCTAAGGATAAATCGTACGGGCATTAAATCGTAAGGTTTGACGATATTCGGAAAGTTCATAGCTCTAATTCCAAGAGTATTTTAGGACCGACTCCGCATTAGACTCCTTGATTATACTGGCTATTAATCGAGGAACTGTGACGAGTCTTGCCTCAGTCGTGGACCTGATTTTAGTACGATGTCTTTCATTGAATTTTGGTACAATTATCCCTAACGAAATGTGGAGTACCTTACACGGCCGAAATCGATGTTCTTGTGAGTTTGAGCATTCCCCGATCGCTCGTTTCTACTAACAACATCTCAAGCATGCTTGTTTTCAATCCAAGCACTCAGCGTGAGTGGGCTTCCATGATTTAATCGGCTGCATTAACCCTCAGTATCTTTGCAGTCTATCTTCTTTCGGTCGTCGGAAGGTTACAATATTTGTCATATCCTCTGCATATTCACTGACTTCTCTTCTGCAGTCTAAATTACCGCGAGGGCATGCGGGCAGGCTCAAGGCATCGGAAAAAGGAATGGCATAATTTTAATACAACCGCAAACGACTCGTACAGTCTACCACTAGAGAATATAGGGCCTTCTGTACATTCCTCTCGGGATGGCGTTCACGTGGTAACACCCCATTTTCAGGCATGAAGAGAAAGAACTGATTAGCGTTTGTAGTCGAAATCTATGGTCACTTGGAAAGACCCCGACACTGAAATGGGAGCAGATGAATACGTGGCTAGTTAGATGTGCGGTTTTTTCTTTAATTGTTGCCAATCTTGCATTTCCAGTTTCGTTGATTCACTCAATTCTACGTATTCCCTCGATTTCAATTTCTCGGGATTCCGTAGCCAATATGGTTTTCAAAGATTGGTCTGATTCGTCGCAAATTATCAATATCTGAACGATTAAACATGTACGTCAAATGTACGTTTAGAATCTGATGGATTCAGACTTATGCAGGCCGTCATCCGCCTCTCGACAACCTAATTCGACTTCTTTATCTCTCCACTGGAGTTGGCGGGCAAATGGGAGATACGATTTTCGTATTCCTCCAAGGGTATCGACCAGTCATTGCGCGATATACGAGGGCGGTCATAACACGGACGTCAGTTTCGGCTACTTCCGACGAATCTCTTTTTCGTACCACCATCGAACGAATTCTCAGAGATTGCCCGGGTATTGTAATTCGCCAGACACAACGTTATTGGATCTAATGGCACCTTTCAGCGAGTACAGCGGGTTGGGTGAGAGACGAGAAGCTCCCATATAGCTCGGCTTCCCATGAATTTATGCGGATGGCGTCGTTCCCCTCAGAGTTATTATGCATTCGCATAAGTTTTGAAGCTCCGTTTTCTGGCCCATTGAATTCTTTCTTCGCGTATGCCGAACAACTGGCTACTTCGCACCAAATAACTTGCCTGCTTTCTCCTCTCTAAGTAGCTCGACGAGACAGAAGGAAGAAAACCGTCCATTTCCAGCAGCATGCAGAGTACTAGGTATCATTACGGCTGAAACATCGTTCCTCAGGACTATCCTACAAAATCGTCAGACTCCGGATTCATCGGTCTCTTCCAAGCCTTGCTCCTTCCGCACGTCTTCTACTAGGCACCTATATTCCCGCCCGCTTCCCTTTCGTACATTTCTCGCACATCACACGCTGTGACACACAACGAAACATTTAAAAGAGACAAATCGCTCGTCCCACTACATTTATTGCATACCTTCCCCGACTTCTCCGTATCTTACATGTACTTCAGGTCCCCTGATCTATTCGCCACCTACTTACTCAGCGTTCCAAATTCTCCTTGATTTTGAACCGAAGCCTTTTCCTCTCATTTTGCCACAGATCTGGCGGGTGTGCCTTGCTCTTACCCATTTCTTGCTTTGGAAAAAATAGGACGCAAAACTCATGTAGACAGCCACTACTATTACTAAGGAAAACCCACCTGGAGCTGTAGTAGATGGTAATCACTCCAAAGCGTGGGTCAGAAGTATCTATCGGTGCCTCAGTGTGACCAATTCAAAGCAGGAGAAGGGTTACTGCCAACAGCCGTATGTACTTTCATCAGCCGTCCCGATCTTTCGCCGGCGTCCCCCAGTGGAGCGTGCGGTGTAATACTACCTATCTGCCTACCTCAGCCCGCGTGTCCTAAACTTAACTGGTCCCATCTATGCCATCAGAACTCCTCCTATATCAATTCTATGTCACTGCTGGGACCTTAATCTAATTTTGAAGGCCCCGTTGAGTGTCATTTATGATTTGTTGCCGGCGATATTTCAAGCATCTACTCAGGAACGGTGACATCGGGCATTTGTGGGGCTCCTTGATGAACACTACGCACTTGGTGTTGACAGCCGTAAAAACCTTTCTTCGTTCTCTCGATGGAGTTCGAAAACTGAACTGAACCGCAGAAATCTGTACGGCCATTCTTTGATTACCCTCACGAACGTAGAACGGGGTTCCGCTGATAACTCTCATCAGAACCCCGAAAATGTTTCCGCCGCAGAATTGCGATCTCATGCGCACTCCCGTTGATATTAATCTACCCTGCGGCCATCTCCCAATGCTCGGAGTAGGAGCCACTTTGACTTCGTCAGTTGACCATCAGATTACAACCACTCAACATTGTTTACAGACCACAACAGTCACAGAACTATTTCTTGCAGATAGGTCAACCATCTAGAGCATATTCAATAGCCGCAGCATGGTCACCGCGCGGAACAAACGTTGTTGTCAATCCTCTTGCGCCTGGTCGAAGCACGCAGGTCCTAAAGTCTAGGCCGGCCTCATTCTCCTTAAAAGATCCAGCGACTCTTCATCATGATATGCGTACTCACGGAGCCTTTCTCCGGGTGCTAGCATGGCCGAATATGCGGAGTCCTTGTGGGAATGATGACTTGATAGATTGTAGATGTCGGGAGTGAGAAACAGGATAGCTCAAGACTTCCCGAGGTGCATCATTATCGCGATATACGGGACCTCAATGTAGTTATCACAGAAATCAGACACCTCAGTGCGGTTCCTGTCTTTTACCAAGATAATAATATCCGAGCGATGAAAATTATCCAACGCCAGACTGCCAACTGGACGTGGAGCCTCATATTCGGGAAAGATGGGAAGAGGTATTATGATAGAACCGGAGGAACACTGGAAGGCCATCCCACGCATAGTAAAAGCCGCGAGCGCAAAGTCGGAGTTTACCTCATCACAGCGTCCGAAATGCGTAAAGTGCACATAGGCATGTTTGAACGCCTCTGAAAATGTATTCCCACCTACATTATCTGGCTTGTTCTGCACTATCCTACTTAGGTGGCCATCAGTGAGAAGGGAAGCTAAGAAGTGTTTGAGAAGGATAGGACGAGAATAGACAATAGCACGAGCGAATTTCCACGTCCCAAGCTTTAGTAAGTAGAACCCGTGCGACGAGGTCACTTTCATCACCCGCCTCGACGAGACCTTCCTTGAGAAAGTAAGAGATGACTTGAACCATCTTCACCTTCTCTTCTTAGATCAAGATTGTTGCTTCCTCTGGCAGAATGGGCTCGTAGTTTGAACTGTCTTGGTTAGGATTCAAAGTTTGCGTCGTCAAAGCAGATGAGGATCTTCAAGAGCGTTGTATCCCCCGATGAATTGCCAGAGTATCGAGAGATGTTCGAAATTTTTAAAGAGAAGATCTCTCGGTCCAGCGGTGCCTGCCAATTGATTTGTTTTGACTTCGTACTAGGTAAATGTCAATATCATATGCAGGTGGCAGAAAAGGCTGGGAATTTTTACCTGCCTAGCTTGCAAGACGACGGATTTATACAAAGTCTGTCGGTTCCCCCTACTCGAGAGATGAGGTTGGCCGGAGAAGAGTTTGACAGCCGACTCAGAATTTTGATCAACGACGAGGAGCTCAATTTCTGTCTTTACGCGTTCAAACAAGGACAGCAGGACGGGAGGCGCGCTCGTGTAAGGGAGCATTCACACTTGACATATCGCTAGTGGAAGGCACGCGTTTTGGATGACTGACCATGTCTTAGAGAACACGGAACCTTCGGCTACTTCCGACGGATCTCTTCTTCCTACCACCGTCAAAAAAATTGCATGCGCGCGCAGTCAGCCAATTCGCCAGAGTCAGCAGACCAAAATGTTATCGAAGTCAAGGGCGCTTTTCAGCGAGTACAGAACATTCGGTCAGAGACGAGGAGATGGATAGCATTGGGGCTTTTTCGTATAAGTGCGTTCGCTTCAGTTTGGCTGCCTATGAATTGGTAGTAATGACGCGCTGTTTTTTTCTTCAGAGATATTATCTATGAATTTTGAATCTCCGTTTTTTGCCCATGAAATCTCGCCGCGCGCGTACCTAGCAGACGCAGGCGACCAGCCTCTGCTTTGCCCATATTCTCGGAGAAGATCTTTCACTTGCGTACTACACAATAGCTGTGGCTCGAAGATATCACAAAGGTGTGTAACCTTTGGCTAAGTGGATATGTTCTGACAGGAGTATGACGGCACTCCGATGAGGCGTCTAGGGATGAACTCGAAGATGTGATATATCGTCGGAGAGGCTGGATGCGTACGAGTCGCAAGGTTTGGATTCGGCGTTTCTATGCTGATAATTTTGTGCAGCCATTCTCATCGGTCAGGAAATTCAGTCCGGCGGCTTGAGGGTGGTGTGAGAAAAGTTCACTTCCGCCAAGTCTCGCCCGTCTCCCCCCTGTCTCCTGATATCATGGTCTCACCTTCTTTCTCGAAGGCTACTTCGTCTGAAGTGTCACCCGAAGCGTATATACAGGAGGCTCCAGGTTGGTACGATCATGAGGGAGAGTGGCTATGGAACGACGTACTTCGTATGTCTTTACTTTGTCTTTGGCTAGCATTTATTAATTCTTTTTTTGCCTCTAGAATGAAGTATTCGTCGTGCCAACTTCAAAGCAAATGCTCTCCAATATATCGCGGCGTCGGCCGTTGGTTCACAGGGTTATCACCGGAACTCTAGGTTGGTCCGATCATGAGTGGTCATGTAACGGCGCGCTTCGTATGTCTTTACTTTTTTTTATTTATTTGGCTTCATTTTTATTCATTTTTATTTTTACCTCTAGAACGAAGTATTTCGTCGCATAAACTTCAGAGCAAATGTCCTCCCAAGTATCGCGTCGTCGGCTGTTGGTACACAATGCTGTGTTCGGTCGGAAGGCTCAAGGTCATTCTCTGTCTTGTTTTCTAATGCATCGAATCTAATATTTTGACTCTGATAAGATATTCCTTCTCAAATTTAACAATGGACGTGACGCCCTGGCACGTATTCCCTCCGTACTCGTAGGTAATGCACACTTGTCTACAGCCAGCGACGTAGCCACAATGGAATGTGTACAAGACGTTATCGAACATCCTGACGCGTACTGGTACGGAGCAGCATGCCGGAAGCTCGATCTGCCCTAGGATCAGATGTCATATTCATGGAGCGTATAGACGGCGTTGCGCTGGAGAAACGCTGGTTCAATATGTTACGAAGACATTGGCGCGGTGATGCGGGAAATGTTATTCCTTGATTTAAATCTTCGTCAACGGCCTTTTTCACATATTGGGAGTTTGTTTTTCAAGGAGAAGGACAATAAAGAGCCTGATGCCGAAAGATACAGGATTGAGCCTATCCAGTGTCATTGACAAGCAATATTGGTTCAAGACTGTTGAGGGACACTGTGGTCCTTGTAAGGATCTTCGCTTGCTTATAAGTTGATTATAACTCGGATCTTCTATTGCAGGAACGGATTTTTACATTCAAGGTACTTGCCGTCTAGCACATCGGCGAGCCGAATCCCAAACGTCCGGCGCAGCGTCTTCTTCCCCATGTCCTAGCTCGCTGCTGAGGAGGTCGAAGTCTTCCGGCCTTCCCGAACTTCTTCAGCTGTTGCAGCAATATATATCGGTGGGCTTGCAGTCCCTTGTCTCATTCATCCAGACCTCTCGCGGTCCAACGCGATTTCCAAACCCTCCGGGGCAGCGAATATCGTCTTATACACCGACTAGCAAGGCGCTGTCGCTATCCCTTATTTTCAGAGCATCAGGTTGTTTGAGACTATTCTTTATGAGGGAAACTCATCGCTATGCTCGATTAACCCTTCTCTCGTTGGAGATTCCTTCGGACTTGCTGCCAGAACTCAAGGAACAGGCTGACCCTGAGCGGAGACTCGCCAACTGATAGCACAAGATGACGAAGGTGTTACTGCATGGCAGGCTTCCTTTGCGTTTGTGGGCCGCATCTCTCCCGCAGGGCGATCTGCTCACTTCTTTCCCTGATGTGGCTCTGCGCTGTTATATCGACGGTCCGCAATTCCTACGTCGGCTGGTATGTCGTTTATGTGATATATGGCCCGACATTATGGAGGATCCGAGGTCCCCGGTCTCCAATAGAATGTCCTGTAAAGCTCACTGAGGTGGACCGGGAGCGAGATAAGAGAGTGTGTGCAGCGATGATGCATTATATCGAGTACTCAGAGCATTTTATAGCTTAGATTCAGTGTGATCCTGACGGGGGAACCTGTGGATGAAGTTCGTGAGAATTGGGCTGCTAGTCGGGAAGCGTAGGACGAGGAGAAGGCGGGTGGTCCTTATCCGTTCGAGGATACAATATTTCGAATGTGAATGTTCCTTTGTCAGAGTTCGACATGGTCAATGGAGCTGGTAGTATCCTTTACGCGGTCGGACATCACTGTGAAACTGAAGAACTTACCCTCGACGCCTTATAACCGTTCGATGTTGACACCTATAGGCTATCCCTTTTCTTCCGCTGAATAGCCGGGGCATATACCAGACGCACTTTGAGTAAAAATTAAGAAAAGTTCACAATTCAGGCATAGAAACAACAATATTCATCTGTAGGTCGTCTTCACCATCTCCTGCCAATCTAGAAATTCAGTTCACACATGAAGTTGGTCAAGTCGGAAGATAAGACCCGCAGTACTGCCACCTTCAAGAAACAAGCAAGATAATAGAAGGAAGGCAGCGAAAGGACTCGACCACGATCAAATAGCCAACCAACAACTGGCACAATAAGCAGAGTATTAGTGAGATTGACTATATTCGAATAACCAAAAGTCAACGACTGAATATTATTACGCATATCAAGAATGGTTAGGATCTAGGGCCTGCCGCCTCACAAGAATAGTAGCAAAGATGAATATTTGAATGACGAATGGCAGTGGATAGGAACAAGTTACAGTGATGCTGATTTCGATATAAAAAAACAAGTAGTAGGCGTCTGGTCTCTCGTAGGCAGATGACGATGCAGACCTATTGATAGAAGAGAGGGACGGGGTAGATGCAGCCAGGTGTAAATTGACACTTAGAGACACGGCGGAGTCCGTTACAACTTACGAAAGATTGAAATGACATGTGGACCCAAGCCGGTTTAAAAGCGGGTAAAGATATCCTTTGAATTGATGCATCAGTGCCTCATTTATTAGATCCCAGACCTTAGCTTAAGCTCAATCAACATCCTAGGCCTAGCATCAGTATCAAGTAGTTTAGTAAACTCCGATACTTTTCGGGCCGACTGATGTGACTACGACTACCACTAACTCGGTGCCGTCGACTTGCCATCAACCTCCATCAATCAAGCCAGCTCAACAGATTGATTGTTAGTTCTGTTTCTCACTGCCAGAAACCCGGGCGCGTCTTCTATTCACGGCCGTCTCAGCGACTTGGAAAATTACATCATGATGTTGTGAAGCAAATGGGGAGGGGGGATTTGAAGCTAGTTCCCAACCCTGGGTCCACGGTCGTACAGTGAACGATCTATGATATAGTATCGTTGTTCACAGTCAAGTACACAGTTACTATTCAGATTCTCATATCCAAAGATAACATGGAATTCGTACTCAACATTTCTAGTTCGCTATCTTCCGCAGCATACTGCCTCGCTTGCATCTTAGTTGCTGCTATGTGGACTTTATGGAGACGATCGGTTCGGACACCATACCCTCCGGGTCCGCCAGCAGACCCTCTCATTGGCCACTTACGGTTCATTACATTCACTGACGTTCCCGAAACGTTTCACCGATGGGCCAAGACTTATGGTATACGCCTTCGCATATTTAAAGGCCACTCGGTGCTGACATTCTGTTCTAGGCGACCTGGTCTATCTCCATGTTCTGGGTCGAAATATACTTATTATTGACAGCGTCGAAGTCGCAGCAGATCTGCTCGACAAACGAGGTTCTAAATACAGTGATCGTCCGAATGCTCCTATCTTTCAGCTGTAAGTCCTCTCCCTTTCTTTTTCCTGTAACTGGCAACGTGAACATATCCCAATAGCCAAGGGTGGACGCCAGGTCTGACACTCTCGCGATGCCCAGGAAAGGAATTTACGATTCAAAGAAGAATGGCGCAGAACTACCTCGGACGTCGCGAAGTAACCAAATTCAACTCTATCCAAGTTAGGGAAGCGAGGCGTCTGGTTTCTGAGCTTCCTGTGGATGCGGGGAAAGCTTACGAACAGTTTCGCCGGTGCGTTGGGTCACTTTCTTCAATCCGTAAAGGCTCAGCCTTCAGATTCTCGGCTTCACTTATTGTGGAAATAACGTACGGGCAAAGGATTACTTCGGATGATGACGTTTGGATGAAGATAACTCATGAGGTCAACCGTGTGGCCGAATCTAGTGGTCCCGGGGGAAACACTCCCATTGATTTCTTTCCATTCTGTCAGAGGTCTCTCGTTTTCTGATCTTCCCTTTTACTCACTCTAGGTACAGTAAGACACTTCCCGTCTTGGTTTCCTGGTACTTTTTATGCCACCAAAGCTCGTGAGGCCTACCCTATAGTTCGTAGATTCAAGGATTATCCGTATGAAACACTCAAGACACAGATGGTACCAAGTGCTGCTCCTGTACAATAGTATATTGCTTACGCCAATTTTTAACAGGTAGAGGGAACTGCTGAGCCCTGTTTTGTGAAACACGAACTGGACGCCATTGACGGTGATCCCGACATTGACCAAGAAACTATTATTAAAGGGGTAGCAGGTGCACTCTATGGAGCAGGATACGATACTGTAAGCATATATTCTTCCTGAACAGCCGCTCGTGTCAAGCGATACGTAGACTTGGGCCACACTGGGCGTCTTTCTTTACGCCATGGTCCTTCATCCTGAGTGCCAAAGGACGGCCAGAAACGAGATTGACGCTTATCTTGAAGGCAAGAGGCTTCCCGAATTCCGGGATCGCAAAGACCTCCCTTATGTCGAAGCAGTACTTCAAGAAACGATACGGTTCGTCTTATCCCGACTTTCTTCGGTCATCAATGGATTAATACATCTTCAGATGGTTCCCGATCTCACCTCTAGGTCTGGCTTCTTGAGTCTTTTGTAACGCTCTCTGACATCAATAGGCATTCCCCATCGTCTCTCCGAGGATGATCACTTTAACGGCTTTTTCATTCCCAAAGGGACGGTAGTTTTCGCCAATATAAGGTAACGTTCCCCTCCTTCAACCGCAGTTGTTGACCTTCTTTTAGAGCAATGAGCCTCAGAGAGGAACACTACGCAAATCCTCGAAAATTTCTCCCGGAACGTTTTCTCCCCCCAAACGGAGAGCCACATTTCACTCAAGCGTTTGGATTCGGACGAAGGTATGGGCTAGGCTGAGTGAAGAACCGGAACACCACTCAAATTTTCAACAGGGTTTGTGTGGGCCGCCATTTCGCTAGTGACAGTCTCTGGATAGCAATCGCAACGATACTTGCTACACTTGACCTCAGGAAAGCAGTAGATTCACGCGGAATTGAAATTATACCTGAATTCAAAATACATACTGGATTGGCATAGTGAGTTTCTTCTTCAGCCCGATAAGGTTCTGAGCGCCTTATTTTCTGGTTCAATAGTCACCCTCATCCTTTCATATGCGACATCCAATTTCGATCAAGGCAGTTAGAGTCGCTCTTGTATGCTTCGTTATAGATCTCCTTAGCGGAGGAACTCATGCTAATGAAACATCTCATGCCTTCGAAAAATCGCCATCGGGGTATTGCCCAGAAGAGATTACACTAGGATCCCGTCTTAAAATGCAAACGTGAAGCTTCATATCAAGACGTGAAAATTGCCTCTGAAGAGAGTGTTGAGAGTACGAGCCATGACTGCAGGTACAGTCGTACGGACTCTTAATTAGTTACCGATACAGTCAATTTTCGCTCCTTTCACAGCCACATATCTTAGCGACCTACCGCCCGCTAGGATATACATTCTATTCTGTCCTTACAGCGCGATCCTCGCCGTGCCCGTCTCGTTACGCTCATTCGCCACCGTGCCCCTTATCAGTCCCCGGTCCACTGCTCAATAGAGAGTAGTTGCCAGCAGTTTTCATGTACTCGGAAGATAGTTGGTAGGCGCCAAGTTTCCGGCATCCATTAGTCACTCCTTGAAGACGGCTGACCCGGGGTCAGCCTTTGCTTCGTAATTGCACGCCTCATAGATGTTTCTCAGTTTCGTTTGAATGACTCCGATGTTGGATCCAGTTTGGATTAGGAGCACTGTTGTTATCAATCCGGAGAACTTAACAATCGGAATTGATTGTCCCGGCAAGATTCTTCTCAGTACTGGCGATATCGATGACAATAACATTTGCATAACAGATGATACGGCAACCGGGCAACCCGAGACGATAAGTGCCTTGAAGACCAGATATCAGAACACACGGTACTTTGACCTAGGCGAAGGACCGAACAAACCGCGGTATCCGATTCCTTGGCTTCGATCAGAAGGGATGCATGTCTTTAGCGCGCCCGATTGGTGCGGCAAGCGACAAAGCTTGATGCATCGAAAGCTGAGCTGAGCTAAACAGACGGATTGATGAACAACTGCCATACTTGTAAAGGCTTCAAGCAAGTTTCTAACGGAGCTGACTAACACACTGGTTCGCCATATAAGGAACGAAGCTAGCTAACGGTTATCTTATACCGATATCCCAAAGGCTTCGGTGTGGACACACCTAGTGTGACGATGTCTCTCAGTGTTCTTTTAATAAGCACTCTCATTTCTGGTATTGCCTTTGTCGTGCTTGTGGTCCTGCCATGGCGTAGCTCCCCTTTGCGTCTACTTCCATTACCCGTAGGTCTTTTGATCAGAATATCTACTTAATAAAATAATGAAATTCTACTCTCTAGCCAGGCGCTGCTACATTATGGGGCCACGAGAAGACAATTTTCATGGACGAGCCCGGTCGTGTGTATCGCAAGTGGATCAAGGAGATTGGTCTGACCTTCCGGATCAAAGCAGCATTTGGGGTGAATAGAAGGATCTTTCTTGATCAAACGCACATTCTAACATTGATCTAGGCTCCAGATATTGTAAGTCTTCCACTACACAGAGCACGAGATTTTACCATGAAAGTTCCAGTTGGTCGTAAGCGATCCAGAAGGGATAGCCCATATTCTCCAAAAGAGAATTTATGATTACCGTGCGTTCTTTACTAAAAATTCAATGTTCTGACGCGCTCAAGTCCCGAGATCAGATCACAGTGCTGTGGTTCGACCTCGCGTGGCTCGTTTATTGGGGAAGGGTTTAGGCTGGGTTGAGGGAGAAGAAGAGCATAAGCGTATGCGGCGTATTACTAGGCCGGCACTCACGTAGGGTCGTCCATCTCCTTTTCTCTACAGTGTTAAAATATTCTACAGTGCAGATAACGTCAAAGCTATGTCACCTGATATAATAGAAGCGGCAACACAGGTGAGGCTCCTCCATCTTCAACGAAAGCTACTGCTTAAGCCGCAGGATTCAGGTTATTAGTGATCTTGTTCGGTTGGTACAAGACAGCGGTAGCAGAGTTGAAGTGGATGCCATTGACTGGGCAGGCAAGGCAACGTATGCTCTTTGAAAACTGTTTATTTCCTTTGTTGACGACTCCCCGGTCTTCGCCTCAGCCTGAACGTGATAGGGCGTGTTGTACGTCCTTTCGGATATATATTAAACCCACCCCTGCTAATTAGGCGTAACCTTCAAGGCATTTCTGCATGATTTTAACCAAGGTAATAGTGAAGAGGCTCGGCGCATCTTGAACGCCAGGAAGTCAAGTATACCGGCTGCCGCAACCTATTTCGGATATTTGGTTACTTCTTTTTATGTTGATCACCTATCTCTTCTCACAGATTATATCTGTAGACATTGATGCTACTTCGACGTTTCCCGTTTCTGAACAACTTACCTATCCCGCAAATTCAGCGTCAAGGGCTAGCGAAGACAACGATACAAGTTCGTCGGATTTGAAACCTTCTTCTGTTTCTCATGCGCTTTTAGTCCGGCGTGGCAAAAGAACTTGTCAATCGGTACCAGCATCTGGCAGACGAGTCTTCCGACAGGGAGAATTATCAGCAAGACCTCTTGAGTAGGCTCCGTGAGTCGGCGTCCTCCTTTATGGATTCCGTCTTATTCGAACATGCAGTTCGAGCTTCATCAGAGGAGAAATTGTCCGTATCAGAGCTATACGAGCAGGTGAATCTTTGAATAACTAGGATTCACAACTCCATTCAATCGTTCTCCAGATATCTACTTTCATGTGAGAAGGCCCCATTTCCGATTTTTACCTCCTTTCAATCCAAGTCCAGTATCTCCGGATTTGAAACAACCACGGCGACCCTTTCATTTTCGATTTGGGAACTGGCACGTCATCCGGACAAGCAGCAGAGATTACGCGAAGAGTTATCTACTATCAATGGGGATCCCACGTTCAATGATTTCCAAAACGGGCTTCCTTATCTCCATGCCGTCTTGAAAGAAACGTATGTTCTTCACTGTACGTCTATAAACCTGGTATTGAAAGCGAGTCGGTAATTCCAGTCTACGACTATACCCGGCACTTCCCTACATGGAACGAGTGGCGACAAAGCCGGATGTAATTCCCTTGCGGCAACCCCTACAACTTGCGAACGGACAGGTCGTACACCATGTTGTTGTCAGGCCAGGCCAGGTAAGTTTCATTTTTACGAGTGCTTTACCGTTGCCAATCGTTCATGGTGCCCAGACAGTTTTGATACCAATTATAGCAATCCATCGCCAAGATTCAATTTGGGCTGATGCTGATACATTCAGACCAGAGCGTTGGCTGGAGGACCTCCCTCCGCAAGAGCAGTTGTGCTCTGGTTGGGGGAATCTATTAGCATTTAGTGATGGTCCTAGGAGTTGCATCGGGATTCAGCTCGGTAAGTGCTACATATAATAGTGAACTTGTATAACGGATAACCTGTCTTTTGACCAGCTCTGTTCAACTACAAGGTAGTTGCCTCCCTCTTTGCGCAGTTGACTGGCGGCTGACGTTTGGTTTTCAGACTATTCTTAGCTCCTGGATAAGGCAGATTCAGTTCGAGGATACTGGTCTTGAAATGTCTTTGAAAATTTCTTCTAGTTTACAACCATGGGTACGGGGCGACAGAGACAAGCAGGGTCGAAACCAAGTTCCTATATATCTCCGCTCTGTATAAAAACTATATATATTCTTGTAAAGACAAGTACGAGTAACTGAATTCCATAAAACCGAGTTGACGAGTCGCTCTTTCATGATGTTGAAGTTAGGTTTAAATTATCTAATTGTCGGCTGCCAGCACATTCTGTTATTAAGGTGAAATCTGGACAATGCTGAAGAGACTTACCTTTATGTCATGTTTTCTTTCCCCCTGGGCCTCACGTTCTTGGTAATCGTCGAAGGGAGGAGTCATCGTCTTGACCGTGAATTAACAATTTTACTAATATATTTCGTACATGAGAACTTACTATGCGTATATTGGCCTCATCCGAATGCCCCAATCCTATATTCCTGAGTGGTATGATATCGGTGGTCCCTGTATTGTCCAATAAATCTTGCGTTTTCGAACTGGATGACGAGCGTATGTGATTCCGATAGTTCAAGCTAAAACACAATTTCAGTCTTTGTCAAACAGAAACCGACTCGACATTTCTGACCTTCCTATAACCGATATGACGTAGACTGTCTTGATAGTCAGCCTATCGCTCTTAAAAAACATCTAGGGTGTCGAACATTGGCAATTCACATTCATTGGAATCATACTGTGAATCGCAGCCAGTCGATTTTCAAGTTTACTTAAGAGAAGTTTGACCACGTACAAAGTCATAGTGTGTTGGAGACTCGGAGAAAGGTACTGGAGGAATGTATTGGAACCAAATCACAATTTGCGCCGAGAATTGATTCTTACCAAAATCAGAGATAATACCGCTGTGATGCTTGTCACGAGTCCCCGGTTGATGATGACGGCTAGTAACAAGTCGACTATCGTTTCCGTTCTGGAGGTCGGCAGTAAGAGGCAATGCATGGTGACGAAAGGACAGATGTATATCCACGCACGCTTTAACTCCTGACCGGTTGCTATGTAAGAGGAAGCAGAGAGTGCTTGTTATCAGGACATCACATGCCGCAGCTGCACTCGTCTGCAGGATGGCCAGGATCTAATGGGTTTTTATGAGCTTAACTCGACTTCAGAAAAGAAGTAGTCGACTTTATCTGTTCTGTTATCCATACCACTGACGGTAGATCGCATAGCGCTAGCAATAATACTCAGCATACTTAAGACCAACGAGTCTGAGCTTGTGCTTACACTGAAACTGTTTGTACTATGCTCCATGTCAAGACTCGATAGAAGAATACAGGTACAATCATGGATACTTACTCATTGCAGCGACTGGTAATCCATCAAGAAAATTCAGTATCCCTGAAGGTAGCGAAAGAAGTTCGCGTACTGATGCTCACTAGGGCCAGTACCGCCTGAAAATGATCAGTCAACAAATGCTCAAAACTGGGCATGGGAGGATTGACGCACCACCGGGGTAGTGTACCACAGATTTTTTCGGCTAACTATGTCACAAGGTGAAGATACATTACACCGACAGGCAGGCAGTGCTTACAGGTCCAGATTTGGAATACAAAGAACCTACAAATTCTAGTATCAGCGAAGCAAAGACGAAGTGATGTTCAACTTTCGTGAACATACCCTTGAGCAATGAAAGAAACGATGTACTGAATACAGTCAGCTATAGTCAGGGACACACGTGTGCAAATAGATCACTCACATCAGCAAGTAGTTGAACCTATGAAGAGCCAAACACGGTATCAGTAAGACAAGGCAACGCTTAAAACGCTTAACTTGAACATACAATGGTCGATCTACAAACAAAGCCGACGTTAGATGCCAGTGGGTTGTTGAAGAAGGATTTCCTAAGGGACTACATACAAGGGTAGACGGTTGAGGCTTTCTAGGTCACCGAAATTGTCGACAAAACTGTTGTAGATCCATGCGCTGAATGTGCTGACTTGAATAGTCGAAAAGAGACTGCCAGAGAAAAGAAATCAGGACTAGAACTTGAGGTCTAGTAGAGCACGCGCATAAGAAAAAAGGCCACCGCTTTGGTTTTCAGAGAATCGCGTTGACTAAAACGATGAAAGTACAGTAAACCCAAGACCTAAGATTAGTATGGATTAGCGTAGGATATATTTCGACAGAACCAAGGCTTGCCAATGATACACCATAGAATCTACCGAAACGTGGCGTCAATTATGACGCTGAATCGGCAAAGTAATGAAGCACATACATGAGGTCGATTACAAAAGATATTAACAGGCGTCCAAATGTTGGTCCTAACGTTGGTGCCATCTACAAGATTGACTTTGGAGAAGATGCAAGTACAGAACGGACCTAAGCCTGCCAGGTGGTAAGTACATAAAGATGTTACGTTGCGAATAACCGTGACCCACGAGATATGACAAAAGAAAGGATCAACATCAACAAGTTGAGAAAACACGGGTATTGATGAATCTGATGTAACAAACGAACCGCGGCCCGACACCCACGGAGTGGTTCGAAACTCGGAACCCGGCCCGGGTCGATATTACGTCTAGCAACACCATCATCTACTTTACAAAATGGAACCCATCTTGAGAGGTCCCTCCTCAAGGCCTCATGGCCAGCATCACTATCTCTTCTACTGTTGCGATTATTTGCCTCTCTTTTCTTGTGAATTTCCTTTTACGATGGACACGCAAGTCGATACGAATCCGAGGACCACCGAACCCATCGTTTCTCTTAGGTAACAACATATGTCTTCTTCCACGTCGACGTATTCACCGTTGCAAGGTCATGAATGGATGCGCCGGCACCAGAATAACCACGGAGACTTGGAAATGGATTGGTTTCGCAAGTACGGGGCTGTTTACCGGACAAGTGGGTGTTTCGCTGTGAGTACAAGGTCTCTGTTTTAATTTGTTGGTGCGATGTCCTAATCGGCACACGTAGCAAGATATCCTGATGGTTTCGGACCCCAAAGCCCTGCATCATATGTTCCACTCCTCTGATTATCGTTTCATCAAGACTAGAGACACGATCTTTGTGTTGGATCTTCTGCTTGGACAGGGAATACTCTCGGTGCAAGGTTCTCAGCACTTGCTCTTAAATAGTCGCACATAATCTAACCTCTTGACAGGGGAAAAGCATCAGCACCAACGCAAAGTGCTCAGTATCGCCTTCTCGTCTGCACAGCTACACCAGTCCCTGCCTATGTTACAATCCTGTGGCGCTAGGGTAGGCGCTTAATTGAAGGAACATTGCCGAGATACTTACGTACATATACAGCTCGTGGAACGCCTCAAGGACATTTCGGACGATCACACAGGCGCAATAAATGTCTTGGAATGGACGCGTAAAGTTGCTCTGGACATCGTTGGCACAGGTGTGTTACTCCGTCGTTATACATCGAAAGTACTTAGTATCCCATGATACAGCCTCGTTTAGATACCACTTTGGTATGCTTGACGGTGAGCACAGCGAACTAGGAGCCGCTGTGACGAATCTCCTGTATGTTTAACTTATTCCTACGATCATAACAAGGCCCTGACTATTCTCCAGCGGTGACGCCCAGATAAACCCTTCTACGAAAGAACTGTACATCCGAAGTCTATGGCGATATTTACCTGATCGTGTACTGAAAATCATGAAAGACCGAATGGCGAGCAGGGAGAGCACACGATTTACGCTTTTCGGCCGCACGGCTAAAGTAGTCGCGAAGCAGATATTCCAAGAACGACTCCCTGTTGTCGCCGGGCAAGCCGATTTGTCCGAAAAAGATATTGTCAGCCTTTTAGGTACGTCGTGTATATCTTCGTCTCGTTCGATTCAAGACACTCCTTCCGTAGCGAAATCGCATCTCTCTGATGATGAAAAGGACAAGATGACTGATGATGAAATACTGTCTCAACTAGCGTGAGCATTCTAGCTCATTGTATCTTGACCTTGTCTTAATCTTCTCTAGCACATTCATTTTCGCTGGTCATGAAACCACAGCATCGACTTTGGCGTGGTTTTTATACGAGCTGAGTTCGCATCCGGAGCATCAAGCCAGGATTCGCGAGGAGATTGAAGCTTGCCAAGGACAGATCTCATCATTAGCTAACTACGATTCTATGTCGTTCTTGAACGCTGCTATAAAAGTGCGTGTAACTATACCAAAGCGCTAGCACAGTTTCATCTTTGACTTGTTTAGGAAGTCCTTCGTTTGCATCCCACCATTCATTCGCTCGTGAGGATGCCGAGCAGGGATGAAGTTCTTCCCCTAGCAGAACCCATTAGAACACAGGACGGAAGAACCTTGAATGAAGTCCCTGTTTCGAAGGGCCAGACTGTTATCGCGTCTCTGTATGTTTACAATCGGTGCGTTTCCGCATTGCGTCCACCGGTATGTCCCTCATGTCCTTATAACAGTATGCCGAGCATATGGGGAAAAGACGCCGGTCAATGGAATCCTGAGCGTTTCCTTGACAATGATAAGAAGCAAGGGCCGCTTGGGGTGTACGCGAACCTGTAAGTGAAGTCACATTTGCTAATTGATCTTCCTGCTAAGTCAAACCGTCTAGTATGACGTTTAGTAAGCCTCCTCATTTCTGAGTTGCAACGCGTCTTGACCGTATTATATAGGTACTGGTGCTCGTTCTTGTCTTGGGTAAGCAAATCATTATCTGTGTGACATCTCTTCTAACTTGGTATCATAGTTGGCGATTTGCGTGAGTTTTCTCCTGGTCGTGTCGCATCCACTCACGGAATGACTCTTACAGAGTGATGGAGATCCAAGTGGTCATTGTAGAACTGCTCCGGATATTTGAGTTCAGCCTTCCTAAAGACGGATCTGTAATGCGAGAGTACCCTGGTTCTCAGATGGTCATCCCGCTTGTGAGCGGGAAGACCAATGAAGGAGCACAGGTCCCGTTACACGTGAAGGTGGTCGAGAGGTCGACGCAGTAGTGATGGGGTGATCCATTCCGCGTCTTCCTGTTCCGTCTTCGCCTTTTTTTATTCGACGTAACAAGTGATGTATTCATGAATGTCAATTCTTATCTTGGTGGGATGTGCAGTCATATACATATCAATTGACGAACTCTGTGAATAAGGCGCCTCTTCTCGCTAGCTTGCCTATAAGCAGGTCGAAATGTCGCAACCTCCCCAAAGAGCATTAACTCCTGCAGCAGTGCATACCCTTTGACCCCGGCGTCGTAGCCGGCACCAGCATATCCCTTTCTTGCCCGTCCCGATCTTTTCAATATTATTGTCCAGTCCTCCGCAATTACTGACATTCTCTCCAGATATTTCTCCCCAACTCCCAGAACAGGCTGGCCTTGAGTGCAAACTCGCCAAGCGACACAGACATGCGAAATGTCTAGTTCGCCGCTACACGTTTCTGACTTTTCTGACGTTATTTCCTGATGCTGCATTGCGGTGTTATGCCGAAGGTCCGCATCGCCTGCCTATAAGACGTGAAGAATGGTTCTGCATTATGGAGCGATCTGCTTCTTCCGCTGGGTGTCCTGTTCAACTGTTGGTAGCAGTACGCTTGCTACGTAACATCTACCTCCTGATCTAGGTGGGCTGCATGAGTGATAGCGAGACGAAGCCGGTGTCCAAAGCTAATCTCGAGACCTCTCTTGGTGTTAACACCACCCGCATAGAGAAAAACGCGAATCATTTATGGCGAGTGGTGATCCGGACTGACAGGCACGTTCATCACGATTCACGACCTTCGTCTGAATAATGCCCAGATCTAAACACTTAACCAGATACTTAGCTATGAACAGTGTCTTGCTATCAATATAAGGCCAGGAGGCTTGTAGAAGCTAATTCAAAACATTGTAACAGTAGGAACGTCGTAATTCTACATTTTCTTTCGAGACCAGGTAAACCAAAAGTCATAGGTCGTGTGGAATGCCGGATCGTTTCGTTCGTCCTTCCATGCTTTCTGTAGCTCCGGCGTCAGACCTACTGACTTCATATCCTCACCGATGACGCCTGTGACGAGTCTTTCAATAGTGACTCTCACTGCGTCTGACAGAGCTCGAACTTTTGAGCCTGAAACAAAAATATTCATTAACGCGGGTGCTCGTGAAGAAAGATGTGTCGAGGATGGTTACCGGCGTTGTCTTCATTGGTCGTAAGTACAAGGCGTTCGCAGTTCGCGTTGATCTCACTGAACGAGTTCAGTTCCTTCAGGTATTCCTGCACGTGTTCACCGATAATAGGATCCAGACCCTTTGAACGAAGCATCCCGATGTACATTTTCTCAAACGTTGCCATCGCAGGGCCTTTACTGGTCTCATGGCCAGTATGTCTCCCGAAGTCTTCAATAAGGAGCCAGCCTCCGGGTTTGAGCATCATCGTGGCCTTTTCAAGAACGTCATGAATATGTTTTTCTAGGATCTGGAGAGGGATTTCTCAAGGATTTGGTGACGACATCAGGGAATATCGCAGACATACATGGTAAAGCACGAGACGAATATGAACCACGTCGAAACACTCTTGTTTGCCTGAGATCGGCTTGAGGATGTCGATTTCTTCAAATGTTACATTCGGAGGAAATAGACTAGACAACCTCTACATCAGAAAGGATTTTCAATCGCAATAGAACACGAGAAAACAAACCGGGGTGGCAGCGGACTTATATCTGATGCAACGACATGAGCCTCAGGAAACATCTGAGCGGCTTGAAGAGCCCTAACACGAACATCAGAGCACGTCAAGCTTAGTAGATGCTCACTAATTACCATGCTCCCGATCCCGCCCTAAGTTGTCGTTCATAGAGCTCGACATAAATAGAAACATTCTGAATGCCACCTACCCAATATCGATAATTTCACGCGGATTGCTGATATCTGCTAAGGACAGCTGGCCATCTAGGAATATCCGTATTCCATTGTGCAGTTCGTCAAGTCTGCAGGTAAACGGTCTGGGCATTTGAAACGGGGAAGGGATAGCAATAAATACCGTTGCCACTCTGAACCTGCCGTGTTGTAGTCCTACAGCATGAACGTGAACCAAAGCTCACGAAAGGAAGAAACGGCCCACCCGCATAAGATAACGGCTATCCATTGCAGCCATCGATGTGGGTATACAGGAATCTTCAATGTAGTGCTCAAGAATCGCTGGCCTTCTATCAGAATGACTAGGCCAACAATCAGAAGGAATCGGTTTGGTCCCAGCTGTTGGGGGTACAGCGAATTTGCACAGCCCCCGAGAGCACGGAAAAGAAGATGCCGTTGGACGGGCCTAGAGGCTATGATGATCATGATTCATCGCAGACTCCAAAGATGCGACTGATACTGGCACTAGCTCCGATTCGGGAGTAGCGACTGGTCTCCATCATCAAGTCAAGGTTTGAAAAATAGCATGCACCAACCGTGGAATATTGATGACCCTGTGGCTGTGCAAGCTGGCGCGATGTCCAGTTAGCCCGAGTCTTGCTGAGTAAAGGTTTACTAAGGTGTAGAAAGTACTAGAAGATACAGAAAGGTATATAAGTAGCTAGTTTTCGTAGTATTCTGTACTCGTTTGCCTTACAAGCAAACATGGACTGCTCTTTCCTAACCCGCTAGGCAAACGTGCCTGATCACACGGTGCGCGTGTTATCCAACACCAACAATCAAGTCAAAAAGATGGCGCGACTTTCTCATTCACCTGATGAAAGAGTAAGTAGACCTGAAGCGAACCAGGTTTTCTATGCCGAACTGAACTGATAGCCGATGCCGTATTATCTCCGGATCGGCTTTGCCGGCAACTATGTTGAATTCCTACGTCTCGGACTCCGTGCTGAACGCAGTTGATGCACTGTATTTACTGGGCAAGATACCGGTATCTATACTTACCATGTCCCGGCCGCTATTTGTTGTTTTTAAGTGGCAGAAGTCTGACTTAGCCTTTCCTTGTTGGCTTATCTTCAGGCCGGCGCTTACTCCTCGACCAACCAATGATTCACAAACTCGCATTATTTTTTTGCCTGGTTTGTTGCGTTCTTATCAGAAGAGTATGCAAGACGCGAGTCCCTATACCACCGAGTACGCACTGGTCTTTTCTTGTTACCCAGAGCAGGCTGAGCAAGGAATAAATCAAGGTGTCGGGAACCTTCAAGGTCTAAAGGAATATCGATGGAAGGTATACGCTGAATATGCGAAGAAATTGGGTACCGTCTCGCATCGATACTACTCACATTGTTCCCAGCTATAACCTCGTTCTGCAGGTCCTCTTATTTCGGCGCCTTTCATGATGGGAACTTCAGTTATAATTATCAACACAAAGGACGCGGTGGATGATCTTCTTGAGAAACGAGGAGCTGCCTTTGCTTGCCGACCGAGTTGGCCAATGATGGAACTCCTCGGACGGCAAAAGTAGGTCTTGGTATGTCTGTCACCGTGAAGCGACTTACGAATCAATTTCTATAGCAACGTTGGCTTCACTTTCTATGGAGAGAGATTGAAGAAGCTACGAAAAGTGTTACAGAGATCTTTGAATTCACGCATTTTCAGTGCGTTCTGGAGTGATTTACTAAACGAGAAATCTCTGGAACTGTGCTACGCACTATTACAATCCCCGACTAAGTGGAACGACATCTTAGAATCGTAAGAAGGCGCTTAAATTTGTGTTTTCAGGACTTGCTAACTGCTCGTCACTATTTTAAAAGAAATATCCAGGAACTCATAGTACTGTTTGCGTACGGACACCAGCCTAGCACCGAGTATATAAAGCTTGCAAAAACTGTAATGCATCAAACGGGAGAGGCGTTTCAGCCCGGAAGATGGGCGGTAAACTTCATACCTGCCTGTAAGTCTCGCTCCCCTCACTCCTCAACGCTGTCACATTATTCGCTAGTAAAATGGGTTCCGGCTTGGTTACCTGGTGCAGGTTTTCAAAAATGGGCTCGAGAATCTAGGGAATTATTCTTCGAAGTAACGAGACAGCCATTCTACGACCTGAAGAACGAGATGGTGTGTGGATCCCTTGTGTACACTCACAATTAATCATGCCTGCCACGTCAATGTAGGGAAATGTACGACAATCTTTTGTGCAGCAGAACCTAGAGAGTCTTTCAAAGACGCACTCGATTGAAGATGAAGATGTCATAATGTTTGCTGCAGGTAGCCTATTTAGTGGTAAGTTTTGGTCGATATTTGTGTGATCGAAGACACTGATAAATTCTCAGCCGGCACCGAAACAGTAAGATTATCTCTTTTCGTCTTCTGAAATTAATCAGAGACGTTGATAGCTAACAGTCGTATTCCTAAACTTCATTGCGCTTATGGCCAACCACCCTGAGATTCAACAACGTGCATTCGATGAGATTCAAACCATCATTGGTTCCGAGCGACTGCCGAACCTTCAACAACGAGACTCCCTTCCATTTATCGACTGTATCATCCAAGAGGTTCATCGAATGTACCCTCCGATTCCACTGATGCCACATAGCAATGTCCAGGAAGAGAAATACAATGGATACAGGATACCTAAGAAATCATGGGTCATGGCGAATGTGTGGTGCGTACTTCTTATTGAAAAATCTTCGTATTTCACGCATCTGCTTCAGGGCTATGCTTCACGATGACCAAGTCTACCCCAATCCGGAGTCGTTTTTGCCTAGCCGCTTTGAAGGTCTGGAACCAGCGCTCGATCCACGAGTTCTTACCTATGGGTTTGGAAGAAGGCAAGTACTCAAATCTAGTATTTTCAGCTGCTTACTTTGTTGGCAGACGATGCCCCGGCTTACACTTCGCCGACCTGTACATTTACCTCCTCGTTGCAAGAGTGTTGATTTTGTTCGAAATTGTTCCGGGTGTGGAAGACGGAAAACCTGTATATCCCGTGCTCGAGTTCACAGCCGGGCTTGTTGCGTAGACCATTTTCTTCATATTCTCCTGCGGGGCACTTAATTTTCCTTAGATTCCCGAAGCCATATACATGTAGACTGGTTCCTAGGAAGTCTGCACTAGAAATTCTTAAGAAATCGGGAGAAAGATCGTAATTACAAGTGGACCTTTCTGATCAGGGCGATTTAAAATATTATCTATTTTCTCCTTCACCGCGGTAGCAATTTCGGCTGACCTTATAGTGAATAATATACGGGTTGAACGCGTTTCTGGGTACTGATGGAGAGACATCAGTTCAGTTCAGTTCCGTGTTCGTGGGGGCATTGAAAGAATGGCCGTAAAGTGGTCTACGGTTCAGTTCGGTTTTCTAACTCCATAGAGTGGATGAAGAAAAATATTTATAGTAATGCTAAAATCAAGCTTGTCCAAGAAGTCCCAAAGAAGCCCGATATTGCTGTTCCCTAATGGATACTTGAGCAGCACGCTGCACAAGTGACACTAGGCAAAGTAACTGATATTAAGTTTGAGGTCCCTGTAATTGATATTGAAGGAGTTCTGATGCGCCAAACAGCTGGATCCTAGATGTCAGGAACTGAGGTAAGTAGCAGTCATCACACTGAAACGAGAACAGTCAATGTTTCTGCGCCCAAGTAAATGATCGGAATCAAGGAACAATTTCAAGCCCGGATGATATTACGTATCGTCATTGACCAGTAGTAACCCAGCTCGAGCTTTGAATTAGAACTTTTTGCGACATACACCTTGGAATGGCTACCCAGTGTTAGCTTGCAGATGCCTTCAAGTTGAAGGCATCGATCGTGGTTTCCGTATGCTGAAATTCTTTGAATGCTCCCTTCCTTACTTTCAAGATCCTAATTCTTTGCTTTATACTGAATTTTTGCTCGACGTATTACTTAGTTCCTACAGTTCAGAGTCTAACATGGCATCTGTTATACTCCGTGGAATTCACGTCTTATTTTCACCAAAGCAAGAAATGGGTACGAGTATTGTACGGTAAAGCATGTGCTATAACGAGCCAAATCTGGTATCTCAAGATAAGAAAGACTCGAAAAGACCATATATCACTCACGTTGTACCAGACATAGTTGTATCTATCAGACCGTTCATCCCTGAATCGAAAGAAACGAAACCCAACATATGCTCCGAAGGCAACAAAGAGGGAACCACTGGCTGGGCCAAGATTCCACAAATTTACAAGTGAGCCGGACCAGAGAGGTATAATCGCTAGGATATAATAGCGAGAACCCTCCGGTGCAACGATTGGGAAGGTACGACGTCCCGACAACGTATCGCCTTTGACATCGGCAAAGTCCTAGGCGAATGTTAAGCTTCATAGGTGAATGATGTCTACATTTATGAGCGACGGGCTTGCCTGAGCAGAGATCGTAGTGAAAATTAAGACCCCACTGCAGATCAGGGCTGTTAGAGAGTTGCGATCCAAGTTGTGTCTGGAATCTGGCAATTGGTAAGCGACAAAGCAGAGATCATAGTAAAAGACGCATACTAAAGCAAGCACTTGCACCTAGTTCGAACGTGATATAACCTCCCACATTGCAAAGGTTCTTCAGGACGAGATTTCCGCTGAGACCAATGTCGTCGTGCAAAATTTCAACCAAAGTGAGCGCTGCACTTGAGAAAAGAATGACACGACCACATAAAGCGGAAACCGTGAAGCAAAGGATGGTAAGGCACCACCAAAAAATACGCGCCTGCCTTGGGGTAATTCTTCTAGATGGAAGTGGACGCCAAGGCTTGTTTAATTTATCCTCATGCCCGCTGAACATTTGATTGGAGACATTTGCCTGAAGTAGGTGGAGCCATAGCCAAATCACTGTCCAAATGAATGATCTAAAGGTGAACTTGTCGGAGACGGCCAGAGAGTAGATTAACTATCGTGCCAATGAGTATCGCATGGCATACAAAAAGATAGATTTACCACTGGGAAAAAAATGGTTTTATAATCCGATCGAGTGAATAAGTAGAGGGTCTCGAGCTGGTACTTGATAGTTGACATCATAATGATATATATGCCCTGAAGTCATCGCAGCAGAGATGGGCGAATTTAAACCATCCATAGTCCCTAATTGTCCATGGTATCTTGTCACAATAACTAAATCAATGCTCACAGTAAGTACCTGCCTAATGGCGAGAGTTTGGTCCGAGTGAACACCTGAGACCTCAAACGGTTGAATGATGCTACCCCGGAAAAGTCCGAGCCGGTTTTCCATCATGCCTCAGCGATGTGATACCCCCAATTCATGTGGGGCCCTTCTATGAATTGCTATACAACGGCCATGATAACGCGCTGACGATTCTGATGTACTGCTATGATTACCATCTCCGATCATCAATCTTATTACGTGCTGATCGTGTGTTTCCTAAAAGGTAACCTCGGCGTCTTGCTTCCTCTTTTTCCAGCGCCTAGTAATGTACCCGCCGCACCCACCACCATATCACTTCTTTTCTCCCACAGTTGCCAGCCGCAATGACCGCCAGCTCTTCAATTACCTTGTTCGCGAACCAAGTCATCAGCCCGGCCGTAATTGGGTGGCAATCGTTCAATCAAGAACCAATTTAAAGAACCGCGTCGTTTCTGACGACCATTCTCCCCAAGAAAGTCAGACAACTCCTCTCACAACAAATCATGCCTTTCTACATAATTGCTTTTCTTCTCCTCGGCGCCGTCCTGCACCTGTGGAGACGGAAGTCGCATAACAACTCACAGTCTCGAGGACTTCCTTTACCGCCCGGTCCTCCTGGACTACCTTGTCTCGGGAATTTACTTGATATTCCAATTCACAGGCCCTGGATCAAGTTCACAGAATGGAAAACACAGTTTGGTCTGTATCGTCTCCAGCAATACCTTACCCATGCTAAAATTCGTGATCTCCTAGGCGACCTATTTTATATGAAGGCCTTGGGACGCGGAATCCTTGTACTCAATACCATGGACACGGTCGTCGATCTATTGAATGACAAAGCAAATCTCTATTCTGATAGGCCCACTTTTGTCATGGTTGGTGATATGATGGGTCTGGATAACGTACGTGTCGAGTCCCAATAGTAATAGAATGCAATCGTGACAATCATGTCTTTCTCGTAGAGCGTACCAATGCTACCTTATGGGTCCACTTTTAAACAACACAGGAAATTGTGTCACATGTCGCTGAATCCCGAGACAGTAAAACAGTATCACAGTCTCCAAGAAGACGCTGTCGCAATGTATCTCAGCAGTATTCTCGATACCCCCCATCGTTTCATCAAACAACTGAGGCTGTGAGTATCCGAGAAAATTATTATCTCAGCAGCACCGGTCCTGATTGTGGGTTGTAACGATAGGACTGCGGGGCGTATCATTATGTCCGTAACATATGGCATTTCGGTTCAAACACCAGAAGATATTGTACACTTCGTCCTTCGCAAGAAACCTTTCATCTAACTGATGATAATCTAAACCTAGTACATTACTGAAGCCGAGACTACAATGGAAATGATCGGAAAGTCGACTGTACCAGGAGCCCATCTTGTGGACTTTGTACCCGCACGTATGAGAGTCGCCCTCATGCTCAAAACAGAATCTGAATCATATTTTTTTTCTAGTTCGATACATCCCTTCTTGGGTTCCGTTCAATATAATTCCCAGTATGGCTGAATATGGACGCAATCTGATCTGGTCCATGATCAGTCGCCCTTTTGAACACGTCAAGCGCGACATGGCGAGTGGCACTGCTCGTCCATCGTTTACTCGTACTTGCCTAGAAAACTTCGAAACTGAAATTTCTGGCTTGTCGAGAGCCGAACAAGACCATTTGGTGCGCTGGGCGGCAGGCGCAATGTACGGTGGTAAGTTTCCTTCTCTTCATTGAGTTGATGTCTAGTAATATACATCGCTCAAGCTGGTGGAGAAAGCGTAAGCAAGAGTACCTCATAAGCTACATTCCCTTGAATGTTTGTTTAGACTTATGCTTCAATCCTTTCATTTATCGTGGCCATGGCCCTCTTCCCTGATGTCCAAAGGAAAATCCAGCAGGAAATCGATTCCGTCGTTGGTGCTGACCGCCTTCCTACTGTAAAAGACCGCGCTAGGATGCCTTATATTGAGGCGACCATGAAAGAAGTACTTCGTTGGAAGCCGGCCCTTCCGTTGAGTATCGCTCGCAAAACAAACAAGGCGGACTACTACAAAGGTGAGCAAATCCTTAGCCATACTACCGATAACTCACAGGAAACAAGGCTATTACATTCCCGAAGGTACAATTGTGATGCCGAATGTTTGGTATGTTTTGTATTGGAATGGTTTGGACGCTCTTGAATTTTGAGCAGGGCCATCTCTATCGACGACAAGAGTGGTATACCATCGGCTGAGTTTGCTCCAGAACGACACATTAAAGAATGCGTTAGTCACACGGCCACCGACCCTGCTACCTATGCTTTCGGATTCGGACGACGGTGAGAGTAGTACAGCTATGAGATCAAATTTTCCTTACGCCTGCTCCAGAGTGTGTCCAGGTCGTCATCTCGGCGAGAACAACCTATTCCTTCTCATTTCAGGACTAATGGCCACCGTGAATATCGAAAAGCCAAAAGATCTAAGTGGCCGAGAGCTCCCCTTTGACCCGAGTTATAAATCTGGGCTTGTAACGTACGTTTTCTGTCTTCAAATCGAGCTCTTAGGACTGACAGACGTCTTCAGATTTCCTGAGGATTATAAAGTGGGATTTAGTTGCAGGTCAGCCGAAATTTCTATGGCCGTAAAGGAGAAAGTGAGCCAGATAGTCTCATAACTCTCATTTAATGCGTCAAATGCCTGGTGTATTACGAGGTTTTGAGCTTCGTGGCATAGCAATTACAGTCAGTGGCCATTTGGTTTCTTGCATGGATTCACTTACTACTTGGTTTCTTATTCTTGCAAGGATTTCGTAGTATATAACGCTGAATATCTTGTAGGTATCCTCCATGTTGTATTTGCCATAGATATAATCTATTTTGCGTTCGAGAACAGCCTCCCCACGATTCTAACATATATCTCCTTCTATTTGCTATGACAAAATTACCTGCAATTTTGGGTGGGAAATACAGTGGTGTGTCTTTGTAAGAACACGTAGCATAGGCCAAAGACTTCTCAGAGGCCTTCCGTAGTGGTTGCGTACTAGTAAGTACTGAGTCTGCGTACTTCAGTCACGAGTCACGCACGACTCATAGCGGTGGTGTGACTGACCCTGTTTGGATAATATAAGCGCTTATCCATGGCTACACATTCCAAAAAATTGCAAATACATTATTATAGGCATACATACCGTATGCTAAATACAAGTGAAGGAGGTCAGACCACCTGAGTGGTGGGATGAAGAACAACTTGTTAACGTTGGTCGCGTTAGTCACAGATGTCATGGTGACCGGCCCGGACCGGCCATTAGTCGTGCAGAGTCACGCATCACGTCACGGATGACTTCGACAATACTTTACCATGTATTGCTAGCCATCTTCCAGCTGTGATACTCTTTTCGAAGTCCAAAGTGCTCAGGAACGAGGGTAAAAACACAATATCGCTATCCCTGACATCAAACACATCTGGCAAGCGCAACGAACCTTGTGGCGAGGAGGCGAGATTGGGAAGGATGGAATACGTGTTCATCTTTCTCTGATAGACCTTTCTTTGATCTATGCAGCGGCAGGCTCAGGCCTCTACCAACCCACCACGGACTGGAAGCTGCCCTCTTTTCTCCCTATTGGCCTAGTTGTCCTAAGTTCTGGAGACGATTTTAGTATCCGGAACTATCTCATGACAGTTCCGGGTCTATATTGCGGTGGCTAATCTGAATTACCATTCCGTTGTACCGTTCACCTATATTCTTTCCATTGCTTCAATATGAAGGTCCTTGCACTATGCCCACCTACGCCCACGCAACAGCCCATCCCATCCTCAGGACTCGAACATACCACCACCTGTTATTTGAACAGTTCGCCAGGATCTCTGTATGGGCTGTGATGTCGCTCGAGGCCAGTGTCATTATGATCTTGATTATCAAGTCGCAAACGTTCTTTGAATTGGTTGTCCACATGCCCTTGTGAATAATTCTCATCCAACGTTTGCGCAATCGAAAGTTGCGATCACCGCACGGTGAAATATGCATCGATAATCATCTAGGTGCGTACTCTAAGGTGATGATTGAAACAAGATGATCCCGTCTCTAAAGATATCACACCTTCGTATAGTAACTCGATGGAACTAAGTATCCCTAGGGATGGTTCACCACCCCTCGGTCATCGGGGGAGTCAACTAATGTCAACCAGGCGGAGAAGGCGAGAATCACCTATAAGCGCGAGTACGGCATTAGACTGCAAGTCGTCCACTCAGTTCAGTTCAGTTGCCGTATCTCTGATTTGCACTAATTCAAAAGGAAGAAAGATGAACTTTGACAGCCTCGCCCATGCATCTCCCGCTCTAAAGTCTGGGTATCAAACTTCACCGATGAACCCGGCTCACGTCTTGAGCGCTACCAATAATATATGTCCAGCCGTCGACTTCGGGCTCTCGATGAGGATGGTACAAGCTTACAAGAATGGCTTCACAAAGCTCGGGAATCGGGTAACACTGGAACTTGCGATGTCCCGGGATGGCAATTCAAGGTACCTATTCAGTATATTTTGGACCGCTGCTCAAGCGCTCAGGTACGATTTGACATACATGCGATGGAATGCAGATACGGAAAATTGAGCACGGTGCGCAGAGAAGGGAACCGATATAAATAAGTTACGGCAGGTGACACTTTGTTCTGATCCCTTTCCTTGCGCTCCTTCATCTTTTCTACTAGATCATGAATCTATTTGCGCTTCGTATGCTCCGACTGTCGCTTTTGGCTGCACGGCTGTTGCCTCTTCTATGCTTATTTCTATGGACATTCGTTGAGGGAAAATCGTGCCAAACAAAGAACACAGTCATCGAGCCGCAAGAGTTTGGTGCACTTACGTTTGATTACCTCATCGTGGGTTAGTTTTCTCGAATAGTACTTCGGTAGGTCTCCTCGCTGATTTTTTTAAACAAGGCGCTGGTACCGCAGGCCTTACTCTAGCGTCCCGGTATTGCATCTTCCTGATATATCGCGTTCACATGATTGAGGGGCTTTGCTAGCTTAGCAGAGGATCAGGATGTTCAAGTTGGCGTCATCGAGGCTGGGGCATACCACGAGAATGATCCGTTGGTCGATGTACCAGGTATCTCATTTTCATCTTCTATACAAATGTCTTCATGAGTTCACGACTTTGTTAGCCAACATTGGTGCAGCTGGAGGTAACGCAGATTACGACTGGCGTTTCTCAACTGTGCCGCAGGAGAGTGTTGGAGGTCGCGTCATCTCCCCGACGCAGTTAGTATTTGTTTTGCATCCTAGTGGATTGAACATGATGGCTCTCACAGAGGCAAGCTATTAGGCGGTTCAAGTGCCATAAATTTTCTTGCTTGGACTCGAGCATCGAAAATTGAGTATGACGCTTGGACATTCTTCTCCTCAGGACAAAACGACTGGAGCTGGGACGGGTTATTTTCGTACTTTATAAAATCGACATCAATCTATCCCAACCAGACAAATACCTTCCTTGGAATTCCTAGTGGACTCGGAAAACAGCCCAACTACCACGACGAAGGCTTTAATGGACCAATTCAAGTATTTCGGTCTTTCATAATTTGTCAATGTGCTTACTTCCTTTCCAAGGCGTCTCATAACGTCATCTTTTCAGACGTAGAACCTCTTTATGCGGAGACCATGAACTCCATTGGCATTCCCATGAATGGAGATCCCGTGAGTTGATGTCTCTGTCTTGTTCTTTTCAACTATATCTCTGTATCCAGGATAACGGAAACGATACTGGTCTAATGGATGATCGTGCATCTGTCGACAGGGCGGAGGGCAAGCGGTCCTATGCAGCATCCTATTACCTTCGTTCAGTATGTCAAAGCAATTTCCACGTTCTCACAAATGCTGAGGTGTGCTGGAACTGGCGAGTTGTATTCCGTTATTACTGAACAAGATCGGTAGGCAACGAAAGTTCTCTTTCAAGCAGACAGGTCTGGTTTACAACGCGCAACGGGAGTCGAATTCTGGTCAAACTCCACCTCACAAATGTTCGTTGCCACTGTGCGTCGGGAGATCATATTATCGGCTGGCGCCTTCCAGACTCCTCATTTATTGGAGCTGTCAGGAATAGGCAACGCAACTCTGCTAGAAAATCTCGGAATATCGCCTCTTATCGACCTACCGAACGTGGGAGAAAATCTTCAAGTCAGCTTTTCTTCGCTGGGGACGACATTATTGATTTACAGATCTCGCCATTATAGGATCATCCGGCCTTGGGGGTTCAGTATGAAATGAATGAAGGCATCTTCACATTTGGTCTGGTCTTGTCCAGGTTGCGGGTCGAGACGTTCTAGCTTACTAGGTACAACAGATGCGCTATTGAACAATGCCACACTTGCCTCGGAACAGAATGAGCTATAGTGCGTCATGACATTTCTTTGCGTGTTCATGATCGACGATCCTCTTTAGCAACCAAACAGGCACCGGTCTCCTGGCTGCGACAAATGCAGCACTCACTTTCGTCCCGTTTTCTGAGGAGGAAACAGGGGATATCTTGACGACATTTGATACAGCGCGTTATTCCTTGCCGGATCGCACTGCGCTACAACAAAAGCAATATGATTTCCAACGGGTGTGGCTCGCTGCTGGACGAGTTCCTCAGTTGGAGATCCTACTTTTTCACAGTGCCTTCATCGAGCACGTTGAGGGCAGGAACTGCATTACAGTGCTTGCCGCTGGGTTGGTGCGTGACCGTGTTTTCATTATCACGCTACGACATTGATCTTTCCCCCTGATCGATAGCATCACATTTCGCGTGGCTCGGTTGTACGTTCTATATTTTCCAATTTACGCCGACATTTCTTATAATCGAGGCGAACAGCACAGCAACACATCTTCACCTTTATCTGCGCCTGTTATAGATCCAAGTTATCTGGACAATAATTTCGGTCATTTTTGTGTATCCTTCTCATCGCTTGCATTGACGTAGTTGTGACTTTTAGATGTCGATGTCATGCTTCGTGGCCTGAAATTCGCCCTAAAAATCGGTAGCATTCCGCCGCTAGCAGATAACATAGCGAACATTGTTTCGCCGCCCACGGTATTGCAGACTGATGAGGAACTAATCCAGTAAGAACAAAGTTCATCCATTTAGTGTTGCCTCACTTTAACATTTTACAGATATATCCGTAATAGCTTAGGTGTAAGTGATTGCCCCGTGTTGGGTTTTTCATTGTAAACAACAACCTCTATTCTAGACTTCCCAGCATCCCATGGGTTAGTTCGTTTTTTTCTTTTTCTCTGATGTGGGCTAATTTGAACTGGGTCAGGTACCGCAGCCATGGCACCAAGATCTCTCGGAGGCGTAGTTGATGGAGCCCTCAAAGTGTACGGAACGTCGAATTTGAGAGTATGCGATGCCAGTGCCATTCCGATTGCGATCGGAACACACTTGCAGGCGACCATCTATGCGATGGGAGAGAAGGTGTGTCATTCAACATGCTGCACGTTTTGGTGAGGGCTTAACAGTGTCTTCCAGGTGGCGGATATCATCAAGGAGGTATATAATTGAATTCGAGAGTCCAACTACTTGAACGTTACCTCCTAATGTAACGAAACTGTTTGTTTCCCAAAAAGTGTGATAAGCGTACCTTCAAACTGTTCAAAGCTCCGAATATGGTATTGAGGATGGCCCTAGGGATAGTAGGGAAATGTTGAATCCATTTTCTAGATAATGGACCTGAATTAAACCCGAAAACGTCTGTTCTCGCCTTAGAAGCGTGGGAAACGGACTGCTTGCGAATGACCAGCAGGGAGAGCACGCGATTTACGCGTCTCAGCTGCACAAAGCAGATATGCCAAGAACGACTCCCTCAGGTTATCACGGGGCAAACGAGGTTTTCAGCCTTCTGAATATGTCGGATACATCCTGGCCTTATTACAGTCATAGACCCTCTCATAATACATTAGCGAAATCACGTACCACATGAAATCCAAAAGAGGATAACAACATGAGCCTACACCTCAGTGCCACGAGTCGGCTCGTCTCAACCAAACCATGCCGCGGCCTGCATGCGAATACTTGTGACTATTATCGCCGGTCGGCCAATGAAACTGCTTCTAGACACTCCCATTCAGAAGCAGCGAAGTACAGCGGGTCTAACTCCATCTCTAGTCCCTTTCCTCGCCTCTAGATTCCGTCCCTTGATAACTTAATGTATGGCATATCTTTATAGTCCCTGATCTCGCATCTCCGGTTGAAGTGCTGTCGCCAGTTACCAGTAGCTTCACTGCATGAGGCTCTAGTCGTTGTCGAGTCTTTCAATTTGTGTTTCGTAGTATATTCATCTACGATGACCACCCCCTGGGTGAGGTTCAGCAACTCAGGAAAAAGGTCTTTTTCTTCGGAACTGCAGGCAACAGGTGTTTCATACTTGTTAGGCACGTCATTATCGTCCGTTGCTCTGCTCCTCAAAACGACTTGATTGATATCTGCCAGTGTACTCTGGGCCCGTGTTCATGATCCCATTCTGATTGTTTGTTAATTCAATAAGTTTCAGCACTGCATGGTACTCCGGCAGGTGATGCTACGTCTTGAGTCATAACCTTAAGTTTGCACAACTAGGATGAATTACCAAATTCTTCGTCTGGGATCTGACTCGCCTTAATTTGTTTGCACACAAGCACTCAGCTGTCATGGCGGAAACCTTCGGGACCACCTTCGGATGTTTGTTAATATCGTTCATGATAGACGTGATGTAGGTACTCCTCATTTCACACTTTTTCCGTCGCTCACTTCGTGCCAAAGTCTGTATGGAATGGGATTGGTATGTATCTCAAGGATCACCCTTATCGAAAGCCGCTCATTCGTTCGAAAAACCCCAGCTCCTGGTCCTGCAGTATTTTAAGAAGAATAGCAAGGACGCTTTCTTAGTCAAAGCCGCTGTACTCGGGCTTGGGTCAGATCATTTGTCGTGATCTCTCCATCAGAACGGCTGACTCTCGCCTTTAGAATCTTCGCCACCGCGCATATAGCTGGAATGTGCGCATGGATATACGAAACATTCATTACCAACTTTTCCCATCCAGAGCTCCTTAATGAGCTTCCTCTGTATGTGTTTTTCCTTCTTTCGTTGGTGTATGCCTCTGCCAACATCGCCAATATTTATTCAGATCTGTATCTGTATGTATCTCGCAACGTTGCATGGAACCCTTTCTGACAATATGTAATAGATTGAGATAATGTCCTTCGTATGTTCCTTAATTTCTTCAGAGATTTCGGATCTAGACACGTCGACAATTGCAGTACATCGTATCCTTCATTGCTCAATTGTACGTTTATGCGATTCCTCCTTTCCATTACAAGTCTAATAAGCTATAGTTTCTACGCATCACAAATATGGAAGAGCAAGTCCATCGACACCCATTTCGTAGCACAATGTACTGACGGTACCCACAGTCGGCCATCACAATATTTGGATTACATCTCCAATTGTATGTATATGATGACTTGCATTGAAGTAGAACTGAATATGCCCTTTCAAAGGCGATCCTGGCTCTCATCAACATTGGTGCTTCCTTCCCTGCCCTTCTTTCAATGTAGCTAATTATTCATCGAATAGGTACCGGAATTGGTAAGCGCTTTGTCTTTCTCCTCAGTATATGTTACTGAGCGATGGGGTTATGTAGCCCAAACTGTCACGACGTATGTATCCTGTTATTGACTCCTAATCTGCAGCAATGGCTAACTCTGTACCATTAGGGCACAGCGAGGGACTGCCAGCGGAATTGATGACGAGATTAACAAGGTACATCCCTACTTGTCTGATGTTTTACTGCAATGATAACCTAATATCCAAATGAAGATCATCACCGCTATAGAGATTAGCGCAGCTGCTCTGTGTGACGTTTTGGTCACCATCACCTTGTGCGTCCTGCTGAGAATCAGTCGTACGGGCATTAAATCGTAAGTTATTGACACTCGGGAAGTCCAAAGCCATAAGTTCAAGTGGATTCGAGGACGGATTCCACCTTGGACTCCTTGATCATCCTAACTATCAATCGAGGAGCTTTAACGAGTCTCGCGGCAGTCGTGAACCTGGTCTTGGTACGATCATATTCTTTGAACTTGGGTTCAATCATCCCTCACGAAATGTGTAGTACTTGTCACGGCCGAAATCAATGTTCTTGTGAGTTCGAGCATTCCCCAATTGCCCGTTTCTACTAAGAACATCCCAAGCATGCTTGTTTTCAATCCAAGCACCGAGCGTGAGTATACTTCAATGCTCTACTCGACTGTTTCAATCATCCATCTTCATAGTCTATCTGCTCTCGGTTGTCGGAAGGTTGCGGGACTTCTCTCATCCTCTGCATATCCACTGACCTTTCTTCTGCAGTTTAAACTACCGCGAACACATACGGGCAGGCTCAAGGCATCGAAAAAAGGAATGGAATAGTTTTACTACAACCACGAACGATTCGTACAGTTTACCGCTAGAAAATGCAGGGCCTTCTGTACATTCTTCTCGGGATGGCGTTCACGTGGTAACACCCCATTTTCAGGCATGAAGAGAAAGAACTGATTAGCATTCGTAGTCTAAATCTATTGTCACTTGGAAAGATCCCGAAACTGAAATAGAAGCAGACGAATACGTAGCTGGTTAGATGCACAATTTTTTCTTGAATTATTAACAATCTTGCATTTCGAGTCTTTGCTTATTCACTCAATTCTATGTATACCCTCGATTTCGATTCTCAGGTTTCCGTAGCCAACATGGTCTTCAAATATTGTTCTGCTTCGTCGCAAATTTTCAATATCCGAACGGCTGAGCATGTACGTTTAAAGCCTGATGGATTCAGACTCATGAAAGCCGTCATCCGCCTCTCGACAACCAAATTCGACTTCCTCGCCTCTCCACTGGAGTTGGCGAAAAAATCGGAGATACGATTTTTGTATTCTTCCAGGGGTATCGACCGGGCGGGTTCATGGCAGATGACAACTGGAGAGATTTCTGCGCCATACATGGCTAAATTCCACAAAGTTAGTAATACGAAATGAGGTGTTTAATATGCTGGTTTTTGTAAGAACGGACAGAGCATACATGATGGTTGGAATTGCGCGGTCCCTTTTACATAATACAAACGAGCAGGTGACCGCGAAATAGGTGAAATAGGATACGCTGATGTAAGACATCTTCGTCTCTACCATCATGACTGCCAGCACGACCATATCAGCGCGGAATACTATCGGGAGTTTTTCACTAGCTTTGGCCTGTGCACCGTGCGTTTTGCACAGAAAGATCCTCTGCTCCTGTGCGGCTATGCCATTTCAATCAAGCTAAGCGACCTTTTTCTCTAGTGGCCACCGGCAACTAAGGCTATGTGCTGTGCTTTGGCACTTTTGAGAGTATATTGGGACATTTTATATCATAGCATGTGAACTGGCTTCCCCATCACTACATTCAAGGTGAGATCTTTTTCTGAGAGCAGATGGAAATGCATCATGACGGCAATCGTTTAGGTTATCTTCGTCAAGATATCCGGTGACCAAAAGTGCGTATGGAGCCTTCTGCATGACTACGTTCTGATGTTGATCAAAGGAAACCAGCTGCAACAAGGTCTTGGAGGGTGAAGACGCATATATGTGCATACAACCTCGAAGGACCGAGTTTTCGAGGTAGCCGGCGGTATACAAAGTGTTTCTTTTCCATGAGCATCGAAAACTTGTACTTATCATATATAGGCGCCAGCTAGATACAGCGAAGCTAATCATATCCTGTCACTTTCACCGCAGGCGGAACTACAATGTCCAAACTCGGGCTTCATATTTTCGGTCGCTCCTTATGCAAAGAACACATTTTGTTCGAGCAAGTATGTCTACAGTTAGCACCCTCTTTTGCCTTCTCACGTCTTCCGCAGCTCACTTGTAATCTTCCCTGAACACGGGATCTCAATCGGTTCAACAGTATCTTTATTCTCGGCTCGATTCGATACCTCCACAATCGGGATTACTCGTGTTCTCCTGGAGCAGCCAACTGGTCCAAGCAGTGTCTCTGAGAAGGGAAAGAGATCCAAGTTAACAGTTGCGTGGCGCCATTGTCGTGGTCCTATAAAGGTGCGCTTGGAGGTCCCGCGGGGAGGATATTTTCTGACATTACTGATGTAGCGCAGTGGCACGATGGCACTACATCTTTATCCTCCGTATCAACGAAGCTTATGCTGGGCTTGAAAACTAATTCCACGAGGACAGTTGACGAGTTATTCAAAGTTGTTGGCCTTATGGTCTAGTAGTATGATTCCTCGTTTGGGTCTATCTACACCTAGTGGGTGGGTAATTGATCGAGGAGGTCCTGGGTTCAACTCCCAGTGAGGCCCTTTTTTATCCGTTATCTCTAATTGATACGCCTCTGTCCTCGGTCCTGACTCCTCGGGAAATCGTTTCAAGCAAAAATCTGATTCATAGTCTTGGGATTCTTGGCAGGAATGGCTACCCAAATTTGGTATGCACTACACGATTCCGTTTTTATGTCTAAGTTCTGAAAGTTTCTTAATTCTCTCTGAAAGTGCATCTGCTGTACGGGACCCCTCAAGAGCCATCTTGGTCCACCAACTGGAATATTTGTACTAATTGCACGCCAGCGCGTTCTTCTGTCTATTCAGCAGAAGAAAAGGGATAGTCTATATATCCTGTGGCTACTTCTCCGGTCAAGTAGAACGTCGAACGGTTATACGGCGTCAGGGGCCAGTTCTTCTTCAGTTTTACAGTGATGTCCGGCTGCGTAAAGGATATTATCAGCCCTATTGACCATGTCGAATCCTGACCAAAGAACACTCACATTCGAAATGAAATATCGCCCAAACGCAATTATATCTCCTTTGGTATCAGCAGTCTCCATCGCACTTTCTCTAGTATATGCCCCTGCTGAGATGAGTGGTCTCGGCGCCCATATGTCGCGTATAAAGTCATTTGACTCGCGTGCATCTATCTCATCGAGGCTCCTGGTCGTGATGCCCGTAACCCTCGGTTCTACAAGATGGATATACGCCAGGTCCGAGTGTCTCTCCTTGATCTGGGAGACATAATACGAGAAAGTGGGGACGGGGTCCTTCATGCCCATGTCCATGAATGTCGACCACGGGCTCATTCTAATGGCTGTACGCTGCGCACCAACAGCTTTGACAACTGCGTCGATAACTTCTAACCCAAATCGAGCACGGTTCTCAATGCTCCCTCCGTATTCATCCGTACGCTGGTTGGACACGTCCTGTAGAAACTGGTCGACGAGGTATCCATTCGCACCGTGGATTTCGACACCATCAAAACCAGCCTTGTTCACAGCATCAGAGGCTGCACGTGCGTAAAGTTGGTGATACTCGTGGATTTCATCGATAGTGAGCGCGCGCGGGGTATCGGAAGAGTTGATAATTTTGATTGGGGAGGGACCAACGAGATCAAGAGAAGGGTCTTCCTCTTGGAGAGCGGAGCAGTCTGCCGCACGTCCTAAGGCCCAGAGCTGGCAAAAGATGAAACTGCCCTTGGCATGGACGGCGTCGGTTACCTGTTCGGTGATGAGATGGGCTTTCAGAAAGAGACACTGTACGCACCTCCTTCCACGCGTCTAGCTGTTCTTGTGTCCACAGGCCGGGCGCATATTTGAAAACTCCAGCTTTATGGGCGATGAAGGTTCCTTCCGTGATGAGGAGCGTGCCAGGATCACTACCTCTCTGCGAGTAGTACTCCTTCACGACGGAAACGTATGGAACATGTCCTTTCTCCGACGCTTTGTTTCGCGTCAGCGGGGCAAGCACCATACGGTGGTTCAGTGTGAGGTTGCCGACTTGGATAGGCTGGAAGAGTTTGGAAACGGACATTGTCGATAAATCGACTACTGGACATGATGGCTTTTATACTATTGTCGCGCGTGTGGGAGCTTCTATTTCTTATCGAGTAAAAATCGCCATGCCGTCACTCGGACCATCGTTTAGTAAGGCAGCTCGGACGTTTCGTTCCGATGTTGTCATAACCTTTGGCCAAATATCTGAAGAAGTGCGATTGAGCGGGAGTCAGTCACGCTTGGAGAATAGTCGGTTTACTGTTCTACAGACTAGAGCCATATGCTGGCTGCGCCGTTGTAGTAATTATCATGGGGCTGTCCCTAAAAAATTGGTCTGATAAAGCAGTGTTAGTCGCGCGCGTCAGCTAGAGTTAGACCAGCCTACTGATCTACTGATCGCAGTCACTTGCAAGTCATACTTGTTGTTTCCCAAAATATCATATCCACTCCGGCGCCTGTTCGATAGAGCATGCACGTTATTCAGCGAGGCTTTCGAACGGCTACACAAGCTGTCCGGACTGACTTCGATAGCCGATTTAAGTGACCGGAGGACTGGTGGAGTACGCGAAGTCGGTTTCGGCTAATTCCGACACGTCTATTTTCCCAACCTCCACCACTACCATAATCCTCCTTGAACCAGGAGATTAAACTTGCACATTTCGGTGCATCGCTTGCATAGTAACAAGTAGCCACACCTAGTGTCACTGAAATCTGGGATACAGCTGCAGGAAGAGGTAAGCTTTTGCTTCACTTGTCTTTCACCTTTTTGACCGCATATAATCAGTTTTTTTTTAGCTCGAATATGCTCTATGAACGATAATCTGCAAGGTTACATTGGGAACGACCCCGGGCCATTGTCGAAGCATCCCAGGTATCGCCGTATCACCACAACCCAGTACCAGTTATGCAGGCAACACGACGCGAAATTATGGCCTCAAACTTTCTGGAAATCGCGACGGTGGAGATTTACGGTTTCAAAGAGCTCGTTGGTGACCTACATAACTTCATATAGGTGTGTTCGTCAGTTGTTCTCGTGGCACGTATGTAGTAACGTGTTTCTCAGGAGCCTACAAAAACTCTCCTCTGTCGAATTTGACAATGGAACTGAAGCTATCGCGCTAATTTTCTCCCTGCACGTCGATAGCACCCTCTTATCCATGGCCAAACAACTCGTCACCATGAAATATGTCAGAGGACGGGACCGCTATAGGACCTCTATACCGTACAAACGGTGCTTCGTTCTCACGGTTGACTGAATACTTTGTAACCGATATCGACCCTATACCAGGAAGACTGCTGTGTCTGAGCGAAGCATAATATCGAGCCTTCCGCTCGTATTGGGCCTGCCGTCATAAGAAGAAATTGGTTCGTCGAGCAGGTGACCGCGTTCTTTGTAAATTCCCTTGCTGAATGTGAAATATATAAGACGGAATATGATTTGGTGATAGACAACGGATTAGTTTTGGTCGAAACCCGGACTCGGACTGATGCATGTTCCCGGCAGCTCCCACGCCGCTATCATATCAACAAGATGGAACCCATCGAAAACAGGACTTACCTCTCCTCATGACTATCATCGCCGCATCTCCTATTGTTTCAATTATCTGCCTGTCTATTGTCGTGAATTTTCTTTTACGATGGACACGCAAGTCGATACGAATCCGAGGACCATCGAGCCCATCTTTTCTATTAGGTAACGAAATGGGTCTTCTTCCGCGTTGGTGTATTCACCTTCGCAAGGTCATGAATAGATGCGCCGGCACCAGGATAACCACGGAGACTTGGAAATGGACTGGTTCCACAAGTACGGGGCTGTTTACCGGACAAATGGGTGTTTCGCTGTGAGGATATAGTCTCTGTTCTAATTTGTCGGCGTGATGTCCTACTAACCGTCACACGTAGACAGATATCCTGATGGTTTCGGACCCCAAAGCTCTTCATCACATGTTCCACTCCTCCGACTATCGTTTCATCAAGCCTAGAGACACGGTCTTTGTGTTGGATCTTCTGCTTGGACAAGGAATACTCTCAGTGCAAGGTTCTCAGTACTTGCTCTTAAATAGTCACATATAATTTAACCTCTTGACAGGGGAAAAGCATCAGCACCAACGAAAAGTGCTTAGTCTCGCCTTCTCGTCTGCACAGCTACACCAGTCCCTGCCTATGTTACAATCCTGTGGCGCTAGGGTAGGCACTTTATTTAAGGAACATTGCCAAGATACTTACGTACATACAGCTCGTGGAACGCCTCAAGGACATTTCGGACGATCACACAGGTGCAATCAATGTCTTGGAATGGACGCGTAAAGTTGCTCTGGACATTGTCGGCACAGGTGTTACACTCCGTCGTTATACATCGAAAGTACTCAGCATCCCATGATACAGCCTCGTTTAGATACCACTTCGGTATGCTTGACGGTGAGCACAGCGAACTAGGAGCCGCTGTGACGAATCTCCTGTACGTTTAACTTATTCTTACGATCCTGACTATTCTCCAGCGGTGACGCCCAGATCAATCCTTCTACGAAAGAATTGTACATCCGAAGTCTATGGCGATATTTACCTGATCGTGTTCTGAAAATCATGAAAGACCGAATGACCAGCAGGGAGAGCACACGATTTACGCTCTTCGGCCGTACGGCCAAAGCAGCTGCGAAGCGAATATTCCAAGAACGACTCCCCGTCGTCGCTGGGCAAACTGATCTGTCAGAGAAAGATATTGTCAGCCTTTTGGGTACGTCGCGTACATTTTTGCTTCATTCTATTCATGCCATCCCTTCTGCAGCAAAATCGCACCTCTGATGATGAAAAGGGAAAGATGACTGATAATGAGATACTGTCTCAGCTAGCGTGAGCATTTTATCTCGTGATATTTTGACTTTGATTAAACCTTCTCTAATACATTCATTTTTGCCGGCCACGAAACGACAGCATCAACGTTGGCATGGTTTCTCTATGAACTGGGTGTGCACCCAGAGCATCAAGCCAGAATTCGAGAGGAAATCGAAGCTTGCCAAGGGGAAATCCTTTCATTGGCTGACTACGATTATATGCCATTCTTGAATGCTGCTATAAAAGTACGCGCGGCCCAGTGGTGAGGCGCTGCCATCTCATCTTTGACCTATCTAGGAAGTCCTCCGTCTATATCCTACCATTCACTCGCTCGTAAGGATGCCGAGCAGGGATGAGGTTCTTCCCCTTGCGGAACCCATTATTACACAAGACGGAAGGATCTTAAATGAAGTCCCCGTTTCGAAGGGTCAGACTGTTATCGCATCTCTGTATATTTACAATCGGTACGCTTCTTATTGCGTTCAACAATGTGTTTCTCATGTCCCGGTAATAGTATGCCGAACATCTGGGGAAAGGACGCTGGTCAATGGAATCCTGAACGTTTCCTTGACGATGAGAAGAAGCAAGGACCGCTTGGAGTGTATGCGAACCTATAAGTGAAGCAATACTTGATAATCGATATTCCTGCTAAGAACACTGCTCAAGTATGACGTTTAGTAGGCCTCCCGATTTTTGAAGTTGCGATCCTCCTTGACTGTGTCCTATAGGCACTGGTGCTCGCTCTTGCCTTGGGTAAGTGAATTGTTAGCTATGCGACATATTTTCTGATTTCGTACCACAATTGGCGATTTGCGTAAGTTTTCTCCTTGTCGTGTTGCATTCCCGGTATTGAATGATCACAGAGTGATGGAGATCCAAGTGGTCATTGTGGAGCTTCTCCGGTTGAATTCAGCCCGCCCGAAGACGGATCTGTGATGAGAGAGTACCCTGGTTCTCAGATGATCCTCCCGCTTGTGTGTGGGAAGACCGGCGAAGGAGCGCAGGTCCCGTTGTGTGTAAGGGTGATGGAGAGGCCAGCGTAGTAGCCTAACCGTCTTCGCTTCTTGTGCTGTGCGTTGACGAGGTTGCATTCCCCATACAACTGAAGTAACCGTCTGTTGTAATCGGTAATCTGTCAGAATATTGCATCGATAGAGAGCCGGGTGATATGTGGGGCCGAGAGTCTGTTCACGCTGAGAGCGAAGCTTTCTAGTTCTTCCGGGCTGAATACCTCGTTGAGAAGAAATTATCAATACGCGCCGTCATAGTTCGTGTACTTAAAATTACAACGCCCAAGTCTTCATGTTGTTCCTGGTCACGGCTCCAAGTGAAGATCAAATTAGGCTCGAAAAACAACGCTGTATTCTCTCGTCTTCGTTCCCAGTCATAAAATATATCACGAAGCACCCAACGATACAAGGGCGATACTGAGAACCTGAAACTGTTAACTCCTAACTGGGCTTGCAGAAGATGACGGTATCCTAACATGCCCCGTAAGTATCCAGGCCTAGCTCAGAATCAGGCTCCCTCCAGCCTGTCGCCACTGATTTTGCCTAGAGCCAAAATCAGTATTTTATCCTCATTTAAAACAAAATGCGGGGATCTCACCATATGAATGCCGTCCGAATGAGACTGAGCAGATGTCCCTTCGTTAAACGAGTCATTTATGACTATATTGCTGATGCTCCACTGTCTTTTTTGGTCTCTCGCTGCTCGGACGTGTTCGCGATAGTTCAAACTGCAGGTGACAGATGTTAGTTTCGACAAGAGAAAATAATACATGGCATGTATTACCTCCCGACGACGGACAGGACATAGACTGCCAATATACATCATTCTCTCACAATCGAAGGAATCATCAATGTACACTTACACTGAGTACTCGGAAAGAAAACTAGCGCACTCGAGAAGCTGTTAGTAACAAACGCATGAAAGGAAAACTACACAAACTCACAATAGCATTGATTCAGGTCGCGCTAGGTACTGCTTATTCTGTGAATGGGAAATGCAGATTTTGAGAGTCGAATAGCATACCAGTATAAGCTCCACGACTGCGGAAAGGCTAGTCACGGTGCCACGGTTGATAGCTAGGATGATTAAGGAATCCAAGGCAGAGTCGGTCCTAAGGTTCATTGCGACTCAGTGCTATTGACACCCAACAATGACAACCTTACGATTTGATGCCCGTACGATTAATCCTTAGTAGAACACACAACGTAGCGGTGATTGAAATGTCGCATGCAGCAGCTGCACCGGTTTCCACAGCGGTTATAATCTTTGAAATATTCAGATCTCATGTCCCACAGCAGAAGATACAAACGTAGGTGTACCTTGTTAATCTCACTCCCAATCCCACTGACGGTACCTCGTTGTGCACTGATAAATAACATGACATCAGTTACCACCGCTGAAATGAATGCTTGGAAATACGCACGTTGTGATGGTTTGAGCTGTATAGTATAACAACTCAAAAATCTACCCCGAAGGAAAAGAGAGTTGCTTACCGATTCCAGCGCCTATTTGAGAAACAGTTAGTTAGATCGAAGAGAACATGTAGTTTAGATGGTACCAATGTTTAAGAGGGCCAAGCCCACCTTTGACGCCGGAATCGCAAATTAGAACGGGGTACATTGTCATCGTGATAAACTTACAATAGGAGTTGTAATCCAGATGTTGCGGTAGCTGACTGAGAAAATGTTGGTGACAGTGTGCGGGAAAAAAAATATGTAAGAGAACATACTCTTCCAGATTTGCCTAATATAAAACCTGCAACGTGAAAATGCCTCAGAGTGATACGGAGAGCGATAGCCATGAAAACTATACCCTTGCGCAATGAATGCTACCACATACTATAATGGCAGATACTTTAGACCTAAACCGAATGTGGTCAAAGGAAAGAACCGACGATGGCCATGATCTCGATCTATTTCAATTGTCAAGCAAGCTAATTGCGCATTGCGGGGAACGTACAGCTACAGATCTGGAAAGGTATTAGTGGCATAACTAGGCGGTATTTCTGTAAGGTAAGCATACTCAGGAAACTTGTTGAGGAGTTCTGGCTGGTTGAAATCCGTAATGAAAACTTGGTATGTCCAATGGCAGAGTCCCGCAACATGCACAGCAGTGAAGAAGCTATAGGCAGATTTCAGTGGCTCGAAAACAGAGAATAGTGATCCTTCCTCAACGTAAGCACGAGCACAACAGCTTTGACGAAGAAGACATCTTGGCTGCTTTTCCGAAAATACTGTAACACGAGCATCTAGAATATTGAGAGCAATGAGCACTTTTGCGGATAGACTCTGCCATGAGAATGCACACCAAATTCATCCCAAATAGGCTCGAGAACCATGATTAGTCTTTGAAGCAAAGCCGGGAGAACTGGGTCTTACATCAAGTCCAGCATGACCGAAACCAGCATGCAGCCGAAAGTAGTTCCGAAAGTTTCTGCCATGTCTAGTAACTTATAGCGCTTTGAGATGTAAGTCGGATTCCGGTTTGAGAAGTCAAATCTTGGCCTTCTATTTGTACAGGAGAGATTCGGAGGTATCGTGGCATGTTTCCTGCCTTCAAGTCGGACCTTCGCAAGGTTGCTATAGCCTACCAAGGCAGCGAACAATCTGGTGTTCGTGATGAACATAATTTGATCGCATAGAACCCATCGTTGACTAAGCGCTGTCAACCAAATACAATGAAGCAGCGGTAATCGATTATCGCCTATCGATTGAGTTCCCAGCATAGTTCACATAGGTGCTTGACCGCATGTGAGTTATTCCAGTCTATAGTGTTCAAATTTCAATATAAGGGGGTTATATTACAAAATGCGCCAGACGTACCACGCTTGGATACAATACTGTTGCATATGAACGAGGCTATGGACCACAAATCATCTTCTAAAAGATAGAAGTTTATGGAACGTATCAGATATCACCCAGTTTCATCAGAAGAAAGAGAAAGGGCCACGATAGCAAATGTACGAGTTTGACATTGGGCGAAAAGAGCCGACGCTGGATAAGCAGAGCGAGTAGTACGCGCCAGGGAAAAATAAGTTCCGCGGAGCCGGATCATTGGATAATCTTTTAGGGAGGCGAGAACGCAGTTAATACGGCGCTCGTGGTGCTCAGAGTTCTGTTCCGTTATTCTGATAAAGAGATAAGCGCCAGTGGGTCCCAATGTGCGCGGTGTTCACGGTCAAGTCGGCTTCTGGGGCCCGGTTTTCCCGAGAAACTCTGATCGGGTTTTGCCGACTAATCACGATTGATTCCTTCCCATCGCTCATCCGCCGTTTTTACTCAACTCAAACTCGAGCAAAGCATCGCACAATCTATTGGATGATATAGCAGGTTCCCATAGATTCTAACTTTTATAGTAACACTCTGTCAGGAACATGAACTCTCTGACACTGCTGTGGTTGAACTCTTTTCCTGGTGTTGGTTTTGGTGATATTCCGTCTCCCACTGCTAAGCCAAAGAATATCTCACGGATCTTGTTTTTCTGTAAAACGCGGAAATGTATTCGAAGCTTGTGGATGTTTACACCTTTGAATAAACGCTGAAGCATTGCTTCGGGCCCTGACCTTATGGACTCTCAGTGAAGAAGCACCAACACCTGGCAGGAAATACAAGGATGTATCGTTCGAGGTGATGGAAATATGATACTAACATTCCACTGAGTCCCGAACTTCCCAGACTGGCATCGACTTGATGTAATTGAAACAAAAACATTACCCTCATCGTCTTGAACTCCCTGTGCGCGCCTAAATCACTCTTGAAACGTTAGAATGTGTCCAGATATGGTGTCTGCATACAACTAACCCATGTTCTATCGCAGGTCCCGTCATCTGGTGACTTGTGGTGCATCACGGTGTCTCGCTTGCCTTTGCAGAACAAATACCGAAAGAATCGCTCTTCCCTCGAGTTACTGATAGATTTTTCCGGGATCAGTCAGAGGTAAAGTATGTTCTGTTACAAATGTTTCTATGAGTCCCGTATCAGATCCCACCCGCGTTTTCCCGCATCAAGACCGGGTGTCGCCCCTTCGTTGCTGACTTTCTCCCATGGATGGACCATGGCCTCCGATCATACGTAATGGGCTCATGGTACGATACTCATCAAGCGCTTACAGGAGGTGTGAATCGGTATAATAACCAAGTCAGTCATCCCTCTTACTCCCTAGCGCTCTTCTTTACAGCATTTGATACATGGATCCTCACGTCTTCGCCTCAAAAACATTTGACTATATTATTGTCGGTATGTGTATTGACATGCAATAGGCCCCAAGTGTTGCTGATGCTGAATGGAAGGTGGCGGAACTGCTGGTCTTACAGTGGCGTCAAGGTACTCCGTTTCTTCAGCTGCCTGGTATTCGTCAGATACTGACTAATTTAAAGGCTCGCTGAAGACGAAAACATTGAAGTTGGCGTAATTGAGGCAGGAGATGCTCGTCTCGATGACCCACTTATCAACATACCCGGTAAGTCCTGTGCCGAATACGAGTGCATGAGTGTAATTTTCATTCCAGCAAACACCGGACAGACAATGGGGAATCCGACGTATGATTGGGGCTTCATGACCACACCACAAGTAGGAGCGAATGGCCGTTCTTTTCCTTCTGCGAGGTATGTGTATCATGGTTTTCAGCCCTTTCCTTCTCATTCTATCGCGATAGAGTGTTGGGATAGCAATCCCGAGTTAGTGCTAGAATGCACTTGAAGCTTCGGCATGACTAAGCGGCATGAACATTTAACCGCAATAGTAGGCACATATAGTAATCCGTAGTAAATTCTAGAAGTAGTACAACTTGTATTTAAGTACGATGCCTCTCCCTCGAGAGGCTAATTTAATTCTCTCTCTCACATACTCTCCTCTGTACTTCCAACAGGTTATGGGCCCCGGCCCTAACTGAACTACTTACCTCATTACCTACTTCGCACTTTTGTACATTACGTACACATACAGAACCACATGGAAAGCCAGTCCGTTTACAGAATTGACCCCCTTAAGGGCCCGGAAAATTACCCGACGTGGAAGATCAAGATGATCGACATCCTAACCGATTTAGGTCTAATTGATTATGCAGACGGAAGCACTCCGGCCCCGGCAGAAGCGGCACTGGTGGCAGATTGGAAGAAGAGTGATAGGAAGGCTCTTTCGACAATAAGGTTGCGGGTTTCGGATGGCCCGCTGGTGTATATTGCTGGTTCAAAGACTTCGGAAGAAGCATGGAATGCTCTAAAAGACATGTATGAGTCCAGGGGACCCATGGGAATTGTCCTTGTTAGAAGGAGATTCTTTAGAGCTCAGTGTGAAGAAGGGGGAAACATAGAGGAACATATTAGGACTATGAGGTCCTATCAAGAGGAGCTGGCATCCCTCAAGCAGAAAGTTGAGGAGGAGGACTTCTCTATTACACTGCTTACATCACTCCCGGAATCATGGAATTCATTCATTTCATCAGTGGACACTGCTGATTTGAAAGATTCCTATAAATTGATCTCCCGAATTCTCCAGGAAGACATCCGATTACGAGAAAAGACTTCTGATCCGACCACAACACTTGCAGCACATGGCAAGAAGTCTAACTCAAAAATCACATGTTACGGATGTGGAGAAGCCGGTCACATCAGGGCAAATTGCCCAAATGGAAAGAAGAATTCCGGAAAGTTGTGGAAGGGGAAAGGGAAGGGCCAGACCCAGGCACATGTTGCCAAATTGGATTCAGATGAAGAAGATTACGCGTTTTGCACTACAGACACTGCACTTGTTACGCTTGCAGGGTCATCATGGCTGGGGGACTCAGGAACAACTAAACATATAGTCAAGAACAGATTGCATTTTTCTGACTATGTTGAGACCCCAGGACATGAAGTTATTGGTGTAGGAAAGTCAAAAGGCTTGGGAAGAGGAACAGTAAAGATTAAAATGGTTGAAGGGGACAAGACTACTTCAGTTACACTGAAGGATTGTATTCACTGTCCCGAGGCACCATTCAATCTTATTTCGCTAGGGCACATCACGGATGCTGGGTTTGAACTCAAATTCAAAGGATCTCGGATGGATATTATCTCACCGCATGACAAGACAATTGGTCATGGAGATAAGATTTCGAAGCTGTATAGCCTTGACATCATTGCGCCAGAAATAACTCAAGCCCACGCAATTAAACCGGCCCGATCGTGGCAGAAGTGGCACCGAGTGATGGGCCACTTAAATATAGGATCGGTAAAGAGATTATTCAGAAAGAAGATGGTCAAGGGTATGGATGTGGATGAGTCAGCTGAGCCCCAGAAGGATTGCAAAGCCTGCATAAAGGCCAAGCACCATGTTGAGCCATTTCCGCAAGAAGCTCAAAGGGAATACACAAGAATAGGTGAAATGACATTTTCGGACCTATGGGGGCCAGCCCGAACTCACGGTATCCATGGAGAAAGATATTACATAAGCTTCACAGATGGCAAATCCCAGAGGACAATATTGTATTTTCTCAAGTCAAAAGAAGGTACAGAGATCCAAAAGAAAATCCAGCAGTACCAGAAATACATCAAAGTCCACAAAGGGGAGGACCTGAAGTTTATGAGGATTGATAATGGGAAGGAATACATTAATGAGGTGGTGAAGGAATACCTCCATGGCAATGGCATTCAGTTGGAACTGACTGCCACATATTCTCCACCCCAAAACGGAATTGCGGAGAGAGTCAATCGGACCCTCGTGGAGCATGCGCGTGCCATGCTAGAAGAACATCACTTGCCGAAATTCCTATGGCCCGAGGCCGTGGCATATGCCACGTACCTGAAGAACCGATCACCGACTAAGGCCATCAAAAATGATCTAACCCCCGAAGAAGTGTTTTGGGGCATGAAACCGGACATTTCAACACTCCAGGAGTTCGGAGCAAAGTGCTGGGTGTTGCAGCAAGATAACAAAAGGTCAAAACTCGACCCGAAATCAAGGGAATTCATTTTTACAGGTCTTACAGATGAATCTAGGGCCTGGAGATATTATAATTCTCAGACCAGACAGATTCAGACCTCAAGAAATGTTATATTCCTTGATGACAACACTAAAGAGCCTACAGACAATGACTATATTGTATCCCACCCTTCGTTGCTCGAGGGGGAGTCAGGGAACAATGTCGAGCAGACTCCAGGTGGAAATGATGACATTTCCGATGATTCCGCGGCTGCCGAAATTGCCGAATCAAAAGGGGAAATGCCCCTTGATGCCCCGGCAACCAAATCAAAGCTTCCCATTTGGCGTGGGAAGGTGATCGAGCCACGTACCAAATCGGTCCGGATCTCATCAATCAATCAACCAAGTTACCGGTTGCTCCATAATCCAGCTGCAAGAGGCACGAAACTGCCGGAATTGCAGCGTGAAATGACACAGGAACCTTTGGAAACTGCAAATATAGCAGCAGACTATGCATGTCTGGGGGAGACTGCAGATAACCTCAGTGATGAGCCATTAAGCCTTGAAGAAGCTAAAACAAGGCCAGATTGGCATCATTGGAAGAAAGCAATGGATGAAGAATATAATCTATTGACTTCTCTGGGTACATGGCAGTTAGAGGAATTACCCCAGGACAGATCACTTGTAAATTGCAAGTGGACTTATAGATTAAAAAGGGATGGTGATGGGAAAATCACCAGATACAAGGCCAGACTCGTTGCGAAAGGATTTTCGCAGGTCCCCGGCATTGATTTCTTCGAGACATATGCACCAGTTGTCAGGTTGGACACATTCCGCCTACTTATGGCCATTGCCGCACAAAGAAACCTGATTATACATGGAATGGATGTCGTCGGAGCTTACTTAAATGGAAAGCTCAATGAATCCATTTACATGGCTCAACCGCCAGAATATTCTGATGGAAGCGGCAAAGCGGCACACCTCAAATTGACATTGTATGGACTCAAGCAATCTGGCCGAGTTTGGAACGAAAAATTAAATGCTACATTTTTGGGACTTGGATACACGAGATTGATCAGTGATCAATGTGTATACATCAGACAAGCGAAATCAGGCCCCATAATTATAGCTGTGCATGTACAGTTATTTACTGGTCAATGAAACAGCAAAACTGGATATTTACTGTAGATTCCAATTGGTTGTGAATTTTGACTAGGTTTGAATGCAAGAATGTGTAATACTATGCAACAATAAGATACAGTAAAAAAAAGATGCTCAAAGGTGCGGATACAAGTCCGTTTTCATAGCATTATCGTGGCGTGGGTATTCTGGGCTATTTTGAGTCATTGAAACAGTCCGGCCCATGTACCCAAACCTCATTAGTCAGCTACTCGGAATCGCTCGAGTGTTATAGAAAAGCGAGATCTCCTTTCAAGTCTCTCTCTGATATACAGCCTCAAAATCTTTGCAGATTTTTCTTGCACCTTTCTGAAGAGCACCGGGTAGTTTGGCAAGCTCATTCTTGTATGCAATCATTTGCAATGACTGCCTTTTCCATTAGCTGGTCATGGCATTTGCAAGCAATCTGGCACTTTTTCGAGTTTGAGTTAGCACATCCAGGCATAGTCAAAAAATTGAGCAAGAGGAGAAATAAAATTCGGAGGCAACGGGGTAATAATGAGCGCATTGGACTGTCAGACTGTCCATCAAAAGGTGATGGCTTGGCAGAACTGCACTTTTATTTATGCCCTAGACTCCTCAGATAATGGCTGCCTGGTCTTAAACCTGTCATACAGGTTCTTCAGATGGCCATTAACATTATTGAGGCCTTTGTGGGTGATTACATTCAGATGGAGGACACACATTTCCAGGTCAGATTTTGAGTTCGTGAGAAAATAGGTATTTTTAGAACAAAAGCCTCAATTTCTCGGAATATTATTCATGTCGCATATGAAGAATCACTGCAGAACATGAAGATACAATACACATCAGCAATGTAATACAAGTTGATGATGAAGGATGAAGGGAGGGAGAGCAAGAGGCTAAGTGTTTCATTGAACCATGGTGTTGCAATGACCGGTAAATAACTGTAGATGACATGACATTGCTTGCCCAGGATGATGAAACCATGTCTAACATGAAAGAAGAACTTAAGAAGAAGTTAAATGTTACAGACATGGGGGAGATTCAACATATATTGGGCATGAAGATAGACAGAAATTGGGAGAAGGGCACTATTACCTTATCCCAGAAGGCATATATTCTCAAGGTACTCGAGAGAATGGGCATGAAAGACTGTAAACCGGTCAAAATGCCTATGGACCCGAATGTATGGCTAGAGAAAATCCCCGAAGGTGACCCCCGAGGCACTGACACAGCCACCAGACAGTATTACCACACTGGTGTCGGATCTCTGATGTATGCGGCAAATGGATCCCGGCCCGATATTGCACATGCTGTCACGGAATTAAGCAAATATGTGCAGAATCCGGCTGCTGAGCATGTCACAGCCCTCAAACGAGTTTTCCGTTACTTGAAGGGGACTCTAGACTTAGGAATTACATATGGAGGGACTACAGATGAACTGATACCCTATTCAGATTCAGACTGGGGAGAAGACAGAACAGATAGAAGATCAACATCTGGTTATGTCTGTACCTATGCAGGGGGAGCTGTTACTTGGAGTTCAAAAAAAACAGCCCACCGTAGCCCTATCCACTATGGAAGCAGAGTATATGGCCCTCGCGCACACAACTAGAGAAGTAATATGGTTGCGAGCGCTTCTAACCGAATTAGGGTTGCCACCTGATGGTGCAACTACTATTATGGTCAACAATCAATCAGCGATCAAATTCGCTGAGAACCCAATATTCCACGCGCGATCAAAACACATTGATATCCGTCATCATTTTGTTCGCGAGCGCATGGCTTCAAATGAAGTCAAAGTTCAGCACTGCGCCTCAGAGGAGAACTTAGCAGATATATTCACTAAAGGACTACCAAGACCATTACATGAATATTTATCTGCAGGTATTCTAGGTACTCGGAATTGAGGGGGAGTGTTGGGATAGCAATCCCGAGTTAGTGCTAGAATGCACTTGAAGCTTCGGCATGACTAAGCGGCATGAACATTTAACCGCAATAGTAGGCACATATAGTAATCCGTAGTAAATTCTAGAAGTAGTACAACTTGTATTTAAGTACGATGCCTCTCCCTCGAGAGGCTAATTTAATTCTCTCTCTCACATACTCTCCTCTGTACTTCCAACATAGAGGCAAGGTGCTTGGCGGATGTAGCTCCATTGCCTTCCTGTCTTGGAACTGTGCTTCAAAGTTCGAATACGATGCATGGGATGCCTTTGCTTCGAACAAGGGGTGGAACTGGGAAGGCTTGTTGCCCTACTTCTGCAAGTCCACGGCTATTAAAGCAGACCAAGTGAACACCTTTCCGGGAATTTCTACCACAGATACTTCGGCTGGAAACAATCCCGAATATTTAGGCCTCGACGGACCTGTTCAAGTGAGCCAGCGGAACGTTTGGCCACATTCTCGCTAATGACAACATTTATTAGCTGTCTTATAATCAGGTTGACCCCGATACTGTTCCTATCTATGTCAAGACGCTCAACGAAATGGGAATCAAGACAAACCCAACTCCGGTACGTGATTCACCTAATTTCATATTCTTGTCTTGAAAAGTGTTCTAGGAAAATGGTGAACTCACTGGCATGATAAATTCGCACATGAACATCGACTCTCTTACTGGAACCCGCTCATACGCAGCAACCACTTACTTCCGTCGCTCTGAATTGCGTAGCAACTTCCATGTGTTGACGAAAGCACAAGTAAGCATATTTCTGCCTATCTGTAGTCCCTGCTCTGATCATGGTGCGATATCAGGCGACGAAAATTCTCTTCAACCCTACTAGGAAATCAGCTGGAATAGAGGCAACTGGAGTCGAGTTCCAGGTTGACTCGCAAACATTCACTGCACGTGTGAGAAAGGAAGTAATTCTCACAGCGGGTGTCTATCAGTCACCTCAACTCTTGGAGCTATCCGGTGTGTAATAAATTGATGCATCGCAGAGGATACTGACGCTAATTTCTATCAGGGATTGGTAATCGCGGTCTGCTAGAGAAGTTAGGTATATCGACGATCATTGAATTGCCAGAAGTGGGCAAAAATCTGCAGGTCCGTTTTCAGATCATCTGCTGTAATCCATCTCAATCTCGAGTCGTAGGATCACTTTGTCGGGAGCGCTCAATACGAGCTCAAGCCTGGAATCCTCACTTTTGGTATGTGCTTTGGAACATAAATTCTATTACCTTGTGATTGAAGTTGCTTTCTAGACGAATTGAGGAACAATCCCGTTTTTACTGCTGAGCAAGCCGAGATTTAGTATGTTTCAACCTTATCACACATTCAGGGTTGCCGTCTGAGTCTGATGATCAACTGACAGTGCAAAAACGCATGGTGGTATGCTCGCATCATTCAATACCGCACTATCCTTTCTTCCTTTCTCTCACTTTCTCGATGATGAAAAGGCCAAGTCCCTTGTTGAAGCATTCGATCAGGTCCTCTCTAGTAGGTCTGAAACCACTGCTCTTCAAGCCAAGCAATATGCCGTACAGCGTGAATGGCTTGCAAAGGGTGTAGTTCCACAAATGGAGCTCATTCTTTTCAGCAATGGTTTTGTCAATCCAGAGCCTGGAAAAAGCTATATCACTGTTCTTGGTGCTGGATTGGTGAGTACTGCAATACAGGATTGGCCAGACTTTAGTATTGATATATTTATAGCACCACATCAGCCGAGGATCTGTGGTGAGTGCAACACTGCAGAGTTTGATTGATGTTTACAGTGATCACAGCATATTAAATCAAAAGATCCTCTTCTGCCACCTGTCATTGACCCGAAGGTATTCGACAATGAATTTGGTATGCCTTGAGTTCATCTGAGATTGATATACTCATGCTAAAGAAGGACCTGCGCAGATGTGAAGCTGTTACTCGAAGGCCTGAAGCTTGTGCAACAAGTTGCGAGTATGAAACCACTGGCAGATATTATTGAATCCACCATGATTCCTCCACCAGCCCTGCAAACTGATGTTGAATTGATTGGGTGAGCAAATGAGGCATTCCCTGTCTTTGTAAGGAGACCTATTTACCACTTGACATATGTAGATATCTCAAATCATGTGTTGGTGTACGTGTATGACACTTCCAGATGGGTTTCCCTGCTAATTTAGTTCCTATGCAGAGTGCTCAGCATCCAATGGGTGTACATCCTTCCTCTTGTTCTTGAAATCTGATACTGATGATGACTAGGGACTGCATCTATGGGACCACAAGAGCTCGGTGGTATGTTTTGGCATCATCTCTTGTCATCTGACACCCATCTCAATCCTCCAATGTAGGAGTGGTGGATGGTGATCTCAAGGTATATGGAACAACTAATCTTAGGGTATGCGATGCAAGCATAATCCCTCTTGGTTTGGGTGCACATCTGCAAGCTACCATCTATGCAATTGCAGAAAAGGTATAGTGCATGATTTCCCATCTATACAGAATGTGATTTTAACAGACAGTCTAGTTAGCAGACATGATCAAGGCAACTGGGACTAGGCGAAGCAGCGCAATGCTAGCAGACTGATGCCATTTATAAACTAAGTACATTGCAGATTAGTTTAAGTAGTTGATGTGAACATTCACAAATCATGTTTCGACCTTAAACAATGCAGTACTAGTCACTTGTTCACCGATGAATAAATATTAAATGGCTGCCCTTTAATATTCTGATCAAAAAGTGGTACATTCTGAATCTCAGCCGACACCATCACCCCAGCCAGGATTCTTGTTCACTTTAACAAGGCCGTTAGAAATAGACACGAGCGCAGATATGGAAGAGCTCACCCCATTCGATCTTCAATTTCTTCCCGAAACGTTCTAGCCTCTCTTTAAGGAGGTCCCCGATAGCCTTTTTCGCCCCGCCCCAAACTCCATTTCCATAGAGACCTGTATAATAAATCATTTCAGCTCGGGACACAGCTCTGAAGTGAGCTCTGACAGCTGCTTCCAGTCGAATGATTGGTCGGCTACAATGTTGTTAACGGTTCACTTCATAAGATGGCGATTGAATGGTCAGTTCCTTGAGAGGATCAGCAGAAAGGGCGATGAGGCGAGTGAACACCTTCTGGAAGAAAGGGAAGTTGTCTTCATAGTAGATACTCTGAAAACTGGTAAGATATGACACTACCAGGATGTCGTCAACCAGCCAGTCCAATGGTGTTTTGCATTCTTCGATTGATAACGTATGAAGGTTTGTCATGTCACCAACGAAGGAAGGGGACCACTCGGAAAAGCCTGCGTCATCGATGTCGACGGCTTTGATACCGAGAACAGCTTCAGGAACTGTTTTGCATCAGAGACGGTCGCAAAGCTCCCCGAGAGCTCCACCTCCCCGAGGGAGCAAGATGTCGATAGGAAGTGCTGTGTTGAAACCGTGCAGATATCACAGAGGTGTATTTAACCTTTGGCCAAGCAAGTGCGTCCTGACTGGGAGAATAAGACGACACTGAGACCCGACGTGAGAGAGGCAAGAATTCTAGAGGCACGGCCACAGGTGTAAGAATTCCATGGCTCCAAATAATCGGCTTGCGCGCAGGTCGAGAAGAGCAACGAAATGCAGCGGAAATGGTTGCTACCCTTCCGGCAGTGTGCGAGGCGTCAGGCGTAGGAGCTCTGGAGGATCAAAATAATAAATAAAAATGCTTTACAATAGAGCTTTGACACGTACGAAATCTGAATATATTTCGAATGGCTTCAGCCCCAACCAAGACCGCAGAAAAATATCAGAGGCAAATGTGTTCCTGATGAAAGCATCGTTCATGATGGTCCCGATTTCCTTTGGGGAGAACCACATCGAGAAAGACGAGAGGTGCGCTTATGTAAGAGAGCATCCACACTTGATATATCGCTAGTGGAAGGCAGACGTTTTTGGATGGGCTGTCCATGTCTTACAGAACACAGAACCTTCGGCTACTTCCGACGGATCTCTTCGTCCTACCATCACCACCGAAAAATTCGTCTGTGCTCCGTCAGCCAATTCGCCAGGCTCACCAGACCAAAATACTATCGAAGTCAAGGGCACCTTTCAGCGAGTGCAGAGCATCTGTTGACAGACGAGGATGGATAGCATAGTAGCTTTTCCGTATGGGTGTGTTTTCTAGTTCGGCTGCCTATGAACTTGTACTGATAACGCGCTACTTTTTCCTCAGAGATATTATCCATGAATTTTGAATCTCCATTTTCTGCACCGTGAAATCTCGCTTCACGTGCGTGGCTCGAGGATATCACCCAAGGTGTGTGTAATCTTTGGACGAGCAAGCATGTCCTGAATGGGAGAACAAGATGGCACTTTTGATGAGGCGTCCAGGGATGGGCTTGGAGGTGTGATACATCGCCAGAGAGGCTGAGCGCAAACAGGACACAAGGTATAGGATTCCCTTGGACTTGATGCTTCTATGCTGATAATTCGGTGCAGCCATTCTTGTCGGTCAGGAAACTTGAACCTTAGCCTAGTCCAGCGGCTTGACGTGAGACTTCTGCCTGCAATGCTCGTGACTTGCTACCGACCCCTCGGTCTCATGATATCATGTTCTCTCATTCTTTCTCGAAGGCTACTTCGTCTGAAGTGTTACCCGAGCTGTCTATCCACAATCACCAGCGAAACTCCAGGTTGGTGGTCATGAGGGCAAGTGACTATGGAACGACGCGCTTTCGTATGTCTTTGCTTTGTCTTCGGCTAGCTTTTACTTATTTTTTACCTCTAGAACAAACTATTCGTCGCGTAAGCTTCAGATCAGATGCGCTTCAGAATATTTGTCATCAGCCCTCGATGCATAATGCTGCGTTCGGTTTGAAAGCATCACACAAGGTTGTTCTCTATTTTTTTCTTCTTACGTAGTGAGTCTAACATCTCGTATAGGAGCTTATAACGAGATCTTCCTTCCTGAGATCGACAATGGACGTGAGGCCATTGCACGCATCGCTTGCATACCATAGGCAATGTACACTTGTCCACAGCCAGCGAAGTAGCCGTACGAGACGCTATCGTGCATCTCACTTCGTGCGTTCTGGCTTGGAGCAGGCAGTAGGGTCGGATTTCATCCTCATAGAGCGTATAGATGGCGTGGCGCTGGAGGAACGATGGCTCGATACTTTCAAAGAAGACATCGGTGCGGTGATTCGGGAAATGCTGTTCCTCGATCTGGGTCTTCATCAGCGGCCGTTTTCGCAGAATGGGAGTTTGTTCTTCAAGAAGAGTGTTAGCCCGGAGCTGCAGAGCTGGCTCTATGCGAGGGAGAGGGATAGTGAAGAGCCTGCTGCTGGGAGATACAGGATTGGTCCTGTCGTTGATAAGCAGTATTGGTTCAATGAGCCTGACCACGCTTGTAAGCAGTTTCACTTGCTTGTAAGTTGATAATGGACTCAGATTGTTATTCACAGGGACGGATATGGCATCTTACATTCAAGTCACTTGCCGTCTAGCACTTGGGCGAGCCCAATCTCTAGTGTCCGGCGCAGCATCTTCTTTCCCATCCCCTAGCTCTCTTCTGCCGGTCGAAGCCTTCCGACTTCGCGGAACTCTGTCAGCTGTTGCAACAGTGCATATCAATGGCACCTCACATTAACCTACCTGAGCGTGGGCTGACAGTCCCTTATCTCATTCATCCCGACCTCTTGCGGTCGAACGTGATCGTCAAGCCCTCTGAAGCAGCCAATGTCATCTCATACATCGACTGGCAGCATGCCGTTTCTCTTCCTTACTTTCAGAACACCAGGCTCCCCCAGAGGCTATTCTTCGTGAGGGAACACTGGTCCCTATGCCTGACGAACCCTTCTCTCTATCGGAAATTCCTTCAGACTTTCCGCCAGAACTCAAGGGACTGGCTGACCTTGAGTGGAGACTCGCCAGCCGACAGCGAGACATGTCAAAGTGTTGTTGCAAAGGCTTCCTTTGCGTTTGCAGGCCGCGTGTCTCCTGCAAGGGGACCTATTCACTTCTCTCCCTGATGTGACTCTGTACTGTTATGCCGACGGTCCGTAACTCTTACGTCGGCTGGTTTATCATCTATGTGATGTATGGCCCGACATTAGTTCTCTGAAGCGGACCGGGAGCGAGATAAGAGAGAGTGCGCGACGATGATGCATTGTATCGAGTGTTAGGAGTTTTTTTTCCAGCTCAGATCCAGTGTGATCCTGATGGATGGTTCACGGGTGACGCGCGAATGAGCCAATGAGGTTCGTGAGAATTGGGCTGCTAGGCGGGAAGCATGGGACGAGGAGAAGGCGGGTGGTCCGTATCCGTTGGAGGATGGGATGTGGCCGTTTCATTTGACGTGAGTCTTTATATGCGCAAAATTTTACGTATCAAAAAGTGACACTACCACCACCACCATCAAAGACGAGTCAGTGTAACTGAGATAATCGATATCCTGATCGTTGAGTGTGGCGAGAATTGAACTGACAGACTTGCAAGCTTACGTCATTGACATCCTCTCCCGCTGCTACTTCCACCATCACTTGTTAGCCTCGATTTCCAGCAACTGCTAGCGATTCCTCTGGAGCATCGTCGAATCAAATGTCGATGGTGACGCAAGATTTCTTACAGGAGTGTGCACTCGTCTCGTCTAGTGGGCGCCCCGACTCGACAAGGCGGCCGCTTGCAAAAAGACCTGGAGAGGCTAAGCGGAGTGTAGCCATCTGACTGGAGGATAGCGTGCACTCATACAGTAGCCTAAGGCTAGGCACTGGCGCGGCCTTGCAGACTTGAGATTGGCAGTGATACCTGGGGCTCGGTAGGCACTATTTGTGAGTACTGACCTGATGACAAAAAATGAAGCTGACTCTGGTTTGTCAGAATCGCCAAGAACTTTTCAACGTTGATTGTGTTCGGGCTGCGATGGAGTCAGTGCTTGTCTCGAGGACCGTAATACCCTTCTTGGTGAACTTAGACTATCTGGTTGAAGGCACGCAGGCTCGCGTGCATCGTCTGAGGCTCGGCCGCTGCCATAGTACTAGTAGACTTTACAGCAGTAAGGTATTCGGTCTCTGTGACAAATTTACGTAGATCTTACTGCGTCGCCTGGCCCCCTCGATTCTACCAGCTTGCTTTGGGTGGTTCGTCCATTGGCATGGAGGGAGTTTTGGTGCGCATCAATACAATAGGGTACATGCAGAAACGTGAACATGAATGAACACAATAGATATATAAATAAGACATAGTAACAATCGATCTACCTGAGGATCTACAATCACATCCCCGCCATAAATTTATCCTTTTTTGTGCAATTCGTGTGGTACCGTCGTTGCTTTAGATGAGAGATTATTAAGCATTATTCATCGCGCATTGATCCTAGGATAACTCAGAAAAAGATTGGGATGCTCGGACGTGGACACATACTTTCAAAGGTGGAAACACTTCCAGATCGTCCGTCTTAATATCCCTTTCACGCTGTATCTGTTTTCTTCATAACATGTTCTACTGTTAAACAGTGACCGAGCTTACCTGACTTCCTCCGGCTGTAGTTGCTGCAATACCGCTCACTCCATTGTGGGGGTGAGTCAACGAGCCCAGAGCGAGAGCGTCACTGTCCCTGCCACGGTGGGCTGCGCTGAATGCGGATATCGTGTTTATTCCTTCAGGTGACTGGATGTACGCCCTCGCATTCAAATTTGCCAATAGAGTACTGAAATAGAGGGAGCAGAGCGAAAAATCCACAATACAATAATGGAGTGAAGTCGGGTAGATTTTAATCTGAAATCATAATAGTTTAGCGCATCAAAAACTCAATGGAAAGAAGACACTACGAACAAGTATGAGAGCGACAGTAGCGATGACGGCTGTGAATGAACCACTCAGAACAATGACCATAATGAGGCGGTATATCATGCGCATCTTTCTGTGAAAATGGATGTGTCAAGAGAGGGCTGTGAAACATATTTAACAACGCACTTGGGGACAATAGGCGTTCCCATGCGGGTTAGAAGGAATATCATGCTAAAGGACACGACAACATCCACAGCGACTGAAACACTTAGATAAGAGAAGTTGAGCCCCTAGAATATGTCAGTACAATGGAAGCTGTGCAAAACATGTTACGGACAACTATTAAAGGCGAAAATACAACTTCCAGGGGCTTTCCGTACCTATAGAGACGTAAATAATGTCGACAGGCAAGAACAACATATCACCCACACATTTATCAGATATACTTGGGAACAAAACGCGAAGTGAGCTTTCTGGATGTCGCGATATCTATACACCTACCGAAGACTACAACTGTGCATTGAAAAATATTTAATAAGAGAAATTACGAATGAAATCCACGCACCCAGTTGCCAAGAGGAGAGCATAACCTGAAGTTTTTAAAAAAAGAAAAAAGGAGTTAAAAGCCGCAGGCGATAGAAATTTAATTGATGCTAACCATGATAACCATAAATGCGACGGTGGTGCGTTTCTGCTTTTTTGAACAAAAGGTCTGTTTGGAAACTGAAAGACGTCAATTTATCTTCAGGCGATGTCTGCAGCACTCACAAATATAGATTCTCCGAATGAAGTATAACTGTACAATAACAATGACGATGGTCTGCGAAAACATCAGTACGACTCATTGGTAGCTGTGTTCTCTGTTTACCTCCACCCAGATGTGATGCTTTTATGGGACCGTCAAATCATGGGTCTCATTTTAAAACGGCTCGAATGACATACCAAAAGTTCCCTACGGAAAATCGAAAGACGTTAGCTTTGTAGCAAAAGGGTCTATCATCGACGTACACTGGCGTTTCCCCTAGTCCCTCGATCCTTCCATACTGATGTATCAAACCACGCCACTCTAAATGACGAGATTAAAAGGTGAGTCATAGAACACGTCCAGTGTATACTCACGCGCTTTCAGAATGAGAAGTTCATTGGTCGTATCGAACATCCTATTGACTTATCAATAGATAGGTCTCCTTTCTATTAGTAGAAAGTACGTGCCAGAGTGCACCTATCTGTCCAGAAATTAAAACTAGCCATCGCAAAAGAATGAAATATACCTACCAAAAATTTCAGAAACCGTGGATCAACGTTCGCGGAGCTTGAAGGATATTTCTGTCAGTGCACGGTTTCTAATAAAGTGCCAGGACCGTACTTCATATAATATATAAAGCTGAGCGAGGGATGAAGGTCAAACATGCAAGGAAGATACAGGATTTGACCTACACTTGAAGACTCGATACACCCCACATCGCGCAGGCGAGCCAAGATCCCACAAGAAGAGACCCATAAGACGAAGTGAGATCCAAGATAATGGGGTTCTCAGTGGGTACAGGGCAGTTTGACGTCGTGGTGTTGGCCATGGTGGGACTGAAGTTCGGCGAGAGTGTCGTTGGACGAAATTTATAGAGGGTCGAAGCGCTGTTCTCACCCATCAAGAAAGCATAGCCAGAGAATCTGCGCCAGATAGAACAATGTCACGGATCCTCCTCCTTTACATCCGATTAGTCGTCGTGGATGAATGAATAGGCCTCATCTTCATCGGTCTTATCATCAACACCGGGCATTCCGAGTCATGTGTATTAATCCAAGCATCTCGATGGTGTCGATGGCGGCGCGTGATGATGATAGTGACAATTTGAATCAAATTTGATTCAATTTGGTGCCTGGCCTTGCCGTGCCGTGCATGCCGTAGTCGCCCACGTTATTATCACATATCACACTTGTTACGTTGAGCCGTCTCTTTACCAAATGAGGCTATGTCCTTACCCTCATTCTCGTGGTCCTGACGCCTCTCTCATGAAATAGGAGCGCTGCCTCAGCCTTACTCCCCAATACTCATGTTGTCATGGTCCATAGACATCAACGAGACACACGGTTTCTGGATATCATTTTTCGATATCACACCCAAGGGCATCCGGCCATGATGTAAATGAATACCGAAGGCGTTTGCACTCTCGAAAATGACAGGAACTCCAGGCGAATAAAGTCGACGAGAAGGGGAAGAGAGGGCGGTTGGTCTCCATGGGAGCTACGGCGAGCGTAAGAGGGAACATCACCATCAATGCACTCCTCAGCGCTCAGCACTCAGCTGGGAAGCACACTTTGAGGGCGCTGTCAGTCTGGTGAAAGAGTTTGGCCAGCAGAGTATCCATGTATCCCACGTACCACTTATCGATTTTGGTTTGATCACTGACCGTGTACTTGTGGGGTAGACCATCATTGATGGCGGCATCTTGACCAACTTTTACGTCGGACATCATCTTAACGACACTGAGTAGGAACAGAACGAACGCCTTAGGTTGTCTCCAGAGAGTAGGGTAGAAGTACCTGTACATTCTTCTTATCATTGGCACTGTGGATGACCTGACCTGACCTGCCTTCATAGTGCTCCTGCACCTTGTCAAGCAGCTTCGTTCGACTCAGCATCACGTCATTACGTCGAATATGAACCTTGTGCCATGCCCGCGCAGAGCAGCCTACCCAATTCCAGGGCTCAGATATGCCAGGGTCTGCGATGGCCCACCACTTCATCACAATCAACTTCGGTATCTGATGCAGAATATTGTCTGGCAAGCGTGCAGAACATTTAATTATGCAATATGCTAGGTATCTATTGACTATATCAGATCATCATAGCTTGTGTGATTGGGATGAACACGCACTGGCGTACTGATGACAGGCAATGTGCCACGAATCGCGATAGGTAAGGCGCCTATCCCAGTCTGAGCGGACCCATCGTGCTTCAAGTTTTGGTTTGCGACCCGATGTGATTCTGGTAAAAAGACCACATCTTTTCATTCGTCAGAAGATGTGCAATGATGTAGTCCATGAGCAAGGTGTTGGTATTGGTGTTGGTGTTGGTACCGGTACAAGGTCCCAATAAGGAACGGCCGGGTCCACAGCCCAAACATGGCAAGCTTGCCATGCGCTGTGGCCACGAAGGCTCGTACCGTTGTGATCACACTGTTCAGTGTGTCGCGCGGAGTAGAGACGCATCGTGGGGAATGTAAACAAGGAAATGAATTAAGCTCGATATGAGGTACAGCACTAAAAATATGGAAAACATCAAATACGTATTTAGCCAACGCGCCAATAATTTTCATATCATCTGCTGCGAGAAGAGTGTGAATGACCTCGTATCCGGATACGGCGGCACGTAACAATTGAGCAAAAGACTCGGAGTCAAGTAGAAAAATATTACAGAAAAACCGGCATGCAAATGCGCCAGCGAGTCAGATCCTTTGCAATAGAGTAAGACATGGGCTTCGTCTTCGACCTCGGCCTGACAATGATGGCACAAACGCTGACAGCAGGGAACAGGAGGACGATGGCGCTCACTCCATCTCAAAATTTCAATAGCAAGGGTATGGGACGAAGTCAATAAGCGAACAAGAGCCTTCCTGTGTATTAAAGCACGAAACCAAAGATGAAACAGGCCAAAAAATACCGTAAGCCAGGAATATTGTCAACGTCAAAGGGAATACAGGGGATGGGAACTACAAGGACATTGAAAAAGGAAAGTAGGTAAGGCAGTTCCGTATTGAACGACATCTGAATTCATAATCAGACCCAATACATTTCACATCCAACTGTTGGCGCTTAAGGATGTGATCAGCGATGGACACTCCCGAGTCAGACAACAAAGTTGGTATTCATGATGACGCATCGCTTTGAGTAATAGATAGTAACAATGAAGTGCCAGTCACTTGTTCATCGATGAATAAATGGGTGCCCTTCAATATTCTGATTAAAAACGGTATATTCTGAATCTCAGTCAACATTGCCATCCCAGGCAGGATTCTCGTTCACTTTAATAAAGCCGTTAGAAATAGACATCGGCGCAGATACGGAAGAGCTCACCCCATTCAATCTTCAACTTCTTCCCGAAACGTTCTAGCCTCTCTTTAAGGAGAGCCTCCGATAGCGCTTTTCGCCTTGCCCCAAACTCCGTTTCCATAGAGACGTGCACAATGAATCTTTTCAGCTCGGGAAACAGCTCTGAAGTGAGCTCTGACAGCTGCTTCCAGTCGAATGACTGGTTGGCCATAATGTCGTCAACGCCTTCTGGTTCTTCAGCATAAATGCGCATGGTGAGAGAAGTCAATTTCGGAGCCGGTGGGAGGACTTCTATGGCCTTACGGCACCAGGTCATTGAGGTCGACGGTCCGAGGGTAAAACCCAGCTGATTGATGCCAAACGTTAGGGACGTCAATGAAGGAAAAGACCGGTTTGTGAAGTGAGGCGGGTTTGTCCAGGCTCCACGAGCTATTGGCAAATGAACAAAAGGTTAAGGAAATATGTAGGGGCTACGTACGGGTCACTTCATAATATGGCGATTGAATGGTCAGCTCCTCGAGGGACTCGGCGGAAAGGGCGACGAGACGGGTGAACGCCTTCTGGGAGAAAGAGGAGTTGTCTTCGTAGTGGATACTCTGAAGATTTGTAGGATGTGACACTGCTAGGATGTCATTGACCAGCCAGTCCAATGGTGTTTCGCATTCTTCGACTGATAGCCTACGAAGATTGGTCATGTCGCCAGCGAAGGCTGGAGACGGCCCGGAAAAACCTGCGTCATCGATGTCAATGCCTCTGATATCGAGAATCTCTATCCGGGGGAACAGCTCCAGGATTCGTTTTGCATCAGAGATAGTCGCAAAGCTCCCCCAGAGCTCCACCTCCTTGAGGGAGCAAAATGTCGATAGGAACTGCTGCGTTGAAACCGTGCAGTAAATCGGATGTGAGAATGGGGTATCCCAGATTAGTTTACGAGCCTGTGGCATATCAGGGAGCTGAAAACATGAAGGACTGGAGGAATAAACTGTGTCGGGGCGCGTGAGATGCATTAGAGCATCGTCCGGGTATTGATTATTCAGTGACAGGATTGGGCCAACGTTGGAATGAGCCCCGGGCTCAAACTCGACCTTCTTAACAAAAAGAGGTACTTGGGGCAAATGGGATCCAATGTCACGCCAGCGCATAAAATCGCCTTCGGACGAAAAGACTGCGGTGGAGAAGAGATGTCGTAGGGAAGCCGCGCGCCATGACTTGGATACACACGATGACGCGAGTAAAGAATCTTTGTCGTCTGTGTTGTTTTCGACAATTGTGTCTATTAACTCGAGGGGAAGTTCGTTTCCGATTCCTCTTCCTAGTACATATAGATAAGTGAACTTCGTTTGTTGGTATTCAGTCACGCACCATTTTGAGTAATAGATACGTCAACCACTTCTTTCTGCGACATCACGCGTTCTGAACGTTAGAGACCTTCGACAGGACGGGCTCAAGAGGGCTGATTGTCAGAGTTGGGGCGTAGAACTTAAGGCGTCAGACAACAGCCACAAAAATCACGTGCAGCGCGTATTAAATTTGAAATTTCCTGGCAAATCTCACTCAAGCGACCATGGGCGCATCGTTTTCAAGGCATTTTCATTATAAGCTTCCTCTTATCGACGTCGGAAGAGAACTTGTTTCATCTCATCGACCCCATCTACACTGGTAGACTGAATCCCCGTCGCAATGCTGTTGATCTGGAGAATAATACTTTGTGTTGAAGCGAATACAAGGCTTGGAATTTCTGCTGCAGTATAGTTCAGGTACGTTATCAGTTGTTATGTCGCCTTGTTGTTTTCATGATACAAGGCAAGGTCACTTAGCTGAGATGATGTCGACCGCACAACGGTGGTGAAAGCCGAAAGTGGTCTTTATATACTCGGCATCCCTTACTTTTCGGTGAGTTCCGTTCTTTTTTACAGCATGGCTTATTCAGATTCCGTGTCTGTTAGTAATCCGGGCTGTATATATGTATAATCTCCTCGGCGCTAGGTTCAACACTCAGCTATGCCATCGCTCAATCCTCCCGGGAAGGTTCTCGTCTCCGGTGCAAGTGGCTACATTGCAGCATGGATCGTCCGTACCCTTTTGGAGAGAGGCTATACAGTACGAGGGACAGTGCGCAGTCTAGCGAAGGGAGAACATTTGAAGGAGACTTTCAAGTCGTATGGAAATAAGCTGGAAATTGTCGTAGTCGACGATATGTCCAAGGTGCCGTGTAGCGTTCAATAAGACGAGCAGATTCTGATGTCCAAGACAGGACGGCGCTTTCGATGAAGCAGTTAAGGGTGTGGATGCGATACTCCATACAGCATCGCCTGTCCAATTGAACGCAGATGACCCCCAAGGTATGTTCTGCCTTCACGGATATCGATTTCTTATTTCATTGCATGCAGAACTGATCGCACCCGCTGTGAAGGGCACAGTTGGCATGCTGACCAGTGCAGCCAAGTATGGGTGCGCATATATCCACTGATTTCATATTTCTGTTGCCCAACATTGCTCAGATCATCCGTACGGCGTATCGTCGTCACTTCTTCGTGTGCTGCAATTCTGCGGTCAGAGTCAGGTACCATTACCTTATCAGAAGCCGACTGGAACGAGCAATCACCAAAGGAAGTAGAGGAGAAGGGCCGGGATGCGCCGCCTATTGCGAAATATCGTGCGTCCAAGGTACTGGCCGAGAAAGGTACTGTGGTCTTCGTCCCGGACGAGGTGCATGTACTGATGGTCCGAAGCTGCTTGGAGTTTCTATGAGGGACACAAGTCTGAGTTTTCGTGGGACCTGACCATGATTAACCCGCCATGGGTATTTGGGGTAAGCGGTCGCTGGATTCCTTTGGATACTTATCTGACTCCTCTTGTCAGCCCTTCATTCATGACGTGCCCACCCTTAATTCCCTCAATGCCACCGCAAAAGTATGGTACGACAGCGTAGTCCAAGAGAATATGGGTGGATTGTCCCCCGACGCAATCCTTACGCTGCCAGGACACGGTTGGGTGGACGTCCGTGATCTCGCCGAAGCTCATGTCCGAGCATTGGAGGTTGAAGCAGCTGGTGGTCAAAGGATCATCGTCTCGGCTGGCTCATGCGTGTGGCAGGACTGCAGTAGGTCTTTTATACGCCTCATAAAACTCGGCTGATTCACAAATGCAGTTAATGCGACGCAATCTGTCTCGACACCTCGCACTCTCCCTAAGCCTGTCCCTGGGGATCCAAAGTACGCAGTTATCTTCGACACGAGCAAGGAGAAGAGATTACTTGGGTTGAAGTTCAGGACCATGGAGGAAACAGCGAGAGATGTCTTGGCCGATTTTGACAGACTCGGGTGGTGATTGAGAGGTATACGTTCAGTCTATTTGTATGTTCAAACTCACAACTTCTCTGGCTTATTTGCCGAATAAGAATCGATTTCCAATCACCAACCATCAAGCGCTCGTTGAATGATGTTAATCTTTCCTTCTCAAATCATGCAAGGAACGAGAGCCTATGTGTGATGCAAAGAACGATAGACATAGACGAGCGGTACCCAGTGACGAGGCCGATTCCCCCGAGCAAAGAAGCATCGCAATCTTTGCTGTCCTAATCCCTTATATCTGAAGGGGTGTTATGAAATATCCGGGGCGGCAAATCAATGGAAAAGACGATGCCGGCCATTGATGCATCTATAGGCTGACCTCGTCATCACACCAGTTCCAACCCCAGTCTTGCCGATGGCGGGATGTTCATGCCCAACTGCGCTCCTCATCACGTATGCTGAACTAGGTCGGCTCTCAGACGTGCATCTGTCTTTACAGCTAAATCAACAAGAAACGCTATGTATTCCTAAAGAAATTTCTCGCCATACGCTCGTAAGGGTGACAGCAGCAGGTGGTGGTGGTAACGCGGGGGAAGAGACGTACAACGATAAACTGTAGTTGACGGTTTTCCTAGGTGTGTATGGTGCTTTTTCGTGGCGCGCGCCTGACATTTACACAGGACGGCCGAGTGGAACCGGTGAAACAACTGTGTTCACTATCAAGGCAACCCGTGTCATGAAGGCATGCTTTGTACCACAGACGTCGATCCTGGCTGACCTTGTCCGGACCTTGCGAGCTGGATGGTCAGGACACTACCTCCTGGCTGTAACAAAGGCCAGATTCCACGAGCTATTCGAATCCGCGGAATCTGGTCCACATTTAGCCAGTTTAGCACAACCTCCGTGAAATAATTCTAATGCTGTTCGGTAATTAACACTATTAATCGCGAATGCGTCGGCTGCTGTATAGATGGGTTCCAGCTCCGCGGAGAACAGGTACGCTAATATTATGGGTGCGTCCAGACATTGAAGATGATGAGAAAAGCTGTTCAGAATTTGTTCCTATGTTTCATCGAGGCTTGAGGTTATACAATTGGTTCAGAATGAGTACACAACCATAAAGGCGGATTCTCACCAGCCGATCGAGAGACTTTCTACGTTCACTCCATCCATCACACTAGCGCATTGTTAACCCTAGGCCGTCGCCGTCGCTCTCGCTCATACCTTTGTAAAGGTACTTCAAAATCGTCGAAATCCTTATATGTCGTTGGACAACTTACATATCATATGTTGCTTCTTCTCCGTCTCTGCCTTGGCCGATTACCAGATTGTCGGCTAAGTAAAGGACGTGTCAATGTCTATCGGCTACCCCGTCCCCGGTCAGACTTACTTCAACATTACGCCACTGGTCGACTACTAGTCAATGTGCATACACAATAATGGTCCCAATCATAGGAAATCGACCTAACCTAACCTATTTGATCCGATCCCTTCCTACAATTCATTCAACAGGATGATATAAAACTGCCCTTGTCTCTGTTACATGCAGTATCGTGGATGGTGGATTCAAAGCTCTTCCAGCTTGTCAAAGTGGGCAATCTCACTCTCAGCCACCGCATCGTACTGGCACCCATGACCCGTTACAGGTCAAGGGAGAAAAGCTATATTCCGTATGTCTCGATAATGAAGGAGTACTACGCTCAACGAGGCAGTGATCCGGGAACACTTCTCATCACAGAGGCGACGTTTGTGGCTCAGAAGGCTGGGATATACAAGAACGTGCCAGGGGCACGGACTCGGGCGCAGCAGAGTGCATGGAAAGAGGTGAGATTCATTGTCGGTCGTTCTGATAGACTAATTTTCTGACGTCTAGCCAGATAACCGACGCTGTGCACGCCGAAGGGAGCTTCATATTCTGCCAACTTTGGGCATTAGGACGTACGGCTGACTACACCGACCTCAAGGAGGAAAATCCTTCCCTCGACCTTGTTGCACCTTCCGCCATCAAGCTTACCGACTCCTTGGAAACGCCACGTCCACTCAACCTTGATGAAATCAAAGAGTACCCTCAGCTCTTCCCCCGTGCAGCCTTTGACGCTATACACAAAGCAACCTTCGACGGTGTTCAGATACACGGTGCGAATGGATTTCTTATCGACCAGTTCCTGCAAGACGTGTCTAACCAGCGTACGGATGAGTACGGAGGGAGCATCAAGAATCGTGTTCGGTTCGGGTTAGAGGTCCTTGATGCTGTTGTTAAGGCTATTGGACCACGACGGACAGGAATCAGGCTGAGTCCTTGAGGTACCGCGCAGGATATGGGCATGCAGGACCCTGTACCCACGTTCTCATACTTCGTGTCCGAGGTTAAGAAGAGGCATCCCGACCTTGCTTATTTACACGTCGTGGAGCCGAGGATCGCTGTTGACAAATCGAATACATCGGAGTCGAATGACTTCGTCCGTCGTATATGGTCACCGAAGCCGCTCATTTCAGCAGGAGGATATACTCGGGAGAGCGCGATGCAGACAGTTGATAGGAAGGGCGATATCATTGCATTTAGAAGGTATTTCATTTCAAATGTGAGCCTCCCTTTTCTCAAAGTATTATTGGACAAAGCTAATGTCGTTGTATTCTCGATAGCCTGATTTTATGTGAGACTAAAGGTCAACGTACCGTACTGTATAGGGATTCTGGACCCAGAAAAAAATACAGGTTCAGTACGGGGTCTCTTGGCAGTATAGGCATTTTCCCTTGAAATTTGTTCTGATTAGTAATGACTTTGGTCCGGAAAATCTTGGAGTTCCATGGCACCGTCAAAACAACTGGCGGGCATGGTCACAACTCGTATCGTTGACAGTTCCAAGAATTTCCGCAGACGCAATAGAACATAGGGACCGGCCTGGCAACAGCGCAGGGCAGCGGCGAGCGTCTGGCATTGAACAGTGGTAAGTAAACTTCGGCTGTGAACTTTGAAGCGCAGAGTTCTATCTGGTTGCCATACCTGATCTCAGGCATCACTTATTGGTCCGGAACAACACCAACAAGTACTAGCCGTTTGTTCATCAATGAATATATAAATATTAAATAGCTACCTTTTAATATTCTGGTCAAAAAGCGGCACATTCTGAATCTCATTCGACATCGCCACCCCAGGCAGGATTCTCATTCACTTTAATAAGCCGTTAGAAACAGACATGGGCGCAGATAGGGAAGAGCTCACCCCATTCAATCTTCAGCTTCTTCCCGAAATGTTCTAGCCTCTCTTCAAGGAGGTCCTCCAACAGTGCTTTTTGCCTCGCCCCGAACTCCGTTTCCATAGAGACGTGTACGATGAATGTTTTAAGCTCGGGAAACAGCTCTGAAGTGAGCTCTGACAGCTGTTTCCAGTTGAATGACTGGTCGGCCACAATGTCATCAACGTCTTCTGGTTCTTCAGCGTAAAAGTGCATTGTGAGAGTAGTCATTTTCGGAGCCGGTGGGAGGACTTCCATGACCCTACGACACCAGTTCATCGAAAACAACGGCCCGAAGGGGAGTCCCAGTTGGATGATGCAAAACGTCAGAGACATCAATGAAGGAAAAGACTGGTTTGTGAACTGAGGCGGGTTTCTCCAGCCTGCAAGACCTGTTGACAAATGAACGAAAAGCCAAGATGATATGAGGGCTACGCACTTGACCTTTCATCACTTGGTGGTTGAATGATTAGCTCCTGGAGAGACTCAGACGAAATGGCAACGAGACAGGCGAACACCCTCGAGGAAAAAGGGAGGTAGTGTTCGTAGCGGATACTCTGAAGCTTGGTGGGACATGAGACTGCCAGGATGTCATCAACCAGCCAGTCGAGTGATGTTCGGCACTCTCCAACTGATAGTCTACGAAGATTGGTCATGTCGCCTGTGAAGGCGGGGGAGCGTCCGGAACTGCTTGCCTCGGCGATATTGATAGCTTCGAAATCGAGAACCTCTATTTTGGGGAGCAGCCCCAGGAATTGTTTCGCATCGGAGATAGTAGCAAAGCTCCCCGAGAACTCCACCTCATTGAGGGAGCAAAATGTCGATAGGAACTGCTGCGTTGAAACCGTGCAGTAAACCGGATGTAAGAATGGGGTATCCCAGATTAGTTTACGAGCCTGTGGCATATCAGGGAGCTGGACACATGGAGGACTGGAGGAGCTAAGTGTTTCATCATGCAGGAGACGCGCTAGAGCATCGAGCCGAGCCTGCGGTGGCACCCCATCCACGTCAGGATATTGTTTATATAGCTGTTGCTTCTGCTTATCCCTGAGACGGCGCCCAGGCGCGAACATGACCTCCTTGACGAAAAGAGGCACCTGGGGTAAATGGGATCCGATTTCACGCCAACGCGTGAAATCATCGTCTGACGAGAAGTTTGCGGCGGAGAAAAGGTGTCGCAAGGACGCCGTGCGCCATGACTTGGATACACATGATGATGCGAGTAAAGAGTCTTTGTCGTCGATGTTATTTTCGACGATTGTGTCGATTAACTCGAGGGGAAGTTCGTCTCCGATTCCTCTTCCTCTTCCTAGTACATATAGATAAGTGAACCTTGCTTGCTGGTATTCATAATCACGCACCGTTCTGAGTAATAGATACGTCAACCACTTCTTTCTGCGACATCACGCGTTCTGTACGTTAGAGGCTGTCGACCATGTCGACGGGCTCAAGAGGGCTGATTGTCAGAGTTAGAAGGCCGTGGGCGTCAGACGAGAAGCCGCAAAGATCACGTGCAACGCGTACCTACATGAATTTGAAATTTTCTGACAACCTCTCACTTTCCCTTCGACAAGCGACGATGGGCGCATCGTTTTCAAGGTAAATGCATTCTCATAAGCTTCCTCTTATCGATGTCGAAAGAGGAACTTGTTTCGTCTCATTGCCTCCATTTACGCCGGTAGACTGAATCCCCGTCACAATGCTGTTCATTTGGAGAATAATGCTTTGTATTGAAGCGAAAACAAGGCCTGGAATTTCTGCTGCAGTATGGCTCAGGTACGTTATCAGTGGTTATGTCGTCCTGTTGTTTTCCTGATACAAGGCAAGGACGCTTAGCTGAGATCACGTCGACCGACGACCGCACGACGGTGATGAAAGCCGAAAGTGATCTTTATATGCTTGGCATACCTTACCTTTCGGTGAGTTCCGTTCTTTTTTACAGCATGGCTTATTCAGATTCTATGTCTGTTAGTAATTCGGGCTGTATATATATATAATCTCCTCAGTGCCAGTTCAATACTCAGCTATGCCATCACTCAATCCTCCCAGGAAGGTTCTCGTCTCCGGTGCAAGTGGCTACATTGCAGCATGGATCGTCCGTACCCTTTTGGAGAGAGGCTATACAGTACGAGGGACAGTACGTAGTCTAGCGAAGGGAGAACATTTGAAGGAGACTTTCAAGTCGTATGGAAATAAGCTGGAAATTGTCGTAGTCGACGATATGTCCAAGGTGCCGTGTAACGTTCAATAAGACGAGCAGATTCTGATATCCAAGACAGGATGGCGCTTTCGATGAAGCGGTTAAGGATGTGGATGCGATACTCCATACAGCATCGCCTGTCCAATTGAACGCAGATGACCCCCAAGGTATGTTCTGCCTTCACGGATATCGATTTCTTATTTCATTGCATGCAGAACTGATCGCACCCGCTGTGAAGGGCACAGTTGGCATGCTGACCAGTGCGGCCAAGTATGGGTGCGCATATATCCGCTGATTTCATTTTTCTGTTGCCCAACATTGCTCAGATCATCCGTTCGGCGTATCGTCGTCACTTCTTCGTGTGCTGCACTTGTGCGGTCAGAGCCAGGCACCATTACCTTATCAGAAGTCGACTGGAATGAGCAAGCACCAAAGGAAGTAGAGGAGCAAGGACGGGATGCATCGCCTATTGCGAAATATCGCGCGTCCAAGGCACTGGCCGAGAAAGGTACTGTGGTCTTCGTCCCGGACGAGGTGCATGTACTGATGGTCCGAAGCTGCTTGGAGTTTCTATGAGGGACACAAGTCTGAGTTTTCGTGGGACCTGACCATGATTAACCCGCCATGGGTATTTGGGGTAAGCAGTCGCCGGATTCCTTGAGATGCTTATCTGACTCCTCTTGTCAGCCCTTCATTCATGACGTGCCCACCCTTAATTCCCTCAACGTCTCCGCAAAAGTATGGTACGACAACGTAGTCCAGGGGAACGTGGGCAGATTGTCCCCCGACGCAATCCTTACACAGCCAGGGACCGCTTGGGTGGACGTCCGTGATCTCGCCGAAGCTCATGTCCGAGCATTGGAGGTTGAAGCAGCTGGTGGTGAAAGGATCATCGTCTCAGCTGGCCCCTGCGTGTGGCAGGACTGCAGTACGTCTTTTATGCACCCCAGAAAACTCGGCTGATTAACATTTGTAGTTAATGCGACGCAATCTGTCTCGACGTCTCGCATTTTACCCAAGCCTGTCCTTGGGGATGTAAAGTATGCGGTTATCTTTGACACAAGCAAGGAGAAGAGATTACTTGGGTTGAAGTTCAGGACCATGGAGGAAACATCGAGAGATGTCTTGGCCGATTTTGACAGACTCGGGTGGTGATTGAGAGGTATACGTTCAGTCTATTTGTATGTCAAACTCACAACTTCACCCCGATTTATCTGCCGAATAAGAATCGATTTCCAACCACGAACCATCAAGCACTCGTTGAATGATGTTGATCTCTCCTTTTCAATCATGCAAGGAACGAGGGCCTATGTGTGTGGTGCAAAGAGCGATAAAAATCGACGAGCGGTACTGAGTAGCAAACCAACTCACGCGAGCAAAGAAACATCGTGATCTTCGCCATCCTCTTTTTAACTCAGTCCCTGTACCTGAACGTATCCAGGGTGTTGATTACCCTGACCTCTGAAATATCCAGGGCGGCGAATGAATGGAAAAGGCGATGCCGGCCATTGACGCATCTATAGGCTGACCTCATCGTCACACTAGTTCCAGCGCCATTCTTGCCGATAGCGAGATATTCATGCCCAACTGCACACTTCTGTCAGGGTATTTCGAAAATCCATCTCAACTAGGCTAGCTCTCAGACATGCATCGATACCAGCTACCTTTACACCTAAATCAACAAGAAACGCTATATATTCCTAAAGAATTTTTTCGCGGGCGTAAACACCACCATATGCCCATATGCTCTCTCTTAGAGGCTATTTCCCGCGATGAATGTGGGTGACAGCAGCGGGAGGTAGTGGTAATGCGGGGGAAGAGACGTACAACGTTATAAACTAGTTGACAAATTTCCTAGGTGTGTATGATGCTTTTTCCTGGCACATGTCTGACATCTACGATAGGACGGCCGACTGGAACTGGTGAAGCAACTATGTTCAACTGTCAAGGCAGCTCGGCTCGCTCTGGATCACAGACATCGATTATCTTTTTCGGGACCTTGCGAACTGGATGGTCGGGACACTACTTAACCAATCTCCTGGCGGTAATCAAGGCCAAATTTCTACGATTTATTCAAATCCGCGGAATCTAATGCACATCTAGCAAGTTTGGAGGGACCTGCGAGAAATAATGCTGATGCTATTCGGTAATTAATACTATTAATCGCGACTGCGCCGGCTGCTGTATATATGGATTCCAGCTCCGCAGAGAACAGGTACGCCAATACTATACACGCGTTCAGACTTTGAAGCTAATGATAAAAGCTGTTCGAATTTCGTTCCTACGTCTTATCGAGGCTTGGGGTTGTACAACCGGTTTAGAATGAGTACTCAACCATAAAGGCAGATTCTCACCAGCCGATCCCTAGACTTTCTATTGCCTGTCCGCGTTCAATCCGCCTATCACACTAGCGCATTGCCAACTCTGGGCCGTTGCTGTCGCTCTCACCCATACCTTTATCAAGGTACTCCACAATCACCGAATGCATATTTGTTTTTGGACAACTTACCTATTCTATGTTACTCCTCCGTCTTCGCCTTGGTCGATTACCGGATTTCGGCCAAGCAAAAGATTTCTTTGACCGGTCAGACTCACTCCGACATTACGCCACTGGTTGACTACTAGTCTACATACAAAATAGCGGTCCCGACCATAGGACATTGACCTAACCTAAGCTACCCGATCCGATCCCTCCCTACAATGCATTCAACAGGATAATATAAAACCGCCTTTGTCTCCGTTACATGCAGTATCATCGATGGTGGACTCAAAGTTCTTCCAGCCTATCAAAGTAGGCAATCTCAATCTCAGCCACCGCATCGTACTGGCACCCATGACCCGTTACAGGTCAAGGGAGAAAAGCCATATTCCATATGTCTCGATAATGAAGGAGTATTACGCTCAGCAAGGCAGTGACCCGGGAACACTTCTCATCACCGAGGCGACGTTTGTGGCTCAATAGGCTGGGATATACAAGAACGCGCCAGGGGCATGGACTCAGGCGCAACTGAGTGCATGGAAAGAGGTGCGATTCATTACGAGTTGTTCTGATGGACCAATTTCTTAACTTCCAGCCAGATAACCGACGCTGTGCACGCCGAAGGGAGCTTCATATTCTGGCAACTTTGGGCATTAGGACGTACGGCTGACTACACCGACCTCAAGGAGGAAAATCCTTCCCTCGACATTGTTGCACCCTCCGCCATCAAGCTTACCGACTCCTTGGAAACGCCACGCCCACTCACCCTCGATGAAATCAAAGAGTACCTCAGCTCTTCGCGCGCGCAGCCTTTGACGCTATACACAAAGCAGGCTTCGACGGTGTTGAAACTTGAGATACATGGTGCGAATGGATATCTCATCGACCAGTTCCTGCAGGACTTGTCTAACCAGCGTACGGACGAGTACGGAGGGAGCATTCAGAACCTTGTTCAGTTTGGGTGAGTCGGAGGTCCTCGATGCTGTCGCTAAGGCTATACCACGACGCACAGGGATCAGGCTCAGTCCTTGGGGTACCGCGCAGGATATGGGCATGCAGGACCCTGTACCCACGTTCTCATACTTCGTGTCCGAGGTTAAGAAGAGGCATCCCGACCTTGCTTATTTACATGTCGTGGAGCCAAGGATCGCTGTTGACAGATCGACTCCATCGGAGTCGAATGACTTCATCCGTCGTATATGGGCACCGAGGCCGCTCATCTCGGCAGGAGGATATACTCGAGAGAGCGCAATGCAGACGGCTGATAGGAAGGGCGATATCATCGCATTTGGAAGGTATTTCATTTCGAATGTGAGTTTCACTTTTCTCAAAGTATTATTGGACAAAGCTGATGTCGTTGTATTCTCGATAGCCTGATCTTACTGTGAGACTAAAGGACAACGCACCATTCATGCCGTATGACAGATCGACTTTTTACCTACATGGGGAGGTCGCCGAAGGGTATATTGACTACCCTTTTGCTTCAGAATTGTAGATACAATATTTTGGTACACAGAGGACTTCGCATACAAATATGAAAGCACGACAGTACACAATATTATTAATTCGAATGCATTGTATTCAGGTCTCATTCTACGCTGGCGAATATTTTTCTTTCCTTATCCTTCCTTATCCTCGGCAGCAACGCAGAGAGAGGTTCTGTAAGCGGGTAAGCTCGCTGTCGGTCTTATATTTTGCTCATAGAGGCACACCGCTTCGCATTCTGATTCGAAAGGAAATCCTATCAATTAATTTCCAAACATCTGCCTACCATCAGACATGGACGGCGCGGCCGACTAGCTCAGTTGGTTAGAGCGTCATGCTAATAACGCGAAGGTCTTAGCTTTGATCCCCACGTTGGCCACTGTCTTTTTTTTTTGTGTATTTTTCTTTTATCCGGCTTCGAGTTAGTGTCAATGTCTCTTAATGACACACGTATCAATACCTAGGTCTTAATGTAACCACTGGAACCTTGGCTTGCTGATCCATCTTCTACAGGACCTCCAGGTTTGGGCATGCAAAACCTGTGTTTCGGTCCGATGGGTTCCGGTCTAGTAACTTGAACTTTGACATTCCTTTTGACAAGTCGTCAATCTTCGCCGTCGTACTCGACATTTTCAGGTTTCTAGATCCGACCTTCGAGACAAACGTAACACTATGCCTTCCTGAGGCTGGAGGACCAGTAGAGGGACGATGATGTTACGACAGTTATCAGATTGGCAATCACACCAATATACGCCTACTGTAAGGCTGGCTAAGTGGACGACGTTCTCGAGGAGCCTTGTGGCTGTAGGATAATGTGCTGGACTAGTAAGCATTTCTTTGCTACCGTAAGGTCTTCCTTCAAGAGGGTCGAACAGCCGGCGAGGACATGCGATTAACTACCTTTTGCCCCGACTCTGCTAATGCGTCTAGGTATCTTTTCGTTCCGTATAGGCCTGTAATAATCGTAAGCATGCATCTTTCCAGGCTGATCAATAAATACACTGACCTTCCTTGATAGTGGCCCATGTGGGCTTCCCCTCCTCGCCCTTCCAATGGAACGGGTAATACCTCTCAGGCAAAGAGACTCTGGCGACCTTGCTATTCTCGTCCACAGTGACGACATTGTACGTCCTTATATATGCCTGCATCATCTGCACGACCCCCTCCGGAGTGGCGAGACGATGCCCCTGCGGATTGTGTAGCAGCGATCCCCAGTAATAACCTGCTCACCCGAATCGTCAACATCTCTCGTCACAATCTTCAACAGTTCACGTACAGCAACTGTTTATAATCTGCTGCCACGAGCTTATTTGGCGGTGTTGGAATTGCAAAAAGGCAAGTTCTTCGGCCGTACAGTAGTTTCTTCCTCGGTAGAGTTCTTGATTGATAATCTCTTCTGGTAGCATCGGTGGTGCCGGTCTGGGAGCTCCCTTTAGGCGGTAATGCGATGGTGAGAGAGGCTGGTCAGAGTCGTCCATCAGGATGAAGGTTTGTCTCTTTGTTCTTGACTTGGCGCTAATATTGATGCACTTTTATAGCAGTGGCGTTGTCCTACATTTTCAGGGTTCTTGGTTACAGCCCTATTCCCCACCGGAAAAATAAGATTTGACCTTGTATATTTCGTTCGACTTGCTGCTGCTTGACGGTGCGATCAATATCACGTCGGTTCACTAGCAGTGCAGCACCCTTCGAGGTTTTGGTCTCGCGACACCACATACCCCCAGTCTAGAACACAAGCTGTGCACAAATGTACACACTGGGTTCAAAGTCCGCGTGTTCTTGACCTCCGGTTCCGACTCTTGTTCTATGACTCCAACTTTTCAACGCTCGGGCAAAATGGATCTCCTGTGACCTGCCATCCCCTTGTGTGTCTTTCCCGCAACAAACAGTCAATGATGATCCCGATTCTGTGTCCTTTATTTCCCAGAATCGGCGGTCAACCCCGACCTGTAAAACTGAGTGCAGGCATCGTCTGCTGACCAAAGTTAGGCTCTTGATGCATCTTTTTCGTTATGACCTTAAAATCCCAGGTACTCCGTCGCAGCCCGACATGGCATCTACTCGATAACTTTCATCCGCGGTCGGCGTTCCGTAAATGACGAGGAAGAGAACGGATCATAGACATTGGCGCGCTACATACAATATCAATCTTTTGATGAATGTTTGAGTAGGACCCCTTCAACAGCTTGGCGCTCGAGTTTTGTTGTATATATATATATGTACATCATTGGTGAAAAAATAATATACACCCACACAAAGATTATTCAGGCTCAAAGCCACCAATCGCTCTAACACCTTCTACAACACGTCTATACTCTTTCAACAGCTCCGCTATCTCTGACATTTTCAAATCGTCCACCTCACAATCTAAGAATCGTTTATTCGGCGGCGCTAGGGATAAACGTCCCTGTGTCGCGGACTCCGCGACGGGACTATCAAACCGAGTAGTCGTAGGCAAGATAGACGGCCTTCTTGACGGTGGAGGCGAACTCTAAAAGTTCACGGTGAACCCACTACAACGAAGCAAAGATAAAACTGCGTACCTTCTTCGCAGTAAGACCGGAAACACTAGCTAACCGGTCACTCAAACTCGGTCGCGGTGCCTTCCTCCGCTTCTTCTTCTTCTTGCTCATCATGCTCTCGAAACTCTTGATACTCCTCGTATCCCCAGGAGGACTATAGTCTGCTTCATCGTCGTCGTCGTCATCATCTTCGCTCTCTTCGCTCTCCTCCTCTTCCACATCCTCACTCTCGTCATCACTCGACACAAGTACCCTACTCCGAACCGAACCAGCCCTGCTCCTCCTACTCCGCACCGACCCCGGCCTTGACACCGTCACTAGCTCCTCCTCACCGCCTAGTTTCGGCGTCGACCCAGGTAACATGCTCTTGATCGAAAACCCACTCTCCCTCCTCAACAGTCCAAACCCGGGCCTCACCGCATTCCATGGAGCAGAGCCTTGCACGTTATCCAACGCAGGTGCGTTCGTATTGTTTGGCAGCAGAGATTTGAGCATTCCGAATGAGGTATCGACAACACCTGTGATGACCTTGTTCGCAGATCCAGCGATCGCGTCGACTTGCTGCTCCACACGATCGCGTAATCCATCCTTGGCGGTGCCCCGCTCCTGTGAGGAAGCCCGTGAAGATGGAGAGGATGCGGACGTCACGATAGGTATCGGTGTCAGATCTGCCGTGCTAACACAAAAGGTTAACTAAATGCCAGCTCATATAGAATCATAAACCCACCTCAATACTCGTCCACCCTCCTGGCCCAAGCCGAGGCTCTTCAAATCCACATTCTCGAGGAACTCGATAACGGCCATAAGGTTGATAACGCAGTAGTTTTCTTCCCCGTTTGCATGTTTGTTCCTGAACCGTTGGGTATACAATACATGCGACACAAGATGCGGAGGGTTAGACTTGACAACAGAGAAAATGAGAAGGGGGAAGAGAACGTCGAGAGATATCGGTGTTCCATCTCGGGGTGAGTTGGATTTGTCTGAAGCCACGGTAGAAGGTCGAGGTGATGAAGGGGAGGGGGAAATCGACTTATTCTCGTCGTCTACTGTCGAAGCATCAGGTATGGCGAGTCCGTTAACCTTGTGTTCTGGTTCGACGATTGCAGGGACCAATTGTGAGTTCGGGGAGGAATCCTTCGCTTGAGACTCAATGCGAGATTGCGATCGTGACCTTTGATCCTTATCCTTATCCTTACTTAGACTTCTTGGCATCCGTGTTGGCTCCAGCATCACTTCCTCTGGCAACGTCTCGTTCTCGTTTCTCAAGCGTATAGGCGGCAATCTCGTCAGACCCTCTGATAAACGGGGTTGTCAGGACCTCGCACCGGGGGGGATGGGGCAGAAAAAAGAACCCACCAACGATAACCTTGTGAGCCTCAACAAGAAGCGCAGCCTTATCAGCCGGTGATTGGACGAATTGTAATTTAGTCAGCACTAACAAAATAGAGTGAGCGGCTGATGATATGGTATAGCGCTGACTTACTGTCTCCACATGCCTGAATTAAACTATCCAGCTGTTCATGGTCGGTGACATCCCCATCAATAATGATGTCAAGATGATGGAGACCCAGGTCGAGCATGTTAAGTGCAGCAACACGACTGGACAATGCTTCATCATGACTGAGATCATCCGACTGTGTAGGATGTAAGAGTCTATCAGCAAGAGTTAGCCCTTGTCAGTTTCTGAAAGGAACGAAAGCAACCTATCATAAAACGTCTCGCATATCGCCTTTTCGACACAATCAAGCACCTTGGTCTCGTCGTCCTCAGAAGACGGATCTTCGAGCTCACTCTTCTCATCATCTTCTTTCCTTGCTCGCAATCTAAGTTCCTCCTCTATTCCATAGTAAAAGTCTTGAAACATGTCTGCCACCTCTACCGTGTCATAGTCGATGGGCTGAATCGTGTATTTCACGCCGTGATTAGTTTCTCCGCCAGTCTCCGATTTTCTCACTCGGGTGAAGGGGTGGAAGCTCTCCGTGAACACTTGCGTACGATTGATCAGCCAGCGAGGTGAACCAGCTAGTGACTCTGATATGCGAGTCTTGAGTGCAAGCAGGGTCTGCTTACATACGTTGTTGAAGATAACCGGTTCTGAGATAGTAAATGCGGGGATAATTATAGGTGCAGGGGATGGGGGGGAAGTATCTTCAACGCTAGAAATGCTGCTCGTTGACGGTGTCGATTTATGACCAAAGAGAGATGCAAAAGGATTTGCTAAACGCGAAGCTTGCTGAGATGGTCGAGGGGGTAGTGGAGGTTTCGCACGAGGTGGAACAGGTAAAGATGTAGTATGCGCTGGTACTCGAAAAGAAGGAAACGCAGCGGTCACTGGAGGTAAAGGAGGTAGGTTTCCGAGTGTTGTGGATCGTGTGGAAGGAGCAAGTATTCCTTGGTAGAGCTTTGAGGAAGGGTGAAGGGAGGATTGGAAAGTAAGGGTCGTGCTTGAAGTTGGTTAGAATAGTATATGAAGGAGAAATCAGGGCGTACTTGTTCAGTACACCTCGGAGACCAGACAAAGTAACGATAGGTGCGTCCTTGCGTGAAGGCCCATCGCAAAGGATGATATGGTCCTTCACAAAGTCGGCAGTGATCTTTTCGTTGGTCGCCGTTTCCAATGGTAATAAAAGTGTTGCCTGTCAGTACGGCTCAGCCTTAGTTTTTGTGGGTACGATAACGATACGCACCTTGCCATTGGTAACGGCGCTCCAAACGTCTACCCATTCCTCTGCGCTCTCCGTTTCAGAGGCGAGCTTCTCGAGAATGGCCCAACCAACTGTTCCGGTATCCAGGCCGATATTCTGGGCGGCCGCCTTGAGGTTCATGAGCTGCAACTTGCTCGTCGCGTCGCCTTGATGCTGTGTGCTTGTAGAGGAGGCTGAAGGTAGTACATTCGTCGTCGTCATCGCCGTTGTAGTTGGTAGTCGCTGCCTAGGCGTGTACGGTACATATCGTTGTGGAGAGTCGCCCGTTGGCGACAGAAGAGGATGCGCAGTGAGGGATTCATTCGATGGTGTCCTGCTCAGACGGCCTTGAGTGCGCCCTATCGACGTCGCCGGAAAGAGGTGGTCGCGCTGCGTGGTCATCGTGCATCACGGTGTACTAGAAGGAGCATGTAATTACGTAATTAATTGAATTTCTTTAACTCGGGCCGAGATCCGACGCTTAGTGTTACCTGTTCGTTCGATTGAACTCAAGGGCCGGGTCAAGGCTCACAATATTGAGCGCTTATAGGCATGCACGAGACTAAACTCGGTAATAGCGACTAGATTCGCCTTCTATTTATACCTCCATTTAATCAGTATAATTTGGATCCAGCACCCATTGGCAGACAGATTTATGGTCCCTTTTCGACCCCTTCTTCCTTTCTTTCAGATGGCACTCAAACTGAGCTCTCAGTACTAAGTGCTAAGCACTTTCGGGAACGACAATATCAAACTCAAGTATCAACAAGTAGTTTTTCATTGGACTCCGCTGTTAGAGACACTACGAGATGAATCATAGTTGCTGAAGCACACTTTGAACCTCATTCCGAATCAACACGAAAGAACAGTTACAGCCTAATATATAGATATGAAGTTCAGAACCGTATTTTGGTTCAGGCCATCATAGTACACAGATTCAAAGTAGAGTCCGCAGAGGTAGTCTGATCCTTCGGGTGATGAATGATGGAGCAGCGAGCTGCTGCCTGTGATATGATTGCGCACAAAAGTCAGGGTTTCGGACCGGTAGATTACTGGTAACGGGTTACTGCAAGGCTCAAGCAACTGCTAGAAAAACAATACAATGATCAAAAAATTATTGGATGGCCAACATGGGGATCAAACCCAAGACCTTCGCAATATTAGCACAACGCTCTAACCAACTGAGCTACTCAGCCATACTATCAACACCTGATGGTATACACATGTCTGGAAATTAATTGGTAGGATTTCCTTCGAATCAGAATGCGAAGTGGTGTGCCTCTATGAGCAAAATATAAGACCGACAGCGAGCTTACCCGCTTACGGTACCGCTCTACGCTGCCAAGAATAAGAAAAACAAAATATTCACAAGCGTAGAATGAGACCTGAATACAATGCGTTCGAATCAGTAATATTGTGTGCTGTTGTGCTTTCATAGTTGTGTGCGAAGTCTTCCGTGTACCAAAATATTGTATCTACAATTCTGAAGCAAAAGGGTAGTCAATATACCCTTCGGCGACCTCCCCATGTAGGTAAAAAGTCGATCTATCATACAGCGTGAATGGTATGTTGTCCTTTAGTCTCACAGTAAGATCAGGCTATCGAGAATACAACGACATCAGCTTTGTCCAATAATACTTTGAGAAAAGGGAGGCTCACATTCGAAATTAAATACCATCCAAACGCGATGATATTGCCCTTCTTATCAGCCGTCTCCATCGCGCTCTCCCGAGTATATCCTCCTGCTGAAATGAGCGGCTTCGGTGCCCATATACGACGGATGAAGTCATTCGACTCTGATGCATTCAATTTATCAACAGCGATCCTTGGCTCCACGACGTGTAAGTAAGCAAGGTCAGGATGCTTCTTCTTAATCTCGGACACGAAGTATGAGAACGTGGGTACAGGATCCTGCATGCCCATATCCTGCGTGGTACCCCAAGGATTAAGCCTGATTCCTGTCTGTCATGGTTCAATAGCCTTAATGACAGCATCGAGAACCTCTAACCTGAACAGAGCACGATTCTTGATGCTTCCTCCGTACTCATCCATACGCTGGTTAGACACATCCTGCAGGAACTGGTTGATGAGATATCCATTCACACCATGTATCTCAACACCGTCGAAGCCTGCTTTGTGTATGATGTCGAAGGCTGCACGCGCGAAGAGCTGAGGGTACTCTTTAATTTCATCAAGGGTGAGTGGGCGTGGCGTTTCCAAGGAGTCAGCAAGCTTGATGGCGGAGGGTGCAACAATGTTGAGGGAAGGATTTTCCTCCTTGAGGTCGGTGTAGTCAGCCGTACGTCCTAATGCCCAAAGTTGGCAGAATATGAAGCTCCCTTCGGTGTGCACAGCGTCGGTTATCTGGCTGGAAGTTAAGAAATTGGTCCATCATAACAACTCATACGAACTGCACCTCTTTCCATGCACTCAGCTATGCCCGAGTCCATGCCCCTGGCGTGTTCTTGTATATCCCGGCCTTCTGAGCCACAAACGTCGCCTCGGTGATGAGAAGTGTCCCCGGATCGCTGCCTCGCTGAGCGTAGTACTCCTTCATTATCGAGACATACGGAATATGGCTTCTCTCCCTTGACCTGTAACGGGACACAGGTGCCAGTACAATGCGGTGGCTGAGAGTGAGATTGCCTACTCTGATAGGTTGGAAGAGCTTTGAGTCCACCATCGATGATACTGCATGTAACGGAGACAAAGGCAGTTTTATATTATCCTGTTGAATGAATTGTAGGAAGGGATTGAATCAAATAGGTTAGGTTAGGTCGATGCTCTATGGTTGGGACCATTATTGTGTATGCACATTGACTAGTAGTCAACCAGTGGCGTAATGGCGAAGTAAGTCTGACCAGAGACCGTGGGGCAGCCGATAGACATCGACACGTCTTTTGCTTAGCCGACAATCTGGTAATTGGCCAAGGCAGAGACGGAGAAGGAGTAACATAGTATATGTAAGTTGTCCAGCGACATATAAGGATTTCGACGATTTTGAAGTACCTTTACAAAGGTATGGGTGAGAGCGACGATGACGGCCCAGAGTCGATGCGCTAGTGTGATGGATGGATTGAACGTAGAAAAGTCTCTTGGTCGGCTGGTGATAATCTCCATTTATGGTTGAGTACTCATTCTGAACCGATTGTACAATCTCAAGCCTCGATAGAACGTAGTAACGAAACCCGAACGGCTTTTATCATTAGCTTCAATGTCTGGACGCACGTATAGTATTGGCGTACCTGTTATCCGCAGAGCTGGAACCCATCTATACAGCAGCCGACGCAGTCGTGACTAATAGTATTAATTATTGAATAGCAGTAGCATTATTTCTCGCAGGTCTCTCCAAACTTGCTAGATGTGCATTAGATTCCGTGGATTTGAATAACTCGTAGAAATTTGGCCTTGATTACCACCAGGACATTGGTTAAGTAGTGTCCCGACCATCCAGCTCGCAAGGTCCGGAAAAGATAATGGAAGTTTATGGTCCAGAGCGATCCGAGCTGCCTTGACAGTCGAACATGATTGCTTCACCAGTTCCAGTCGGCCGTCCTATTGTAGATGTCAGACATGTGTCACGAAAAAGCACTATACACACCTAGGAAAATTGTCAACTACAGTGTATTGTTGTACATCTCTTCCCCTGCGTTACCACCACCTCCCGCTGCTGTCACCCTTACGAGCGTATGGCGAGAAATTTCTTTGGGAATACATAGCGTTTCTTGTTGATTTAGCTGCAAAGATAGATGGCATCGATGCACGTCTGAGAGCTGACGTAGTTCAGAATATCTGATAGAGGAGTGCAGTTGAGCATGAACATCCCGCCATCGACAAGACTGGGGTTGGAACTGGTGTGACGACAAGGTCAGCCTATAGGTGCATCAATGGCCGGCATCGTTTTTTCCATTGATTTGTCGCCCCAGATATTTTGTAAGACCCCTTCAGATATAAGAGACTAGGGTGATCAACACCCGGGATGCGTTCAAGTGCAGAGACTAAAGGAACAAGAGGACAGCAAAGATTGTGATGCTTCTTTGCTCAGGGGAATCGGCTTCGCCATTGCGTGCTGCTCATCCATTTTATCGCTCCTTGCATCGCACACATAAGAAGCCCTTGTTCCTTGCATGATTTGAAAAGGAAAGATCAACGTCATTTAACGAGCGCTGGTTGGCTGGTGGTTGGAAATCGATACTTATTTGGCAGATAAATCGGGGTAAAGTTGTGAGTTTGACATACAAATAGACTGAACATATACCTCTCAATCACCACCCGAGTCTGTCAAAATCGGCCAAGACATCTCTCGCTGTTTCCTCCATGGTCCTGAACTTCAACCCAAGTAATTTCTTCTCTTTGCTCATGTCAAAGATAACTGCATACTTTGGTTCACCAGGGACTGGCTTAGGGAGAGTGCGAGACGTTGAGGAAGATTGCGCCGCAATAACTGCAGATGTTGATCAGCCCGGTTTTGTGGGGGGTATAAAAGACCTACTGCAGTCCTGCCACACGCATGAGCCAGCTGAGACGATGATCCTTTCACCACCAGCTGCTTCAACCTCCAATGCTCAGACATGACCTTCGGCGAGATCACGAACGTCCACCCAACTGTTTCCTGGCTTTGTAAGGATTGTGTCGGGGGACAATCCACCCATATTCTCCTGGACTACGTTGTCGTACCATAATTTTATGGAGGCGTTGAGGGCATTAAGGGTGGGTACGTCATGGATGAAGGGCTGACAAGAGGAGTCAGATAAGTATCCAAAGGAATCCAGCGACCGCTTACCCCAAATACCCCTGGTGGGTGAATCACGGTCAAGTCCCACGAAAACTCAGACTTGTGTCCCTCATAGAAACTCCAAGCAGCTTCGGACCATCAGTACATGCACCTCGTCCGGGATGAAGACCACAGTACCTTTCTCAGCCAGCGCCTTGGACACACGATATTTTATATTAGGCAGGGCATCCCGGCCCTTCTCCTCTACTTCCTTTGGTGATTGCTCGTTCCAGTCGGCTTCTGATAAGGTAATGGTGCCTGGCTCTGACCGCAGAATTGCAGCACACGAAGAAGTGACGACGATGCACTGTATGGATGATCTGAGCGATGTTGGGCAACAGAGATATGAAATCAGCGGATATATGCGCACCCATACTTGGCTGCACTGATCAGCATGCCAACTGTGCCCTTCACAGCGGGTATGATCAGCTCTGGGTGCAATGAGAAGAGAGATCGATATCCGTAAAGGCAGAATATACCTTGGGGGTCATCTGCGTTCAATTGGACAGGCGATGCTGTATGGAGTATTGCATCCACACCCTTAACTGCTTCATCGAAAGCGCCGTCCTGTCTTGGACATCAGAATTTGCTCGTCTTATTGAACGCTACACGACACCTTGGACATATCGTCGACTATGACAATTTCCAGCTTATTTCCATACGACTTGAAAGTCTCCTTCAAATGTTCTCCCTTCGCTAGACTGCGCACTGTCCCTCGCACTGTATAGCCTCTCTCCAAAAGGGTACGGACGATCCATGCTGCAATGTAGCCACTTGCACCGGAGACGAGAACCTTCCCGGGAGGATTGAGTGATGGCATAGCTGAGGGTTGAACATAACTGGGGCCGAAGAGATTATATATACAGGCCGGATTACTAACAGACACAGAATCTGAATAAGCCATGCTGTAAAAAAGAACAGAACTCACCGAAAAGACATCATCTCAGCTAAGTGTCGTTGCCTTGTATCAGGAAAACGGCAAGATGACATAACAACTGATAACATACCTGAGCAAAACTGTGGAATAAATTCCAAGTCTGGTCTTCGCTTCAATACAAAGCTATATTCTCCAAATCAACAGCATTGCGGAAATGGAGGTGATGAGACTAAAGGAGTTCCCCTTCTGACATCGAGAAGAGGAAACTTATGAAAATGCATTGCCTAGAAACCGATGCGCTCATGGTCGCTTGTCGAAGGGAGAGAAAGAGTTGTCAGGAAATTTCAAATTTCCGCTGACAAAGATATGCGCTGCACGTGATCTTTGTGGCTGTTGTCTGGCACCTTCTACGCTCACGGCCTTCCAACTCTGACAATCAGCCCTCTTGAGCCTGTCCTGTCGAAGGTCTCTAACGTTAAGAACGCGTGATGGAGCAGAAAGATGTGGTTGACATATCTATTACTCAAAACGGTGCGTGATTATGAATACCAACAAACGAGGTTCACTTATCTCCAAGTATGTACTTAGGAAGAGGAATCGGAAACAAACTTCCCCTCGAGTTAATAGACGCAATCGTTGAAAACAACAGAGACGACAAAGACTCTTTACTCGTGTCATCGTGTGTATCCAAGTCATGGTGCGCGGCTTCCCTACGACACCTCTTCTCCACCGCACTTTTTTCATCTGAAGGTGATCTTATGCGCTGGCGTGACATTGGATCCCATTTGCCCCAAGTACCTCTTTTTGTTAAGAAGGTCATGTTCGAGCCCGGGGCTCATTTCAACGTTGGCCCAATCCTGTCACTGAATAATCCATACCCAGATGATGCTCTGATGCATCTCACGTGCCCCGACACAGTCTATTCCTCCAGTCCTTCATGTTTTCAGCTCCCTGATATGCCACAGGCTCGTAAACTAATATGGGATACCCCATTCTCACATCCGATTTACTGCACGGTTTCAATGCAGCAGTTCCTATCGACATTTTGCTCTCTCAAGGAGGTGGAGCTCTCGGGGGACTTTGCGACCATCTCTGATACAAAACGATTCCTGAAACTGTTGCCCCGGATAGAAATTCTCAATATCAAAGCCATCGACATCAATGACGCAGGTTTTTCCGGGGGGTCCCTGGCCTTCGCTGGCGACATGACCAATCTTCGTAGGCTATCAGTTGAGGAATGTGAAACACCGTTGGACTGGCTGGTTGATGACATCCTAGCAGTATCATGTCCCAAAAATCTTCAGAGTATCTACTACGAAGACAACTTCCCTTTCTCCCAGAAGGCATTCACCTGTCTCGTCGCCCTTTCTGCCCAGTCCCTCGAGGAGCTGACCATTCAATCGCCATACTATGTGACCCGTGCATAGCCCCTACATATTTCCTTAACCTTTTGTTCATTTGCCAATAGCTCATGGACCCTGGACAAACCCGCCTCCCTTCACGAACCGGTCTTTTCCTTCATTGACGTCCCTAATGTTTGGCATCGTCCAGCTGGGTTTTCCCCTCAAACCACTGTCTTCAGTGGACTGGTGCCGTAGGGTCATAGAAGTCCTCCCACCGGCTCCGAAATTGACTTCCCTCACCATGCTCATTTATGCTGAAGAACCAGAACACATTGACGGCGTTGTGGCCGAGTGATCATTCGACTGGAAGCAGCTCTCAGAGCTCACTTCAGAGTTGTTTCCCGAGCTGAAAAGGTTCATCATGCACGTCTCTATGCAAACAGAATTTGGGGCGAACCGAAAAGCACTATCGGAGGCTCTCCTTAAAGAGAGGCTAGAACGTTTCGGGAAGAAGTTGAAGATTGAATGGGGTGAGCTCTTCCGTATCCGTGCTTCTATTCATTTCTAACGGCTTTGTTGAAGTGAATGAGAATTCTATCTCGGGTGGCGACGTGGACTGAGATTCAGAATGTACCACTTCTTGATCAGAATATTAAAAGGTAGCCATTTATTCGTTGATGAACAAGTGACTAGCACTTCATTGTTACTATCTATTACTCAAAGCGATGCATCATCATGAATACCAACTTTGTTGTCTGACTCGGGAGTGTCCATCGCTTGCTGATCACATCCTTAAGCACCAGCAGTTGGATGTGAAGTGTATTGGGCCTGATTATGAATCCAGATGTTATTCGATACAGAACTCCCTTGTTTGATACACAGATTACATCATTGCACATCTTCTGACGAGTGAAAAAATCTGATTTTTTTACCAAGGGGTTGTAAAAGTTAAGAAAATCACATCGGGTTGCAAACCGAAACTTGAAGCACGATGATCACGGATCTGCTCAGACCGGGATAGGCACCTTACCTATCGTGATTCGCACATTGCCTGTCATCAGTACGCCAGTGCGTGTTCATCCCAATCACACAAATGATCTGATATAGTTAATAGATACCTAGCATATTGCACAATTAAATATTCTGCACCCTTGCTAGACAATACTCTGCATCAGATACCGAAGTTGATTGTGATGAACCAGTGGGCCATCGCAGGCCCTGGCATATCTGAGCCCTGAAGTTGGGGTATGCTGCTCTGCGCAGGCGTGGCACAAGGTTCATATTCGACGTAATGACATGATGCTGAGTCGAACGAAGCTGCTTGACAAGGTGCAGGAGCACTATGAAGGCAGGTCAGGATAGGACATCCACAATGCCAATGATAGGAAGAAAGTACAGGCACTTCTACCATACTCCCCGGTGTTGCGACTGCAGCCTATTTACGCGTGTAATTTTGCAATCTAGAGTGTTTTACATGCATACTGAGAGATAGTGAGCGAGTGGACTAAAACTACGTGTCGACACTAATGCTACGCGGTGCAATGACATGGAATATAACTTATGGCATAAGAAGCAATGGGATTCTAAACAGGACTTAGTCACAGCACTGTACCTGATGGGCATGCGTGACGAGAAGGCCAAACCCTATACCCAATGCCTTAGGCTCTAACTTACAAGCACACTCGCAGGAGCTAGATAAAACCTTGAAGATTGCACTGACACTGAGAACACTTAGCGTGCTTGCTAACTGTGATGCGCCGTACCTGAAAATCCAGGGAAATCCTTAAGCAAGCTGACAGATATCACCGGCATGAGCTTGGGCAATGGGCTTCGGCTGAAGTCCGCTGATGAGCCTAAACTTCCGTGGCAACGGCAAAAACCAAAACTCTAGAGGAGTTCACGGCAAATGGCATGTAGCGGCAATAAAGGCTTTGTTGTTGTGCGAGTGTTTCGGTGCACCTCCGTGCGATGAATTCCTCAAGAACGCAAGTATACACTGCGACTTTTCAGTCAGCGAAGTAGTACCCTTAACGATCGAGTACTAGAAAACGTTGGCTGTAAGCCGGGGAGGGTCTCGATAGACGAGAAGGAACGGAATCCGGTATAACTGGGAATACCGGCAAACCGTGAACGAAGTGACGGCAATTTAACTAGTAAAAGCCATGGGTGATGTTGATGGAATTAGAGAAAATGCCGTCAAAGAGAAATACCGTTGGCAAGATAACAAATACCGTGATGGCAAGAGACGAAGACTGTAGTCGAGAAACGAGAAACTGGCGGTAAAACGAAGATAAGACTGGCTGGCGATGATATGAGGGGGAACTAGTGACGGCAAAACGACGGCTGGGACTGGGCTGGACTGAAACTGAAACTATACTGAGGTTAACGACGGCAAAACGAAACTGATACTAATCCTGAGTCTACACGGAGACTATCCTATACTGAAACTGACGGCAAGATACCAAATACCGTGACTGATGATCCTATACTGAAGCTGTTGACCGAAATTCTGTGACAGATGCTGCTGGCAGCAATAACGATCCTAATCTGAGTCCACACGGGGACGTAACGATCCTGAACTGAACTGGGTAAAACGATGGCGACGTAGAAGGTGAAAACTGATGAAAACGATCCTGGCTGGTGAAAGTGAAACGATGCTGGCGGATTAAAAGATAAAAGCGAGTTGTGGACACCAAATTCCGTGTATTGGCGCAATATGAGCGTACACCAATACCGTTAGAAGAAAAGCTGTGACAGAGAGTATAACTTGGAGTGACTATGTTGTTATTGTCTATCTCCTAGCGAGTACAAGCGATAACAGTGGTCGATAACGTGGATGATGGCTAGTGTCCAGTAACTTCCGTCTAGCAACTACTACTACACTAGCTTTTATACTACAAGTCCGGAATAAAATTAGAATACTTGAAACGAGTCCTTAGTAAGTCCTTAGTACATCGATTGGTAAGAAATGATACAAAACGCGTGCTCCCAGAGTTCTAAAGTAACAGCACCCACACGGTTTTACCGCGTATAGACTTAATGATCAGAAAGAATTCCCCCGACATACGGACTCTTGGGCTGCTGTGTTGCTGCGGCAAAGTACACTGAAGTAGATGCGTGCGGCATTATCTTGGCGTTGTAACAGCCTTAGTAAAGTGAGTGGAAAGGTCACGGCATTAGGTCTTTTGCCGTGGAGTTGGTACTTTGACTGTGGCATTCTTCTAAATGACACTTGATGCTGATGTCATCGATGGCTGTGCTGGGCGATCAATGATGGTCCTAAATCCATGAGATCTGCAATCAGGTGCCTGGCGGCATTAATGAAGTGGCGCATATTGATACGGAATACGAGCTGGGAAGGATAGTTGGCGGTAAGAGTGGGTATTGCCGTGATTGCAATCGTTGACTTAGTGAAAGTCCGCTAAGTGGACAAGGCATTTATTATAATGCTTAAAATCCGCGAATTCTGAGCGTACAGAGCCTTGAGGCTCATCACCGCGAGCCCGTGTTCCATTGTTCTGAGTCCCATTGTTCGAAGACTCACTTGTTGCCATGTCTACGAGAAGCCTCTGTGAATCCAAGAAAGAAGTCCTGAACGACATATGCCAGAACTGATAGTTCCATGCGCCTAGACCTGTCGGTCGCTAGAGAACAAGCCCACGGGTGTCGGGAGAGCACCTCTTGGCACGCGTTTAGCGAGCTCACTATAGAAATGAGACTAAAACTGGGAAGTCCGACTTGGATGCTCAGTAAGGCGGCGGTGGCAACGTGCTACGCATGTAGGAGTCTGGGTACTGCGTGACGTTTGTAATTCTAATTCCCCTGTAGTATAAGTAGACTGGTTACAGTAGGTAGAGGCCAAGTTTTGAGCCCCCGAGTTCCTGTGCACGCGTTGAAGGCGGTACTGTAACAAAGGATCAGTTTGTGACTTCGAGCTGTGCATAGAATTAGCGAGCTCACTCAGAGAAATACGAGATACCCTTTTGATAAGACTTTTGAGAACTTAGTCAGAGTGAATACGAATCAGTGACGCTGTTTCTGTTCTGTTAAGTGTGATAAGTCTGTTCGGAGAATGTGTTGAAGTGGAAATCTGAGATCTGTTCTGTTCTGTTCTGTTCTGTTCTGTTTCAGTCTGTTCCATGTCAGTTCTGTTCGAAGTTCCGTTTCTGAATCTGTTTTCCGAGCACTTCTGAAGTGTTCTTGAGTTGAGATAACCTGCTGGAGTTAGTTGGAGAACCCCTACATACAGTTGTGTAGCGAGCGGGCTAAGTCAGTGCTTGCCTGTGGTGTTCTTTTAGCGAGCTCACTAAAGTTTCGGCGTGTATTGCCTCTGTTTCTGTTGGGATCAGTGTCCCTTGTGTATTACAACTCAAATCTGCCTTGAAGGTTGCGTCGTGCCAGTGAACGACCTTCCTGTAAAAAGTTCCTAGACTTAGGAAGTCATTAGAGAAAGCTTAGCTTCGCTAAGAGTGCTGAGAATAAGAGAAACTCTTCGAGATATTGAAGTATAGTTGGATCGCATTAGAAATAATCGCTCCCCCTAGAACTTACGAGGGTGATTGTAGTTTGTGTAGTTGTGTGAGTGTGTGTGTGGGTTTTTGAGGTTCGCCTTTTAGCCCACTCACTATTCCACAGGTGCCCACAGCCAGCCTCTTCACCGGAGACAAGCTAAGATGTTCGTTCTGTTCCCACTCAGTGTCGTTAAGACGATGTCCGACGTAAATGTCGGTCAAGATGCTGCCATCGATGATGGTCTACCGGTACCCCACAAGTACACGGTCAGTGATCAAACCAAAATCGATAAGTGGTACGTGGGATACATGGATACTCTGCTAGCCAAACTCTTTCACCAGACTGACAGCACCCTCAAAGTGTGCTTCCCAGCTGAGCGCTGAGGAGTGCACTAATGGTGATGTTCCCTCTTATGCTCGCTGTAGCTCCCTCTCTTCCCCTTCTCATCGACTTGATTCGCCTGGAGTTCCTGTCATTTTCGAGAGTGCAAACACCTTCGGTATTCATTTACATCACGGCCTGGATGTCCTTGGGTGTGATATTGAAGAACGGTGTCCAGAAACCCTGTGTCTCATTGATGTCTATGGACTGCGACAACATGAGTATTCGGGAGTAAGGCTGAGGCAGCGGTATTGGTTTCATAAGAGAGGTGTCAGGACCATGAGAATGAGGGTAAGGACATCGCCTCATTTGGTGAAGAGATGGCTGAGGAAGAGCAATCAATCATGATAGTACGATGTCTCTCTAGAAATGCCGGGCGCCGGCACAAAAGTTGCACGTGGCCAGGTAGTCCACTCTTGATTCAAACGTTCAATGTTCAACGTCAACATTTCGTTACATTCAAGTTGTTCACTTGAACTTGGCTTGAATATGAACGTTAACGTTAAACTCCACATCCTTCGAGCCAACAAATGGTGCCCAGGTAAGCACTAGAGATGGCTTGGTCATCCAATAGTCATTCATGTTTATGCAGCTACTTCCTGTCATCACATCCTTCAAATCGAGTAGCTTCTGATTCGACATTTTCACTTGGGTGCCTGGACTCAATCATTCTTTTTTGTATCGGCAGAACGGCCAAGGACTGGAAGTTTACCAAGAAACTCGAAACTTTCTAAGTACCCTTAGTCATGGTACATACTGATGTCATCGGGTCTCTTTACGAATGGCTTTGGTCACGACGCGTATATATAAGAAGCATGATATGCCTCAAAAATCCTCATCAGTTACAACCAACAAACATCCTCTCACATTACACCGATGTCGAACCTTAAATCTCTTTTCCAGCCCCTCAAACTCGGCCCTACCACCCTCAGGAATAGGGTCTTCATGTCCGCTTTGACACAGAATCGTTCCATCCCCACGAACGTCCCCAATAGTCTCAACGTCGAGTACTACTGACAACGTGCCACAGGGGGTGCTGGCTTGATTATCACAGAAGGCATCCTCGTCGCTCAGCAAGGGTATGCGTTTCTCTCATGTTCTTCTCGTGCTGATGCTTACGCTGGTTTTAGTACTGAATGGCAGAATGCTCCTGGTATCTGGTCTCAAGAGCAGGTCAACGGATGGAAAAAGGTCACTGACACCGTACACGAAGAGGGAGGCATGATTTTTGCTCAGGTACATTTTATTATCACCTCTTTTCGTTAGCCTCTAATACGGTCTACTTTCTAGCTTTGGCATTGTGAGTTCCCGGTCTTTCTCCCGTAAGAAATACATACTAACATATCATCAGTTGGACGCATAAGCCACCCCGATGCGCCTGAACAGATTGCCTCAGGACTCCCCGTCTACGCACCTTCAGCAATCTCTGCCCGAGGAGGAAAATTCTGTTTCCTTCCAGGCGAGCCAGGCTACATCACCCCTACTGCAATCGACGACCCTCGCACTCTGCTTGCCCAGTGGAAGCAAGCTGCCATCAACGCGAAACAGGCGGGGTTTGATGGCGTAGAGATCCATGGCGCGAACGGGTACTTGATCCACCAGTTCCTCGATAGCACGTCGAATCACCGGACAGACCAATGGGGCAGGAGCGCTGAGAATAGAGCTCGGTTCCCTCTTGAAGTCATCAAGATCGCAGTGGACATATGGGGTGCAGATAGGGTCGGTATCAAGTTGAACCCCGCCGGAGGGTATAATGATGTCGGGTATGTCCTTATTCCAAGTCGTGCAGCTACTTTGTGCTTATGAGTTGAACAGAATGCCGCTTCAAGAGACGTTGGATACGTTCTGGTACCTCATCTCAGAGATTGACAAACTCGGAATCGCCTACATTACGCTCATGCGGTATGCAGAGCATCTCGATCCTGTTATTGACGGGGTTCAGCGCATGACAAAGCATGATGTCCTCGAAACGTATACCCCCTTGTTGAAGAATCCGGCTACGAAAGTATTCGCAAATGCGTTGTTCACGGGTGAGGAGGCGGCGCGATATGTTGAAGACAAGAAAGTGGATGGGGTGTTCTTTGGTATTCCTTGGGTGGCGAACCCTGATTTAGTGAAGAGGTTTGAGAAAGACGTTGCGCTGGAAGGGAATATTGATTTCATGACGCTGTATGGGCATGGAGGAACGGAGGTGGATGAGAGGAAAGGGTATGCTGACTATCCTGCAGTGGCATCTTAGATATCTTTACTTTCAGATCACCATGTTGTTATTCTATATCCATACCATCCATACCATAATTTCAATCATTGGATTGCAGACTAGTTCGCAAATGTGCAATAAAGGATCATTAATTCTATTTCTTCCACTGACATGCGAACGATCAACACCTTGCTAGCCAGGCTTGCACAAATTTAAAGTTGTCAGTTAATTTTACGTTCTCAGGGAGCAACAGGGAGCTAATGACTCTTTCAGAACAGGACCTATCCGTTCATATAAATCTCGCAGCCTTGCTAGGCAAATATTCATGCCACAGGCTCTCGAATTTTTTATTACTGAGGTGCAACAATGGAATTGGTAAGCGTAAGTTCAATACTCGGCAAGTACCGGCCACGTAGATCCCTGCCAGGATGGCCTTCTACCACCACGACGCGACAATGATGCTACCCATTACATAGCAAGTAATGTCTATTTCTGCGGTGTCACTATTTCTTATGTGCCAGCCACTAATTATACCCGTGAACTTCACAACATGGGCCTTAATACCATTTCTAACGGGTCCTCAGCGCTCAGCCTCCGCGATCATCCTTGGGAACAGCATACACACACATCACCTTTGCCAAGATGCACGTTGCCTTGAGGTTGGTTCGGTTGGTATTGCCTTCTTGTGTATGACGCATCTCCTGCATGGCTTGGCATTCCCCTTGTCATGCACTTTGTTTTTCGTTCTCTTTCCTACTCCCCTTTGCTCTAATTCCGTTTTCTCGTCGGTCCAGGCACCGGTCTGACACAACTTCACAAATCTCAAATTCCCAGTCTGAGTCTACCCCTGATCTTCTATCACAGCTGGGTGGCGACTCTTTTGCGTGGGTCAAAATGGAATCAAAATCCTTGGCAGCTCCCTAATAAGGAAATACTGAAGGATTTTGACCGATGCAAAATCCCAAAAGTGTGTTTTGATGACATTTTGACTCGTGCAAAAAAGCCATCACCCAGCTGTGGATCTCAGCTATCAAGTTGAAATGTCGGCCTACGAGGACGAAGTGATCATGTTGAAGAGTGGTCCTCAGTCAAGTATCAATGAGTGTAACCCTTGGGACCGGCACTGCATATTATCTTAGAGAATCATTCAAGCAGATCGGGCGAGCCTTTCCGCATGTGATGTCGCCCTTTGATTCTAGAGCGTCATGATTCATGGATAGAGTAATTTTCCCCTGTGTTGCGGAGTTGCATACTGACATTCCTTTTTCTAGCAGGGGTTTCAAGACCGGAACGATCCAACTTTCCCAGGCGGGCCAGGCGCTGCCAGGAGTGGCTCCATAAAGTAATTAATAGCAGGTGCAGAAATGACCAAAAATAGGGAACATATGCTTACAGCAATAACAAATTGGCGATCTCCAAGCCCCTCCAAGAGCGACAAGAAGCTCAATAACCCACCCAAAAAACCATACAATACATCCACGACACCAAGTCGTTCTGAGATGTTGTTCGTGCCATAATGGCCGCATCAAGGCGTGATACTGGCACATTGCGAAGCTTGATATGTATTACTGACATTATTAGAAATACTCAAATTTCCAGGACTCGCGCAGTTATCTCCGAGGACAGATGTCATGCATTTTGACATTTGCCGCGAGCTTATACTTATCCGCTGATCCATGTGGCCCATGCAGCTTGGTTAACTTGAATTATCTATATCATTCAGGCCATTGGTCCCACACTAGTGCCTCTTACAGGTGGTGTGGTCACTCGAGAAATATTCATATTTACATCCATCATTGATCGTCTGGCCATCCTTAGCGTCAAGCGTCCATGATCCACTCTGATTCGACGTTTTCACTCATCACTCGACACCGAAGCCTGGCCACACGGTCATTTCTTGGCATGAATGTTCGATAAAGATTTCACGGTAAAACGGCTAACAATAGGTTTACCAAGAAACTCGTTGATCAAGAAATTCTGGATTCTGGAAGGTTGCTATGTTAGTCATGCTGTCCCCTGATTCATCAGGTCTTCCGCAGGTCTACACGGCTGAACGGCCCTTCAAGTTCGACGCGACTGTTACGATTATTCTTTTCTTTTTCTTTTTCTTTCCTTTTCTTTTCTTTTCTTTTTCTTTAGTCAGCCGGATTACGCGGCGCGATCATCACGGACTGACTGCGCAGTAGTATTTTTAGATTACTCACGTGTATTTAAGCAGAGCCTCAGCTGGCCTAAACCCCAGCTTCGGCTAAGGTTTATTCTACCTAACATCGAACTCCGTTCTTCTGTCTAAGTGTCCCATCGACTTACGTCGCCTTTGACTTGCTAGTGTATCGTCTACCGAAGTGCGAGTAGCGATCCTAGTACGATCTAAGTCGATTTGAGTTAGTGGCTAACATTTAGCCGAAGCTCGTTCTACGTTGCTCAGCGTCACTTCCGAGAAAGAGCGCTGCCCAACTTTCTTCGAGAAATTACCTTGCTTGACCAGAGCGGTCATCGCCTACGTTCGTGTGGACAACCCGGTGCTTGTCAACGTACGACGAGTGGACCAACGGAAAAGCACTCACCGTCACCATTCATCCGATACACTACTTCGTCGCCCTAGCCTTGTGGCTAATACCCCCTCGGCTACTCCTTCTGTTGTTAGTAACCCGGTTGATTGTTGAATCAATTCTCTACGACGACCTACTCCTTGCAGTCTTTTTGACTGTATACTTAACCTTCCTCCTAATCGCGCTCGGAATACCGGCAGTGCTGCTAGCAAGCTTGCTGGTCGCCCTGTACTCGTTATATCCCCGCCTCGTTTAGGAACAACGTATCCCAACACGAAACCTTTCGTACTCGCCCTCCAGCTTGCATCGCTATTAACAATCATCTTGTTGATAGTAACAAGCTCCCCTGATTCAAACGAGTGTGAGATCCTGTTAATGAACGGTTCTAATTACGAGACCGACCTTAGCTTGATCATCGCCCTCCTCATCGTTCTCACCATTCTTGCTGTATATCAGCTTGCATGGTCTATCGTCGACTTACGCCACGGATAGATCCCCTGACGAATGCCCTGGTCAGAATCCATTCTCGCCGTCTTCGCGACTTTTATACTCTTTTTCTTGTCCATTACTTTGTACCAACTTCACCGTTGCTGCCAGCGGAGACAAGTCCGCGCACGACTACCGTTCCATTACATCCCCAGCGCACCGGCGTACCCACCGCCGGTAATCGATATTCCTTCGGCCTCCCAACAGACAATAGGAGATGTCGAATCCAACGCCTCCGAGGGACCTGGAAGATCCCTCTACACATCGTCACGATCCAGCTCGCGATCCTCCGAGTCGAGCACCGACTCCTACAGAAGCGCCTCCAGCGCTCCAGCAGACTCCATCGACATTACCGATACCAGGGGGGTACTCCTCGACAGAGGAGACTCGCCCGTACCAGGCCTCTTCGACCAGTCTCCAGTCCAAGACGAGTCAAACGACACAGGAAGCCGAGGACAAGACACCAGGCATCTGGTCGCGGGCGAAGAAACGCCTGATACCGAGTTCGAAGGGGACGAGCTCACCGAGTGGGAAAGAACCCGACTCGACGACCTCTTCGACGACCTCTACCCGAACACGGAGGAAGATGCTACCTATACCGGAGACAACTACAGCGGCCGATCAGGACACAAGTGGACCGATGCCGTCTGGAAAAGTGAAAGTAGGAGATATCGAGTCGCCCAAGAGGATGACTTCGACAGCGATTCCGGAGAGCTTAGCCTCGGAGCCTCCGCGGCTACCACCAGTACAGCTCACTCACAGCCTGTTCCAAGGGCCTGGCCAACCGATAGAGGCCCCCCAGTCGCCTGGTACCCCAACACCAGTTGGGTCTACGCCGACGACGGGGAAGAAACTCCTGTGGCCCGAGAGCAGGCCAGACGTGAGCCCGACCCGGTCGCTGCAAGGGCCGAGACCCCAGAGGTCCCTCCCCCCGTCACCGCGCACGAGCAGACGAGTGGGGAGCTTTGGAGCGAGTTCCCAGACCTCGACACAGAGGACATTGGGACAATTACCGCCGCCGAGCGACTCGCCGGAGTCCCCGGCTGGGAACCATCCGTCTCATCGCGAGCCTTCGCCGACCCTGTCCCTGCGGCCCAGCGTCCCTGGCCACTCCTCTATCACACGTACGTCGAGTCCCTCCGACTCACTCGAGATGCCAGGGAGTCCCCAGAGGTCCAGGCCAGAATGGACCGAGGACGAGCGCACGATGCACGCATACGACGCGCCGAAGAGGACGCCCTCTTCGGACCCAATGGCTTCTGGGACCTTCCCCTTGAGCCCGACGCCACTCCCGCCGAGGTCGATAACCGGATACGAGCCGCTGCCGTTCGCTACACCGGATACGCCCGAAGGGCAGGCGCAGACCTCGAAGCTCGAGCTCGAGCCTGGAGAGTATACCAGGAAGAGATCTCCAACGAGGACTCAGATATCGGAAGGTGGAGGCGGAACAAGGAGCTTGACCGCATCGCCCGAGAGAGGAAGGAGGCAGAGGATGCCGCCTCGACCCCCAAACCAGGCTCTAGAGCCGACAGTGATGGCGGCGGTCAGGCAGGTCCTTCTTCAGGGCCCCACGCCTAGGCCCGGAATCTTCGAATTACTACCCTGGCACGGGCTATATGAAATCATGATGGAAGACATGGAGAAAGACCCGCAGTGGCTCTTCTCCGAGGCAGGAGAGGATTACAGACATGCCAAACAGATGGGGGACGTATACCTCATGAGAAATATCCTCGAAGTGGAAACTTGGCACCGGGCGGCCGTCGTTTGGAACCTGGTCAACCCTACTGCGCCGCAGCAGGAATGCGAGCCCTATCGTCGGCCACAGCCCATGCCCCCACCTAGGGACATGGAAGGATTCTTCCCCGAAGGATTCTTCGGCGGAGCAGGAGAAGACGATGACGAGATGGACAACCCGGAGGCTGGACCGTCTCGCACAGACAAAGGCAAGGGGTCTACGGTACCCCCGCTTCCGCCAAAACAGCCGCACTATCCAGACCCCGCCGGATA